AGATATTGGTGAAGCACGTGATCTGTGGTGTGAGAAAAGTCACGTGCGGACTTTTGTGGTGAAAATCTGTGACAGACGCAGCAGTGGCTACGTCGAGGAGGCATGTTGGAATCTGGGCGCAGAGCACAGATGTGAGAGGCCCCCGTGCGACCTGCGCCACCAGCATGGGAGAGTAGTAGCACGTGTGTATATAATAGGGCATGGCTACAATGGGACGGGCCATCAGTTTGGCTCCGTGGAGCCATCTTCTAGAGAGCAGGCGACTCCTGAACTCCTGGCCACGCAGCGGGCTGGCTGGAAAACTCAACATGAATCACATTTTCAACCATGTTGCCTACAGGGATGACAGCTGCAAGAGCTGCCTCGCTCGTATCTGATGGCTTGGTATTTATGTTGACATGCATGAAAACCACTCGGAAGACAGATTCAGGATTCATCAAATCACCCCTTGGACCATCCTTGCAGGATATATTGTTGAGGGATAGTACGTGTCTGCAGATATACCGGGCTGTGTCCTGCTAATGCACATGCTGTTGTGTTCCTTCAGCCACGATATGCTTTGCGTGTGTAGCAGCATTTGAGAAGCCAATGTAAGCTCATGTTGCTGGTGCTCAGATTCCTCTGTGTCATCAATGTCATCGGGATTGCAACAGGTCGCATGATTGAGGTATGGGACGCAGTTGCCATCTTTGTGTGAAATTATGAACTTTTTTTATGTCCAGTTGATCGATATCTGGCAGATTTGGACAGCAATGTAAGTGGCAGAGTCAATTATATTGCAAGCACCTCAGACTGAGCACACGTGATGGTTTCACTTCGATGTTACTGTCTTGGCTAGTGCTCGATCTCCGCGAAGCTGCTACAGCTGGGATCGAGAGTGAAGGGACGTTCTCTTATGCGCAATGGGATCTGGCTTTTGCTGCTGAAGAGGAGGACATGGAGGGCTCAATGGGTGAGCTTGACGACGTGGTGACTGAGTCGTCGAGCTTCGCATTATATGGCACGCCGCTCTGTACTTAGTGACATGTCGAGCTAACGGATAAGTGGAGGAATCATAGATTGTGTGTGTGTCCCAGCCATGTTCCTTCCGCCTACAGATCGGCCATTCAACATGAGTTTCATGCCACTCGTGACTGGATGTATTGAACGAAACTGGTGAGAACGGTCTTCAAAGAATCAACTTTAAAGTTTACACACCGCTGTGGGCATTCCGGTCCCATATAGAAGGTCGAGTGCTTCTTCGACCACGATGTCTCGCTGATGAAGCGCCGCTTGCAGCCTGAATGCTTGAGAATCCAGAGCTCAGACGTCTGGCCCATGGAAGCATGCTCACGTGGTTGAACTACGTCCATCGACACATTCATGTGTAAGTGCAGTCTACATGACTTTCAGCAAAAGTGGCCGCAGTGGTGGCTAAATATGACGAACCGGTCGGTTCTTCAAGGCTACTGAGAAGAACTACGGGGATGGTTCATTCCTGCACGAATCACAAGTTGTGTCCATCTATCTTCATTTCTGCACTTGACGGATCTAGTAAGATCGGAGCTTGCCTGGCAGCGCAAGCGCTTCATCGAAGATGCCATAGTATGTTTCCTCGATCAAATTAAGGCATAGTTCTGCTGGCATATAAGCCCGCGACGTCTTCGAAAAGTCTGTACGCGATGCTCATTCAGTAAAATGATATAGATTAGGACTTCGTAAGCTCTACATAGCTGAAGAGCTCTCTTCTCAGCTATTGTTCAGATCTCTCAACTGACATAACCGAGAACCTACGGATTAAGCAACTCAATTTATATATGTGTAGCCACTGCCTCGTAGATTGTCCGCTGAGCTTTTCTGCAGTGTTTCCGTGAAGTATGCTGGAACAGCGTTTGCCGGGAGTCAGAATCTTGAGACGAGAATGCTGACCTGTTCGAGACGTGACAGTGATAAGCCACAGCAGATGCATTATTGGCAAGACCATCCAGAAAAGGTTGATCTGAGCAATACGTGTATTATCTCAATCTTGGGAACTTTGGACAAGGCTGTAAGGCCGAAATTGAGCTGCTTTTGACACGTTTGCGTCAACGTGCCGAGACCTCATGAATCATGCCGGTGGGGACTGAAACTTGAGATAATATTATAATGTGAAAAGGAAGAACAAATCCGCACCTTTTTAATGCTCAGCGACATCGATGCATCCTGAAGCGGCAAGTAGTACCAAGGTCTCACCATATTCTGCACCATCCATGAACAGGCGGAAAAGAGGAGTGGAATTAGCTGATGACTTCGCAAATGACGATAGCGGTATGCACTTCCAGTCAGAATTGATGTACCATTCAGTCACTTGGATGGGTCGTTTCACACCAACAAAGCATCCACGGCTGCAATGTCAAACTCTCAACGAAGAAGTGTCGAGATCACGCGTAGATTCTGCCAACTCTCGAGAACCGTTATACACACATGTTCGCACATGCTCTATTGTTACACAAACACATACGATGCTCAACGAAATCAACTCAGCCTGTTGTGTACGCTGTCGAGAACATAAAAGAAAAGAGAAAAGAGAAAACATCCCGGGCTCTGTACATTTTCTCGATCGCAGACGACGTTCACTCGGCGCTTCGCAGGAACATGACATCCATCGATACCTCAAAACTGTGCTCGGTCGGATTCAGCGCATAAGAAGAGTGCGCCTTATGACGGTAAGAAGAACGCAAGTGGCTCGTGATCGCATGCTCAATCGCCAGCACGGCATCGGCAGCCATGTCCCCATAAAACACGTCAATCATATCTGTGCGCAGCGCAAGCGTGATGTCGAGCTTCGAGCATCGCTGAATCAAGTCACGGAGCGTGAGATTGATCAGGAACCAGTAGAGCCCGTCAAGGGAGGTCAGCCCTATGAACTCAGGCCCGTTCTCAGGCGAGAACGAACTGATGGAGAAAAGCCCAGCCAGCGTGTAGAAGCTCCTGGAAGCTGGACCTATCTTATTCAGCACGAGATGCAGCTTGAAGTGCTCCAAGACAGGACAGTTCTTCTTGAGCAGCTCCAGCACGTTGAGGACGAGGAAACTGTTCCAGCTTGCGACGTTCAGTGGGTTTAGGTATACCTCATCTAGTACGAACATGCGGAGATTGGCAAGTGGGAGTGCGTTGAGCTCAACCACGAGATCATCTGGCAGGCATATGATATCTGGAATCAGAGACGGCTTCGTAGTGTAGAATGCCACTCACCGGTTTGAGTGAAATCAAGGCCGGGGACAGCAATGCGAAGATATTCCAGTGACGGCCCCATGATTGCTTTGAAGAAACTGCGGAGAAGCGAAAACATGTGCTGGTACCTGTCATCGGTCCACAACATGGACAGCCTTCGCACGTTAAGCCAGAATTGAGCATGGGAGAGCTGCTTCATGAACAGAAGCATGTAACTCGACGCCCTCAGCTCCAATGTATCGATCGTGATCACGCTATTTTGCAGCAAGCTGACATCAGGAATCAGCTCCTCATTAGGCTGGACCAACACAGGCTCCCCATATCTGTCCCAGTTGAAGATATGGACACTAGAGAGTTTCAGGAAGAGGTAGAGTGAATGCAAAAATATGTGCGTGGCACACGACTCGACGTCCAGCAGTTCCAGTGTCGTAACACCCGGAAACGTGATGGCCAGCGCATTCAAAAAGTCATCCGAGATCCACGTTGTCGAGTCGATGCTGCTCAACGTCAGCTGGTGCACCTGCTCGAGCTGTGACAGGGAATGCCTGACCTCGAGCATGTTCATGTTGCTGAACATGTTACCGATGACCTCCAGCGCGCGTACGGATCTACAAAAGTTCACGAGCCAGTAGGTCTCCTCATCCATTACGTTCAGGAGGTGAGAAAAGTAGCAGAACTGGCTCACGTCCATGAGGCAAATGGAGTGAAAGAGGTGCAGTCTGGTGGTCAACAGCCACGTGCGGCAAACAAAGCTGCAGACTTTGAGCGTGAAGAAATCTGCATGCAGATGGTCTAAGATCATGTCGTGGATCTCTTGTGGGAGATGGAAGGACGTGGGTGGTGGGTCGACCTCTATGAACACGCTATAGTCATAGTAGAGTGGGAAAGGAACCCGCAGGGACTTCCACACCAAATGAAGACTGGGGCCATCCAGCAAGAGAGGAGGCTGCTCTGGAGAGATCTGTGCTGACTGACTAAGTGTCATGGATAACAGCAATTTGCCAGGGTCAGTTGGCACGTCGACAAGGCCAAGGCTCTGATCGGCAGATTGTAGTAACTGAGACACGGCGTCGGGCACCGAAGACATGAAGTGATTTGCACATGTGGTAAATGCTTAGTAAATGTCAACAGGTTTTTTGCCTTTGTGATCTCAATTTGCTATGGTTCCTTCCCACATTCCGTATTAAGTATTTGCATATAATATGTTGGAGGCAGAAATTTAAATCATATATTTTAAGAAATGACACCATTTTCAAACTCACCAAATACATTTAGAATTTGAGTGCTGTTGAATGTAATCATACATTTTTGAATTTCAAACCATCACATGTATAAAATACCCAGTAGCAGATAAAGGTGTAATTATGAATGACTTTCATTCTAGTAATCTTGGTTAGAATGACTTCAGTAGGGAAGTATGTAGAATGTAGGCATAATTACATCTTTGTCTGCTACTGGATATCTTATATATGTGATGGTTTGAAATTCAAAAATGTATGATTACATTCAACAGCACTCAAATTCTAAATGTATTTGGTGAGTTTGAAAACGGTGTCATTTCTTAAAATATATGATTTAAATTTCTGCCTCCAACATATTATATGCAAATACTTAATATGGAATGTGGGAAGGAACCATAGCAAATTGAGATCACAAAGGCAAAAAACCTGTCAACATTTGCTAAGCATTTGCCACATGTGCAAAACGCTTCATGTCTGCGGTGTTTGAAGAGGAATGACACTGATTAACAGATTGCAGCCACGTGCTCTCACGTGCTTGAGTGGCCATAAGCGCTGCCAATATTTCTGGCAGCGGCCACAGCTCCGATTGCAACGTCAGCCTGATCCAGCTCTTGAGAGACACACAGGTACTCCATTAGCGCGATTTGGTGTCTAATACAAAGGCATTGACCGGAGGCCATCTACATGCATGCTGCCGCCGCACATCTGTGGCCGCCACGCTAGCGATGGTGTCCCGTGCACGTGGGGCCACGCGTCGCGTCGGAACATTGCATGCGTTGGCGGATCCCAAATGCGATTAGGACTGTTCTTGTAGGGCTTGTGTCTGGCCCGCAATACCAATATTCAATATTCAATGCTTGAGTCATCCACGACAAGCTTCTTCTACCAACTGACCCGCTCTGCATGTCGTCATGGCACGATGTCTTCTGTGGCTCATCTGCAACTCGGTGCATGATGGATTGTCGTCATCAGCGGGAGGAGGATATAAATAGGCCAGTTATGTTTGTAACATGCACCAGCGTTAACGTTTGCGCTATTCATAGAGTTCGGGCCCGAAGCTGCTACCCATCAGTAATGCTGCCGAGACTCTGGAGTGCACATCCATTCACTTCTTCTCCGCTCAGTCTCCCTGCATCATCCTTTCATCCTGTTCTATTCCTATGTCTCAACCGCACTCAAAAGAATCATTTAGTGCTCCTTCACGATCTGTAGGCACCTTATACTATTTGTTCCACACAGATGACTGGCTTGGAATGTTCTGAAGCTCAGCCACACTGCGTCAGTTGTAAAAGCAGAGACTGTCAAGACAAAAGAGATGACATAGCCATGGTGGAGTCCTCTAATTTGGATACCCTGCTTGGTGCGCTCATGATGACATAGTTTTGCTCTCCGTCCCCTGGTATATATAATCCAGCTGCCCTATCGACTCTCCCATCAGAACAGACTCTTCCCTCCCTCGTCTGTACCTACATAATCTCTTCGGCCAAAGCGCATACACCCCCCTTCGCCTACACCCAATCCCACTCCCACCACCTCCGACACCCCCACCATGGTCGAACCAATCCGCGACGGCAAAGGGTCCAACATCGTCGGGCCCCGCAACCCCGACCGCGAGCGCCAGAATCCAGACATGATGCGCCCGCCCCAGACCGACTGGGGCACCGTGCTCAACATGAAGTGGTCCTTCGCCGACTCCCATATGCGCCTCGAGGAGGGCGGCTGGGCGCGTGAGGTCACCATCCGCGAGCTTCCCATGTCCCGTGAGCTCGCCTCGACCAATATGCGCCTGGAGGAGGGCGCCGTGCGCGATCTCCATTGGTGAGTCGCGTACTCCATCTTTCCGTATACTCGGGTACCGACAATTCTCCTTAGGCACAACGACTCGGAGTGGGCGTACATCCTCGAGGGCCGCGTGCGCATCACGGGCATCGACTACGGCGGGCACTACTTTGAGGAAGACGTCGAGCACGGCGACCTCTGGTTCTTCCCTAGAGGCGTGCCTCACTCGCTTCAGGGGCTCGAAGGCGGCTGCGAATTCCTGCTCATCTTCGACGACGGCGAAGCGTCCGAATACAAGGCGTTTCAGCTCACGGACTGGTTTGCGCACACGCCGCGCGACGTGCTCCGCAAGAACTTCAAGGTCTCCGAGGAGACGCTCCAGCACCTCCCCCCGCGCGAAAAGTTCATATTCCGCTCGATTCTCAGCAAGAAGAGCACCGCGGAGGAGACGCAGCCAGGAAGCACGCCGACTGCGCGGCGGATGACGCACAAGATGCTCGCGCAGACGCCGATCAAGACGCCGGGCGGTGAGGTGCGCGTTACGGACAGCTCGATTTGGCCGATCACGACCATCGCTGCAGCGCACGTCCTCATCAACCCCGGCGCCCTGCGCGAAATGCACTGGCACCCGTACGCGGACGAGGTGCGTGCGCATATAGTCAGCATTGCATCAATGTTGACGCCGTTTCATTTTGCAGTGGTCGTACTTTATCCGCGGCAAGGCCAAAGTGACGATATTCACCGTGCAAGCGACGCGGACCTTCAACTTCGTCCCAGGCGATGTCATGATCGTCCCAAGCAATTGTCCGCACTACATTGAGAACATCGGCGACGAGCCCATCGAGATGATCGAGGTCTTCAGATCGCCCAAGTGCGTCCCTTCTTGAATGTGAATGCAGAGTGCCGTGTCTCTGACGCACGACATGTGTGCAGGTTTGAAGAGTTCTCGGCGAACCAGTATCTCGCGGTCACTCCGGCGGATCTCGTCAAGGGCTCCCTCAACGTCGGGGATGACTTCATCAAGGCACTCGACAAGGGCCACACGCCCATCCGCGACGCATCTATGCCGTGAGCGTGCGCATCTCTCGTACCTCCGTTCCGCATTCTATGCTAACTTATTGGCATAGAACGCCGTCGATGATCCCGGATGTTCTCGTGCAGATGACCAAAGGAGTGCAGGGGGTGTTCATGGGGTAGGATAGGCCGACGCTGTATGAAGGGATAAAGTGGCCTAACCGACACTGGTGTATCGCTGCCGTGCCTGTCTCAAACGACCCTCATACATACAAAACTGCTGTAAATCAGAGTCGATGCATCAATTATGTACTACTACCGCCAGAATATGATACACTTTCTGGTCCAAATGATTGAACTTGGTCAGCGTCAAAGCCTTTATAACTCCGTCAACGGCTGTCGCGAACATTGCTATGCATAGCACAAACGGGCTTTCGTTCGCATATCATTAATGCATTCCTGGCAAGACCTAAGTTTGAGTGCCAGATTCATCGACCTTGCGGTTGGCATAGAGACCGTTGTGCGTGGAGCCCTGTATAACTGCAAACAGCGGTTGATAATTGATTGCATGAGATGCACCATTGCATTGCGAGATAATAATCAGAGTGACCAACGGAATGGCACACTTTACATGGGCAGGCGCAGAACCTGAAAGCCAAACTTGCGGGAGGATGTTGGCAAGGTCGGCGGATACCTCGGCTGCAATTATTCAGTGACTGGCAACTGCGTAGCAGATTGCCTAACAGGACTGAGGGTGATAGACGTCGAAAAATAAGAAGGATCGCCGAGATAAGGAGGGGTTCTACGTGGGCTCCACGAACGACGTACAAGCGAAAGTACTGCCGGCGCCAAACTCCAACACATCCTTTCCGTTGACAGGCGTCGCCACTTTGAGCCTGATTTATCAGTTTTAGCACACTCTGATGACCGTGCGACGGTTCTCTCAGTTCAACGCCCATGGACAGCGACCCTCATTTTCAGTCATCAAATGAAAGTGTCCCTTGCGCGTCGGTTTCGTTTAGCGACGGCTTGTTGTCACGGTAATATGAGTTGCCCAATCATAGTCACAGATTCCAGACCCTTTTTCAAGCCACAAGGACACAATTTGGATGTGGATGCTTGGTGTGGTTCATTTTATCCCGGGATACGCTGATATATCGGCTCAATCTTTTGCCGTACTCAGGCTGACTTCCATGGCTTGCGTCGGACTCCTGTAGGTTCTATCGGATGTGTCTCGGCACTGCGCTGTACCGTGGTTACGTCGTAAAATCTCTGCATTTTAGATGCAGTACCGTTTTCCCCCATGCTGTGCTCTAATAAATGCACGCACTCCGGACTGACCACGTTTCTTATTACAATGCATGGAGGCAGTGGATCACTGCGATTGAAGCGACTTATTGCAGTATCCCTCGTTCTTCGTCGCCGCGGAAGTACCCGGAGAGGCAATCTGGCTTAGATACAGGTGCGCAGCGAAGTGCGCTACAGTGTCTTCGAGTCGGGTGGGGGTGTCAAAATGCAAGAAGTGCAAAACAAGTGTCAAGTCCACGGCATGTCCACTGCAAATATTGGCACTTGTGGCAACGATGGCATGTAATGACCCGCAAAGCTGTCGTGCATGTGGCTGTTACCGTGACGATTGTGAGCGGTCTACCACCTTCGATGCAATGGAAGTGTCGAGCTGACGTGTGACGCTTCATTCTGGGGCATTAATCACGGATGTGGCGAAGTGCGACCACAGATTTGAAATGCATAGGATGCATAAAAGGGCTGCGAAGCTCAGGCTTCTTCCTCCTCTGCTATTGGAGACGTTCAATATGCCTGAGTCGAGAGACATCATGGCGATGCTCATCGGAGCAAGGTGCGTCGTTGCTTTGATTGACCTGTACCATGGCACAGATTAATTATGATGATGTTCGTGATATAGTTTTGTGGAAACATGTCTGTACCTTTCGGCCTCGGGTGAGTCTGAAGCAACTTATCCGTTAGAAAATCATGTGCAAATCCACGAAAATACTAAAGCGCTAGTGTTGTATGACTATCTCCTCACCGCTGGCGACGAGTACTGTTACATGTGGAAATCGGAGTTATCTTTCGCATCGGCGCTGTTTTTCGCATTCAGATACTGTGCAGTATTTGATATCGCCGTTGCGGTTCTATCGTTGTTGACACTTTCGAGTTGGCCTGCGCAATTGGTGAGTGACATACATCCGCTCCGAATCCTCGTTACGTAATGTGATATATGACCAGCAGAGGTAAAGTGGCAATGACGTCTATAGTTCAGAGATACTTCAATAGGCTCAACATGCCGTCAGCTGTGCCGGAATAATTATATCTCAGATGGTTTTTGACATTGTTCTTTTGGCAAGCACCGCTGGTGGGTGCATCGTATGATCACGCAGTGCTTCCAGACTCTTATGAAAATGTATAGCTTTTGCAGCACTTCGCATCTACGCAATCTATGACCGTAATAAGGCTGTGTTTGGGTTAGTTCTATGTCTGGGCCTTCTAAATCCTGCCTTGACAGTAGTAAGTATATTTCTAGAACATGAATACTCCCTTTAACTCTCCCGCAGTACTCATTTATCTCAATGAACCCACAAACAAAAACGGAGCCGGATCTTGGAGTTACGTGCTCATTCGTGACAAGAATACCCGAGAGTGTATACGACAAGTGAGACATGATTATAGTGATTTGTATATAGACTGATAAAATGTACAGCTGTAAGTTGCAAGACCTCCAGCACCACCATGCCTGACCTCACGTCTGAATTCCGGTCTCGCAAGGGATGATCAGTGGCAGAGCTTCTTCTGTTCTTGCAGATTTTATCGTGTTCGTTTTGACGTGGGTGAAGACACGACCATTCATGCACAATGGCATTCAAAACGGGCTTCAAAGGCTAATGCTCATGGACAGTACGTCTTGAATGTCACCGGGAGATTGTGTACTTATCCTTGACTTTGGCTGGACCAAGCGGCATGGTACTTTGGGTAAGTCATACGCGCTTTGCTTGCGCCCCACTCCTTCTTCCCAACCCTTCTCTCACTGACGCTTCAGGATCCTATCAATTATCAATGTTGTTAGCATGGGAGTCGGCCATCTTGACACGACATCTGTGAGTTATGCGAGTGTGAGAGTAAAGGTTTTTTTTTTCGCTGACTGCACTCCAGTTCAATGTGCCATTTGCAGCCTGGACATCTGCGTCAGTCTCTTGCTACGTCATGACATGTAGAGTGTGGTCGGCTTCAACTCAACTTCATGCTTCCAGGATGACCTCAATAATGCTGTCGCGGCTGATGCTAAATTTGCGCAAGGGTTATGCCAAAAGGAAGGAGGAAATATCATCCACTGATCCGACCTCATTGCTATTCACTGCGTTAAATATTGATGCTGATGACAAATGCCTAGCCGACGACAATAGTGCTCCAATTATTGACGGAAACCCGGATTCCAGAATGGAAAACATACTGGCAGAGGGAGAGGCTGATCTACCATATTCCGAGCCGTAGCAAACTTGATTCACAAGTATCGCGTACACAAAGTTGTAAACGTTGTATTGTCAATATGGTGTCTCCCGCTGCCTATATACACATGGAGAAGTCAGATAGCGACTGACATAATTACGTTGCCAATGCGAGTTCAGTGCATGACAGACTCATGACGTGCAAGAGGAAGCTCCGACAGACATATATCGGTAACCCTGCATTCACCATATCCTGATTTGAATTTCGGAGACCTTCCAATCTAATAACGGTACAGTCATTTTGCAATCTATGCCTGCCTCCCACCCTTGGACACAGAGATTTTGCATAAATTCGCAGATATTTTAATAGAACACGTCAAACTCAACATCCTGAAACAATTGCTCTTGCGAGTAGCGGTTGACGTGAGACTAATTGCACTGTGGAGCATTACTTAAATTCCACACCATGCGCCCACAGCTGTCGGCGCTCGTGCTACGCATTGGGCATAGGCATGTCCAGGACCCTCAGCACAGCTGGGATTGGCACATCAGAGTCAACTGAGCTGAGACGGCGGTGCAACTGTCGGACATCTGTGTTTCAGCCACGGAATAGGAACAGTGATGGAGCGCAACCATGGTTATTGTATAGTTCAGTCACATTTCCGTTCCTGTGGTAAGAGAATGATGTCCACCGCAACTTGTGGGAACCCGAGCTGCCACTGACATGCAGGTGAATTCACGCGCCGGAGTCAATAAAATTGCGACATGAAGAACGGAATGCATTTACCTCACGCTTTACCGAGTACTGAAGGCAACCACCTCCGTGCGATGGGCTTTCTGCTCCGAGATGATGTTGTTGACTTTCCCGGCCAGCCCACTGCGCGGCCAGGAGTTTGGGAGTCGCCCGCTCTCTAGAAGATGGCTCCACGTGGCCAGGTCGCACCGGGGCCTCTCGCATTCGCGCTCCGCGCCCAAATGCCAACAGATGTGTCTAAGTGGTCACGCACGACACAGATACCAGGAATAGCCACGACGGACGTCTGATTTGCACTGCAGCCTGACGGGGTGGGTGCTCCTCCGCATATACATACGTATCGTCCACTACAATGGAGAAACATAATGGAGCTAATTGTGTCGGGGAGAAAGATGAGTCCTGTGAGTCGCACAACGATTCTCGAGGGTGCGGAAGGATGAGTAGACCCTGAAGCCTTGCCGGATTCGCCATTCAAACTGGTCGCGAGGGCAATGCATTTGACGCATCCTATTTCACACGCGAGCGAGCGAGCGTCTGAGAATGGACAGTGCACGTGGAGGAGGTCAGCAGCCTCAGAGTTGCATCCTCCTCCTACGACATTATGAAAGCAGTGTGCTTTGAAGACAGAAAGAGGGCGACACGCCATACACATCACTTTTCCCTCTGCGACAGCTGCGAGCCGCATGCGCATAAGTTCATGAATGGTCACAATGACAATCAGCCGAGTCCAAAAGCCAGGAGGACGTGTTGTCAAGATGACAGAACGATCAAGAGACGCCGATAATTGCAAAGATTGATGGCTCCGGCAGAATAGCTAAGCAAGCTATTGAGTTGCTCTGATCCGAGAACAACAGCGTCCGAGCACTAACCTAAAGCGCTCATGCAATGCATCCGAGAGTTAAACGCTGCGTGCGAAAGAGCGCAAGTGAGAGCCTGAAGAGAAAATTGAATGAGCACGTTTACAGCTAATGCAGAAGAGCCTCTCGCATACATCTCTCATAAATAGGGCATCGACATCGACACGGATCTCACCCATAAATGTGGACAGATACGTCACCACCAGTCAGAAGATGCACGGAGATAGCCAAGTCACAATATGAGGCCTAACTTGACGGAAGGAACAGCGTAGCTCTGACGTCCAACGTTTCTGCGAACAATTCAGGAACATCGCAGACTCACCATGCGCTCTTCTAGGCGGTCATACAACCCGCGTTCCTTCTGCTATCCTGAACTCCGGTAAGAGGGGGACTAGAATATCTTAGCGTTTTTGCGAGGGAAGCAGCTTTATGGACCTTTTCATTCGCACAATATAGGAGATGGGATGTCGACTCAGATAAATTCGGACCCGGCGGGCTATTGCGGCTTCGACGAGTGGTACGATAGCCATGGAAGTCGTCGCCGCAGCAACGACGAGAAATCTGGATAGCAATGCACGTTGGCAGTGCACAGACAGGGCATATGAAGGCAAGATCTTCTGGCGGTCTCTCTTTATCGACTATTCTCGAGGTGTTCAGAATCAATGAGCTGTCTATTTTCTATATATCTCGGGTATAGTCACACAACCATCGGACTTCTATCATCTGGATTACTTTTTCATATCGTATACTAAACGCGTAATTACGGACTAATACCGCACGTCATGATCGGAGGCACATACGTGAACAGCGGGACAAAGTCATTATGGAGTATCAGCGAACGTAGCAGACGTCCAAACGCCGGGTGACCAGGAACAGACTTGCGCGGGTGACTTACGATAGACACGGTCAACGAAGGGAGGGTATATCCTGTAAGCAGCAATGATGGGAACGAGATGAACGGCACCACAAGCAATTGCCTCTGTAAATACCGACTAGCGCAGGGCACGTCTGATGCATCCACGTCTATGCAGCGGCACGCGAGGGGTGGCGAGCGAGAGTCGCTCCGGTCTGCTGGGCTTGAATACTGCTGAAGCGCTGCAGCTCCTCGGGCTTGACATGGACCTTCCCGCGGAAGCCCATCCGGCGGGCAGTACGCCTGAGGAACGTGAGACGGTTCGAATAGAGCGACTCGTTGATGGACTGGACACGAGAAGTCGTACGCTCGATTGGCTCGCCAGTCGGACTCTTCTTGGTGGCCTCGGCGACCGCGCGGTCGTGACGCTGACGCAACTTCTTGATAATAGTGGCCTTCATAGCGAGCTTAATCCAGTCGAGGGGGATGAACCAGACAATATCCTGAAAGTACGATATGAGGGGCATTGTACACGATAACGAACCAGATCACGACTTACCCAAACCCAAACAATACCGACCCACCCACCAGAAATACCGTGGATGTCAGTGAAGCCCCAATTACCGTACACAGCGATAATAGTTGACACAAGCTGCGCCAAACAGAATGCACAGAACAGAGCGACGGAAGGACGCTCCATGAAGAAGAAACTGTGCGACCGCGTGACGAAGATAAGGGCTTGCGAGATGATGGCGACTTGTAGGTAGATAATCGAGTGCAGAACTCTATCGTTGGGATATGCGGGCATGTGATTACCATTTTCGTAAGTGACGCCGAACTTGCGGAAGAACCAGTCGGTCCTCATGCACATCGCAACAAGAGCAATCCTAGAGGAGGTAGACAATTAGCAATCAAGCAAGACTGACATTTGACACGTCTGCACGTACGTTGACAGGGTGAGGTACAAGCCGTACGCAATGGCGAACAAAAAGATCTCCGTGAGATCCCAGCTATCCGGATGCATCGAAGGCAAGACACGGTCAACCGAGAGGGTCATGATGGTACCATCGTTGAGCAGAGCAACGACCAGGATCATGAAAGGCGGGAAGTCGAACTTGAAGGCGAAGGCGAGAATGGCGAAGCAGACGACGATACGAATGGTGACGGCACAAGCGTAGATGGAATAGTTACGCATACGCTGGAAGATGACACGCGAACCACGGATGGCGTGCACGATGGTAGACAAACCAGGCTCCGTCAAGACGATATCAGCAGCACCACGAGCAGCGTCGGTGGCACCCTCGACGGCAATACCGACATTGGCACGGGACAGAGCAGGAGCGTCGTTGGCACCATCACCAGTCATAGCGCAAAGGTGACCAAGACCCTGAAGGCGCTTGACGATCTCATACTTGTGCTCGGGGAAGACACCAGCGAAACCGTCGGCGTCAAGGATCATCTCGTCAAGGTTGGCGTACTTCCCTCCAGCCTCTGGTCCCTCCTTCAGCACCTTGGCAGGGTACATGTGATCACCGAGGCCAAGACGACGACCAGTCTCTTTAGCGATAGCGAGTTGGTCACCAGTGACCATCTTGACACGGACACCGAGAGCCTGAGCATCGTCAATGGTCTGTTTGGTGTCAGAACGGGGAGGATCGAAAATCGGCAGGAGACCGATGAGCTCGAAACCGTTACCCTCGGCCTCGGGGTCCTGGCCCTCGACTTCCTCGTACGCAACAGCCAAAGCACGCAGACCACGAGCGGCGAACTCCTCAACGTCGGCCTCGAGACGGTTCTCGATGTCCTCGGTCTTGTTGCGCGTGCAAAGCTCGATGATGATACCGGTCATACCCTTCGTAACGCGCTTGAGCTTGCCGCTCGACTCCTCGAGGTATGTGATCTCGGTACGCTTGTCGACGGGGTTGAAGGGCTTGAAGTCCAGAAGCTTGATACCATCGCGTGCGCGCTTCGGATCACCAATGGCGCCAACGACGCAAGCATCGATGGCATCCTGGTTCTCAGTACGGGAAGCGTAAGCGGCGAGCAAAATGACATCCTCGGCGGAGAATGGGCCATAGGTACGGACAGTCTCGCGATCGATGGTAAGCTTGTTGGTGGTGAGCGTACCGGTCTTGTCAGAACACAGGATGGTGACGGCAGCCAGCTCCTCAATGGCAGTGATACGAGTGACGATAGCCTTGTACTTTGCGAGCTGCTGAGCACCGACAGCGAGCGTGACGGACAACACAGTGGGCATGGCAATTGGGATGCCGCCGATCAAAAGCACCAGGATATCGTTAAGACCGCGACGGTAATGGTAACGGAAGCCGGCGTATAGACAGAAGATCTCAGCGATGACGAAGATACCGATGGAAACGAGACAGAAGGTGCCAATCTTGGCAAGAACCTTCTGCAAGTGACCGGTGGAGTCATCGTCCTGGCCGACGAGCGATGCGGCACGACCGAAAAATGTGTTCGCACCAGTGGCGATGACGACACCTTCGGCCTCACCCTGTTTACAAGTAGAACCACTAAACGCAAAGTGAGCGATGGGCATGAGCATATACGTAAAATAAACGCTTACGAGAAACACTGGTCACCCAACTTCTTGCTAACGGGTAGGGACTCTCCAGTCAGCGCGGCCTGGTCGATAGAAATGTTGATAGCCTCCGTGAGACGACAGTCCGCAGGAACGACATCACCAATCTTGAAAGCGATCACATCACCAGGTACGAGGTCGGCCGAATCTACCTCGGCCCACGAGCCACCACGCTTAACCCTGGCCTTCGGGGCGAGAGAGTCCATGAGCGCCTTCACCGCGTTACCGGCGCCACGCTCCTCGTAGAAACCAATAGCCGAGTTGAGGAACAACAGAATGACGATACCGACGAAATCTTCCCAGTCCGGAGGTGAGTGCTCGCCGTTCGACAGCACAATGGCGACGAGTGCCGCGCCCTCCATGACCCAGGACAGCGGATTCCACATGAAACTGAGGAACTAAAAATAGAGCGCGTGTGAGGGATCGACGGAAGCGTCTATCAAAAGGAAGCACAATGACATACCTGAAGAAATGGATTCTGCTCCTCTGCCTCAAGCCTGTTAGGACCGAATATCTCCAGACGGCGTTGGGCCTCCTCAGGTGACAAACCAGCGTCGTCGCACTGGAGCAATTGGAAGACATCCTCGACGCCGATCGTTTCGAGGTCGACCTTCTCCTTGTCGTAGAGATCCTCCGCACGCAGCTGGATTTGCGACATATCAACATGAGCATCTGTAAAAGATAAGGGACACGGTCAGCGGATCGACGCGACGCGCCGCGCCAAAGGCGCTGAGAGGTAAATCACGTACGTGTGGCCTCAGTCTCTTCATGACCGAAATCCTTGTACTCTCTCTTCTTCTTCTCCTCGTGGGGCTGGTTTGTATCCTTAACTGGCTCCGTAGAGCCAGCCTCCTTCTCAACGTTGGACGACATGAGAATGAATGCACAAAAAAGTAGGGGGAGGAAGGGGGAGGAGCGGTAGGAGTAGGGAAAACCCTAACGGTGGCAAGCGCGGTTCGCTAACGCGAAAGAGACAACGCGGCGGGCAACACTTTGCGGTGCAGAGGTTGTGGAAGGGAGGATAAAACGCCAGCACCTGTAGCCGGCACCTTATATTCGTCTTGCCCGGTTCGACAAATCGCACGACCAAAGACTGCCAAACACAGCAGCCACCGGCCAGCCTCGGTGTGCCGAGCGGACTTGCCGCACGAAAATCTTGCCGAGATCAAGATCGGCGGAACTGTCGCCCGAACTGCCTTATGCGTGAATTCTGCGGCTCGTCCCTCCTCCGTTCCCTGTCGGGTACCGACGGATCTGTTCGCCCTCTTTCTCTTCCGCGCCGTCTGTCATAGCGTGCACGGCGTCGGGCGTGGCGCCGGGCGCAGGCGGGACGCTCATCCCCTCAGTCGACGGCCGAGAAGTGTCGCTCGCGCCGGGATTGTCTCGCCCTGTTCCGCCCCACTCGACATTAATAGTCTAGTGTGCATGAGGATGAAGCGAAGCCTCAGTGTTCTGGCATAGCGAATTCGATGCGTGGTCCAGTTGCCTTCAGTCAGTTGACATCCCGTCCAGAGCTTGTGCGTTACGGCGGATCCAACCTTCGTTCAGCATCCTTGTCTTGGCCGTCGGCGTAGCCGAATCAGCTTCGACTTCCTGGCATCGCTTGTATTGCGACCTTACCCCTTCAAGCCCCCTGTCATTTGCTTCGTCTGCGTTTCAAGACCCACGGCCCAACGTGCAGTTCCGCTTCTTATGCATGACGGCATCGACCTCGGGTGTGTGGACATTGCCTAGGCAGTGCTTTGAATCTCGCTCTGGTCAAACGGCATTCACTGAAACTGAATTGAACTCGTTGAAGTAGCTCGAACATCACGACTAGATCTGTGCGCACGGTACCGGAAACGTCTCCGCATGCACGGCCTTCCGACATCGATTATAACGTGCATTGTCATGCGACCCTCTAATTCCGCCTACGCATCACACCCCTGAGACTTGTTCTCCTTTGGTTCTCGCCCTGGCAGCCTGATCATCGTATCGAGGTCCATTGGCATCTTCTGCACGCGTTTGCCTTCCCAAATCCGAAGTGTCCGAAACGCTGCTATAGCCGCCGCAGCCGCCCAAGCCGCCCAAAGCAATTGCACAACGTCTGAGTCAAGGCAACCGAAGCCCTTGGATGCGCCTGAGTCTTGCCCTGCACGCTTCTTCTTCGACGTGGCCAGTGAAGATGGCTGGGCACCAACAACGCGCACTAAGGACGAGCACCACTGAGACGTTCTTCATCAGCGTATAGGCTGAGCCTTCTGAGAAGCGCAAATGCCGAGCCTTACGTTGCATTTCTCGTCCACAATGCCCTCGCCTGCAACATCGTTCCAACGGCAAAACCGCGGTGGCCGTTGCAGTCGAAGACATGCATTGCCCACCTGTTGTACCCTTACCATCCCGATGTTGACGAGTAGAATCCACATCGCTCGTATGTTGCGCACCATCTTGCATCAGCCGGGCTTGGGTGGGCTTTCCATCCTCGTCCGGGCCAAGCCCTTCCTCGCCTCTTATGCGGCGGACGGACTTGTACGATAAACGGCCGGCCCGCAGTCCGTGCCGCCAGCACGCCGATCTCTGAGATCCTGATCAATTTTGCTTAGGCATTACTGATTTCTCGTTCGTTTGCTCTTGATCAGTGTGTATCTCATCCAATAGCATGCGCATTTGATGACGACTTCGTACGAATTTCCAATACGTGTGCCTACGGCAAAGCGTCGGCAGGAACGCTCGCGGGCAGATCTCCCACAATCAAGGCAGAAACTGCCTAAGGCTTCGCAGCAACCGGTATGATTTATCATGTCTTAACATCCGATCGAAATGATCCAGAACAAGGGGATGAAAGCGCTGGAAGGAGAATTTGACAGGATGCCGTCGGAATCAGATCGGACGAACCTATTTCGGGCGCTCTTCATGCTGTAAGATTCGACCGGACGATCGTCCCTTAGCCGCGGGCATCCTGGATGCCCTGGGAGCGACTCCAGTATTACGTACGACTCCAGTAGAGCACTCTTCAATTGCTGCCATGTTATAACGTGCGGACCCCCGTGCGGTCATTTGACTGAACGCGTCCCCTTCACCGCTCTCAACCTTGCCGTGCCGTCCGTGAAGTATTTGCGGCTAACATTTCGGAGGGCTCCCTGATGAGCGCGATAAGCGAACCCGAACCGATGCACACACCTACATGCACCCCAAAAATACCAGCGCGCTCAACGCCCCCTCGCCAGCAAGTACAGAACAGCCTGTGTGTTCAGTTGCTCAAAACTTGAAAAGCACCCCGAAATACGCATTCGATGCCCGTCTACGAGGAAGAATCATCCGGACTTGGGACATTAGGCTAATGTCGTAACGGCGCTGTGGCTGTGGCTCCCGTGTCCGTCGTGCACGGAATCGTTCTTGCTAATCCTCGTTGCAGATGCATGGATTGCCGGCGGACAACATGGAGATCGCCCTCTGTACAGCGTAAGATCATACACGTGCAGAAGGAAGGGATACGCTCGAAGAACTGGTCGGACGAGCAGAAAAGGACAAAGAGGCCGACCCCGCCGACCCTCCGAGCGCCCCACAATGACATTCAATTCGTTATCCACGTTCGTTCCCCACAACACCTGTGCATTGAACACCGAGCACCGACCGCGGCCGACCGCGGGAGACGTATATAAGGCGTCCGTACACACGAGCAGCATCTCCCCATGGCACAACATCCCGAAGTCCCATCTCAGATGCACAGCCGCTGGGCGTTGCATCCTCCGAGGCCCACGCCATTGGTATGACGAGCATCAGATGACGCGTTTCACTTGTGTTTACCGACAATATACACGGCGTTGTGGGCCTACTCCTGTGGGACAGGCCGGGACCTTTGAATATTGAGGGTACGGTGCTTCGCCCTTACTCGTGAACATCCTAAAACTCAACGATGAGCACTAACAATCAATACCACCGCTGCATAATTGAAATATGAGAGGTGCGTGTCTGATGTCGATGTTCGATCATCGTCGCTTCAACATACGCGCCAAACCGTGTGATGAGCGCATAAAGGCTGCTGTATTATCAGCATATCAAGCTAACACAAAAATCCGCTCGCAACAAGAGGCGAAGAGCATAGCTGACCAACGCTTCCTACCTACCGAATAGTGCCCTGTAGAGCGCATGCAGCACGTCTCCGTGCTCAGTCCCCCCTGCACGCAGACTCTTTTTTTCACGGCGAGTGATGCGCCATCCGATGCATCGACCAGGTTACGGAGAGCCATTTCGAGCCGATAAAAGCCAGCACAGACAGATTACACAGCTAACATCGACTGCAACGCCGCATATATGCGTGTTGTTTGATCGCCGTCAGTCGCACTGAGCATGCCAATCACAGCTGACGCTGGACGCCACAACGAAGGGGAAGGCAGAAAGATGACACGCACAGATGATTTAACTCATTGCAGCTCGTGCTGTCCGCTGTGCAGAGTGGCACGCGACTTAGTGAGAGCCACGGCGGCCTTCAGCGATCGTCGGAAGTCGCCCCTACATTGTCGCAGTGTATGGTAAATGACCTAGGTGCTGGAACATTCGACATTGCATCCAGTCTAGGTTCTTCTTTAGCATGAAACGCAGGTCAAGCAATGAAGTCATGAAACGCAGAGCACGAACCTGACGCGGCTGTCACTGATGAGATCGTCGTCAACCATGGCGCTCGTCAGCTATCGGTGACTAGCATGTTGAACGTCGCGACGGGGGTTGAGCATGATTGTCTAACCAGAGTCGAATTGGGAGAGGAATGATACGAGCACCGAAAGCATGAATATGGACGCCTCCGCTGCCTATCATGCTACGCTCATCTTGAAGTCGCTGAGGAATTGCGCTATCGGTCAGTTCTGTCTTGCGACACCGTTTCTCGCCTTCGGACACTGGCAGGTGCTAAAATTGATCAAGTACGATGTTGTCCATCGGGTCGTATCCGTTGCGATGGCGCGATCCGAGAGATCTTATCAGCGAGGTACGTTGACACCGCTGACAGAGGTAGCCGTGTGGTCCTTTGAGGCATCCGGAAAAGCCGGTCGTTATCTCTGTGTTGTGGCAGCACATGGCAGCAGCGGCCGCTCACGTCGGGCACGGACTATAACCGGGCGACGTCCTACCGATTCCGAAGAAGAACTGCGCAGACGTCGGACGCCAAGCCTCGGGTCGAGGGTTGCCGGAGGGTTGCAGGGCGCGAACATCAGGATCAGGAAAGGAGCGGGACGATGGAGACAGGGCAGCGGAGAACGCATTGGAAGAGAGAGGACGCACCGAGTGAATTCTACGTGGCGGGATCGTGCGCGGCGATGTGCCTGGCATTGGCGCGCGAGTCCTCCCGGCCCTCGCCGCTGGGCGTGCGACCTTTCGGCGTCGGAACGGGAGGATGCGATTTGGCACCAAAGTAGGCCGGATTAGGCAAGATCCTGTAAACGATCGGGATGTCGGGGAGGCGTGATCGGGCGGATTCATAGGGCCGACGCCGCCGTCGCCTTACGGTACGCCTCCCGACGCTCTCTCTCCAGCGCTAAGCTCTCCGCCACTCCCTTCGCCCGCCTCGTCATGTGCGCTGCGTCTGGAATTGGCTGCTCCTATGTTCGTCTCGTGTCTCGTCGATGTGCTCTCGCCCAACCATTTAGTTCCGCCTGTCCTACAAATGTCGAGCGGGACTCTGCTTGCCTCGACTTTTGATTGCGTATCGCAGCTCGTCCAAGCGGATGTGGGCCGCGCGCACTACGCCAATGACGTTCTCGGAGCCTATCCTGTCCAATCACAAGGCCAACGTCAATAATCAAATTCATGCTCACCCCTCTCCGACCCAACAGCTTCACATCCTCCCCGAGCTTCAGCGCTCACTAGCACTGGTCAGATGCTCCTTGTACAGGTCAATTCTTCGTTTGATACTCAGTTTGACCGATCCATGCCGTACCATGAATGTGTGCATGATACCACGGTCAGTGATTGTTCCGAGACCCCCGTTCTTGCGGAGTTGCAGCGTATGCGCTGAGATGCCTCTCGTCTGTTCCAAATTTAACGCTGGCATGGCGTTTCATCAGACTCTGCATGCGAGTGCTGATCCCGACCTCGACTCCGCAAGCAGCAGATTGATCCTACGACTTCACCTGACCGGATTATCTCCAATTAATCCATCAGGCCTTCCATTTGTGTCTCTGTTTATCTGACATAACCCACGACAGGGTCGCTCACAGATCATTGCAAGTTGCCAGCCGTCTTGTCGCTTACTTCGTATTCCGTCCGTTCCTTCTCGGATAGCGGTAGAATAATGACCGAATAGCAGGTGGAGCATTGGACATGCCGTGAGTGACGGAGTTAGAGCGTATCTACGTCCCGCATCATATGGATCTTCGTCGGTGTGTCCTCCTCTTCCCTTCTCAAAGCTGCGCGATGCGATGCAATCCGGACGGTCTATCCTCTCTGAGGCAGACGAGACGAGAGCGATGGTGGAGCTGCAGCCTTTCATCGAGGTCTCCGCCGTTCGTCATCCTCCCTGTCCCCCACTCTCGGTCGACCCTCGTTGTATCAATAACCGAGGCCATATCGGAGATAAGCACAGGCTCCGCCGTGAATGTGACGCCCCACCCGTCTTCATCGATTTTGTTCGCCCTTAATGACACCGCAACAGAACGGTGATGCGGTGACCACCATCTCCTCCAGTCTCCAATCGTGGACGCCAAACCACGCGGGCCGCGTCTCTAATCAGGCCTAGGAGCAGTGCTAACGCCAACGTCACACAGAAGACGCCGAAAGGGGTCCTAACTATTGTGACGGTGAGAACACAGGATCTTCCATTTTGTGTATATCACATCCGGTAAAACTACGTGTTCGTATACAGGCTAGGAGTTACCGTCAACTCTCGAAGCGTCATCCCACATATCCAAGCGTACGCAAGTGAAGGCTTTTTTTTTCAGAACGTGCAGGAATCAAACGACGCTCGACGGGCACATCTCTCCTTTATCGTTGACGAACGTTGAAACGACAGCGCCTCGGGGCGGGGCCTGTCCATGTAGCTGAGAGGCTTACATTCGAAGACCTACATCTCACCTTCCGCGTCCTGCATGTCGTTCGCAGCCACCTCGTATAATTCAACTTCAATGGTCACGACGAAGCGCGGTCGCGGTCGCGGCGAATAAGCATGGCAAAGCAGACGTTCACATCAGCCTAGTTGAACGATCCCTGCGCTGGGGGTTCGGGGTTCTCAATTAGACGAGGTCGCCAACAGACTCGCGGCTATGCCCATATACATGGAAACTATCATCATCATTTGACAATGAGATGTAGATGTAATAAAAGTAACAAAACATTTTACAGGACAGGACGTCTCTCGCGTGCAACTCGCAAAACAATTGAGGTCCATGCGCTGTTATCATCAGCAGCTGGTCCATACAAAGATACATGAGCGATGGTCAGTCTGCGAAGATCGGTCAGGGGTAGAGATGCAAGCCTGACAAGCCACACCTCTACACAGACCTGAGAGACTCTATCGTGAGCTAACGCCGGTCATCATCATCACGACGTCGACGGTGTTCACGATGGCTCTCGGTGTAGAGTCTACTGCCATCGAGGGTGAGGAAACTGACGTAGAGTCATGACGCTGTCCCTGTCACCTGCCGGAAGAAACTGGCACTGAAGTTGGGATTATGAAACTCGAACTGATGAAAATACAGATGACGGGGACCTAGGCGATCGCGAGACTTGCAGAGCCATGTCGCCATCCGATGCGCCCATGGTGTATCCCCAGCGCCGCCAAGCCGGTTGATCTGGCGAGGTCTGCAGAGCAGGTTGAAGGCGTTCGCTGAACGGCGAATCACCACCTGTAACTTACTGGGCGGCGCTTCTATCGTGCCCCACCGTATGCGGCACACGTCCAGTAACATGAGCAGTGGAGAGAGATTTCACTGCTGCAGGACCATATCGGGACTGTCAGATGTAACGTCCAGCAATCAAATAACCCGTACGGAAGAAGCACCTGACAACGCGTCTGAAAGCCCTACTAGACATCTTCTGCCGCGAGCTATGAATTCAATATACTTTTGTGTTCGTCTAAGACGCGATAGTCCATGGGCACCAGGCGCATGTCGAAGTCATCGAGAGGGCCGTTCAGAAACGAACTTGTGCGACTGTAACTTTTGGGATCGACCAGCAAGTCGGACGGCAAATCGAATTCGTCAAGGGAATTTCACGATCGCACATGTTGATCAGCGTCCTTGATTTAAATCCATGGAAAGACATGTAGCCGAGTGGTAGAGAGCCAAACACAGCATGTGAGACTGCAGAGTCCGGGTGTGAGGAAGTCATCGTGAAGATAGTCGAGGATAGCGCCCCAAGGGGCAGCCTACCTGGGGAGGATGCCAGACCGAGTCGACATCCGACGTGAGTGCAGTATAATCGTAGAACAGTAAGAACAGAGCGAATGCCCCGACACGCGGGTGAAAGCTGGATGAGATGCGGCAGGATGTCGGAATCGTTATTGTATCCTGAAAAATCGGTGTATGATTGGCGATAATTCGACGTCTCATTGAGTGGTGCTCACGAGTCAGTGAGGACCCGCAGGGAGTGGTGATGTCTGCACAACCGCGGAGTTGCCACTTTTGGCACTTATGCGCGCGGATCCAGCAGCGCGTTCAATGTTTACAGGTATTGGAAGCGACCTACATACTGGCAAGTGCATGCCCCCTCCTAAAAGAGACACCGCTCGCGAAGATAATTTAGCCATCCATAGTTTTCAACCTCCATCCTGGACGATATGCTTTCATTGGCATAGCCTCGGAATCGAACGGCATCGTTTCCTTGCCAGCAGTCAACCAATTTTCCAGGATCCTGATTTCCTGGGATCGTAGTACTCAGCGTCGCTCAAATTGCATAGTGAGAGATAATTTCGTTCCCAGGGATCGTTTGAGCTGCGTAAGCACCGGAGTGATGAAGTCGGAAGAGATGCACCGCCACGTCGAGTGAACTTGCGTGCGCAGGTTGTTGACAAGTTGTCGTCCTTTCACTTACGCTTGGGGGCTGGAGCTTGGATGCGGCGTCGGACATCACACGTGTTCTCGCAATCACTCACCCAACTGTTGAGTCTTGTCGCACTGCACCACAGAGCTCTTTGTCAACGCGTTCTATTCCCTTGCCATCCATACATGTCCTCTGCCAGCCTGTTCCTTCTAGTCCCGGTCCCCGCGTCCTGGATCGTACAACTACAAGTCAGTTCTTTGCTCAGATCCTCAGTAGCACTCTGCGGGGAATTACCATCGTTCGGTCCTCAGCTGAGGCAAATGAAGCCATCATTAGATCGCAGACCGAGCGAGGAGAGCTTGGGACACGTACAATATGTCTTTGGTTCTTTCGAGAGGGTCTTGAGCCTTGGTATTCAGTTCTTGATTCTTGAACAAGAGGGTCTTGAGCCTCGGTATTCAGTTCTTGATTCTTGAACAAAACCGGGGCGTCTGCGGGTGAACGTGAATCAGAGGGATGTGGCGTGATTAGAATCAATGTAAGAACACCAGCCTTGATTTTTTCGACAATTTTGAGCTTTCAATCCAGGATCCGGGTCTCGAGGAGATGTAGGTCTCTGAGTGGCAAGTCAGTATTGAGTGCAACATACGGCGAAGATGGTCGAAATCGTTCCGCAGCACGAACCTTCTCTCCTTTCGAACGTCGTTATCTTCTCCGGCATAAGCAGCCGGTCAAGAGGCTGAGTGTCGTCCAGCACCCAAACGAAAGGCAAGCAATGGAGGTGAAAATGCATGTCTCTGCTGATTGTCAGGCGTCCCATGCAGGCAACGGGACATATGGCTCTGCTGATCATCGGGATTTCCGAGGTATTGAGTCTGCCTAATGAGCTCTATTCCTCACATCCACGTAGGGGAGCGCTTGAGCTGATGAAAGGCAATGCCGAAGAGGAGTATTGTCGCAGAATGAAAGCTGAGCACCGATTTATAGAAGCATTGTCGGATGTAAAGGATATGAGTATCGCTGGCACAGGTGAAGGGGGCCACCATCTATAGGGCCATCGATTTGAATCAATCCACAGCATCCAACCCGCAATGTGAGACAGTAACGATAAGTCCAGCCCGCGAGGATGCAGACCACGCCCTGGCATGGCATCAGACTGAACTTCGTACACGATGTGGTGCGAGCTCGTTTTGAAGGAAGCCATGCCTGAACAATCTGCTGCGCGGACTGAGGACAACGACTTGCAGTAGTTCATCGATGATATGCAGATACCGTATGTGGAAGTGGGTCAAGCACGAGCGAACGAAGAAGCGAGAGGATTATGGCACAATGTGAATACGGTGCCTCTTCGTGGGTGTGGTAAGCGAAGGGTAGTGCTTCAAGTCGACAGTGGTCCTCTCGCTGGACGATCTCTCGACGACTTTTTGTACCGTTCAAATGTGAAGAGATAGCGAAAAAGAATGCGGTTGATATTATTTTCAACTTCTCATGTGGCATTCCGCCTGAGTCTTGTAAATAATATTTAGAAGCCTGCTCCCGACAATGACTGCTAAATGCCAAAAAAAAAACAAAAAAAAAAAAACAATGACTGCAGTTCTGAGCTTGAGCAGCGAACCGGGTTTGTGTGTGGGCACCGCAACGCCTGAGGCTGAAAATGCCAGCCGTCTTTCGGGTTTCGCATTGCTGGACAGCCGTCCATCGGTCTGCAATGTCCATCAAAGTCGCAGACTGAAAGAGAAGAGATGCTTTGTGATCTCGTGGGCTTGTCCATCTTACGGTAAGACTACAAGAGACGATGAGCGTCCGTGTGCACAGCAGATTGTCTACATGTAAGTTGGACTTGCCATCGCAGCTGCGAGACCTCATCGATTCATCGCTATATCTTCTATCGACGGCACAGATGCGTCCATGCAGGCGAGAGGACAATACAGAGCATACGAGTCGCAAGTTGAATGGAGGGCAGTGGAGACTTTGATCGACCGGAGCTGCCTTGTGCGCGATTTCCTGTCACTTCGGAAGCACAAGTAAGCGAGTTTGGCGAGAAATGCATAAGGAGGTGAAGATTGAAAGATGCCATCGCGAGTATTCCATGTGCGCATGATGTTCGGAGAGCTAGCGAAGGGGCACTTCGGGATCGAACATGGCGGCAGGACGGCGGCGCGTCGCGGGTCGAGCAGAGTGTGTTTGCAGCAAGTCGCCAGGCGGTACATGGTAGGAAGTGGACAGAGTATATATGCAATGGTAAAGTATCAGAGCTCCGTCGACGTCGTTTCGAGTAGGCGTCGCCACCAAGTCGCCTCAGCCCTCGTGCGTGGCTGCTCGCATGCGAGCGGTGGCGCTACGAACTTTGTGGCGCATGATCTGCGCGGTGACCGGTGACCTCCGTGCTCCTCCTCCTCCTCCGTGCCACCAGCCGCCTCTGCTTGCTCAACAATTCGACGGTCGTCCCACATCTCGTAGAAACACTCAGAGAAGGATTGCTGAAGATCGACTGGATCTGTGCCGAAAGGTTTCTCTGCTCCTATCTTTATCGAGCTGGTTAATTTCCCTCGACAAACTTTGCGGTTGAAAGGTTCTCTGAGGTTGCTCGATGGCTTCCAGGATCCCATTTTCGAACCCATAACCAAGAAGAGGGCTGGCGTGAGGCACATGCGAGTGCTGAAAATCTCCGGTGTTGTCGACACGAGCGGAGGCGACTTGAACCTCTGCAACCACCGCGTACGGTGCAGCGGCCTGTACTACTCGCGCCTCCCAAGACAATGCTGCCTGGAGGGTTGACTCGATGTCTCATGGACAGCATGGGGAGTGTATGTTACTACGCGAGAGTCGTGAACGACAGTCTTCGACGTCGTTCGTTATCGAGACAGACAGAGGTATGTCCTGCTCGACCTGCATAGTCTCGCTCCTCTTTCAGAAAGGTATCTGCGCGGTTTGGATCTGATGAAAAAGGGTGGAGTGCGATGCGATTGTCCCTTCACATCGCATATCCGAATGTGGAGCTGAAGAGCATCTCTGTGACATGCTGTAGCGCGTCTCGTGCTGGCGCTGGATGCGAGGCAGACTGCCTCAAGCATCCTGCATCCGCGGCCTAACGTTGCCATATAAAAGGTGCTGTCCGAGCGTCATATTGCTCGCTTGGAGAGTGGTCTTGACGGACATCCTGTCTTGGGGGTTGGGATTTACTGTATGCCACATGGGATTTTGATGGTCCTTCATCTACTGTATCACCCACGGGGTCGATATGTGGGGATACACAATATACAAATTGAATCATCCATCATCTATAGACGAACGGGCCACAAACCGCATTGGGCGCTTGCTGTGACATCCTGTCACCCGTGACAATGTTGTTGGGTCCGTGCTCCCTTTCCTGCAGAGAGGTCGTTATGGGGCGAAATTTGTCCTAGGAAGCAGAATAATTAGTTGAGAGGCATAACTCAATGTCTCACATTGATATTCCGAGGCGTCCTATATGGAGTACCGCATTTCATGAGATGAAGAGGCCGATCGGCGATGGGTATCTGTGGATCGATATGTCGTTCATAACGGGTCGACGTCGGACGCGAGTTGAATCATCCATACAATATCTATGTTGGGCCCACAAAACTTGAGTTTAGATGTTGATCACCCGTGTGGTCCATTAGCTGCGCCCTCGGGACGCCAAGCGCACCGCTCACAGCAGCATTTGCACCCTCTAATTCCGCTGCCTTTGAATTTATTGATGGCTGATTTTCTTGCATTCTGCAGTGGACTCGACGCGTGTGTCGACCGTTCGAATTTTGAAGCCGCAGCAAGAGGTAGCAGGTGAAGATAAGCTGGCGCGCGACATTGTTCGCGGAAGCAAAGTCACCAGGGTTGCGGGGGAGCCGCGGGAACAAAATAAGGGCGTCGCATCGTCTGGCTGTGCGCCGCTTCAATACATGCCTTTCCCCGCGCGCAGAGACCAAGTCCGCTGCCCCTGCGTAATTCTCTGTTCTCGTTGGATGCTACGGAACGATGGATCCTCGACTGTCTACAGCCCATGGGCCGCTCCAACGCACTCATTACACTACTTCAGGGTACTAGTTGAAAGTCCCCCGCCGTCTCAGCACTCCCAATTGGCGGCCTTGAACACAGCTGCCGCAGCCACGTCATTTATCAGCTCCGTCTTGACTGGTGGCAACTCTGAGCTGCAGCCTATTTCTGTTCGCTTGACGGATTCGCACACTAGAGTACTGGATTCTGCGTCTGCTCTGCTATCGTTCAAGCTATCGAGAAGGGGATCTATTCTACTCGATGACAAAGCCGCTTCGTTTGTCCAGATAGTGCGTGTTTGCCTTGCTGACTCTGCCGTTGATTACTCGATCTTTCTTCCTAGGCGGCGGTTGACTATTCTAACGCTTAACGCTGGAAGCGCCCACCGCGCAGCTTCTGGTCAACGCCGTCGTCAATTCGGAGCTTTGAGTACCGCTTGTGGAGATCGAGACGGCTCCATCTTCAGCATCGTCTGGAGTTCAATGTTGTCGTGAGTTCGTGCACATACTTCTCTGATAGCTCGCAGAACGGAAGGATTCTCTCCTCTCCACCGTCATCGCTGGATTACTCCGAATAGTTCCTGTGAGTGTCCCTTCTGTCTTCTCCTCCGACGAACGCTAATCGATGCATATGTTCTACAATGAGTTGCAGTAGTCAACGGCTCATTGATAAGACACGCATTGTGGCGGGCTGGCCTCTGAACTCGACATTCAGGATCGTTCGATGTGCGACTTGCAGTTGGATGAGATCTGGAAGAGTGTCGCGTTAAGATCCGCAAGGTCGTGATGGATCCGTTAGTTGCAGTGTCTTCGAGAGGACGTTGGCACACAAAGTTTTATTATATTGTAAGCTGTGCAGTTTCTTTGCTTCCGTAACGATGCGCTCATTGTCGGCCCAGTTTGGGATCGTGGGTCCATACTGCTATCTTTGCTCTCGACTTTGGTGAATGATCTTCTTGCTTGCAAAAATATCTCTGCATTAGCGTTGCTTGCGTTCGCGTGCGGTATGCTGTCTTCATCCTATGTTATGACTTGCTAGACGTTAACGCGACTTGGGCTGCTTTTTCTGAGCTTGCTTGAGATATTGGGGAATTGAATGTCTTCCTCACGCAATGGAGATCCTCGCATGGATCGATGAGGCGTTCATTTTTTTTAACCTAAAGTGCTGATGCTTTGCAAGGTCTAATGCGTCGGTAGACACATTACCGCTTCGGTCTGGTCTTCATGTATGCTTCGCGTCAAACGTTCCAACGCCGTGGACATTGCAGTGCTGGTGACATTTTCGAACAGTGATCGTTGTGAGCATCTTCTTGCTCTGCCGCAATGCCTTCTACTTGCACGCACAGCGAGACCGGTTTGCTTGATGATCTTGAGCGTTGTAACGAACTCGCACAAATTCGGTGCAGTCACGCTATCTCGGTGCAATGCTATCTATTTCTCTGCCATCGCTTGCTCCCAATTCAAGTACATACTGAAAGATCGCAGGGCAATCTATAATACTGGATCCTCGACGCTAACGACGTGCTATCATGTTGAGCTCTCGATACACTCGGCAGCGGGCTAAGTAGAACCGAGAATAGGTTCAACTTCAAGGCTAATCACATTTTATGAACTTGAACTTACCGTGGGACTCCTTGTACAGCCAATGAGTCGTCGGTACTGTCTTGTGCAAGATCATCGAGGCTAGCTAAACCATGGCCCTATGTTCATGGCAATCTAGCATTGCGCGACAGTCATGGAAGATGTTTGTGCACTAGCGGCTCATTCGCAAGCAGAAGAGTCCAAATTATTGGTGGAATGGGATGTTCGAGACATTCGCCTCCGAGCCCGAGAGAGAGGACACCATTACAGAATAGAGGAACAATGTGAAAATCAGAGCAATTTACTGGAGTTGAACGCCGGATAAATGTATACTGGGGAGAGAAGAAACTTGGAAAAGATCGAGGGCAATGCAAACTGAGAAATGCAACTGGCCCAGGAAATCGGCCAAGAAAGGTCAAAAGAGCGCGTCGCGACGCGCCGTAAGAGTCACGTGAAATAGAAATGAGATCACGGGGCACTATTCACGTGCAGCCACAGTGGCTACGCCACGAGGCTACGAGACGGTAGGATTTTTCTCACGCTGCGATTGGGCTTTTCACGGAACAAGTGATTTGCGTTTACCATCATGGTAGTCTTGTTTATAAGGTAGTAGATTCGATGCCGACATGGCCCGCTACGAGTCATGGACTTGTCGGCGATGTTTCACGAGATGTATGGTGGCATACTGGAAGAAGCGATGCTGGATGGGTTGATCGAGCAGGTGCAGAAGTTTGTGTTCTTCCACCGACAGAGCGCTACCTTCTTTTCAAAGAGGTGGGCATCGATGTTTTTGGGAGATGGGAAAGCCAAATTGACAATTCACCTAGACGTTAGAGATGCGTTCCTGAAGCATATCTATTACCGTCGTCTAACCCACTGCTCGGTGCAATTCCATCTTCCGGTACCGCGATTTGATCGCCGATGCTCCGAATCATCTTGATACCGTGAGCCAGATTTATCCAGTCTTTGTACTCATAGTCACGATGACGAAATTCTGGCAACATAAGAGAGAATATGCTCTTCGGCAGTACTCTGCTGTGGCACCACGTGAACGGACGGCACACCGGCGCTAACATGGCCGGCACAGATCTGTGGCGGCCACATGGTCGACATGCAAAAGTGGCCTCCAGTCCATGCCTTTGATTGGACACCCAAATCGCGCTAATGGAGTACCTGCGTGTTTTTCAAGAGCCGCATCGTGTCGACGTCTCAGATTCTTTTCATCTCATTGTCTCTTCAGGTTGCGCTATTGTACAGATGGCATCCTACAATGCACCGCTAGGACAAGTGGATAGTGGATGCATATGATACCAGAACCTGTACTACAATGTATAGATATAACTGAGAATGAATGTGGGAATACATTTTGCTTCTGAACGGAAATGAAAAATCAAATCAGTTTGATGTTGTTGTGTGGCCACTGCCAGATTGGGAGCGCTTATGGCCACTCAAGCACGTGGCACTGTGGCAATCTGTTCGTCGTTCGGGATCGCACTATAAATGAGGCCAAGGCCACCGAGTGCTCAGATCATGAGCGGCGTTTAATCCCAGGCCTCTGGCAAGGTGCGACATTCCTCTTAAAAGCAGCAACCACTAAATCAGACGTATTCGCGTACAGAACGCGGTAGCTAGCCCCGAACTCTCGTCCCTCGCTCACTCTATCAGCCCTCCACTTACTACGCACAGATGGCATCTATAAATCCTACAGATCCATATTATACTCCCACATCCTTGCTACAGATTCCCAATCAGGGCCCCAGCTATCCCAACTCGCCAGCCTATGGCAATCCATCGCAATCCATGGCGCAGCCAGCACACATTCCTCCAACGGAGCGACCTTGGATATACCCTCATTCTTTGGCGCAGAGTTATCACTCCAGTGCCGTGCCTCAGTTACTAAAATCTCCCGAGCAGAGTCTTGGCCTTGTCGACGCGCCAACTGACCCCGGAAAATTGCCATTATCCATGACACCCAGTCAGTCAGCACGGATCTCTCCAGAGCAGCCGCCTTGGGTTTGGGGAGATCATCCGCCTTGGGGAGAGCAGCCTCCTCCCTTGCTGAATGGCCCTAGTCTTCATTTGGTGTTGAAGTCCCTGCGGGCTCCTTTCCCACTCTACTATGACTATAGCGTGTTCATGGAAGTCGACCCACCGCCCGCGTCCTTCCGTCTCCCACAGGAGATTCACGACGCGATCTTAGACCATCTGCATGCCGATTTCCTCACGCTCAAGGTCTGCAGTCTTGTCTGCCGCGCGTGGCTGCCGACGACGAGACTGCATCTCTTTCACTCCATACGCCTCGCGGACATGAGTCAGTTCTGCTACTTTTCTCACCTCCTGAACGTAATGGGCGAGGAGACCTACCGGCTCGTGAACTTTTGTAGATCCGTACGCGCGCTGGAGGTCGTCGGCAACGTGTTCGGCAATATGAACATGCTCGAGGTCGGGCATTCCCTGTCACGGCTCGAGCAGGTGCACCATCTGACACTGAATAGCTTCAATCCGACAACGTGGATCTCGGATGATTTTTTGAACGCGCTGGCCATCACGTTTCCGGGCGTCACGATGCTGAAACTGCTGGACGTCGAGTCGCGTGCCACGCACATATTCTCGCATTCACTCTATCTCTTTCCGAAGCTCTCTAGTATCCACGTCATCAACCGGGACAGATATGGAAAACATGTGTTAGTCCCACCTAGGGAGGAGCTGATTCCTGATGTCAGCTTGCTGCAAAATAGCGTGATTACGATCGATACGCTGGAGCTGGGGGCATCGACTTACATGCTTCTGTTCATGAAGCAGCTCTCCCGCGCTCCATTCCGGCTTAACGTGCGAAGGCTGTCCGTGTTGTGGACCGATGACAGATCCCAGAACATGTTTTCGCTTCTCCACGGTTTCTTCAAAGCGATCGTGGGGCCGTCGCTGGAATACCTGCACATTGCCGTCTCCGGCTTTGACCGGACTCAGCTTGGTGAGTGGCACTCTACGCTAGGAAGTCGTCTCTGACTCCAGATATCAAACACTCGTCAGATGGTCTCGTGGTTGAGCTCAACGCACTGCCACTTGCCAATCTACGCACGTTCATACTCGATGAGGTGTATCTAAACCCGCCGCTCGTCGCAATGCAGAACAATATCCTCGTCATCAAAACGCTGATGCTCCTCGAGCAGAACTGTCCTACCTTGGAGCACTTCGAGCTGCGTCTCGTACTAGATCAGACAGTCCCGGCTTCCAGGGGCGTCTACACGCTGGCTGGGCTCTTCCTCTTCGGTTCGTTCTCGCCTGACAATGGGCCCAAGCCCATAGGGTTGACGTCCCTCGACGGGCTCCGGTGGAATCTGATCGATCTCGCGCTCGAACGCTTGGCTGGGCGATGCCCGAAGTTCGACGTCACGTTTGCGCTGCGCGCGGTTAACATTGACGTGTTTTATGGGGACATGGCTGCCGATGCTGCACTGGCGATTGAGCATGCGATCACGAGCCACTTGCGTTCTTCTTACGGTCATAAGGCGCGCTCTTCGTATGCGCTGGACCCGACCGAGCACAGTTTTGAGGTATTGATGGATGTTGTATTCCTGCGCAAGGGCAGGTGAAAGTCGTCCGTGCTCCAGAACGTGTATAGAGCCTGGGAATGTTTCCCTCTTCCTTTTCATGTCCTCGACGGTGTACGCAACAGGCTGAGTTGATTTCGTTAGGCATCGGATTTATGTATGTAACAATAGTGTATAGAGGTTCTCGGAAGTTGGCAGAACATACGCGCGAACTCGACACTTCTTCGTTGAGAGTTTGACATTGCAGCCGTAGATGCTTTGTTGGTGTGAAATGTGGAATACAAGCGACGGAATGGCACATGAGCCTTGACTAGTACGCACCACTGTCACCTTCTGGGTGTCATTTGCTAATTCCAATTCTGTTTCCTGGCCTGTTCATGAATGGTCGAGGATATGGTGAGAACTTTGAACTGCGTGCCATACCGTACATGATGCATCGACATTGACTTCGAACAGGCGCGAATTTCTTCTCCCCCTTCACATCATACACTGCAGACATGAAGCAATTTGCGCATGTGGCAAATGCTTAGCAAATGTTGACAGGTTTTTTGCCTTTGTGATCTCAATTTGCTATGGTTCCTTCCCACATTCCATATTAAGTATTTGCATATAATATGTTAGAGGCAGAAATTTAAAATCGTATATTTTAAGAAATGACACCATCTTCAAACTCACCAAATACATTTAGAATTTGAGCGCTGTTGAATGTAATTGTACATTTTTGAATTCCAAACCATCACATATATAAAATACCCAGTAGCAGACAAAGGTGTAATTATGCCTACATTCTACTTCCCTACTGAAGTCATTCTAACCAAGATTACTAGAATGAAAGTCTTTCGTAATTACACCTTCATCTGCTACTGGGTATTTTATACATGTGATGGTTTGGAATTCAAAAATGTATGATTACATTCAACAGCACTCAAATTCTAAATGTATTTGGTGAGTTTGAAAATGGTGTCATTTCTTAAAATATATGATTTAAATTTCTGCCTCCAACATATTATATGCAAATACTTAATACGGAATGTGGGAAGGAACCATAGCAAATTGAGATCACAAAGGCAAAAAACCTGTTGACATTTGCTAAGCATTTGCCACGTGTGCAAATCGCTTCATGTCTGCGGTGATAATATTATCTCAAGTTTCAGGCCCCGGCATGATTCGTGAAGCCTCACGTTGACACGTGTTGCTCGGGCCACCCTGAGTCTTTGGATGGTCTTGCCAACAATGCATCTGCCGTGGCCCATCGCTGTCCAGAAGAGCTCGGCGGACAATCTATAAATAAATTGAGTTGGTTGAATCGGTGGGTTCTCGGTTTCTTGGTTGCTGAGATCGGAAGAGAGCTCTTCAGCCACAGCGAGTTTAATTACCAAGTCTTAATCTATATCATTTTACTAAATATGCAGTTCATGGCTTCGAATCTTCCTTCAACAACTTTGCGAACCAGCTATTCAACCTTGGCACGCATCTGAAACTTCAATGTTGGGGCGCATTGCAATGGCGTTCGCCGTTCTTCGTCGCTGAGCAGAACCTTAAGCTTTACTGTGGTGCATGTCTCGCGTTGTGAGCCAGTGCACTGTTGTCTTGAGAAGAGTTCAACAGCTGAATTATCAATAATCTCGTTGCTGCGTCAGTTGATGTCTTCTAATACACTACCAAATCTAACGTCTAACAGTTGCACAATTGCTGCTATGCAGATTTTTTGCGTCTAGCTCAGAACTGTTGCTTCAACCCGGCCACACCCTTCCTGCCGACACCTCCTCGCCCGACGAAGCCCCACTCAATCTGGTGCGGGACGGTGATCGTCACACCCAGATCCTCCGCAAACGCCCAGACGGCCCCGGGGTTCTTCTGGAACTGGCGTCCGACAAAGACGACGTCTGCCGCGCCCTGCGCAAGACATCGCGTCAGCATCCACGGCCCAGTTTCAGAAGCGTGCACTCGTCCCTCACCTGGTCGAGCACACTCTGCGCGTCGTTCCCGTCCGTGATCGAGCCCACGGCACTGACGAGGATCTTGTCGCCGTGTGCGCGCCTGACTGCTTCGGAGAACGGAACCTGCATGAGCGGTTTAAGCTTGAGCCTCTGCGCGGCATGGACGCCGCCGCTGGAGACGTCGAGCAAGTCGACGCCGTGCTCGGCGAGGGTGGGCGCGAGCCGAACGGTGTCCTCGATGCCCCAATGCTCATTCGGATAGACCTCCTCGAGCCAGTCTGTGGCGGAAACACTACATGGGAAATGTCAGGATGGAGAGAATCAGCACAGAAGAGACCAATATACTCACCAGACGAAGAGAGGCATTTCGGGAGTATGATCGCACGCAAGGCATCAACGATCTCAATCAGCAGCCGGATCCGATTCTCAAAGCTTCCGCCATACTCGTCCGTGCGCCTGTTCGCTTGCGGGTTGAGAAACTCGCTGATCAGGTACCCGTGCGCGCATGGATCTCGATGACGTCGCGCGCTCAGGGCGCCATCCGCGAACGCATGCACGACGCGCTTGACGCCGTCATGCGAAAGCTCCTTCGGCTTCGGGAAGTGTTCGTTGTACGGGATGTCGTTCAGACCCCAGACGTTGTCCGGCCAGCTGCCGTCGATCTCGGGCGCAGCGAGTGTAGAATGCAGCCATGGTGCGACCGTGGATGCCTTGCGCCCCCCGTGAGCGAGTTGGTCGGCGATCTTCTGGTTCTGGGAGTGGGCGAACTGGACGATCTCCTTCCAGGGCTGGATGTGCTCGTCGGACCAGATTCCGACGTCTTGTGGAGTGATACGGCCTTCTGGGACGACTGCGGTCGCCTCAACCACGGTCAAGCCGGGACCGCAGTGCCCGCAGGCGGATTCTGCGCGGGGATGAAGTAGGGAACATTGGGAGCGGGCGCGTTGACGATGAGTTCGCTGGCCATCTCTTGGGGAAGTATGAGTATTCGTCGTGCTGGGTACTGGCAGGGCCTTTATAATGGAGAAAATCCTCGCGTAGGAAGGCTCCTGGACTTGCATTACTCAGACGGTTTCGAGCGGGATGAAGTATTCTAAAGGGGACATCGCTGGATCACTAAGCAAATGACGGGTGTGATTGCTCAGCGAGCCTTCGGCGATGAAGCTTTTCCAGGAAAGTATCGTAATTCGGAAGCACTATGATACCAGCTAGGCGACAGTGGCCTCGATGACATTGTGAGCCAGAGCCGGTGGGTGTCATTACAGTGGGGTACTTCTTCGAGCCAGCCACGGTGAAGTTCAGTCCAAGCGCGAGAAACGAGCACTAGGACGAACGCTTGCTTACTAAGCAGGCAAAAGCGGAAGAGACGCGCTCACCTGACGTACGCGCGCTACGCCTCTTCCTCATCGCCACGATATTCGCTACCAATGCTGTGTAGTGCATTCTTTACCCACCCTCCCAACTCCTTGTTTTCTCAGCATGTAGTGGTGGTGTAGTCGTGCCTCCCTCGTCAGGCAGCTACGCAGCCGCTGTACGCTCGAGAGTTTCGGCCTAAACGCGCTCGGAAGCCCTGGATCGTCAGCCAGCGAATCAGGAGCCTGGCCACAGTTGCCAGGACCCCGGACACTGGCTGTCCAGACCCCGAGCACCGCTCCTTGCGTGGATGCACAAACCACGCGTTCGCCCAGCCGAAACCTCTCCTCCCACACCACTGACGTAGTTTCCCACGCTGTCCTATTCACTCTTCTCCACATCAGTGACTGCCAAGCTTAGGAAGCGGAGACGAGTGTGCTCGAACGAGGACGAGAGTTCTCTGCTCATGAAAGTCGGAACAACGCGAGGCGGACACGAGGCGGTGGCCACGCGTAAACAAATTGAGTTGCTTGAAATGGCAGGTCCTTCGCTTAGCGCTCAGCCACAGCGAGCTTACTGGCCGAGTCTCTATCTATATCATTTTTTTACTTGGTTCAACCTTCAGCTTCAAGTATCGCGATACATACTTTCAGATTCTCGAAAACACCGAAGGCTTATAGTATGGCACCTTTGATCAAGCGCTTGCGCTATTGCGTGAGCTCCGAGATTTCTGGACCTGGCAATTGGAGCACAAATTAAGACAGATGGGCGCAACTTGGTGAATCATACAGGCAAAAACCATCCCTGGTTCTTCTCGGTAGCTTTGGAGAACTGACATGTTCGTCATATTTAGCCTCCACTGCGGCCCCTTTTGCCGAAAGTCATGTAGAGTGCATTCACGCATGAATTTTGTCGACGGACGTAGTCCAGCCGCGTGAGCATGCTTCCACGGGCCAGACATCTGAGCCCGGAATTGTTGAGCATTCAGGCCTCAGGCTGCAAGCCGCGCTTCATCAGCGATCCATCGTGGTCGAAGAAGCACTCGACCTTCTGTTTGGACCTGGATCAGAGGCTCATACCGTCTATCGTTTCACTGCGGGTCTACCCATCGAATTGACACGACTGACATTGATTTGGTTGATCAGCGAGGATTAGTCTTGCTGGAAGGTCATTTGCAATTAATAGACGTCCAGTCACGAGTGGCACGAATTTCATGCTGAATGGTCGGTCTGTGGCGGAAGGAACATGATTGGGACACATATACAATTTACGATTGATCCTTCATTCGTCCGTAAGCTTAACATGTCATCCAGTACGGAGCGGCGTGCCATTCTATGCGAAGCTCGACGACTCGGTCACCACGTTGTCAAGCTCACCCACTGAGCCCTCCATGACCTCCTCTTCATGAGCAAAAGCCAGATCCTGTGGCGCGTGAGAGAACGTCCCTTCGCTCTCGAGTGCAGCTGCGGAGGCTTCGCGCAGGTCGAGTGCTAGCCGAGACAGTAACACCGAAGTGAGACTATCGCGTGTGCTCAGTCCGAGCTGCTTCTAGTATAATCGAGGCGCCACTCACATTGCTGTCCAACTCTGCCAGATATCGATGAACTGTACGAGAAAAAAGAGTCCATAACTTGACATAAAGATGGCAAATGCATCCCATACCTCAATCATGCGACCTGTTGCAATCCCGATGACGTTGATGACACAGAGGAATCTGAGCACCAGCGACATGAGCTTACATTGGCTTCTCAAATGCTGCTACGTACGCAAAGCATATCGTGGCTGAATGAACACAACGGCATGTGCATTAGCAGGACACAACGGCCCGGTATATCTGCAGACACGTACTATCCCTCAACAATATATCCTGCAAGGATGGCCCAAGGGGTGATTTGATGAATCCTGAATCTGTCTTCCGAGCGGTTTTCATGCATGTCAACGTCAATACCAAGCCATCAGACACGAGCGAGGCAGCTCTTGCAGAGATCATCACTGTAGCGAACACGATTGGGGAATGCAATTCAGACGTTCGTCAGAATGTCACACGCACAACTGAGCACACGTTAGAATAATCAACATCAACTGTAAAGGTTACGAGCACACACGTTTCATAGGACGAATAGCTGCCTATGATGCTAAAGGTACACGCTTGAAAACCCATGACCACATAAAGTTCTGGCGACGTTACCACGAAAATATACTGCATAGAGACATTGATGTTAGCTGAGCATAAATGCAAGCATTTGACAGGTCTCACGATGGAGATGACTGGATTTATCATTCCAGACAAGAGAACTAGCCCGAACATCCATTTGTTGCAACCGAATATGGCATATACCCGTAATGCCGCAAAAACTGTCCAAATTATGAAATTCTTCTTCATGTACCAGTCGCAAAACAAACGTACTTGTAGCACTGACCAGAACAATTATATCTAATACCATTTGCACACGCAAGACGATGCCGCAGCTGAAAAAGGGACCGATGGAAAGCGTGAGCCGGGCGCAGTGATATACCAATGATTGACATCTGCTCACGTCTGTGGGGTGAGTCAGTCAAACATCACATGCATGGAAGCACCGAATGCCTATGTAAACTTACATAAATAGTTTGCCAACTTGTCCATGCAATCCGAGTAAGCAATACGATGATTGTATTGGATAGCGCGGCATATCTGGACGCGTAATATAGTGAAGTTGCAAGTGAGAGGTCGGCCTTCCATATGAATTTGATTTCACGATCCAATGTCAGGATGTAGTCGTAGCAACATAGCACTGCATTGCGTCAAGTATGGGCATGCCAACGAAAGTGTGATGAGAACAGCAAGACGAACGTACCTGTCACCGAAAAAAAGAAATAATTCTCAAAAATCAGAAACACCTGCACATAACTGCGTCACCATCAGCGTGGCCCGCTATAGACTATAATGAGTCTCATACAGAAGTCCAGGATCTTTTGATGACATGTTGAAGAAGAGGAGAGGCCACTAGCCTGCGGTGGTTGGTGATTCCTCGGCACAGCTGAAGGAGCCTGGATTGAGGTCGGGCGAGCAGTGAAAACGACGAGGACTGTGACAACGAAGAGGGAATAAGCAGGAGCCAGCTCTGGGGAATTAGAGCTACACAGCTGAACTATATACCTGCGGAGACAGCTGATGCATCGATGAGCCAGTGTCGAGGAACAGATCTCCCACGGTGCTGTAACTATCGAGCAGCTAGAGAAGGCTCTGTCTGCATCAGAGCCTCCTAAGGCTATTAGCGCATTGAACAGTCTATTTTCGAGTATGGAATGCTCGTAAGTTGAACGCCACATTGGACCTATGATGACCAACCGAGGCGCGGTACTACCGAATGCATCACGGTTGCACATCTGAGAAAGAGCGTCAAACAGAAATATCGTTACACCTGACTACTCGTCGGACTTATCATGATTTCTGCATTGATGCTGACTGGGATCTGCGTACCCGACCTAGGCAGTTTTGAAAGCTTGGCTGATGAGGCACTGGTAATAAACGTAGTACCGACTACCCGCGTGTCCCTTCGGATAGGGCATTATCGATACAGATTGCAATCTACGACTTCACTGCGCACGGTTTACTATCAAGACACTATAGGACTCTTACGGTTATCCTTCAACGTCAAGCACTGGACTGAAATCGCCGAAACCGCGAGCTAGCGACAACCAACTTAGATAATCAGCATAAGACTTGACGGCGAAGAATCGTAGCACACACTTCCAGAATCCAGATGAGTTGACGTGGCATGAGCCGGAAGTCCGCGGAGAGCGCTAGTCACTCACTGCAGTGTGGTCTCGTATCCAGAAAAGGGCCTGTCTGGATACGAGATCAGGCAGCGGAGGCTGTGGCGCCAACAAAGAAGATGAGCCGGATGATGCTGTACCCCCTTTATGCTGCCACAGTAACGTTAATGAACACAGAACAATGATAGATTGTGGACTTGGCTGCGCTGTGCGTTTCATCATCCACCCTCCCGCGCCCTCTTTCCCGCGTTGAAGACTGTCTTTGATGCTCATCAACTTCTTGAATCTTAGGAGACTTTTATTCGTAGCGTACTCGCGAGCTCAAAGATTTCTATACTTGACGAATGAGAAAATGAAGATGGTTGGAACATTTTCCGTGGAGCTATACAGGCAAGGGCCGCTCCCTCTTGGGTGGAATGAACATGTTTGGGACATCCATGCAGTCTGCAGTTGATGCTTTCCTCTTTCATTTGATCGAACCCGTCACTTGGTACTGAGTGGTGCGACATTCTGTGCGAAGCTCGACGATTCGGTCACCATGCTTTCATGCTCACCCATCGAGGTCTCTATAACATCCTCTTCATGGGCAAAATCTAGATCACATGGCGCGTGAGAGACTGTCCCTTCGCTCTCGAGCCCAGCTGCAGAGGCTTCGCGGAGGTCAAGCGCTAGCCGAGACAGTAACACCGAAGTGAGACTATCAGTGCGTGTGCTCAGTCCGAGGTGCTTGTAATATAATCGAGGCGCCACTCACATTGCTGCCCAAGTCTGCCAGATATCGATTGAACTAGACAAAAAAAGAGATCATAATTTGACATACAGACATTAAGTGCGTCCCATACCTCGGTCAAGCAACCCGTCGCAATCCCAATGACGTTGATTAGACGTTGATGACACAGAGAAATCTGAGCACCGGCGACATGAGCTTACATTTGCTTCTCAAATGCTACTACGTACGCGAAGCATAGCGTGGCTGAAGGAACACAACGGCATGTGCATTAGCAGTATACAACGGCGGATATCTGCAGAGACGTACCGTCCCTCAACAATATATACCGCAAGGATGACCCAAGGGGCAATTTTATGAATCTTCAGTCTCCCTTCCAAACGGTTTTCATGCATGTCCATTGTCAACGTTAAGACCAAACCATCAGACACGAGTGAGGCGGCTGTTGCAGCCATCATCACTGTAGCGTATACGATTAAGATATGCGATTCAGATGTTCGTGAGAATGTCATGCGCACAACTAAGCGCATGTTAGAATAATCAATATCGACTGTAAAGATTGCGGGCACACACCTTTCAAATAATGTATAATTGCCGACAATCTGAAAGGCACACGCTTAGAAATGCATGACCGCACGAGGGGCTGGCTTCGATAGCACGAAGATATACTATAGAGCCATTTTAATTAGCTGAGCATAAAATGCAAGCATTCGACACGTTTACACGGAGATGACTAGAGCGATCATTGCGGACAAGAGAACCAAGCCGAATAGCCATTTGTTGCAAGGAAGATGCTATATACCCGTAATGCCGCAAAAACTGTCCGAGTTGTGAAATCCCTCTTCATGCGCCAATCGCAAATATACATACTTGTAGCACTGACCAGAACAATTATATCTAATACCATTTGCACATGCAAGCCGCAGCTGAAGAGGGGACCGATGGGAAGCGCGAGCCGGGCGCGGTAATGTACCAATGATTGGCATCTGCTCACGTTCGGTCAGCCATAACATGCATGAAAGAACCGAATACCTCCGGAAACTCACCGAAATAGATTGCCAACTTGTCCATGCAATCTGAGTAAGCAATATCATGATTGTATTGAATAGCGCGGTATATCTGAAAGCGTAGTAAAGTGAAGTTGCAAACGAGAGGTCGGCCTTCCATATAAACTTGATTTCACGGTCCCATGTCAGGATGTAGTCGTAGCAACGTAGCACTGCAATACGTCAAATATGAGCAAGCCAACGAAAGTATGATAGAAACAGCAAGACGAGCGTACCGGTCACCGAAAAAACAGTTCTTGAAGAACAGATATACCTCCACAGAACTGCACAACCATGGCCGCGGCCGGCTATAGACTATGGTGAGTCTCCTACAGAAGCGCAGTTTCTTCTGGTGACATGTCTAAGAAGGTAGTAGTTGATTCCTCGGCACAGCTGAAGGAACCTGGATAAAATCGGGGGAGAAGTGAGAACGACGAGGACTGCGACCACGACTCAGACAGCGGGAGCCAACACTTGGGGGGAGTGAGGGAGGGAGGTAGAAGCACGAAGCTAAAGACAAGCTGGCGAAAGCGGTCACGCCATGGAGGAATCATGGCAGCTGCAGCTCGGTAAAGCTGTATATGTATGGGGAGTGCTCAGGTGCTATGCCAGTAGTGCCAAAATTGTATTCCGTGTCGGGTTTGAAGGCGGCCAGATATTAAAGTATGTACCTGCAGAGACAGCTGATGAGCTGTCGAGGGACAGATCTCCTACAGATCTCCCATCGGATGCTGTGGCTACCGAGCAGGCTCTGTCTGCATCAGAGCCGCCCTAAAGCCATAGAACCAAGCGACCTATCGGCGAAGTTGTTCTCTAATGCTGTGCTTAACTAGATTTAATCGCTTAATGCTGTGCAGCAGCGACCAGGTCCACAGCATGTCGACAATGCCACAAGGCGGGATCCGAGCCAATACCGAGTTTTCTTACTAGATTGGCGCAGAAGTATGGACTGGCAGGCTATCTTATTAGTAAGTGTCGTTATACTGGTAGAACAAACAGTTGTTGGCTTCAGCGTGGGCTCGGGGGTACCGGGTGCGAGCAATGTGCGGTGGCACCGCCTGGGAACTAGAGGAGTTCCAGTTCCCACCGCCACCACTTCGAATTCCTCATGAACGGCGCAGACGATTGCCGCGCACATAGATGCTTCACGTCTTTAATATTCTGCTGCAATCTGCATCTAACAGCAAACGTCCATGTGGCCCTTCGTTCGCGGTGAAACACTAGTAATACCGGATTACAAGCGACCACAGCAGGCTGCTCTTCTCTCCGCTGCAGAACAAAGTACAACAGCGTCCCAAGAGCACGGTTGTGATGCATTCTTGCAGGCCTCCGGTGAGTCCAGGTCATCCTCAATTTGCTAAATCAGGCCTTTCTTAATGATACGTACGAGAGTAGCAAGGGAAATCGTCCATCATATCGAGCAAGGCGAGTGGACGGCATCGCAAGTCCTTGATGCCTACATAGCGCGTTCATTAATAGCCCAACGGATGACACACTGCTTGACTGAAGGTAAGTATGTGTGATGTGCGAGTAGCGGGCGATGTGACTGCGACGTCGCACTAGTCATGTTTGAGCAAGCCCGAGCGGATGCATTGGCTCTTGACAAGGAGTTCGCCATATCGAAGACGCTGAAAGGGCCGTTACATGGCGTTCCGGTTAGCTTTAAGGATTTGTGTGAGACAGTCCACCACATGATGTACAGCCGATTACGCTCATCAGCAGCATGGCCTTTGTTGCCCGTACAGACAACGTCAAGGACATTGACTCCACGATGGGATATACGTCCTATGCTGACAAGCCGCAAGCAGAAGATGCCAGCGTGAGTGAACGCGGCCCTTTCCTGGCGCACATCTTCTGCTTCAGAACTGCTCTGTGCGAAAAGAGCTCAACGGAACTTTAGCCAGTGGAGGCCATACGCGCCGCAGGAGGAATTCCCTTCGTCAAGACAAATCTGACACAGGGCTTGATGTCCTACGAGACCGTGAATCCCCTCTGGGGCCGCACCGTCAGCCCTCACGATGCACACTTCAGCTCTGGAGGTAGCTCTGGCGGTGAGGGTGCACTGCTTGCGATGGATGGCAGTGCGTTAGGATGGGGCACTGACATCGGTGGCTCGCTCAGGTACGTATCAAGCTTTGTGAAGCGTACTGCATTCATGAAAGCGACTGACTTATGCGATGTCGGTGCTCCGGCTAGAATACCCGCGGCGTACTGTGGCATTTATGCATTCACACCTAGTCCGGGACGGATCTCCAGGGCAGGCATTACACGTCTGTGTTTAAGCCTGCTCACGAATCGGCTTTCCTGATCGTGATGCATCTAGAAACCGTACCTGGATTCTTGGTGTTCCTGACGTCTTGGGCCCCATAGCTCGGTAGGTAGTCCGATCTCACTTAGTTTACCTAGACGAAGGCTGAATCTCCCGTCTCAGCTCGATAGACGACCTAGAGCTGGCCTGCCGGGTGGCATTTGGACAAGATATGGACATCAATGACTATGTGCATGCCCCAGTGCCATTCAAGGATACACAGCTCGCAGAAGGGAAACTGCGATTCGGATACTACGTGGACGGTATGCCTGTCTGATGGAGACGGACGTCAGCTGACTCCTTGCATTCTCCAATAGATCATTTTGTGAAGGCCTCCCCAGCTTGTGAAAGAGCTGTGCTGGAAACTGTAGAGGCACTGCGCCGAGAAGAGCATGAATGCGTCAAGATCACGATACCGCAGCGTATGTCCATGAGCCGTTTCGGTCGCGAGCACAAATTCACAATAGGAAGCACAGCTTCGAAAGCATTGGAACTATTCGTGGAGCTCACGTCTGCTGATGGCTTCCAGACTCTGGCAGAGCCTAACGGCTCTGATCCGCTCGTGCATCTTTAGCAGCCATTGCTCGCACCGCTGATACTCACGCTCAATCAGGAACCTGAGCTCTACCTCATTCTGCTGGCCCCGAAGTCATTTGGTCGGATGCTCTTCCACCGTGTTATAGAGTGCAACTTGACGGTTGACCTTGCTCGCTGATCAGGTTGGTTGCGATCGCTAGCAGCATGGGCAACTAGACAGTTCCTCCGAGACGAGATCTACGCCAAAATCATCATGGCATCGCGGAAGAAGTCCGTTCGCGAATACTGGCGAATTAGTGCGGAGCGAGACGCGTACGCCAGGTTGTTCTACAAAGAGGTGAGTGCTATACTCTCCTAGATAGAGTTGTCGTTCAGCGCACCGTATGAGAGCTCACCTCCTGGTGCGTAGATATGGGACAAGCATGGTCTAGACGGTATCATTGCTCCCGTGCATGCACTACCTCGGCTTCCTCATCAGTACGTGCTATTGTTATCATCCATGTATGCGGCGTGTCTTGACTGATGAACCTAACTGCGTGTTCTATAGTGCAACTCAACGTATCGTTCCCCTATCGGGAGCGACCGCACTATACAACATCGTGCAGTGTCCGGCTGGAGCTCTCCCTGTCACTCATGTGGACGCTGCTCGAGACCAGCTCACAGCAGGGTGGACCGACCACCTGAGAAAACGAACGGCTGAAGGCCGGGGCTCGCCCTTTCTCGAAGGCTTTCTCTATGGGAAGGGAGGCTGTTACGACGTTGAGAAAATGGCCGGTCTCCCGGTTGGGATTCAGATTGCAGGTAGGAAGCTCGAGGATGAGAAGGTGCTTGCGATGATGAGAATTGTTGATAAGGCGCTGGGCCCGAGGGGCTTTGGGCCAGGAAGTTGGAGTGGGCAGCGCGGTTCGACGGGCTGATGGCGGCATGTTTGTGTTCTTTTATACGTTGACCGACGTTGTTCGGTGCCGAGTGATACACTCTTTTCCTCCTTAGCTTGAATGTTGCTGTATACGACGGTGATGCCTTACACGTGCCCTTTGATTGGCGGTTGACGTATGCAGTAGCGTTATGATTACCCTTTGACACTGACATTGTCCGTTCTGCCAGGACAGCGAGCATGAGTGTTTTCATCTCTGAGTGACTGGATCGTTCGAGCGTAAAGCCTGAGACGGATAGTGAAATCGCAACACGCAAGCCACGCGGTGATCTGGGCTCCGGAAATGCATGTGTGGAACCTGCAATGGCCCGGTGTCTACAAGCGATTATGCCTCGATCTTAGGTCCAGACCTTGACTTGATTACGAGCTCCACCCTGAAGTGCTCGGCACGGACGAACGCGTATTGGTTCCAGAAAGCGCTCATGCATTACACCACGACGTCATCGCCTTTGCCGTGGCCTCGCGAGCGTTCTCGAACAAACCCGAGGGAGCGCAACGTCGAATTCGCCCGAACACTCCCGCTCCCGTTTGCGCATATATGCATCAACACCAAACCAACTTTGCGAATTTACTGCACACTTCACATCCGTACTCGCCGATAATCTAGCCAACTGACAATGTTCGGCCACAACCCTTACGGCGCGTATTCACCACCCTATCCTTCAGGAAATTCTTATGGTGCTCGGCCCTCCTATCACGACGCCGACGCCGAGTACCTTCGTGCCCTTGCTGACGAGCGCGCAGCTCGCGAGCAGCTTATTGCCGCACGGCGTGCCCAGGAAGAAGCACGTCAGCGTGCCGCCGCCGCTCACGCCCGCCAGAGCAGAGCCCCTTACTTCTCGCCTCGCCCAACTTACGTCGAGCCCGGCTATGACATTGACTACGAGGACCACGATGCGTACGACGGCGGGCTCGGCGCTCTCAATGGGCTCTACGACTACGGCGGCATCAGCCCCTACCCGGAGTTGCGCGGACGCCGCGCGATGATGGGAGAGCAGCGTCGACAGACACTCGAGCGGGAGAGGGAGAGACAAAGAGAGAGGGAAAGGGAGGAGCAGCGTATGAGGGAGGAGGTCGAGCGTGAGCAGGAGAGGCGCAAGCTCGAGGAGGAGAGAAAGGCTCTCGAGCAGGAGCGTCGCAGGCTCGAGCAGGAGGAACAGCTGAGACAGCTACTCAGACAGCGGGAGGAGGACGAGTGGAGCCGCCGTCGCAAGGCGCCGCAGCGCCCGACCCAGGGTGCATTCGACGCGTACCCCTTCCTCCGTACTATCTGGCCTGGGATGGACCTTGGCGAAGAAGAAGAAGAAGAAGCGGTGAGTCAACCCGCAGTTTCACCTTTTTACCGCATCTCTGACGTCTTCTACTGCAGCCACGCACGGGTCGCCCAACCTTTCGCGCTCAAACCGTCTCACCCAAGCAACGACAGGTGCCTCCCTCTCAACCCACGCGGGCTCCTGTGTATCCGAACGTAGGCGTAAACGTTTCCGGAGTGCGCTCTTCTTCCGTGCCTTCACGACATATCTATGGCCAACCGTCAAGTCTCGAGTCACCCACCTCGCAGCCGTCGCCTCCCCCGCCAGCGTCCGCCAAGCATGGGCGTGTCCCCGTGCCGATGCCCTCGCCACGAGCGCAGGCAAAATCTCCCGGTTCACCATACGCGCCTTCTCCCAAGCCCGCAGAGTCGCCCAAGCCCACTCAACCTAAACCTGAACCACAGCCAACATACACTCCCGAGGAGGAAGCGGCAGTGTCAATGATCCAGAACCTCTATCGCCGGTATAACGCTCTCAAGACGATCGGAGAGGAGCGCGCACGATTCGAGAAAGTGCGCGCGGGCTTTAGCTTCCCATCGCATCTCGACTTCGTGGTTGCCCCGCCCGAGAAAAAGGAAGGAGAGACCACAGCAAGCGCGGTGACGCCGACGCCGACCACGTCTCTCGCGCAGGCGCCGCACGTCAGCGTGCCCGTCGATTCCACTGCCGTCTCTGCCGCACGCGCGTCGTGCACTAAAGAGGGCATGGGAGAGGAGGAACAGGAAGAGAAGAAGCCCGCGCGTCCCGAGCTCGCATACACCCCGGACAACGCACCGGTGCACGGGTATCTCGAGGCGCTGAGTCGCGTGCTGAGCGCGCTGGACGCGGTGGAGAGCCGGGGCGACCGCGAGGTGAGGGAGACGAGAAAGCTGCTCGCGCGGGAGGTCGAACGCGAGGCGGAGGGCGTGGAGAAGGGAGTGAGGACGGTGTGGGAGGCGTATGCCCAGCGCGAGCGTGAGCGGGCAAAGGCTTCTGACGATCCGGCTGGATCTGAACCCGAGAGGTCTGGCATCTCCGCTTCTGAGAACGCTGAACTGACCGAAGAGCACGCAGCAGAAGTGGAGCCGGTGGACGCGGTGGACGGTCGGGCAGGCCCGTGCATTGTGCCCGCGGACATGGACGCGGGTGGGGAGCGCATGGGAGTAGAGGAAGACGGAGAGCGGCTTCCGCGGATGCGGGAGCGAGTGCTGGAGCCCGAGGGAGACGTCGGAGTGCCGATGATTCGGGTCGAGGACATCAACGGGGAGCCTTTGTTCATGGAGGGAGAGCAGATGGAGGCGCAGCCTGAGATGGGGGAGGAGGAGGAGGATGTGGGCGTGGAAGGTGGGGGTGAGCCGGTGGTGGAGGTGCGGGGTGTGGGAGAGGAGGAAGGTCAAAAGAGGATGCAAGTCGAACCCCAGCCTGAACTCGAGGAGACAATGGCAACGGACGGTGCGACCGCGACGGTTGTCATCCTCCCATCTGAGCAGGAGCCACAGATCGGACAGGTGTTCGTTGAGGTTGTGGAGGCGGTGCCGACGGCCGAGGTGGACATCCTCGAGGGCGAGGAACCCAAGCGGGCTCGGCAAGCGATCGTTGAGACCCAGGAGGAGGAGGTAGTGCAAGTGACGCCACTGGAGCCAATCATCGAGGCGCCCTCCGAATCTGCGTCTGCAGCCGGGTCGGAGTCCTCTGAGGAGGTTGATATTGTGTTGAGCATCGGTGTATCTGAGCCTGAGGTACAAGCCGTGGCCGAGGTCGAGGAACAGCAGAAAGCAGCTGAAGGAGAGCAGCAGAAGATATCGGAAGAGTCGAGTTCAGAGCCAAGCCCGTATCTGAGGCCGCTCCCGCCGTCGCCGCCTTCAGCCCTGCCGAACCTGGAGTCCCCGCGCGAGCCGACGCCGACGCCGGTGGGAGGTCCTCCCAAGCGGCGGGTACCCTCGATCGGAGAGGTCGTCGAGCGAGCCGTGGACGAAGAACGGGCTGAAGGAGAGGTGGATACGCCGACGCTGAGCCCGGCGCAGCATCACGATGCGGAGAGCTCCAGCGATGGGGAGGGCGAGGGCGAGGGCCCGGGGACGCCGCCGCCTCCGGAGATTGTGGCGTTTGCGATGGACGTTGTTGTACCGGTGGGTGTGCATGATGGGTCGGATGAGCGAGGGATGGAACGAGAGCGGGTAAGGAAGGAGGGGGAGGGGGCTTTTGGGTTGGGGCATCGGGAGTGGGGGGAGGTTGAGCAATTCGATTTGCTTTGAAGAGCGGGGGACAGTGGTACGATCAGAAAATATCTTGGGAGGGGACGTTGTATGAGTAGTTTCTGCTGAGCTGATAGCTTCCCCGCGGCAGCGTGTATATGTTGGGACTTGCACTTCGTAATGTATCATCTCACATTCTGTAACGTACCGCTTCATTCGTGTTAACTGTACAAGTAATAATGATCTTATACGCCAATTTCGTCTAGCCACTGCTCGATCTTCACGAACCCATCCTGCCCGTCCATACCCTCCCGATCTCGCACAATGAGCTTGTCCACCCCGGGGTCTTGCCACAGCCTGTTTTTCTCCATCTCTGGTATTTCCTCCTCGGAGCATAAGATCGCACAAGGAAACTTTGGCTCAAAGTCAAACTCGCGAAGGGGACCGGGTAGAAGCGGACTCGTTGTGGTTGTGGGAGTGGGAGAGGAGAGGGCGGCGTTGGAGGAGGGTGGGGATATGAGGAGCAGTCCGGAAGCGGGGTGGGAGGAGATGTATGTCTGGGCGATGAGGGCGCCGGACTCGCGGGCGAGGATGATAGGAGGGAAGGGGATGGCGGTTAGGTGGATGTGGGAGGAGAGCTCTAAAGGTGGGTCAGTGACGGGTTCTCATGGTCGATGGGCGTATCGTCTCGAGGATCGCATGCAGAGTGCATGAGTGAGAGACATGTCACGGATTGATCAATTTGCCATGATGAGATGCGTGTAAATGTAGACCTAATGTAACACACCGATTTTGTAACCGCGAATGGACAAAGCCGTTTGCTATCGTGTTCGAACGAGGTAAGGGAGGCGATAGTGAACGCTCACCGTCCTCAAAATGCTGCATGAGCGCCTCCGAGGTTGTACGGTCCTCGGGAGGGGCGAGGTCAACTTCAAGACAAGTAAATCCTCGTTCGGCAAACATGGCAGCAAACGAGCGCATCCTTGATGTCGAGTGAACCCGCGAGACCAAAACGCAGCACTAGAGCGGCCGCTCACCCCTGTTGCGAGCGCGGATCCCATTTGCTTGAGGAGACGAAGACTAGTGGGGTGGGCACTTCCCGGGGAGCGGAGGGTGGAGGCGTTCGTAGCACGAACGCGGTCGAGTAGTATCGGATTGAGGTAGCACCCAGGTAGCCGAGACCGTACGCCAGTGGTCGCAAGGAGCGTTGGAATGCTCTGAAAGACATGTCTGTTACAGAACGCGAGTTATCTAGGACGATGTTGCAAAATAGTGGAAATGAAGTGGCCTGAGCGAGTCGATCAAGAACGCGACGCGTTCGGCGCTTGTTTGGCGTTCAGTATACACGTGGCATGTATGCTCAATCTGGCAGGCTTTCCAAAGTATCCAGACACACAGTTGACCGCGACGTGTTTTCTGGGGAACGCTGAGAAGTTTCATCTCGTTATTTTGTGTGCAACGTTCTGGTGATCGTGGACGGCGCATCAATTCGAGACCTTCGGACGCGCCACCAGGTACAAACACTTGCACACATACCACGTTGCGCGACACTATCCAGGTCATTACAGAAACTATTCGTCTAACGGTGCAGCCGTCTGGAGAAGACTCGCGATGCTGAACTTCGAGGATGTTGAGGAACGTGACGGTGAGTTTCATTCGGAGTCCAACGCGTAGATGAGCTACAACGTCACACACCCCCGTCCAGGTGTGCGACTTTCCTGGAATGTCTGGCCGTCTTCGAGAATAGAGGCAACTCGCACGGTGGTGCCCATTTCCGCCTTATACACTCCGTTGAAGCAACGTGAAGACCTTCCCCCAGTGCTGTATGAGCCCGTCACCTGTAAACCACCATGTCGCGCTGTCCTCAATCCATACTGGTGCGTGCTGCCGCGATATCTATAGCTCCAAGTATTCGATGATCAATGCCACGCAGCCAAATCGATATTCGCGGAAAACTATGGATCTGCCCCTTCTGTCTGCAGCGCAACGCGTTCCCTCCTCACTATAAAGACATCTCCAACACGAACCTACCTGCCGAATTACTCCCAAAATATACCACCATAGAGTACACGCTGTCCCGCCCCGCTCAGGTTCCTCCGATTTTCCTATTTGTTGTCGACACTTGCTTGGAAGTGGAGGAGGACCTCAAGGCGCTACGCGATGCGCTGGTGGTCGGCCTGAGTCTTATCCCGCCCTATGCGCTGGTCGGTCTCATCACATACGGCACAATGGTGTGTAAATTCCTCCACTTGCATTCTCATCTTGCCAAGACATGTCACAGGCCCAAGTCCATGAGCTGGGTTACGCCGAGTGCAACAAGTCCTACGTGTTCCGCGGCGGCAAGGAGTATTCGCCGAAGCAGATCCAGGACATGCTCGGGCTGAGCTCCACAAACCGCGCTGCACCGCGTCCAGGCCAGCCAATGCAGGCATTCGGTGCGGCACGCTTCCTGTTGCCCGTGCAGCAGTGCGAGTTCCAGCTCACCGGAATCCTGGAGGGGCTCACGCGTGACCCGTGGCCCGTCGCGAACGACAAGCGTCCGTTGCGCTCTACTGGTGTCGCGCTCTGCGTTGCAGTCGGGTTGCTGGAGGTGAGCGATCCTGCAGTCGTGCAAAAACATAACTTGACCGATCCTTTGCTGCGTAGACGACGTTCCCGAACACAGGCGCTAGGATTATGCTTTTTGCAGGTGGACCTGCGACCGAGGGTCATGGTATGGTGGTTAGCAATGAGCTGAAGGAGCCTATTCGTTCTCATCACGACATTGATCGTGACTCCGCGAAGCACTTCAAGCGTGCTATGAAGGTCAGCATCGTCCGTACCTTTGTATATGCGCGTCCTGACGTCAGTGTAGTTCTATGAAGCGTTGGCCAAGCGCGTATCTAACAACGGCCACATCGTTGACCTGTTTGCTGGGTGTCTGGATCAAGTTGGTCTGCTCGAGATGAAGTCGTTGACCAACTCGACGAACGGCGTGATCGTGCTGTCGGACTCCTTCGCGACGTCCATCTTCAAACAGAGCTTCTTGCGGATGTTCAACAAGGATGATCAAGGTAATCTTGAAATGGGCTTTAATGCAACATTCGATGTGCAGGTGGGTTCTACAGATGCTGATGAGACGATCATTGTGGACTGACATAACTGTCAGACCACGAAAGAACTGAGGGTGTCTGGGCTGATCGGCCATGCCATCTCTGCAGGGAAGAAGTCCGCATGCGTGGGCGAGACGGAGATCGGTATCGGCCAGACGTCCGCATGGAAGATCAACTCCATCACCCCAAGCACCGCGGAAGCCATCTATTTCGAGGTGGTGACACCCGCTGGGCAGCCGCTCCAGCCGGGCTCGCGCGGGCTGATCCAGTTTGTGACGCACTATCAGCACTCCTCGGGCCAGCAGCGCTTGCGTGTGACGACGATCGCCCGGAACTTTGCCGAGGCGGGCTCGCCGAGCATCGCGGCGTCGTTTGACCAGGAGGCGGCAGCGGTGCTCATGGCGCGCATCGCGGTGTTTAAGGCAGAGATCGACGACTCGCCGGATGTGCTTCGTTGGCTTGACCGCATGCTCATCCGTCTGTGCCAGAAGTTCGCGGATTATAGGAAGGAGGATCCAACGAGTTTCAGGTTGTCGGATAACTTCAGCATTTACCCTCAGTTTATGTTCCACCTGCGAAGGAGCCAGTTCTTGCAAGTGTTTAACAACAGTCCGGATGAGACGGCATTCTATAGGTGTGCACTTCACTAGTCTTCTGGCGCGTTTCATCAATCTTGACCCGCACGCCAGACATATACTCAATGAAGAGGATGTCAACAACTCCTTGATCATGATCCAGCCGACCCTCATGTCATACACTTTCGACCAGCCATCGCAGCCCGTCCTCCTTGACAGCGTCTCGATCAAGCCAGATGTCATCCTGCTACTCGACACGTTCTTCCACATCCTCATCTTCCACGGAGAGACGATTGCCCAATGGCGCAAGGCCGGCTACCAGGACCAGGAGGGTTACGAGAATTTCAAGGAGCTTCTCGAGGCACCTGTAGCTGATGCTCAAGTGCGTTCAACAGCTGATTTTAAGATATGTCCGCTGACTGCCCATTGCTTGTTGTGTAGGATCTCCTCGTGGACCGCTTCCCTATTCCTCGTTATATCGTTTGCGACCAGAATGGTAGTCAAGCACGGTTCCTCCTGTCCAAATTGAATCCCTCGACCACGCATATGTCTACGGGCATGTATGGCCAGGCTGCATCTGGGGCCACAGGACAGGCGATCTTCACGGACGATGTCAGCTTGCAGGTCTTTATGGAGCATCTCAAGCGCTTGGTACGTGCTCGTATTGCTTCCGAATTCGAAAGTGTTCACTAATTTTTGGACTACAGGCGGTAGGAGCTCAGACAAATTGACGAGTTTCGTGAATGCGTTGGCTGTATTTATACTTTGGCATGCGGAAAGAAATTTTACCTCCCATGTTCTGCACGCTTTAGAGTACCGATGGTGTGATTTCTGCGTCTGCTGGCTGATCAAGTAGGAACAATTAGTTTGCGCTTTCGATGGCGCATTTCAATCAAGGGCGTTACGAGGGACATGTTTTTGTTGGTCTCGTGCATAAAAATCTGCGGGATGTGCGCTTGGCGTGAGCCACCTTGCAACCGCAAACCTACACGCTGGCGATGAACGGCTCGCAACCCGGACCGCGACAGCACAAACCACCAACATCGACTGATAGCTGGTCCGCAACGTTGCTGAGACTGGAGCACTGTCAGTTTGCTGTTCGAGTCGACCTGCTCAAAGTTGCCTACGACCCTCCGGAATGCCTCGCTCGTTTTATGAACTCCAGCTGATATGTCTTGTCTCGTTCTGCCTCGTCTCCCTGCTTGTTGAACGACACTTATCGAAACGACGAGCAAACCCAAAAGCTGAGCTCGAGGAGGAAGATGGGCATCATGTCACGTCTACCGCCGCCACTAGCGGATCAGGCCATGTCCTGTCTACGCTCACCAGGCAGTACTTGATTGTATATGCTATCGTTATGGGCAAGTGAACATTTCATACGAGCCGAATGCTGGAGCTGTGGAAGGTTGACTCCGATTCTATTTGAAGGCGCGGACTGGCTACAAGGTCCATACATCTACTCGCTGTACAAGGAGCAATATGCCTTCCCGGAACGCCTAGTAGCAGCGTTCTTCGTTACGGGTTTCATGTCCGCAGGGCTCATGGCCCCAGTAGTGGGCGTCTTGGCTGACCAGCAGTAGGTATCTAGGTTGCTTTTGTTGTCTGCTCACTCTAATCGTACTCTCAGTGGTCGCCGGAAAATCTGTCTAGTGTTCTGCGTGACATACGCATTTTCCTGTGTCTGCATCCTCTTCCCGTATCTTCCTGTTCTATTTGCCGGTCGTTTGCTAGGAGGGTTTTCCACCTCCATCCTCTATTCAGCCTTTGAATCATGGCTGATATCCGCCTCGACCTCGCTGGCACTCCCGCAGACTGATCTCTCGGGTATCTTGGGACGTGCTTCTCTCGTAAACGGCTTCGTTGCCGCTGCCGCAGGTGTGGCAAGTAACGAACTGGTCGGCATGACGGGATCATTCGCAACCCCATTTGTGGCTAGTGGCGTCCTGCTTGTTCTCGGGTGGATCGTCATCAAAGGGACGTGGACGGAGAACTACGGTAGCGGCGGCGGAACAGATGCTGCGACGTCAGATCCGCTCCAACTGAGACGATTGGGCCAAGCGTGGAAGATAGTCCGGAGCGGTCAGTACCGGGAGATCCTGACCATGACCATTCAAACAAGCTGATGTGTGCCATCAGAACCGCCGCTCTTAGTGATTGGCCTAACCCAGACGTGTTTCGAAGGCTCAATGTATCTTTTTGTCTTCAACTGGGTGCCAGCCATGCAAGAAGTTGCTTTGCCGTACAATCCGCTGCCTCTGGGCTATATATTCTCCTCCTTCATGGTCGCTATGATGGTCGGATCCCTCTTATACACATCCATCGTTTCCCTTCACTCAACCACGGACCCTGAGATGCATGGAGATAGCTCTCTTGTTCTTCATGCGAAACTGAGCTCTCTCGTGTGCGCGGTGGGTGCATTAGCGCTTGCAGCGAGCATCAAGAGCAAAGACGAACATGTGCGGTTCTGGGCGTTCTGCATCTTCGAAGCATGCGTTGGCATGTACTATCCGGTGCAGGGCATGCTGCGCGGGACGCTGATATCCAACGAACATCGTGCAACTGTACGTTCATCAGGGTTCCGCGCTCGAGGCAAAAATTCATCCACTGATATGTCATAGTTGTCATCCCTCTTCCGTGTCCCTCTCAATGTGTTCGTGGTGGTGTCCCTGCTGACAGGTGTATCATCCGCGCGGTACATCGTTCTCATGGCGAGTTCAATCATGCTGTCACTTTCATCGATGATTACTGCCGCATTCCTCGTGGACCACTCCGATTCCACATCGCTGACAGCGCCTCGTCCTCCTGAATAAAAAAAATAGTACCGTACCTCCTTAAGCTTGCTGTAATAGTGGACTAATAATATACCTCATGCATGTTGTCGCCATCACATTGTCGTCATGCATCGTGGCTGTCCACCTTTCATTCTTTACAGCGCTTATCTGCTGCTCCTTGGTGATTGTGGTTTGCTTCCCTATGGGCGTACACTGCTTCGCTGCTGTGACACCCGCCAGACAGGCTGTTATACGTAGGGATCTTTCTAAACTCAGCTAGATAATCTTGATCGTAACGCGGGTACAGCCTTCGTAGACTAGATCTTTGATGCCCTCAAGCGGCTTCACTGACAGCACATCAAAGATCTCGGCTACGACGGACTCCTCCATCATGATCTTTTACATGAGTATGTCTCCTGTAGATATCTGATGGCAGGTGCATATTTCATCCTTCGTGAACCGAATATAACAGCACTCACAGAGCCGCACATGCTGGAGGTAGGTCTGCCCAGCACAAGTAGCCCTTCGATGGTATGAGGCTTATCGGCCCCTTTGCTGCACGAATAGAGTATCGCTGCCCGACTCCATCATCGCCCCCAGGGACATGTTCGATGTTTCAAGATGGAGACGCAGATTCTGTGTAATATGGTTCGTTTCAGCGCTGTCTCTCCGTTCATCGATAACGATTCGCGGCTTATAACTTCTTTCCCAGAACCCGGACCCGAACGCGAATGATCGACCACAGATCCCTGGCGTGCGGCACGACATCAATGGTTCGGTATATGAAAGACCGATTTCGCGAGCCTAGCTAACTCTTGCTCCTCCTCCTTGATTGCATCTGCGATGCTTGGTGTCGAGATATAAATCTCCAATAGGTAAGACAGCCTCTGAATTCAGCGCGAAGTGACTGATACGCTCAAAGGCTGAAACGCTATAGTCTCATATAACACTAGCATCGCAGTAGATGTCACTCTTCACGGTCAGCTTCAGTGACCCTCGCCTCGAGTATACTCCGAAAAATGCATGGGAGTATTCCGGATGCGCAAACGGATCATCTACCAGTGGGGCTGGTTCGTCTTTACACTTCAACTTCAATGGTGTGATCTTCTGTCCGAAAGGTGTTGCCGTGTGTAACGCTCAAATGGCATACCATAGGAACATTTATCGCTGTATACGGGACCGTCGGAACAGAGCAGATGAGCGCCATCTTTGTGCTGGACGACAAGGACCCCGTCAATGTCACAACGTCCGAACACTTCTCACCTCCCGAGTCATTTTACACTTCACCTATCCTGCCGTCCAGCGAGCACATCGTTAACATTACGACAACCAAAGAAAACACATTCTTTTGCTTCAACTACTTGCAATATACAGGTTTTTTGAGCAGTGAAGAGACGAATACGACGTCACCTGCAAGCCAAGCTACTGCTAGCGAAGTCCCCCACCGTTCCTCCTCGAGTCCCGAAATACCTCTATCCGTTGGCATCACGATTGGCAGCGTAGTATTGCTAACCATAGTCGTGCTGACCATCATATACGTGCGGAGATGGGCATGCTTTAGACGGCGAGGCAGACGGCCGGAACATGGGATTGACCTCATGCTCGAGGGTATGTCTTTCCGACCTTTATTTTGTGGCTGTCGTGTTTATCGGGACACGTAGATATGCCAAAACAACCTTCTGCTGGTCTGGATACGCTGAGGAAGTTTATCATCCAGCACGGAGGCACAGCACCATCTCATACGATTAGGACGCCCTCCGCTCCCACCACTCAATCATCTGCAGTGTTCACTTCTGTCATCTTAATGACACCTCCAGTCTCAGTATTGTCAGAGGAAAATCGTCGTCCTAGGGCTCCCATTACAACGTAACTCATCCATTGGATGCCAAATTAGGATACGCGTATTCTTCTACAAGCTTAGCACACTTATCGGACCCGAATCATAGCTATGCGGACCATCTCAGGCTGTATCGCATACCATTGTATCCTGGATACTGCTCTTGCATCCGTCGGTCCTGTTACCTCTTTTTACCTTGGGTGTCACTTTCTCCCCACGTTCTCTGCAAATTATGTTCGTCCTCGCTTCTTACTTGCCGAAGTGTGAGCAAGGTGGACATGCAGTTGTCAACGAGTTGATCGTTCAGCATCCGAGATGAGCCCGGGTTTATTGGCTGTCCTCTGATGCACCGCCCGCTGATATGAACAGAGAAATGAAATGCGCAGCCATTCTGCGAAGCCCACTCAGCCCGCTGATGTTCCAATTTGACATCGGCAATCTGCATGTCAAATTCATTGTTCACTTTACTCACCATATTGATATCATCTACAATCAAGAGCTCCGAGCGGTACGGAGCAGATGGAGCCTAGTGATCTCTATGCAACCGGCCCCGTCTTCGGTTTTTAGGACAACCACTTGCCAATGCCTCCTTGATTGATCCTTGATCGTATACCCGACTACCATCACACATTCCATACGATGTTTCATCAGCTCGTTAGAAGGTGGACACGCCTGACGACGGATTCGTACAGCTGCCACTTCTTTCCATTCCTCGGGGAAGAAAGTGCCGACCAATAGCTTTGTGTACGTGGTGACTGTAACGAGGAGCAGTCGCGACAGCATGCAGACAAGTGATATTTGTTTCAGTACCTAGTTGATTGACTACTTAAGCTGGATTCCAGTGACTGGATACCTGCCAAGGCTGGTTGAGCCAGGCAACGAAGCGCGTTCGCGAATCGCAGCTGTCTTGCTGCCATTATGTCGCAGGCCGACGCAGACCGAGCGGGGGTCGTGCTGGTCACCGAGGAGTTCAATGAAATGTGAGTACTTCGAGTTCCTGAATATATAGCTGATCAAGTGACGATTTGTACGACAACTAGGTTGTTGTCGAACTTCTTCTCGGTCGTTGCTACATGTGAGTTCCACCACAAGCTGCAGATAATTAAATCGCCACCACCTAACCACAGCAAAGCCCTCGTTTTCTACGACTATTTCCTCACTTTCTCGAAGGAGACCCGTTGCATCTGGAGTCGTAAGCTTTCTGGCGCGACGCTACTCTTCTTTGTGAATCGATACTTGACGCTTCTCTATCGGATCGTGATGTTGATCGATATATTGCCCTGGCGAAGTCAGTCACAAACTAGTGGGCCGGAGGTAAGCGCATACCTATTTTCCGTCGAGACTATACACCAATTTATTGTAAGCAAATAGATGTAAGAGCCTTGGATGGTATTCCACGATGATGACGATCCAGCTGAATCTCCGCCCTAGCTGCACAGGGGTGCAACGTATCGCAGAGGCTCTAACGATTTGCTTGCAGCTGAATATGGCAGGTGATTAACGGACCTACATGTTGCTTTGATAGGCTGTGGCTTACTGTGACAGTCTTCACCTCGCTTCGCATGTACGCAATCTGGGACAAGAATTGCAAGATATTCATTGGCGTGCTACTACTTGGGATCCTGCCTGCTGTGGAGAATCTGGTATGCAATTGATACATCGCTTGCACTTCCAACGAGCTCAAATTTCGTCTACGTAGTACTATTATACGAGAATCGTACCCGTTGTGCTCGTCAGGCCCTTGATTGGATGCGGAGTATACATATACGTGTACCCGAGGGCGAATGACATGTAAGTATCATTTTCATGCCCTTGTATACTACTATGCTCACTTCCATTCAGACGTGAGCCACTTTGCACCCCTTTTGGTGCAGAACGATGAGTATAACGTTATTTACAGTCAGCATCTTCAATTGCATATTTGCTATCGCCTCAGATGCTGTCGTCCTCACGTTGACCTCTGTAAAGACAATCGAAATACGAAGAACTTCCTCTCAGGCATTCAAAAAATGTCGCCTCGTCGCACTGATAGAGCGAGACGGTGTGTCCTACAACTTTGATCTTACTTGGTCTCCAGGAACTGACGCGGCCATGCGTGATATGCAGGAACGATATATTTCTTGTAAACAGTGAACATTTTCCAGTCTCCTGTGTTCTCCTTCTCAACTGCGCTTTGGGCAGGATGCTCCTTATTTTGAATGCTGTCAACCTCGCAGCGGTCGAGTTCCGAGTACGCATTAAACCATATGTCCATCCTACTGTCTTATCCAGCAATCACAGGCCTTCGGCTGTTTACCAGCTCTGACGGAAGCGTGAGTCGATCCCGGATTCCACGCACTGAGACTAACTACCGCTGTACTAGGCTGAGCTCAATACTGATCTCGCGCTTTATCTTGAACATGCGTAGTGTCTGTTTGTCAAGCAACGGCCAGCTTGACAGCAGCAATCTGTTGGCTGAATCGCAATTGTCCGATTTGTACTTCTCACATCTCGTCACAGGCAACCTTAATTCACCCTTGGGTGATTCGTTCCAGGAGGGAGATGAGGAGCTGGATCGTAGAATGGGAACCGAGGATGAGGCTGTCTTTGTGACATCAGATCCTCTGGCGGCTGGTCTGAGCATGGAAGGCGTGGACATGCGTAACGTCACTGCACGTAAACAGATTGAGTACGTCGCTATAATGACAGACGCATTTATCATGCTGATTGTTTTGGGAGTTCGTACTACAGTGAAGAAGTTTGACACGAGATGTCGGCACACGTTCGTTATTCACGCTCTTTACGCACCGTGTTATCCTTATATTCCATCAAGGAGGTGATGAACGAGAGTTCATCGGACTTACCATACCTGAGATCTCTGGAAGATGAGAGATGGTGCAGGACAAAGAATTACCCAAAATTGCTGGACTATTTCCGCTGGACTATTTCCGTTGGACTATTTTCGCTGGACTATTCCGCTGGAGTATTTGAACGTTGTTGATAGAGCAATAGATAAAAAGCCAAAAAGCCAAACGTCAGTAACGCCTGCAATGAACCGAGATTTTAGTAGCGGCAGAACTATTTGGAACGATGTATGGCCTGTCGTAACATAACGTACCAACTAAGGACCGAAGGCGCATATCATTACCAGTATGCAGGCATTTCACACGTAGGTATGCTTTCTCTGCTGTACTTCTTTGTCGATGAGTTGTACTATGCTGTCTAGACCCGTATTCCTTTATGGCACACTTCTCGCCTCATCGCTACTCGCCTGCATGGCTCCTATGCGGTGCTGTCGCAAAACCGACCGACTGGGTCCAGTCGCTCGCCCAGCCCGCTTATATGCATGGCTACGCTCGCCGCGCTGTGCGTGGCGCGACTAATTCAGCACTGCTACCCGCCAACAAGGATAGCGTCATCCAGGGTCTCCTCCTGCGGCCAAAGACTCGTTTACAGCGAGTCAAAGCGGATGACTTTGAGTGAGAAATAGGCGGTCATGTCCTACAGTTTCACATGGGCGACGGTGTGTAGCGGTGACTTGTTGATGCAGGCGCATATGCGAGTGCCGAGGGTGTATCTGGAGCCTAACCGTGGGATCAGGCCAAATTTGTGGCTGAACGATTGAAGGATTCGTTGGACTTGTTCGCCGGGATCGAGATGGTCAGGAACCTAGGGGAAGAGGAAACCTGTTATTTCCGGTGGCATTTCATTGAAGCCCTCTTCTCAGATGCTGGCACACAGTAATGTTCGCACCATCGGATCCACTGGTGGCTAATCATAAATGAAACAAGGGTGTGTATGATGTTATAACAGATGTACGCACTGTAGGCTTCGATATCCTGAAAGTTGCATTCGCCGGGCTGACTTTCCGGCAAGCTCGTCCCGCTGTGAACTTTAATATGGAATGTTCGACCTATCCGTGTTATCACACATTCACTATTCGCATATTTATCCGTACATGAACATCATACCATTGGGAAGGTATATATTGCACTCGCCCTACTGCACGTCTATCCGTGAGTCTTTCGCACGTATCAAGCATCCCGACGGCGTCCAGAAAATTTTCAGGTCTCGTGCGGAAGAGCCTGGCGGAGACGCATCAGCTCATCCCACCTATCGTCCTGCTTCCACCCGATCGTCTTATCCGCATTGAGCGCGAGCACCTCTTTCAAATTCCTCCGATTCCCGTGCGCCTCGACAGATTTGACCTCCGCGGCAATGGTGTCCAGCCAACCCCGCGCGACGTCCGCTTGCGTAGGATCCAGCACCGAAAGGAGCAGTGCCCAGAGGGAACGGTCGGTCCCATGGGTGACGTAACCTGGAATGCTGCAGTGTGGGCATCACAGTTGACAACGATGGGAGGAGACTTACCGAAGGGACGGACCTGCTCTGGGGTCCAACGGATTTCATACCTCACGACAGGGAAGTCGGCTGCCATTAAATCTCTCGCAAGCAGCCTGACGGGGAGATGAACCTGTCCGTCGCTAAGCACGTCACCCATGTACTTCTTCACCTCCTCCACGGACGCGTCCTCCTTAGGCGGCGTGTACAGCGTCAGCAGCTTGCGTACGACGTTCGGCGGAAAGTAGCGCATCACGTTCGGCTCGACATCGCGCACGCCGCACACGGGATGCGCGATCGCGTAGAGGTACCATTCCTCTGTCAGGTCGCCGACGACAATGCTCCGTACGCCCTTGGCTTTGAGCGCGTGCGCGAAGCCGCCCGAGCGCTGCCAGGACATTGGGTCGGGAGTGGACGCGAGCCACGCGCCGTCGGTGCAGCCGCGGAAGGTGCCGTACTCGACGCCGACGGCATCGGTCTCAATGACGTGCGTGATTGCCGAGGTGGGTACCTTAGCGGGATTGCGGAGAATGGAAAGGACGTCTGGGGAGGTGGGGTCGAGCTTGAGCGCGCGGCAGAGTGCCTGAAATTGCGGGCGCAGTTCCGCAGGTGTCTTTGGAGTCGTCCTGGGAATGGGTCAGAACATAGTGGTTGAACTACCACTGCGCATTGCTCACATGATAGCGTTAGATTGTAATATGGCGGATTGGAACGGTGATTGTTCTCCCTCAGGTAGACGAGATACATGATGCAGAATCTGATGTACAGAATGCGCACCTAAAGAGCGTTCGTTAATCTTCAATGTCATTCATTGATGCACTATGAGTAACAACCTGCGGAGAGCCCTGAGATCTGGATGTTCTTCGGGTCACCTGGCAAGGAAGCCATTGATTAGAAGTCGAGCAGGCAGAAACTTTCACCTACCGCCGAATGCCTCGATATTGTCACGTATCCACAACGCTGCCAGCCACTGGTCCTTGAACCCAAAGTTGCCATCTACCTTCGGCTCGTCACACGCGAGGAATCCAAACGCAGAGAGGCGGTATCCGATATTCACCCACACCTCCGAGCGCTCCGCGGATACATGCTGAGCCTGCGCACTCAGGCCGTGGGGCGACCCGAACTGCAAAAACCTGCAGACGTCAAGACTAGTTAGTGTCGCGGAGGGCTTCCATGGAGAAGCAGTGGCGCACCCGCCATGAATGTATACTTTGACCGGGAACCGGGAGGCCGGCGTGAAGTGGGGCGGAGATACGATGTTTACGAACAGCCTGCGAGCCTGCCATCAATTACGTGTGGCTCGTTCCACCGAAGCACCTTACGGATTCTCGGTCGGTTTCCCCAGGCCAACCTTGTGTTCGTATGGTATCCCTGCGGAGCGGTACCAAATATAAACATCATGCATCCACAACCAGAAGAACCCTTCGCTGCTTACCAGCCACCTGTCCATCGTTCTTGGGCTGGGCACAGTCTGCAGTGGAGCAACATAAATGCGCATGTAGACCGCGTTCCCGACAAGGACATACAGCTACTCTCATAAATATACTCCTTGTCTTCATAGCGATAATAGGGCGGCAGCGGCTCCGGATCCATGAACCGTCCAGGAGGCAGGGCATACGGGACCTCTGTACTTACATGAATCTAGCAGATCAGCTTCGATCCCCCTTGATCGACGCTGAGATGAACACGCACCGAGGAAGACGGCGGCATCGTTCAGCGCGCGCCCACCCGTGATTGGGCCGTAGGGCGTGTGCACGACGATGCGCACTGCGGAGCGCGCGAGCTCATCTTGCAAATGCAGGTACATTTGGCGGCGTGCGAGTTGTGGGGCGGCGGGATGGATGGACCTGGGGACGAGTTGCGAGCGATACGACCCCACACAGCGGAACTAGTCTATATTTAGTCATTCGCTTCGGGTTAGCGTAGGACGAGCGAAATGAAATTGAGGCCGTCGAAGGGCAAATATAGTAGCGTCTTGGCGTCCGGGATTCTGGCGCTTTATCCAGTGCTTCGGCTGAGTGTGAGACGCTCTCTCATGATGAAGCGAACGGCCCCTAGACGATGCAAAAGCGACGGAACCACTTGGGCGATAACCGTCTTGGACTGACTGCATTTGTAATCCGACAACGTTCCGCAATCAGAGCCGTTGCAGCTGCAGACTAACGCCCTGAGCATCGCGGGAATTGACGCTATTAGAAAGGCGGCGGAACCATCCCGGTAGAATTCGTTGGGTTTCACTACGTAGAATGTCAGTCTAGGCTGGCCAGGACATCCATTTCTTCGGGCTTGATGATTCTGATGCTCCAGATTAGGCTCCTGTTTTGCTTCACAATGCCATCAAAACAGAGGCAATGCGCCGAATCCAGTAATACGCTACAATGATGGCGCGGATAAAGCAGAGCGCAACGGGGGCGAGAGCCCCTAGAGAGCGGGGTCTTTGGCGCCAAGGGGGACATAGTGTTTTTGTCCGTGTGGCACTTGCAATGCACCCGCCGGCAAAGGGGGTCGAACCCACTTTAACCGTGGCGCGCAACATAGGAGAGATACTCATAAAAAACGAGTAGATCCGCCAAAGCACGTAGAAATCTCGCAACTGCACACAACTTGTAGTAGAGCTTACGCGTCTCGCAATTGGGATAACGAAGTACGTTCGTGCCTGGCGCAACCACACTATCTCAGTAGCGTGGATATCAGGAGCCGATTGGATGTAAATACTTGCCACTATTGCATTCCTCCCAGACATTCGCCGGAGTGATTAGGCAGAAAATGACCTCGAACGAGTGCATACATATGATGGAGAGTTCCCAGATAATATTGAGAGCCGTCGATTTTGACGTCTTACACCCGCCATCGCACACAATTCCAAGGGGACGTTGTTCGTCGAAGAAGAATTGTCACTGAGCTCTGGAAGGAGTCGCGGGCAAGCCGCAAGCGATATTTTCCAGGAAAGAGGTCGAGCTCGAGCCTAACGCCACGTGGCGGTGCAATTCATTTCAGAAATTCATCAATCACATGAAATCGCGAGCGCGGTCACTTTAAAACATGCAGCAGTCGCGGACGGACTCCTTATCCTTTCAGCTTTCTGCGCCCACCCATCCTCCCCACTCTCCGTGTCATCGCCAACGATGGCGACCCAAACCCAGGAGACGTCCAGGACGCCCGAGCTCACCATCATCTACCGCGTCGCCGCCATACCCCTCATCGCGTCCTCGCTGAACACCATCAATGAGACCCTCATCAACAACGCATATACCCGCCAGCCCTACACCACCGCCAAGGGCCTCTCCCTCTCCGCCCTCAGCTACACCGAGCCCATCCAGAAACGCCTCGCGCCGCTGATTGTCCGCGCGGACGGCTACGCGAACATGGGCCTCGACGCGGTCGAGTCGCGCTATCCGTATCCGTTCAAGATTCGCCCCGAGGACATCGTCAAGGACCTGAAAGCGCGCAGCGATTATGCAAAGGACGTCGCCAACAAGACCCTCGACGAGAAGGTCAGGAGCCCCGCGCTCAACGTTGCACAGGGTATCGATCAGGTTCGTCTGCTTCGCCCTTGCGTACTGCACATGTGCCGTTGACTGATATTCATCGATGGCCAACAGCGCTTCGCGCCGATTGTTGACTACTTCGCCGTCGCGGTGAACAAATTCCAAGGAAGCGATGGCAACGGCACCGTAGAGCACGCTCCCGATGCGAAGTACCAGTACCAGCGCGCATTTGTGCTCTCAAAGGAGCTCTCCGACCAGCTTCGCACATATTCGACGGAGCAGATCAACCAGCTCAAGGAGCACAACGCACTCGTGAAGCGGGCATCCGAGACGGCACACGACATCAGCACGCTCGCATCGACGAGTTACGGCACGGCACAAACGAAGGTGCATCAGCTTAGTGACACAATGCTCGCGGAGCTGCAGAAAATTCAGGTGCGTTCCCACCACTGTCTACCCCCATCGATTATCTCTGCTCACTAATTCATTCGCCAGGCGACGACGGCCGCGCTCCCCGCGCACCTGCAGGCGTCCTTCCACGACATCTCCACGCACCTCTCCTCGACGATCCATGACCTCTCGGCGATCATCACGTCGCCGGATCCGCTCCAGGAGAAGGTGCACAAGCTGCGCGACACGGTGCAGGAGCGTGTGAACCCCCTGCTTGAGGCTGCGACGGCGCGCGTGCACGACATTCTGGGCGCGGTGACGGGCCGCGCGGGCGAAAAGGAGGCGCAGGCTGAGGGCACAGCGAAGGGCGTTGCACGGAACGGCTCGGCGGCTTTGAGTAATGGCAACGGCCACGGCCGCAAGTGAGCGCCGTATATACGACCTGTCCGTCTGGTGAATAGTCCGGGCTAGGCTCCTTCTTCCTTGTTCTTGTTCCGCATCTCTTCACGAATCCCGTTCTGTGCCCAACGGCAGTATATCCCGTCTATAGCGTACGTGTGTCTATGGTGTATCACTATCATATTCTTGTGATTTGTACCTTTTGTGCCTCGTGTTTCTATTAGACGTTGCATTCCTCCTCTCACGACAACTCAGCGATCGCGTTCATGTAATTTATGGATCAGCCCGAACATAATAGACTTGTTGTTCCTTGCGCAATCTGCCCGTCGGAGTGCGATAGCGAGCCTGGAGGTGATCCATCTCACAGGCGGCCACGAGTGTCGCCGTTTCAGACCTGATCACGTATATACTGGCCCCGAACTCCCGCAAGGCCGTTTGGACAAAGAACACGTCCCATGAATCACATTGAATACAGATGAGCCAGATAGTTAAAATACAAACACCATGTACAAGATCAGCGTTTCTCCGCGAGAAGGTAACCGAAAGCCTGGACGTAATAGCGCACAACGCGCGAAGAACCCTGCATACGAATACACACGGATGCCGCCAGATAATGTGCATGCAAATGCCCTTCCTACGTGGGCACGTCGCGATGCATGGAGTGGGAGGGGAGGGAGCGTCATCGCCCTCAAAGTCTAAATGACAGGGCATACGACACTACAAGAACCTGAATCACGTGTCAAATACATATGAAAGCGGACAGAACGATGGACAGAACTTGTTGATACTTCAGTGACGATGCATAGAATAAACGCCTGGTCGGGCTGAATTGATGTCCAGTTTATGCACTGTCCAAGCGTATATGCGCAATGTGAACTTGAACTCAATCTTGGAGGTATCAGCGCAGCGGAAGGATCCGTCTTCCTTATCCTTATAGCGAGAGTCAATTACCCCTTCGAACGCACCCCGGAGTTCTGGACGCTTCGAAGTTGGTCTTTGCTGACACCACTCGCTTCTACTTCCTGGGATCCGGCACACGCTCCGGCCACTTGGATGAGTCAAAGCTGCCCGACAACGAATTGCGCAGCACATGGCCGGCCTCGCCTGCGGACGCGGACAGCCTCCCAAGGCTTGTGCGGCTGCTCGAGCGCGAGCGCAACCCAAGGCTGAAGTTACTCGGGTCGGACGAGTGCGAGGACGACGATTGCGACGAGGTGGAGGACGCACGCCGATGCCGCTGCATGCGCTTTGGGTCGACGTCAGGCAGGTTCGCGAGGCGAGCGAAGAGCGAGAGGACTGGCGCCAGGTCAGCATGCGGTGTGAGTATGGAGAGCGAGACGTACCGTCGACCGTCGAGACGATGCCGGAGAGACTGCCCGAGCTACTAGGAGGGAAGGTAGGTGATAACGCGGAATCGTCCGTCACGAAGAGGCGGTGCGAGTCAGCTGGTGAGGGTTAGCGTGTATTCAGCGGTATGAGTGCGGGCATGTGGACATACTAGCCAGGAGCTTCTGCATGGCATAGAATAAGGTGTTGCTCGGTGAGACACTGTAGACTATTTGGGATGGTTAGTTATTCAAGCGGTTAGCAAGCATAAACGACCTTACCTGGGTACTTGTCCGCGCCATCTGTCGAACCGTCCGGCTCCTGTGATGAAGACCGTTAGTTTTGGTCTCTGCCAGAAGCACGACAGCCTACCTTGATCAGAGAAACGAACTGATGCAGAGGCGCGGACAAGATCTGGTTGCTCTGTGCAGGAACAACGATCTACACCAGCAGATTAATAGGGACGCGGCAAGATACGTATTAGCGATTCCCACCTTCCCAATATCAGTGACACTGACTGCGCTCAAAAGATTCCCCGTGTCCTCCTCGATTACCGCGATCGTGCTCACCCCCTCGTCGCTCATTAGTTTCATCGCATCTAGTACACTGTCCGTAGCCTTCACAGCAATCACGGAAAGGTACAGATATAACGACGGGAGTGCGAGAGAGCCGAGCGGGTTCGACAGGTAATGGAGGAAGGAGGGGTTCTGTTCTGCGTAAGAGGTGAACCATTTGAGTAGGTGCCGGTCGGATACCATGCCGAGGAACTCGGATGAAGGTGATTCGGTCTTGATGAGAACTGTGTGTTTTGGAGCATGAGGGATCAATATGTGCTACTGTAGGGTCAGGGATTCTCTGATTACTGCGACGAACCTCGATGCGCCCCTCGTGCAACCACGGCTAGCAGTGAGATCAGCGTAGCGTCGTAGGGCAATGTCTCCAAAGGATTCTTTTCGGAGAGATCTGAAATAAGTCGTGAACTCTAAATCTGTTGGTGGCAAAGAGGAGAGCAAACACATACTACTGACGAGATCGATAGGGACCTTGCCTGCCTTGGCAGCAACCAAGATCTCCCGGATACGGGGCTTCTCTCGTAGTTCGTCCAAGGCAAGCCGATGCCTCGTTGCAGCTAGCGTGAGGAATGCATTGACGTCTGCAAACTGTAACGGACATGATGCATGAGCTCGACGTCTGGAACCGACCAGAACAGCCGTTGCAGTAGGCTCCGGATTTGAATGGTAGCGAATGCATCTCGCACGGCTCCTAGACCTGCACAAATCTTACAAGATGCAACATCTACCTCCAATGTCATACTGCGCTGTCGAGCAAGGAGCTCCGTGCCACAGAAAGTTGCCTTCAGCAGCTAGCCCTTTCTGCACACGGATCTTCCCCTTTCGTCCCGACGATCCATCGTGCATCGAGAGACGTTTATACACGCAGCATCGCCTCATCGCCACAGTTCTCCCGTAACCGGAGATCCGTTGCAGCCGCTGTCGGACGGGATGAAGTTTAAGATCGCACTCACATCAAAGAGCCCGTGATATGGAATGCTCGACGGGGAGCTGTTCGGCCGCCGGTTCACGGCGAGGCATTGTATATCTTTCGAAAGTAATAGCTGAATAGGGCGGCTTAGTATGAAGAAGACAGCTCCATCCCATGGCAGTGGTCCTCACCTCGCAGGCATCTTCGACGGTCGTATCCGCATCCACAGTAACGACTGGCGAGTCGATGAGGTCTGTCAGATGCGCGATGAGACCAAGGTACATCTGCCTTGCCCAGCAATGCTATACTACCTCTCGCGAAGACTTGCTGCCATGCCTTCGTCCACTCCTCTACTTCCGCATTCGGAGCAGTCGCATAGACCAAGGGAGACTCGCTGCGGGTGCTAGAGATGGACATTCGCTTTCTCAGCGACATTGTGATATGTTCTCGTAGGTTGACTAGTGGTGGTGAGGAAGAAGAGGTCGACTGAGCGCCGCAGAGGGCGTTGAGAGGTACATGCCAAGGAGAGGCTGCATTGGAGCTCGATGGATCCTCACGCACGGGCGAAGAGCTCAATTGTACGTAACACTGCTGATTACACGTCTAAGAACCAGATTAGATTAGATCATAAGCGCCTCCCCTTCCCCTGCCTCCCGCTCCGGCTCCGCGCGCGCACTGCCCTCAGCGTCAGGCTCTCGCTTCCGCACAAGCCGCACCGGCGTGCGGCGCAGCTTGTCCAAACGCTGAGTTGATGGGACGAGGAATCCACGCATGCATGCTACCAGGATGTTTCTGTCCGCTGCTTCCTGGGCGCCTGGCGTCGGTATCGGGGAGGCTGGAGGCGCAGGGACGACCTGAACGATCGTCAGCGTCTCGATGTTGTGGATCTCGATCGTGTCGCTGGGTAACAGTGCGGTCGTGTATGGATAGTCGAGGCCTGCAGGAGACGTCATCAGCATCGTGCACGCGACTCGTGCTGCATACAGAAGACGCGCTGCTGTATGCCGTATGTCATGTGGGCCTCATCGTTACGTGAACAGTCGCATGCTTCCTCCGCTGCGCTGCGCTGTGGTGCGACGATGAATTCCATTGCTGACTGATTCGTGTCACGATAGTCACTGCCGTTCACTGACAATCCTTCGTCGACTAGACAGTGCCTCAAGGGAACAGCAGGATTGCGAAGGAAGAGAACTCACACAATGCGTCCGGATACAGTGGCCACTCCAATGTTCCACGAACGGGGTCTCCCTCGCCTGTGATAAAAACTCCCAGCGTATTGTTCCCGGTCCACGAGAGCATCAAAAATTCACACTCGTTGATCACGGTGACTGACGGCTTGACTCTGAAGTCGTCTCCTGCTTGGTTCAATGGAAGCACCTCGAACATTTGTCCCGAATTCAAGTTGATAAGGCTGTAGTTTCGCTCGTCTGCAATACAGACGTATTGTCCTGTACGTTTTGCGACAACGACACCCGAAGGCAACGGCATGGGCTACAATAGATATCAAGATCAGTGTTTATCGAGCATATGACACATCGCATGAGCGGGCTCCTGCGTGCGGAAACGCTTGCCACTTGTGATTCTGGAACAAAGGGCAAGGGATCATGGGCACTGACAGAGTGGTACTTCAGTCTCTCCTGCAAGCTGTACATCTCGATAGAACTCTTCTTGATCACGCAGAAATCGACAGGCTGAACACCCTGAGATGACGCGCTTGCAGCCGGACGTCGTAGGTGCTCTTCATCTGCCGCGATGGTCACCACACCCCGTATTGGCCTAATTACGCTTGAAGGAACCATGTCAAGGGACGGGAGGGTGTATATATAGACTTGACCATCTGCGCACAACGAAGAGCACTTAGACGATGTATACAAAAGAATTTACGTACTCTTGACGTACCAGCGAGGAGCAGTGCACGTGAAATGCTTGGAACCAAGATGATCTCTTTGATTGGCTTCCCGACTACGACGCTCTGCCGCGACTGGAGGCTATACGAGTCTGGCTATTCAAAGCTGTAGACCATAAGAGCTGCTCTGACTCCTGTAGCTTCACATCAACGTACCGTGACGTTGCTCCCAGGTTGCAGGGCGAATCGCAGCAATTCTCCGTCGGAGCATCCAACATAGATCTCGGCACCTGTGAAATGAGCATAGGCTATACGACTAGAATGTCAGCTCACCTAGTGCTTGTGCACAGCATATCGTTGAAGACGGAGCGGATGGTCCTACGATAAGTGTGTTTGGGAGATGACACTGCAGCGGCTGTGGGTCACGACTTACGAGCCACCCTATCCAGCACCGAGGCGATCAGAGGTTGTAGTTGATATGGAGGAACATCAACTGGTGCAACCGGCGCGGAGGTCATAACAAAAGATAACAGATATCGTGCAGTAAAACAGTCTGCAGTAAAACAATCGATATCCTGTTGAAGTTTGCAAAAGCGAAGATGAAGGTATATATAGAGGAGAGGAGAGGAAACTAGGCAGCGCGGCCGCCTCGTACGCGTCGGGTCACGTGGGGCGCGTAACATTTGCGAAGGGAGCACCCAGGAAGCGCCCACATCTTCTGGTCTTCGCTTCACTTTCTCAATCCGACCAGACCCTACCCTTCCATTCTCCGGTGTCTGGATATGCTCTCAGGTTCTGTCTGCTGACAATTTCGAAGATAACACGGTCCTGTGTAATTGGACAACACTTCCTAGATATAACTGCGAGTCGACCCAGAGGGCAGACTAATCACCCATCTTTCTCTCTTCCTCTTGTCTCTCCGACGACCCTCGTCAACAATGACCACGACGGTGACTACGGCTTTCAGCTCTCAGGCCGGCACTTTGGGCGCATCTGTCCCTCCATTTACCGCTCACGCCATCTCCGTGTCGCTTCCGACATGGAAGGACACCGTAGGGTACGAGGAAGGTGACAAGCGAGTGGTGGATGCGATGGTCTCAGGCTACCCGCGATTCTTCTTCCACCTCAGCATCCAAAAAGTGAGTCGGAGCCGTCCTGCTCGCTATCAGGTGCTGAATACCTCTTAAGCTAGCCCAAATATGCGAGCAGAAGTTCGGCGTGAACGGCGAGCGTTGCCTTCTCTGTCCGACACGTAAGATTGCAGAGCAATGTCGTGCATTCATGATTGATCGGTCTTCCAAGACGGGCTCTGCGGTATCCGTGCGCCTTGTTCAGTTCCTTATCTGCCCAGAGGACGAGCCGGAGACGACCGAGTCCTGCATCGAGCTCTACATCGTGCTGTTCCCCGGTGACTCGTTCCCTCTGGCGAAGCAGTTCTTCCAGCACACTGGTCTATGCATTTCTAGTCGATACGCCGAGCACTGCCTGTCATTGTTAGAGAAGGAAAAACCTGGCTCTCCCAAGCCTGCGTTCGCACGCCCACATACGCGGACTCCGAATCGGCACTATTCGACTAACAGCTTCAGCAAGTCCCCGCCAGCGACCCCAGTGCCAGGGCACAGCACGAGGCTTCCTGCGAAGCCAACGGATGAGGCGCTTAGTGCGGATCAGAGTGTGTATGTGGAAGAACGGTACGGACGGAACCTCCCACTCGCCTCTGCTGCTGCGGCCAAGAGGGCACTCCGCCGACGCATTGCTGGTGTGCTCGTGCAAGATAGTCCGAGCGACTGGTCCACTGCGGGAGGCCACGAAGCAGAGCTAGGCCCGAGTACGAGAGGCGTGGAAAGCGTGACCGAGGACGATGTGTACCTGTATTCCACGGGTATGTCGGCCATTTGGAGTGCACATCAGTTAGCTCTCGGTGTGCTTCCTGCAGCCAAAAGCATTTGTTTCGGGTGAGCTATTGTCGGCTCGAGATTGGAGCAATTGCTCACGCTTGATCGCAGCTTCCCGTATACCGACACGCTGAAGATCCTAGAGAAATGGGGTCCTGGTTGCCACTTTTTTGGTCGCGGCACTGACGAGGAGCTTGAGGAGCTCGAAAACTTGCTGGAGAAGAAGACTGCAGACTCGAGCGAGCCTCCCGCGCTCGCTCTGTTCACCGAGTTCCCTTCGAACCCCCTCCTGCGTTCTGCAGATCTTCCTCGACTACGAGCACTCGCGGACAAATACAACTTCCTGGTCGTCGTCGATGAAACTCTTGGCAATTTCGTGAACGTCGAGGTCCTCCCTTACGCCGACATTGTCGTGAGCAGTCTTAGCAAGGTCTTCAGCGGCGATGGCAATGTAATGGGCGGCAGGTAAGGTTCATATCGGCGGTGTTGCGACTCCGTTACTGAGTATGATCACAGTCTTGTTCTGAACCCACACGGCCGGCATTATGCAGCGCTCAAGGCCTACATGACACAGAGCTACGAAGATTCTTACTTTGACGAAGACGCCATTTACATGGAGCGCAACTCGCGCGACTTCAGACGGCGCATCGAGATCATTGACGCGAACGCGTTCGCCGTGTGCTCCTTCCTTCGCTCGCGCTCGCTCGACGATCCGTCGCCCCCTGCTCGCGCGGCCATCAACCAGGTGTACTATCCCAAATGGGAGACTGCCGCGAACTTCGACCGCTGTCGGGTCCGCAAGGACGGCGTACCCACGGGAGGGTATGGTGGGCTGTTCTCGCTGACGTTCACCACCACCGCAGCGGCACAAGCGTTCTTCGATGCACTTTCGTGCCATAAAGGCCCGAGCTTAGGCACAAATTTCACGCTGGCATGTCCCTACGCGATCCTGGCACATTTCGCGGAGCTCGACTGGGCGGCCGGATATGGCGTGGAGTCGAACCTGGTGAGGGTCAGTGTCGGCATGGAGGCGCGCGCTGCCCTCCTGCGATGCTTCGAAAAAGCGCTCTCGGCGGCCGAGGCTGCCTTGGACAGTGCATGAGTTCTTGATTACAAGTACTCAATAGTCAATATGAAGCGCGCTGTGGAGGGTTCAACCCCCTCTCGGCTGCGTGATGATGCGATGATACCACCGTTAGCGTAGTACATTACTTGTCCAACCAAGATGTAGTACCAGACATTCACACAACAAATGCATATATCATGTACCTACTTCAACGTCGAAGCCGGAGCCTGGGGGAACGGGCGTTTCCTTCGCTGGCGGGTCGGGGATCTCAACGATGGATCCGCGTGTGGCCGAGTCGACATCCGTAGCGAGTGCCAGGGAGACCTTCTCATCAAACGACATCGGCTGGCCCTTTTCGTCAAGCTTCTCTCCTTCAACGGGCCCGTCGTCCGCAGCCTCCTCAATCAGAGCCCCTGCCTCTCGCAGGGGGTACCATGCCTTCTCTGTCACTGTCAGGTTCTCCCCCGCGCTTATGGCCTTGACGATCAGGCCTTCATGTCGCGCGTGCAAGGTCCTGCGTAGGGATCGGGCGACAAAAGTAGAGAGAACACGCAACGGCCACTCTGGAGGGACTAGTGCGATGACCTAGAAAGAGAGTGTATTAGCAGACTGCAGGAGCATAGGATATAGCGACGGACGCTAAGCTCATCAAGGTTCATTGCTTGAGCATTAAGGAACCGTGCTGTTTGCTCGGCCATTTCCTCCCTAGCGTAGGCGTCACAGCATCGAACCAGTGGTGACGACAAAGGACATACCCTCCGCTCATGTAAACTTCCAACAGAATCTTAATCAGGCTCTTCTTTAGGTCGCCATCAACAGTGGCAAGCCTGTTCAATGGCGGTGCGCCTGGTCTCGTCTTCCCAGATGTCGGAGGAGCAAGCAGAGCTGCCCATGGCTGCAGTGCGAACCTCTCCCCCAGTGATTGCGCGGTCTTCAGCGGGATAACCTCTCCACCAAGCGTGCAATAGATCTCTGCCGAGGTTGTATCTCGGAGGTTGTGCACAAGCGATGTCAGCGCTGACTGGTGTTTGCCAAGCTAGAGGTTTGAAGACGTTAGTTGAGTATCATGGAGCGATAAGCCTTCGACCGACCTTGCCGTCCACTATTGCTAGCTCTAATCTAAGAAGTTTCTCGTGCTGGGAAAGACGGTCACGGATCGCCTGCGCATCATACTGTGTCGAGCCTTGCAGGAACAGCACTGTCTTTATTCGCGTCCGCGTAGCTTCTGTATCGGGTGTCGTGGACGCAAAGTAAGACAAGAAGGTATCTGTATGGCTCGTCGCATACGACGATGCTGCAATGAACGCGTAATCAACGAACCGCACGGAATATTATGTTGCTGCGCCCACACCTTTCGCTCGCCAAAGTTTAGACGTTTGCTCGTCCGCTACGCATTCGAGCAGTTGATCAACGCATGTCATTGCGAGCTGCATGTGCAGATCGGCATCCTGGACCGATCTGCGTCAATATTGCACGGATGCTAGATGAGATGAGATGACTGACGTTGCTGCGTTTCTGCAACACAAGGAACTCAAGGTATCGAGCGCCAGCCTTGGGGTCTGCTTCCTGGATCTGTTCAAGAAGCATCCGGTCATCCTCGGTGACACGTCTGCTCGAGCTGAACGACATAAATAGCTGCAGTACGATTAGTCGGTGATGACTTCGATGGATCTGTGCAAGTCACAGACCTTCAGTGCTCGATCGGCATCCCGCTTGACCAGCCATGCACCCCATTGCTGGGTGAGAGCTCGGTCTCTTTTCTCGCTCAGAAGGGTAAAGATGTTGGACAGTGGATCTCCCACTCCTCCGTCTGTCCATTCGCCGTCAACGAGCCTGCAGATTATACAACGATGTATCACATAATCAAAAGACAGGCATCATTCTAAGTCAGCGAATGAGAGCATGTAATTGATGGTGACAATTATACGCACTTCGCCCATGCCTCGAGCAGCTTGTCATCCTGCTCTTGCTGTTGGTACAGGCTGCAGAGTGCAGCAAATTGACGATGTTGCACGAGAAGCGGCTCAACCTCGGATAGGACGATGGCATTCGGCTGGCTGATAAGTACATGAAGCTCTGGGGAGACATCATGCACTATGAAGAGTTCTGCAAGGACAGTATCGACAGCCTACACATTATGGAGATATACAAGGACGGTATGGATAAAGTGATGCCTCGAAGACGAGTGTATGATAATTTGCTCACCATAACAATAGCAGGCAGGTTGACGAGGTACCCTACATCACTCTGCATGCACTTCTTCCTCCAATGCCGCAAATACACCTCTAGCATGTGCCGGGCCGCGGCCTTCAAGGCATTGAGCAGCTCGACTGCCTCTGGAGCAGTCCGGGTGTTCGGCGGCAGATGTGGAGAGTAGTTGAGAACTAAGTTGGCCGCAACTGGGATTAGTCCCAGCGAGAGGCGTGGTGCGGGAGAGTAAGTTCATAGGGACAAGTGTCCAGGAGAAGAAAGAAGAGGGATGCCCAGAGGCCAACCGTGATATAGTACTCAGATGGTACGGACGCGCCAATATGGTGATAGCCAAGGAGCAAAGCAAAGATAATAGAGACTGGTGACTCACTGATTTCATCTACGGACTCTTCCCTCGGCATGTGCTCTGCGACGCCGGCAAACATATCCACTGAATCCATGTCGCCAAAGAGGTTCCCACGGAAGTCGGGATAGTAGCTAATCAGAACGCGGGGGTCGAGTCCTCCTGCGAATAAGTGCTTTCCTGCGTCGTCGAAGCGTACCTCACAGAGACACTGCAATCCCAGCCGTTGGTAAACATAGAACAGCTCGTCTTCCTGGCACGTTAGATCAACACAAGCATGCTGATACGCAAGGGAGTTTAATCGTCACTTCAATATCGCCCATAGTGGCGGACTGTTGCAACTTCTTGAGCTGTTGTTCCGCTAATTCGACTGCGTCCTCTATCCTGTGGGCATCCAGGAGAGCATCTGCCTGAGATATAAGAGTCGAAGGCAACAGAGCTTGCACAGAGTTGGAGCCAAGCACTAGGACGTTAGCGCGAGGGAATGAAGCGTATCGCGCAGCCATGGAGGGGGAAGTGAATCAGAGGTTGTGCTAATCAGAGGTTGTGCTAATGAACGAGTGGGATGTGCGGTCACGGGCTCATGGGATTTCTTGCGCTCATACATTTATAAGTTACTTTCTACGGACAGAGATGAACATACACTCACAGCAGATCTGACAGTCAGCTCACAGGGCCAGAAGTCCACGCAGATACTAATTGCCCTCGATCACCTAGGACGTATTGACTGATGCCGTGGATTTTGAGTGAAGAATTCTGGCTGAGGGGCCGGCTTTGCTCTGTGCAGCAGCTATAGAGTCGCAGTCGGACTCCAGACACGGTGACCGCGGACGCGCGCCTTGCCACCGCCACCGCCGGCGCTAACACGTCTGCACGTGCGTCGCGCGTTTCGGAATAAGCGCCTTCAGGCGCGTCGACAACCTGCATCCTACCCTCAGCCACACTTTCGGCGGAGGGTTGCTTCGTTGCTATCTTCACCCTTGTGCGCACTTCCATATTTATTGACCAGCTGGCACCTTTGAATACACTTCTGCTCGCTATAAGAGATGAGCAGGGATGGCAACAGCGAGGCTGAACAACAACAGCAGCAGCACTCCTCCATTGATTGGAGCTCGTTGAGACACAGGAGCCTTCAGCCCGGAGGTTTCGGAGAGGAGCGCACACAGATATGGTGAGCGTCGCTACATTGCTGTTCCGAGCAGAAAATTCACCTCTTTCGAGGCCTCAGCTACTGCATGTGAGCGCGACTCGGTCCCGCTCCAGCTCTGCCTCTTCTTCAAGGTCTCGTGATCCTAGCGAGGGGACTACGGCTGAGGGAGAGGACCAGAATACTACCTCAGAAGTAGTTCATCAAGATGAGCGTCAGATTGGATTGGATACCGATCGAAGTTTTGTTCTGTATCCAGTAGGTGACTATCCAAGGTCACCTCTTCTGAGCCGCTATTGACGTGCGGGTCTCTCGGAAGAAGAGATGACACGTAGAGAACGTCGTCAAACACAGCTGCATGACCTAATTGTCAAGGTCTTCCGGAAGAGACAGCGCTTGCACTACTTCCAGGTATGACCATGAGAGTTGATCTCCATCCATTGCTCATGAGGAGCTTAGGGATATCACGATATTGTCTCCGTGATATATCTTACACTTCCGGTGGACGTGCAAGTTCCTGCGGTGGAGAAGCTCAGCCTTCATATACTTCGAGACTCGATGGGCACCAGCCTTGAGCCTGTCGTTGGCCTGCTGCGGTATGTAGTTTGTCCGCTCATCAGTGGACTTGAGTGATATATTGTAAATTCAGAGTATTGAAACGGCTACTCGAATTGATCGACGCAGACTTCTCCGTACTGCTCGAAAGGTGTGTTGGTCTTCCGATCCGCCAACTGGTTGCTAAAGCATAAATACATAGGACGTCGCCGCTACCATATTATGCATTATCCAATCTATTGACTCTGCTGTCTCATGATATCCCCACACTCCCGCAGATACAGCACGTTTTTGACTATTTATTGTGCAGACATCCAATTCATATTGTCTACCTTGTTGCTGCTGTGCGTCCGCGATATTCCTCCTTAGTCCATAGCAGCTAATGTCTTTGTGGATTTGCAGCTCATCCTCGCGCGAAGAGAAGAGGTTCGAAGACTGGAAGTGGATGGCGAAGAAGGCATGGTCCATTCAGTCCTCAGCAGCCTTCCTGAGCTATATGAGGAGGCCGAAGTCGCACCCACTGTCGAAGAAGCGATCACATTTCAGACGCAGTCGACTGGAATTACACATTCAGTCTCGGACACCGCCCCGGCAGATGCTCCGAACCATGATCGGCCTGTGGAGACAAATGGGACCGAGGAAGTTTTGTCCGAACGATACCCCGTCGCGGAAGTTGATATCCCAGAACATACCCCCTTCGGTAGCGAAGCGGAAGATAGTACTGCTTTCGACAGTTCTTCATCAGCTTCCTCGCTTACTCTTGATGAAGAAGATCGGCAACCTGCAGACACCCCTGCAGACATCGTTGATGGAGCCACTACTGCTACCGATTCTCGGAAGTATCCTCCTCCGCATGTTCATTCCCCCTCATCCTCCCTTCATACCCCTCCTCGTCCTCGCGTGTCGATTACCTCCTTGCTGATGCACGCCGATGAATTGTATGCACAATACCCACCATCCCATCCGTCCGTCTCCCTCTCGTCCATCATGGGCCCCCAGAGCGTGATGCACACATGGTCTGAGAACCCCGCGGACTTGCCCGACGACGATGAAGCGGAACTAATGGTTGACAAACTCGAGCTAGTCGTCCTACCGTACATTGAGCCTGAAGACGAGGTGCCATCTGACGAGGAATACGTGGCCGAGCGCAAGAAGGAAGCGGAGCGCAGGAAGCGACGGAAGCTCCGCAAGCCGCGGCGGCTTGTCACACAGCGCAAGGCTATGGTCGCGGGCGCAGTGCTCGTTATGGGTATCGCTATGGCGGTGTACGGCATGCAGGCCGGCGGGCCAGGGGGCGTGTTCCGAGGGATGGCAGACACTCAACACCATGGACACACGTTGAGCAAGGAGTGGAAGCGCTTAAATCGGTTTGTGGGAGGGGTGCTTCTGGGGGTTGGGGAGCGAATAGTGGACGGGATATGGCATTGAGTGTGCTGCTGCGATGCAGGTCTGCACATCTGGAGTTACAATGTATGCACTATGTATGCGGACTAGTATCTCGATGTATCGTATCTTCGTTTCAATCGCAATCGATCTGTATCTCAATGCACGAATTATCAGGCGATTTATATGACGTGATGATAAAGCCAGTGATAGTAAAAATTGCCGCCTAGAAAGATGGAGCCGACAATTAAATTCAGTTCCCGGCACGCATATCGACCGCAGACGCGGGATTCAGGTCAGATGTGGTCTCAATACTATATTCTGAAACATCACACTTCGCGGCGTATATGCCAGGAGACGTCAAACGCAACGTGTAATATGATACGGGGTGCCTCGACTGCGTGCCGTTCACTAACTGAATGAGATTGCCAGAAACGTGGTGGGCCCATTTGTGCCCGATGCACCGTGCCAGTTCATGTGTATGCATAGAAGCTCCATAGTATTACTGTGAACACATGCGATTTGTCGCGCGATTCATCTATCAGTGGTTCAATGTTGGCAGGAAGCCTCCTCGGAAAAGCGAGGAGATGGTGAAGACGATGCCTTTTGCCTGGTATGTGCCCCCCCTCTCTCTCAAATCCTAAGATAATCAGGCACACTATAGGTCATGTCTTCAATAGACAGAGCACTGCGCTTCGGAATGAGATCCGTCCAACGACAGGCCTGGAGGCCGTCGCAGCGTTGGCACAAGCCTATAATTAGATAATACATTGACCTCGTAAGGAGAAGTCATACATTACTGTCTTCCATAAGAGCGGTAGAAGAGGAAGGAGCCAATCCCGACGTAGCTACCACCATCATTTTCCTCGTCAACAAGTTACCGAAGGGCGTAAGGAAGACATGTTAATGTCCGCACGTAGACGGACACACTCCGAACCCGTTCCCTTCCAAAAACATCCCGAACACCATAACCATTCCGCCAATAGCAGGTGCGCATAGGGCCGCCACGCAAAGAGCTTGCACTTCCTTGGGTATCACACCCCCTTCCACTGCCAGATAGCCCAAGACGCAAGTGTCAGGACACACGACGCCTGGTTGGCAGATAGCCAGGCGGTCATCCACGCCCGTTCTGCCACCGTGCTTGCCGCCGCTTGGAAGCCAGTTAGGGAATAGATGAGGATGTATGGGAGAATCATGACAATGAGGAAGGCTGTGACGATGCTCGCTGTCTCCCACCAAGGTAGAGAGCGGCACTCCTGAAGCTTGTCCTCCGGTGCAGGACCGTTGTGAGTGATTGGGCTGATGAGTATCTTGTGGGCATCGTGTATAGGACATGAACTGAACTTGAGCTCCTTATCCTCGAACTCTTCTGTGTTGATGAGGAGTATGGCAGGCTCTCCGGTGTCAGGGTTTGCGTCCTTCAGCAAGAGCTCTGCCGGGACGTAGCCTGAATGGGCGAACGCTTTGAGGTCACGGATTGATACCGGGAACTTTCTCACTCTTCCGAGAGAGCCAAAGAAACGCCCCCTTCTCGCCTCTCCGCTTCCTCCAAAATCGGCGTCCTCAGAACATGCCCGCAGTTGTAGTCCCCCACTAAACGTGCATATATCATTTTCATGAAGGACATCAGGGCATAAGGGAATACGGTTAACCCGTACGCCGCATAACCCCATCGTGCAAGCTGATTTCCAGATGACAAGTATAGAGTGATTGAGGCGGAGACGATCTGGATGAGAGAAGCGACCATTTTGAGCAAGCTTTGTGAACGAGGTATGACAGCAGTTCCAGTATCTTCCAGTGATTCACGTATAATATTTTCGGTGAATGACTTGTTGGCGGGAGCTGCTAGGGTGTAGCCTTCCGGCAAGCTCACATCGCCGTATACGGCATGGTCGTGGTGATCGATCTCCCAGTGAGCTTCGTCTTCCGTCTCCAGCTCGAAAAATGCGTAGACTCTGATGATTTACATGAGTAATTCTACGGATTGGAGTCAGTCACAGGGAACTTACTTGTTACTGCTCCAAAGATCTTCTGGAAGTCTAACAAAGACAGTTTCTGTGACCCCCCGTAGCGGTGTCCACCTCTCAGTACGCGCGACAACGAGCAATGCTCCATGAGCAAGAGCAGCACGGATGTCATCTCCGTTCCACCTGAGTTGTTGGGCAGTCACGAGAATTGCTCTCGCCAACCCGCCGAATGGAAGAAAAAGACAAATTATGCTTGCCCACGGAAAATGCCGCTGCAAAGTGACATGTCTTGTATATCTGCCGACCTCTGCAGAGGTGGGCACAGACGCTGCGTGTGCAACGTAATTCATGGCGAAGAAAATTAAGGATTTCCAGATGACGGTGGCATTTTGATAACAAATCAAGGATGGGCTGATCGCAGCTGCGACTGGAGCAGAGATGGCCGAAGTGATGAGACACATGCATGAGAGAATGTAAAGCACAATTGAAGGAAAGCGGTACATCGCGGTGGCAGAATGAGTTGAGGAAAGAATTGCAGTGTGGGTAGCCTGTTTATAGCATCCTCCTAGCCGCCGGAAGTCCTCATGCATGGATGAAGGAAATGACCGCAACACAGCTTCAATGCGGCAAGTTTTGATCTGGACTCATGAATAAATGCGACACGAAGACATCCATGAGGATCAAGCCACAAACAACGGACATGCGTAGAGCGCCTTCTGCAAACAAGAGAGTATCAGACACAATTTTTGATACCAAAAAAGGTCATGCCTAGAGCCCTATGCCTCATGAAACACGTACTGGAACAGCAGCATGGCGTTAATAGTAGCGTAAAGGCGATATGGCACGCATTTGCAGAAATCCATGATTCGTGGCTAATCATGTAGCGGGCCTTGCGTTCATTGTTGCTAGAGAGAGCCAGAACTTTATGATGACAATGTCCGACAGCATGACCCAGAGGGTGAGTTCTGTAAGGCCCCGGGCAACTCTCACATATGAGTGTCGCAAAAATCTTCCAAAATCAGCCTAAAATATGCAAAGTTTTTGGCCTGAAGTATGCAAAGTGCGACAAGGCCCGTGACTATGTCACATTATGTAACGATATGTCACGTCATGTCAGAGTCGAAAACATACGGATTTGTTGGCGAGACAGCATGGTGCTCTTGCATAACGATGTTCTGATAATCGAGGGATACGTAGAATGTGTACTTAGAGTGACTAGTGAGACTCAGGGGAAGGAGAGGATGTAGGAAAGGCTCGAATGCTCTTGGACGTAACAATGCAGACAATGCCTGCATGTATTATAACGGTTATCGGGTTCGGGAAATCACTCAATTAATTTATATTGATATGGGGCTACCATGGGTGGCCTTGTCGCATGGATATCAAGCTTTAGCCACCCGGACATGCCTTAATTGGAGGCCTCCTGACACCCATCAGGTCCCAAAATATGCTAAGTTGCGATAAGGTTAGGGGTCTTGGAACGGCCTCAGAGGCCCTAAATATGCAATCAGCGACAAGGAAATCATGATTTTGGGCCCCTCAAATATGCTATTTTGCGACACTCATATGTGAGAGTTGCCCGGGGCCTGTTCTGTAGCGGACGCATCGTGATGTCCGTCTTTCCTTCCTTTCAGTAAAGGTTCCGTAATAAGCGAATGTCCAAATTGACGGCTTCAATTCGAAGAAACCTTTTGAAATACAGCTACTAGCAGCACGAAAGCAACTTGATGACGAGTAGCTTCGGAGCCAAAGGAAATTAGAGTGAGCCGATTCAATACTAGGCGTTCGACTAGCTTGCAGTTGATGTGCAACGCGCGACCACATTCAAAATTTCATCTACTCCGGTGTAGGTCACGTGATCGTGACGAGGACCGCGTCTGCAGTTTAGCGCTCGCTCAGACTCTCTCCTTGTTTGCCGCGGGCAATAACGTCGGGCAGTTGATAAGGTGCTGCAGATTTCGAAACGTGGAAAGCAGAATTTACTTTGTGCTGAGTTCTGTCACCGTTTCGGAACAAGAACACTCCAGAGTGCCGCTGGCTCGTCAGAGACGCGTCTACTGCGGTAAGTGTGGCTCGCGTTCAGCGATGAACGGAACATCTCATATTTGGTAAGCGGAAAGGTGATTTCTCAAGCAACAGCAGAATACATTTCCTTATCGCAAGTTCTTAATATGCCTCTCATTCGCATTGAAGTATGCGACTTCAAGTCGTACAGGTATGCTCTCGAAGTCAGTACACTGTGTGTGATCATTCTAACATGCTAGAATAGAGGACATCAAGTGATTGGCCCTTTCCGTAACTTCACGTCGGTTATTGGACCCAATGGCGCGGGGAAGTCGAACCTCATGGACGCGATTTCCTTCGTCCTTGGCGTGAAGAGTCTTCAACTCCGAAGCAGCCAACTCAAAGATCTCGTCTACAGAGGCAGGCGACTTGCTAGAAACCCTGACGGGGAGCTTGAGGGCGATGTACAAGGCGGTGATGACGATGGTGAGGGGGAGGGAGAAGGATCCGCCAAGAAAGCTTGGGTACTTGCAGCATACGAGGATGCTAGTAAAAAGGGATGGACATTTCAGAGAACGTACGCTCCATTCATATATTTATCTCTTCAATGTCTCAAGTGACCTCCTAGCATCTCTACGACTGGCGCGTCTGAATACAAGCTCAATGGCCAGGTCGTCACTTATTCCGCATATAACGCCGCCCTTGTGTCGCATAATATCCTTGTCAAGGCGAAGAACTTCCTGGTCTTTCAAGGAGATGTGGAGGCTGTAGCGTCGCAGTCCCCCAAGGAGCTCACTAGGTTGATTGAACAGATCAGTGGCTCTTTGGAACTCGCGACCGAGTATGAGAAGGCCAAAGAGGCACAAGACCGCGCGACTGAGAACGCTACCTTCAACTTCACAAAACGTAGGGGTATCGCTGGGGAGATCAAACAGTACAAGGAGCAGAAGACCGAGGCTGAGCGATTCGAAGCGTTGTGCCAAGAACGCGTAAGTGCGGGCTGCATTATCTGAGAGCAGCGAATAACTCATATTCTTACCAATCAGGACGACATGGTTCTACATCGAATCCTTTTCAAGCTGTACCATATCCAACAGGCGCTTGAGGAGCATGCACAGGCCATAAAGACACAAAACGAAGCATTGGTCAATCTGCGTGAGGAACAACGTGAACACGACAAGGCTCTCAATGAAGCACGAGCGGACCAGGCCCAAGCTCGTTCTGTCGTCTTGCAAAAAGAGAAGAAAATCAAAAAAGCTGAGAAAGCGCTTGAAGCGAAGGTTGGCTCATTTTGGTTGAGTGTAGATGCGCCTTCTCAGATATTGTAGAAACCCGATCTTGTTCAAGTTGAGGCGCAGATCAAGCACTCAGAGCGAAGGCGAGACAATGCACTGAAGGAAAGAGAGAAGGCGGAGCAGGCAGCGGATAAGCAAAGGGAACAACTGAGGGTTCTGAGAGCTGACCTCGAGAAAGTCACGAAGGCTGCCGATGATGCTCAAGGCAAGTTATGTTTGGTGTCGTTGCAAGGCCTACTGATAATCCAGCGTTCCCGCAGAGGCACAGAGGAGGGCGAGTCAGCGAAACCTTGCTCTTAGCCCAGAGAGCTTGGAGGAGTATCGACGATTGTTCGTGTATTCTGCGCATCCGGACCGAATGCAGTTCTCACATAAGGTTCAGGAAAGCCCAAGCCAGTATCCTTGCTGTGGAAGAACGTCAATCGTTGGAGACGCTTTCTCGCGATGAGAAGACTGCGTCTCGTGCACTGGCACAGTTGAAGGACAAGATCGAACAGCAGATACAAAAGGCGGACAAGCTCAAACAGGACAAAGAGTTGCAGAGCCAGAAGCGAGCCGAGGTACGCCGATCAGTTTCATACCAACGGTCACGTCACTGACCGTCTGTATAGCTGGAGGCCAAGGTGGCCGAGCTGAGTGAGACTTTGGCGACGACAAGACAAGAGCTGAACAACCAGAACGATGAACGTACGAGGATTGTGTATGTGCATCTTCCTCTCACCCTCCGATTTACTCAACGTAGCCGTTCCACAGCAAGTTGGAGGCCGAGATCAACGAGAAATTGGTCGACGTGCATAACAAGCTTCTTCAGGCTGGTGTGGACCAGAAGGAAACCGAGCGCGAAGCAAAGATGAAGGAGACGCTTGCTAGCCTGCAGCGCATCTTCCCAGGTTTGCATCGTTAGTCGCAGCTCAGATGTTTCCGCTGTTAATCGTGATGGGTAGGCGTACGAGGCAGAGTAATTGACCTTTGCAAGCCAACGCAACGGAAGTACGAGACTGCGGTTTCCGTTGTGCTGGGCCGGAACATCGACGCGATCGTCGTTGACGAGGAAAAGACAGCAATTGATTGCATTGAGGTCAGTCTTCAACCACTAATGTAACGTCAAGGTTTGACTTGAAGTCCATTGCGAGTAGTATATGCGCAATCAGCGGGCAGGCCAAGCTACCTTTATCCCTCTGGACACGATCCAGGTTAAGCCAATCAATGACAAGTTCCGCTCTTTCGCAAAGGGCGTTCGGCTTGCTGTGGACGTCATCCAGTATGAACCTGCCGTTGAACGGGCAATGCATCACGCTTGTGGAAATGCCCTGGTCTGTGACACGATGGAAGTCGCGCGATATGTCTGTTACGAGAAGGGGCAGGAGGTCAAGGGTGTGTAATTGCGCATCCACATATAGGAGGAGTCTCTGACCGCTGTCTTCTCCGCAGCGGTGACCTTGGAGGGGACCATCATTCACAAGAGTGGTTTGATCACGGGTGGACGTAGCACTCACGGAACGAGTAGGAAGTGGGAGGAAAAGGATGTCCAAGGTTCGCTTACAACTAGATTTGGTTCCGATGGTTGATCTCACATTTTCCCGGTGTCGCCAGGTCTGCAGCGCGTTCGTGACAACTTGCTTGGCCAGTTGAGGGATCTGAACAAGTCGAAGCCCCGTGGAAAGGCCGACGATAACCTGATCGCAGAAATAACTCGCTTGGAGTCTGCCCTAACAATTGCCAAGGACGACCTGGTATGGCTGATCCATCTCCTAATTGAACAGTATAGCTAACCAATTTTGCTGGATAGGCTGCCTGCAAACTCCGACTTGATGGGATCAAGGATGAACTCAGGCACGTCGATAAAGAAATCAAGCGCATTAACCCTGAGTTGCACAAGGTGGGCACCGTAGCACATAGACATAGCATGGGCTAACCTAATGCCTAGGCTCAATCAGCATATGACAAACTCAAAGAGCAGATGGACGAACTGGCTTCCATTGTGAACGCAGAGGAAGACGGCGTTTTCGCTGACTTCTGTGGGACCATTGGCGTTGCCAACATACGCGAGTTCGAAGAACGGCAATTGAAGGTGATTCGCGCCGAGAGCGAGGCCAGACTGCAATTCGATACGCAAATTGCACGTCTCACACATCAGTAAGTACGAGCTTGCCAACAGGTCGAACCTTAGTGAATGACTGCCTCGATGTAGATCCAAGTTCGTTGAGGAGCAATTGCAGATGACCGAAGAACGTCTCCAGACGATCATCGATGTCGTTCAAACCGAGGAGGAAAACATCACAAGGTATTCGGAGAATAAGGTGAACATTGAGGAAGAGATCAAGGCCGCGAACGAAGCCATCACAACATTGCAGAAGGAAACGAAAGAGCACGCCGAAGTATTGGAAGAGAAGAGCAAAGTCGTCGAGAAAGTCAAAAAGACAACGATGAAGGCTGCCAGACGTCTCGATGAGGCCTTGAAAGAAATTGCTAATAGAGCAAGGTTTCCAATTGCACCACTGCAGATATATCACTAACAAAGGTGGTTATTCAGAACGATGAGATTGAGAAGCTCGGCCTCGAGCGTTCGGCCACCTACCGGAAATGTCGATTGGACGAGGTTGGCTTGCCATTGCTGGAGGGCAGTCTCAAGAACGTCCCCATGGAAGAGGTGAGCTCGTGATGATTGGCTTCCCGCTCTATATCCGCTAAGTGGCTACAGAATCTAAGACAAGAGTTTGCAATGGATGTCGATGAAGAGGAAGATGGGATGCAGCACGTCAAGAGAATTCCCGATTATGGCATCGAGGTCGATTTCGAGAGCCTTGACAATGACGAACGAGAGGTGATCGGTTTTTTGTTTTGGATTCCCCAGCTGTTCTAATGTAAGAATAGGATGGCTCTGCGGAAGCATTAGCCGAAATCGACACATCCATCGCTAAGCTGAATGCTGAGATTGAACATATGGCCCCTAACCTCAAGGCTATGGAAAGGTGCGCACATTCGCCTGTAGCACAGTTCTTGGATGCTGATCGAAATAGACTTGACGACGTCGAGGCAAAACTATTGGAGACCGAGAAGGAAGCTGACAAAGCTCGCAAGGATTCGAAGAATGCTCGCGATCATTTCAACGACGTGAAGCGTCGACGGTGGGACCTTTTCATACTCGCAGCTGTTGGCATGTGGTAATCTCTGATATCGTAACAGATGTGAACTGTTCAACAAGGCTTACAACCATATTTCTGAGCATATCGACGAAGTGTACAAAGATCTTACCAAGGGAAAGGCTGCTCCGATGGGCGGTGTAGCGTACCTGAGCTTGGAAGATAGCGAAGTGCAGTTCTCATCGCGTAGCCAGTTGCTCGATCTCATTCTTGCTGGTAGGAACCATACACTGCAGGTATCAAGTATCACGCCATGCCTCCCATGAAGCGCTTCAGAGACATGGAACAACTATCGGGAGGCGAGAAAACAATCGCGGCTCTAGCGCTTCTCTTCGCTATCCATAGGTGAGTCGGCAACGTTAGATAAGGCTCGTGACTTACACGCGTAGCTATCAACCTTCACCGTTCTTCGTCCTCGACGAGGTGGATGCAGCTTTGGACAACACGAATGTTGCAAAGATTGCCAATTACATCCGGTCTCATGCTTCGGATACCTTCCAATTCATCGTGATCAGCTTGAAAGGTTCGCTCTATGAACGAAGCAATTCCCTGGTGGGAATCTATCGCGATCAAGATGTGAACAGTTCGCGCACTTTGACACTTGACGTAAGTTGACTAGCGTTGTCTTGAAGCTATTGCTGAGGCCCATCACGACACGCACAGTTGACACAGTACGACGAATGAATACCCCACAATATATCCGGCGTCTGCTATGTTGTGCAATGAATGACAGTGTCAGATCCAACCCGTTTCGTCCATGTGAAGTGTTCTTGTAGCATAATTATAATCATATATCATAACGATATGCGAGGGTATAGACCAAACGCGAATGACAAAACTAGGCTGATAAGTTACTGCATGGAAAGATGCTAGCGTCTATGGAAGGAGCGCGGTCACACAAAAATGTTGCAATCAAAATGCTTGACCAACATCATCCCGTCCACCAAAGGTTCCCCTACTGGGCTCTCTGGCAAGCATGCACCCGGGACGTGGAACTGTCTCATCCGCAAATGACGTTGGCTCCGAGTCAAATCTGTTTTCGAAGTACGTATTAAGCACTGACATATGCTCAGGAGTGAAATCTGCAGGAGGCACAGGAAAGTCGGACAACCCAGACATGCGCGACGTGCCAGTATCACCAGTCATGTAACTGGAACGGAATTGGTCGCCAGGTCTGGGAACGCCTAAACTGGACTGAAATGAGCCAACGCGATTGTCAGGCTGCTCTTCGGCTTGCGCTGTGTTGCGGTCATCTCGCGTGAAATGGATCAAGGAGAGGTGCGTAGATAAACGGTCAGGGCTGTATAACGTGGGAGGGGTTCCGTGAGCCTCGACGATACCGATGCGCAGGTGGTCTATGAGAGATAATTATGATCACTGACACAGAATTAGAGATTGTGATGGTACTCGCCACCATCATTATCCGACGTCTGCGGCTCAAGGATGAACGATGCCCGTGAGGACTCCTCAACATCTTCGGGTACATTGATAATCGGTTGCGCCAAGGAGGCATGTTGGTCGAGAGGGAAGCGTAGAGGCGAAGTCGCATCAGGAGGAGAACTCGTGTAGGAAGACGTCCGCGATAGCACAACGGCTGGATGAGATGCAGTGCTATCCTGACGTCCACTGCGCACACTACCAAGACGTCCGCCCGACACAGGTGAAAGAGCATCTCTGCTATCGACGGAGTCCCGCGTCATCTCGCGCAAGTCCTCTATATCTTCAGCCAGCTGGCGGGCCAGAGTAGTTAGTCCGCTCGCAGTCCGTGTGCTCTGCGAGGAGACGTCGATGGGCACACTTCCTGGGGGATGTAAGGGCGACGCCGGCGAAGACAGTTCCTCTGATGACGGCGTCCTGCTCCCCGCCGGCGGCTGATAGAACAGATCACGGAACCTCTCAAGGTCGTCTCCAACATTCAGCGGGCGCGGAGAAAGAGGCGGGGACGATTCATGAGAGATCATGCCCGGAGACGATCCGGACGAGTGGCCTGTCAGGCGTCCAGACGATCGCTGCCGCCGAAAACTAGGAGGAATCACGCCTTCCATTGGTAACGATGCTATCGTCTGATTTGACGAGGAATGCGTCCGCTCGCGGACGTGGGTGGGATGAGTGCGTTGTCCAAGTGGTACCCAGCGCGGAACATCCAGCGACGGTACAGGAGGCACTTTGATCTGGACGGCCTCAACTTCGCTGCTCTCTTCGTTCCTCTGTGGCTTGGAGGAGCCCAACTCCGAGGAATTGCCATAATCACGACCATCGCTCATTCCCAACCCACTGTCGATGCTTCCTCTGTCTACGAGAGTCTTCGCCAACGCATCCGCGAAGCCCCACTCGCTCGTCCGCTTCGATTGTGGACCATACGGATGAGCGCGAGGCGGACTTGCCGGCTTCGCATCATTGCTGGCCACTTGCGCATATTCTCCCTTGGCTGGATCTAGTGGCGTGAAGGGCGAGTATCTGATGTCTTCCGGTTTGATTTCGCGGATGTGGCCGGGAGTGATCTCCGCGTACAAGCTCTGGTCTGGCGAGAACTCCACCTCCTGGCCCTCATCCGTACCGGAGCTGGAGACGAGCAGCTGCGGTGAAATAGCCGCGCTCGGCAAGCCTGAAGACTTTGGATTGCCCGCTTGGGCATACGGTGCATATGGATGAACGAGAATAGGTTGCCGTTGCCGATGGTAGTCTTCATCCGCAGTTTCGGTGAATCCATGCGCGTGCGCTTCGGAAACGTTTCTACCATCATCGACCGAAGGATAAGTGCGATATGCATATGCAGCACCGCGTGCATACGGATGTGTCGACATCCTCAGAGGCTCACGACCTACACGCCGATGTCGCGCCTCCTCGTCTGAAGGAGTAGGCGTCGATATCGCGATCCCGATCCCATCGCCCGAGTAGGAACCGGCGGAAGGAACAGGCGACAGCCCAGCAGGTCCATTCTGTTCCATCACGACTCCTCCTGTACTGGCAAAATGAGCGACATAATCATCCGAAGGCGACGCAGGCGTGATGAGAACCACCCCTTCAACGTCGCCCTGACGCGAATGCTCATCCCTTCGCACCTGGTCCTGTAATCGGATAATCCGCGTGTCGTCTCGCCGAAGCGCGCCCTCTAGCCGTTCGGCGCTCGCAGCCTTTTCGACCGGCGACGCCATCACCCGCCGCTCCTCCTTCTCCGCGTCGAGCACCCTCTCCGCACTCGTGAACCCACAGAACGTCGCGGCCGTCGACGCGGTGGTGCGCACGAGCCGCAGCGCTGACTTGTGCAGCGAGCGCGAGCGTGTATGGGTATGCCCGCTCGGCAGCGGCGGCGGTGGCGGGGACGACTCGTCTGTCCGGTTGCGCGACGAGGCGTTCGTCTCTACGGAATTCGAGTGCGCGTGCGAGCGTGTGCGGGCATGGCTGGGCGCGTTGGTGTGATGCGAGTCCGTCGTAAAGGTGGTCACTCCTACCCCAGTACTCGTGCCATACTCTTCCGACGACCTGAATGTCTGCGATTGAGACGGACGCAGGCGGACGTGCACCTTAGGAGGGCGCGCTTGGTTGCCCAGCATAGTTCGTTCAGCAAGCACACTTAGCGCAGAGGTGCGCCCGTCATGCGCGTCGGGACGGCCATGGGCACCAGCAGCCGATTTCGCACGTTTTCTGGAGAACGACCGCATGCGTTTATTCTGGAAGGAGTGTTCTGCTTTTGCTTGCCATGCCTTGCGATCAGCTTCGAGCTGCCTACCTTCCTCCAGAACCCTGTAATAAGAGTATGTGAGTACATTGTACAGGCAAAATTGCTAGAGTAAAGGGGGAAAACGAAAGTCGGAGGGCAGACGTACTTCTGCAACGAAGGTACCGGGCTGGGAAGAGCAAGGTCATCTAAAGCAAAGCTCTTCGGTCTCGGAGCTCTTGCCATCGAAGGGCCGGCAATTGCGGGTTCATCGCCGCCGCGTCCACCTCGATCCGTTCCCCCCTGTGCAGCTCGGGAAGGCCCTGCTGTGGGTGACTCTGACACGGAGACTAAGGGAACGGTCGACTTCGCTTTTTGCAAGCCGGTCGGGGCGGTATCAGATGGCGCAGAATAGCCACGGCTGCGGCTTTGCGATGCGGAGGCTGCGTGAGACGGCAACAGGTGGTCGCGGACCTCTGTTTGTAGCAGTGGGCTCGGAGGAGGACTGATAATCCGTCTACTTTTTCCGTCCGGATCGATGTGCACTGCAAATCGTGGCCGGGGGAGGATAATCGCGTCGCACCACGTTTCTGGCGACAGCCACCGCTGTTTTCCTTTCGGGGCACTGGCCGGTACTGGCGTAAACCCAGGCATACGCTCGCGGAGGTTGGGCACAGAGGTGGATGCCTTGATGCCTGCCTGCGGGTGTGAGGGTCTGGAAGCGAACGGTCCTGTTTGTTGAGAGAATGTCTCGCGAAGCCTAAATGACGGCTTCCGTGGTGGTTGATAGGGCGGCTGGGATGTGGTGGGGGAGGGTAGTCGGGGTGCAGATGTAGCAGGTGCGGAGAACGGGAATGCATACGGGTGGCGTCGTACAAATAGCGTCGACCCGGCGCGATCAGGAAACTGCAAGGCATCTGCATCAGGCGCGGCGAGGGAGTCGTTGGACGTGCTCGCTGGCACCGCTCCCATTGCAGTTGACGTGTTGTGGCCGATTTGGCTCATAGACGCCGCGTGATGGATGGTCCGTGTTCGCTTTGTTCCCTTCCCGAACGACAGAAAGCCAGCAATGCTGTGGCGATTCGACTCTAGCCCGGGTTGCTCCTGCGGTACGCGAAGAGGCGTCGGCGACTCGCCGATACCACCAGCTTGGTCAGGGTTGAAGAGCGAGGTAACGGCATGTCGCGCGGTGTAATGTGCGGTAGAAGCGCTGCGGCGAGTGGGATCAATGATTCCTGAGGAATGGGTGAGACGAGAAGCGTTCGAAGCGGCACGGTCGCGAGTCGTGCGGGCATACCGGTCTTGCGCTTCATGTGAACCCTCGATGAGCCATCCACTCACTAGCTGGCCCCAGCTGTCCCTGTTCTCGTGCAGATCCTGTGGCGGCTCCACCGGTCCATTGTATGGAATGTACCAGTCGTCGTCTCTTGTCGCCTCTGCTTCATCTCCGCGAGTGATGGTTGAGGGCTGCCCGGGCTTGAACAAACGCGAAAGTCGGGAAAACGAGGCCATGCACAGGCATCAGGTATCCGGAAGAGCAGGAAAAGAATGACAGATGGAAAGAGCGGTGTTGATCCGGGGCTCTCTGCCCGTCCATCAGCATCGCTTCACTCATCGTCCGAGGGAGCGTTTACGCACCTCACGATACGGACAGAGCAGATGTTCCGAGGTGTCGCAACGGAACAGAGCTGAGTCCGCTGTAAGTGCTGTCCGGCTTCCGACATTACAGTTCAGATGAAGATCGGGTTGCAGTATCCAGGCATCCGACAGTGCTCACCTCTATCTTACAACGTCTGGAGGAGCCTTTGAACGTTAGGTACGAGGTTCGCAGGATGTGCAGGGAGCTCATCTCCAAGTTGTTCACAGCGGCTTCGCTAGCATCACGTGTGCGCAATACAATCTAATACAATATTCGCGACGAGTCGAGTCTGTGAACTGTTGTTCACTTAGATCGACGCGTTCCAACCAACTAAGACTCCTTCGGGCAAAGACATTGGTCTTCGTTTGAGATATATCAAACACGCGACGTCATATTGAGAGCATATATATTCTCCAGACAATCCATAGGAAACACATTTCGCTGATTTTACAGCTCATCCCTCGGCACCTCCTCATCATGATCAGTTGTATCAGTGGGTTGTGACGCCTTGATCTGCGATCTTCTAGCCCCGACATCAGCAAGGACATTGACGTCCGCTGCTACAATCTCCGACCGCATCTTGCCCTCTTCTGCGAGCCTGCGCGCGAAGTGGGCGATTTCCGCGTCGTATTGTTCCCACTCCGGTATTTGACGCGCTCGAGAAAGCTTTGGTTCTTTCTATATTTTGAAATGTAACTTCAGCAGTTTTATCAATGAGATTGATAGCTGAGCGCATACTGTGAGGGGGTTCTGGCATAGATCAATGGTTTTGGCACGATCTAGTCGATCCTTGCTGCCTACGGTAAGTTCAGCATCCAATGTATCAACGATACTTAAAAGAAGCGCATAACACGTACACCATGTCTCACACTGCATGCATAAACAAATTCCTCAGTCGAGGCTTCTGATATTAAAACACACACTACTTACCCATAGCCAGTCTTCCGGAAGAGAAAACTAGTTGACCGATAAATCAGTATTGCCGTGGCTTCACACAACTGTAGTAGGGAGCCTCACGATGGGCACTTCACGCTGTAGATTGTTGGGAAGATCTACGAGCAAGCTGAGCGCATATTCACAGCATGAACCGACCTTGCTCACCTTGGTCGAGATTGGCAAGCGAGTTGGGGTCCAGGGATAATTGTTGATACTGGCCTCGTAGCATGTCCTGCAGAGCTCTTAGCAACGAAATCAGAGTTGCGTTGTTCTGACTAAATACTAACCCCAGCTCCCATCTATAATTATGATTAGCATTTAGCATTACATGGTAAGAAGCGGGACATACCTGACGGAATCGCACCAAATCTACTACGTACAGCGCGCTACGCACGGGGTCAAACTCAAACATGTCGCATCGGCAGCAAAAGCTCACCTGATATGATAAGGAAGACCACGCAAGAACTCCTTCCAATAACCCGTTTTCCAGAATCGGAAGCCCTCCATCTCTTCATTATCATCGCCCATCGGTGCGTACCCATACGGCGCCCCGTGCAAATCAAGGTCGACGAGCTCCTTCAGATCCGCTCGCACGATTTGGTCGGCGTCGACAAAAATGACCTTCTTCAGGTCCATTGGGAAGAGCACATCGAGGAAAAGGATCTTGTACGCCCAAATAATGCGCTGTTTTTCTTTTTGTGCACGCAGCCAGGACGGCCATTTATATGTGACTAGTTCGTACTGGAAGCCGTACGCCTCTGCAAAGTGCGGGAGGAATTCCTAAGAATTTGGTGTCAGATGGATCTAGAAATATGATTACGAAAATGAGTACCAGGAACGATGGCGAGAGGAAGTTCTCTATGAACCAAAACTTCACACTGCTCTTTGTGTTGCTCAAGACACTGAGGACCATGATAGACGCGAAGCGCTGGAACGAAAATGAGCTTCTTGGATAGTACCATTGCCGATAGCGACACACCTCATACAACAATCCCGAGGCGACTGTGAAGATGTTAATGTCTGCCTGTTGTGAGGTAGTCGCGACGACGCCGGTCTCTTCCTTCTTAGGGAGTAACGACGAGAACCTATATGCGTGCCCATTTTCAGACAAAGGGTCAATCCAACTCAGTAGCACCGCTCACCATGACTTCAATTGACCAATGATCCCGCCATCCTCCACCTGGGGCAATGCCGCTTCAGCTAGCACATCTGCACGCTCCATCCCCGGCAGCCTCGCGAAGCGTGGGTAGAGCGTCAAGCCCTCAAAGCTCGTCAATGTGATCTCATCCCCGACCGCGTCTACCGTCGGGCTATGCCACCCCTCATTCCCCACGCTTTCCATCCTGAAGATTTTCCGCCCCCGTCCAGGCCGGATCTCAAGATGGAACACGCCCGGCTTCGTGCGAAACTGCAGGTATCCGAAGTTCGCGACGACGTGTGTGTCTGCGATGGGCGTGCCGACATGCGACGTGAGTTGCAACTGCAGGCCTCGTGGCGGGGCATTCGTCCGAATGTCGCGCGCGTGCCCCTCAATAACGAGATGGTCAAGGTCGAACACCGCGTGCACGCCCTGCGCACGGTCATGTGCTGGAAGCGCGCTGAGCAGAATGTTGTCGAGATCATGCAGGGCTTCGCGGGGGCGGACGAGCCATGCTTGTGGCACGTCCATTGCAAGAGTGTAGATCGGATCGATTGGCAGGCCGTCGAATTCAGTGAGAGCATGGACCTCCTCTCTGCAAAATTGTTGGCCTCACATGTTATGCTTAACAACGGGACTTACCCATTCTCCTCAAACGACAGCCGCGGCAGAAGGTTATAACGATAGAAGCGTTTCAGAGGTAACTGCAGAATGATGAGTGCGAATTACGCTGTATGAAGTGGGTTTCGCAGACCTCGCGATACCGAGCCGGGTTGATATGCACTTCCACGGACACTCCGGGAATAGTCATCAGCCACTACTGATTGCTCAGCTTTTGTCCTGAGAAGAACATAATATGCCGACCTCAATCAAACTCGACCACTTCTGCGCTGCCTCGCTGAGCGGGTCGACGAATATCCCGAAGTTGAACAACGATGTAGTGTTGTCGCCCAGCGTGAACACGCTGACAGGCTGGCGTCAGCACGGCACCGAGCGCAATGATGAGGACTCACGTGTAATTGCCCTCTACGAGCTGATAATGCCGTGTACGAGGTTCCTGGGGCGCATTGAACAGGCCTACCTCGCTTGGGTCAGGCAGCTGGATTGCCGATATGATCGACGAAGCCACAGCGATAACCTCTGCGTATGAAGGGCTAGTGACAGCATGAGCATCTGGCTATACTCAGCCCTAGCTGTCATACCGGTCGAATTCCCCTAACGAATCCATGAGGTCCTCCAATGCGTCTGCAACGGGCTGAACGCGCTTTCTGGACTCATAGGCCGAGAGTATCTCAAAGTCGTCCTCTGAGAATTCTCCGGCGGCGATGGGACCAAGTACCTACAAGCCGTCGATTGTTAGCGACGCTGGTATCCTGGGATGTGTTTCTTACTCGTCCGTTGAGTATCAATGCTCGTTCACCGGGGGCGAGGTTCAATTGCCGTGCGACGAGCCGACCGGTTCTGATATAGTCCTGGTAATCCTTCTCAGCCAGGACGGTCTGGCCAAGGATGTCATCAAGGCTGCCTTCAGATGATATGACGACCTGTGGGCTTTCACTTTGTACAGCTACGTCACCAAAGCCCAAGGCGCTGAGCAGGCGAGAAGGCGACATTCGATGCAGCAGCTCTTGAGTTGCAAGTTGTGCAAGCAAGGACGAGACCGCTGTCTGCTGAGTCGACATCTCGCTGCTCAAGTTTGATGGGTTGTGGATGAACGAGAGCCGTGATGGGTGCTTTCCGGATGCCTATCACCACACCCTGTTAGGATAGCAGAACACTCTTCGAAAACATAACACCAAACCGTCGCAGAGAGAGCTTCCTTGATGAGCTGTCTTCCTGCTTCACTATCCAAGTCGGCGACGACGTAGGTCGTCAGAGGAACACGCTCGGGCTCGGCTTCATCAAAGTCAACGGATATTTTCCCACTCGTCAACCACAAACTGCCACTTACCGGGATAGACGAAAGATCCAGGCCAGTTGAGGAACTCGTATGGTCCTACCAGCTCAAGCAGGCTTAAAATGCGGAGATCACCAGTCTTCACTGACGGGTAGATGTGTCTGTTCCGTCTCTTCGAGGCCACCGGTAAGTCATAGAAATACGTCGATATGCTAGGAAGGTCATTATCGGTAAGTACGTTGGTCAGAACCTGCCACCAGCGAACTGCGTAAGCTGCCATATCGTATCCTCATGAGACAGCGTACCAATTCAGTGATGTATTCCATCTGCTCATTGGCCTCTCTCTGCATCAACCTGAGGAACTCCTGCAACACATGTCGTCAGCGAGAGATCTGGCCTCAGAAAGAATGCATCCACACATCGTCCAAATCAAAGTGTTTTCCGTTCACGAAGGCATGTCCTTGCGGAGCAGACGACAAACCCGCGTCAAGCCTCGCCGCGTACGCACGCGCCTTATCGAGCTGGTCCTCTGAGCCTGGCAATCCGCGGAGGATCGCATCAAGGTCGGTGACGATGCCTTCTTCAAGAGGCTCGTTGGTGGCGAGGAGGAGGTTGAACGTTTGGCGGACGACGCTCCAATCGACAGTGGGCTTAATCGTTGACACGGGCTTGTCAATTTGTGCAACCTATACCAAAGTTTCTCGCATGAGAACATATAGCATAGAATGGGGTCTACGACCTTACGTGTCTGACAAATTCCATTGCGTTCGACTTGCCAAAGTGCTCGTTCAGGTAGTAGAGAAGTCGTGCCATTTTTGCGCCTACGCGGAAATGTGAGCCGATATCACACAATGGAACCTCAACGTCGCCAATCGTCACCTTCTTCTGTCTCGACCAATGGAACCACGCCCCAACGGAATGGGAACATCCGGCCTATGACCTGGCTCACGGTGCTTCCAATGAAGTGCAGTGAACTCGATTGGGACAGATCCACGGCCAAGACGGTATTGAAAATATTCGCTCGGATGTTCGGAATTTGACCTGGATACCTCTGGCGCAAGAACTGTGAAACATAGTTCAGGGATCGTAATCGTAGAGGCCCAATACAGCGGATTTTGACCTACCAGCCTCAGTGTGCTGCCCCATCGTCCATATCTATTCACATGGTCGTCATCAGTTGCATATAGACTGAGAAACGCGGCGAGATAGGCTTGCCGGTTGTCTTTCTGCAAGTCGTTTAACCATACGATGACATTTTCTCCCTCAAGGTGATCGCTTGCATCGAGTATACCGTCCAACACGTCAGATTCGCTTTGGGCAGCTGCGATAGAAGGATGAGTAAGCAGCTCAAATGCTTTCCCGGGAGAGAGCCCCAGAGAGGTCAAGGACAGCATAATGTCTCGCTCTTTTCGCAGCAATCGCAATAGGCTGGATAATTGTCAGCTGGACAATACCGGCAGCAAGGAGGTTACATACGCAAATGGAGTGAGGTCCCTTTCATGCAGTGTCACTCCGTTCAACCAAGCCACGTTTGCTCCCCCAGGTGCGCGGATCTGGTTGTTCTCTACTTCTTCAGACAGGTTGTCGTCTACGGTGACGCGTCGTGCCAAGGAGGTAGCATACTTGGGGAAGTTCTGCGAGAGCTGTTTCATGGTGGACAAAGGGTCCTCAGCATCATGGATCAATTGTGCGGCCTGCAATCCAATCTCTGTCAGGTGAACTATTAGAAACCCGAGCCTTCGGGCATAACTGTGCTCATTTACCGAGGAACTCGTCATCTGTCAACGGTACGCTCGCATCAAGAGTGGTGTTCTCTGGATATTGCTGAAGCAACGCTGAGATGGCGTCCATGGCCAATGCAGATGCAAGCGCCTCTTCCGATGTTTCCTCTTCCTCCAGAGTGGCTGTCCCAATAGCATGAATGTCATTTTCCATGTCTTTTCATGAACTGTGTATACCTTGTCGCCTGTCATCCAGCGCGAGATAGTCCATTTTCTTGAGGTCCAACGCGACTCCATAGCCAGAGAGGTACGACCGCTTCGAGATATCTCGGCCCTCAGGAGGAATGGGCCGGAAAACGTATTCGATGTGCGGCGACAGACCGCTAGAGGTAGCATACAAATACTGATGCAGTTCGCGGAAGTTGCTCGAGGATAGCGAGGCATAGAAGATTGCAGTATGGGGCGGCCGGTCGAGCGTGTGTGCTGGTGACGGCTGGATGTGGTCGAATGGTAGCAATCTCGGACGCACGTAGGACCTTGCAAACCCACAGGGCTCTCAGCACTCGCAACGGCAGTCCCTAGATGGTTCACTCACGGTATCACCTCGCTTGATTTTGGAGGGTCTATCGCTTCCACGCTAACTAAGCGCGATAGTGTATCCGCGTCGCATACAATCTCGCCGTACCAGTCCACCCACGAACCGCAACCCTCGCCCTGCGCTTCCTCTTTCCGCTTCGCATGCAGATCCGTGTAATATTGGTAGAACGCTTCAATCTTCGGTGTGGCGACATGCAGCGCTAGGTTCATCTCAACAGAAGCATATTCCCCAGGCTTGGAGAGATACCCTTCGTCAATGGCAGTCTGCAGTGCATGTCGATGTAGTGCCTCCGAGGTGCTCGATGGTTTGGGTACTGTCTCGGGGTTGGTGAGTGCGTCGACCAGAGGGAAGAATGCACCCGGATCCTCTATGGATATAGTCTCACTGCGTTGTGCTTTCAGTCAATTGAAGAGTGAGATCCATTACACAGAACGTACATGCACTCGAGCGGCACGGGAGGCGCCGGCCAGGATGACCGGAGTTCGACCTGGACTGGAGGGCTGGCTGCTAGATTCACATGAGCATATAGCAGTAAGGCGGTCCAGCTGAACGGCCGCAAGACGTTGCGCATATGATGTAGACAAGAGCGACTGTTTCTGCGGAAAGATGGCGACGTGTCCGTGAGTGAAGCAATAGTCGGGAGTCGGCGGTCAAGTTGTCAAGTATACAGGATTGTGCAGATAGATCTAGATGCTTAGCACTGTGGAAAAATTCAAGAGCAAGGCTAGCAAGTACTAATGAGTCTAAGTCTAGTGAACGCGAAGAGCTGCGCCTTGGGCGCTACATGAACGGTACCGGTTATAACAGTGTAACACGTCGAGATCACGGTCATGTGATGTGCGCGCGCATATACGCGTCTCCTGCGCAAGACGCGACGCTTCAGCTTGGCCGTGATCTGCGCGACAAAAATTTTTGATTCTGTTCCTATCAGATAATATTACTTATCAATAGAGCTTGGGGTTTCAAGCCAATATACAGAGTGATTTAGCAATACTAGGAAAGCATTTTGTCGAATTCAGCAAGCGACTAGTGAACGTTTGAACTCTCAATCTTGGCCCAGTCATTCAGCAAACCTGAGTAAATTTCTTGCAATTTGTAATTACCGCAACCTCACGTACTTGCCGTTATTACGCAAAGCTGAATGAGGCCACTATGTAAAATCAAGAAGAGGTAACAGGGTGCGTCAACGTCAAGTTGTATCTCCGAATGAATACTACTATCACCGCGTTTGCCACTATTCACGCTATGAACATCGAGGGTAAGATATCAGGAAGCGCTCCAATCTCGTCAAGTGAAGGCGGGAGACTTGACATGGATGGCAGGCTTCCGTGCGAGCTTGAGATTGAATATCAATATTGATCGGCCACGACTCGAGGTTATATGTAATGACCAGTTATATTCGATGAGAACTTTGGGACTACTCGAAGAACACATTGAAGTCTTCAATATAGTCGACGGACGCGGGTATGAGCGGAAGATGAAACACACAGCTCAGCCGAGCCCACGATCTATCATTGCTCTCTGTTCATGATTAACTTTGTTGCCGTGGCAGCATAATTACATGGGGCACAGGTTGCATGAACAATCCGCGGATCACCCAGCGCATCTTCTTTGTTCGCGCCACAGCCTCTGCAGACTGCCAGGCTCAGTGCAGCGAGTGAATACTAGAGCTCTCCGCGGACTTCCGGGCCCCGACTCATGACATGGACATGTCAACTCATCTGGAAGTGTGTGCTAAAATTTTTGCCCGTCCAGTTTTCTGCTGATGATTTAAGTTCGCTGCTGCTAGCTCGGGGGTTCGGCGATTTCAGTCCAGCTGAGCGCTCGTGATAGGCTCCTTTCATGTCACTACTACTAACCAGCACAGCATAGATCATATTGTGATCAAAAATCACTTGATCATGTTGAAGGATAACCGTAAGAGTCCTATATGTCTTGATATTAAACCCTGCGCAGTCAAGTTGTAGATTGCAATCTGTATCGATAATGCCCTATCCGAAGGGATAGGCGGGTAGTCGGTGCTACGTTTATTACCGGTGACTCATCAGCCAAGGTTCAAAACTGCCTGGGATCCTAGTCAGCATCAACACAGAAACCATGATAAATCCTAGTAAGGTGCAACAATATCGTTGTTTGATTGTTTGACGCTCATTCTCAGATGTGCAGCTGTGACATATCGGTACCGCACCTCGGTTGTTCATCATAGTTCCGATGTGGCATTCAACATACGAGTGTGCCGAGTGTGCCATACTGGAAAATAAGCTGTTAAATGCATCAACAGCTTTAGGGTGGCTCTGATGCAGACAGAGCTTGCTCTAGCTGCTCGGTAGCCACAGCATCGTGGGAGATCTGTCCCTCGACAGCTGTCTCTGCAGGTATATAGTTCAGCTGTGTAGCTCTAACCCCCCAGAGCTGGCTCATACTTATTCCCTCTTCCTTGTTGCAGTCCTCGTTCTTTTCACTGCTCCCCCGATTTCAGTCCAGGTTCCTTCAGCTGTGCCGAGGAATCACCCACCACCTTCTTAGACATGACACCAGAAGAAACTGCACTTGAGTATGAGACCCGCCATACTTTATAGCTAGCCATGCTCATCATTGTGATGCAGGTATTTGCAGGTATATCTGGTTTTCGAAAATTATTTCTTTTTTTCGGTGACCGGTACGCTCGTCTTGCTGTTCCCATCATACTTTCGTTGGCTTTGCTCATACTTGACGCATTGCAGTGCTATGTTGCTACGACTACATCCTGACGTTGGACCGTGAAATCAAATACATATGGAAGGCCGATCTCTCACTTGCAACTTCACTTTACTATGCCTTCAGATACGCCGCACTATTTAATACAATCATGGTATTGCTTACTCGGATTGCATGGCCAAGTTGGCAATCTATTTCGGTGAGTTTCCGTAGGTATCCGGTGCTTCCATGCATGCTATGGCTGACTGACTCGCCCCACAGACGTGAGCAGATGCCAATCATTGGTACATAACTGTGCCCGGCTCACGCTTCCCATCGGTTCCCTTTTCAGCTGCGGCATCGTCTTGCGTGTGCAAATGGTATTAGATATAATTGTTCTGGTTAGCGCTACAAGTAAGTATGTTTTGCGACTAGTACATGAAGAAGAATTTCATAACTTTGGCAGTTTTCGCGGCATTACGGGTATATGCCATCTTCAGTTGCAACAAGTGGATGTTCGGTCTGGTTCTCTTGTCCGGAATGATCAATCCAGTAATCTCCATCGTAAGACGTGTCAGACGCTTGCATTTTATGCTCAACTAATGTCAATGGCTCTATGCAGTATATTTTCGTGATAACCTCGCCAGATCTTTTTGCGGTCACGGGTTTCCAAGCATGTATTTTTAGCATCGTCGGCAGCTTGCCATCCTATGAAACGTGTGTGTCCAAAACCTTTACAGTCGATATTGATTATTCTAACGTGCGCTTAGTTGTGCGTGTGACATTCTGACGAAACATCTGAATCGCATTTCCTAATCGTGTTCGCTACAGGGATGATAGCTGCAAGAGCCGCCTCGCTCGTGTCTGATGGCTTGGTATTAACATTGACATGCATGAAAACCGTTCGGAAGACAGACTTCAAGTTAGGATTTATAAAATCGTCCCCTGGGTCATCCTTGCAGGACATATTGTTAAGGGACAGTGCGTGTCTGCAGATACCCGCCGTTGTATACTGCTAATGCACATGCCATTGTGTTCCTTCAGCCACACTATGCTTTGCGTACGTAGTAGAATTTGAGAAGCCAATGTAAGCTCACGTCGCTGGTGCTCAGATTTCTCTGTGTCGTCAACGTCATCGGGATTGCAACAGGTCGCTTGACCGAGGTATGGGAGACATTTGCCGCCTGTATGTCAAATTATGAACTCACTTTTCTTGTCCAGTTCATCGATATCTGGCAGACTTGGACAGCAATGTGAGTTGCGCCTCGATTATGGTAAAAGCAGCTCGGACTGAGCACAAGCAATAGTCTCACTTCGGTGTTACTGTCTCGGCTAGCGCTCGACCTTCGCGAAGCCTCTGCAGCTGCACTCGAGAGCGAAGGGACGTTCTCTCAGGCGCCACAGGATCTGGCATTTGCTCATGAAGAGGAGATCGCGGACTCGGAGGGCTCGGTTGGTGAGCTTGACAACGTGATGGCCGAGTCGTCGAGCTTCGTATAGAATGGCACGCCGCTCAGTACTAAGTGAAATTCGTGCCACCCGTGACTGGACATCTATTAATTGCAAACGACCTTCCAGCAAGGCTAATCCTCGCTGATCAATCAAGTCATGTCAATTCGACGGGTAGACCCGCAGTAAACGATAGACGGCATGAGCCTCTGATCCGGGCTCATACTGGCAGAAGGTCGAGTGCTTCTTCGACCACGATGGCTCGCCGATGAAGCGCCGCTTGCAGCCTGAATGCTTAAGAGTCCCAGGCTTAGACGTCTGGCCCAGGGAAGCATGCTGACCCAGTTGAACTACGTCCATCGACACATTCATGCGTAAATGCTTAAATGCAGTCTACATGACTTTCAGCGAAAGTGGCCGCAGTGGAGGCTAAATATGACGAACCTGTCGGTTCTCCAACTGAAAGCTACCTAGAAGAACGGAGATATCGATTTTTGCCTGTATGATTCAGCAACTTGCGCCCGTCTGTCTTCATTTCTGCGCCAATTGCCACGTCCAGAAATCTCGGAGCTCGCATAATAGCGCAAGCGCTTGACCAAAGGTGCCAGTATACGTTTCCTCGATCAAATTGAGGTGTAGTTCTGCGGGCATATAAGCCCCCGATGTCGCGATACCAAGTACAATGACTCTAATCGGACTTGATAAGCTCGCTGATCGCTGAGCGCTAAAGATCTCTCGCTGACATAACCGAGAACTGCGAAGGACCTACCAATTCAAGCAACTCAATCTGTTTACGCGTGGCCACCGCCTCGTATCCGCCGAGCTCTTTCCGACTTTCATTAGCAACGGGCTTTCGTCCTCGTTCGAGCACACTCGCCTCCCGTGGCTGGCTCGAACTTCTGTATGGCACCCGCAGGCTCTGGCCGACAATGTCGTCGGGGCCACTGTCGCCTAGCTGGTATCATAGTGCTTCCGAATTACGATAGTTTCCCGGAAAAGCTTCATCGCCGAAAGCTCGCTGAGCAATCACACCCGTCATTTGCTTAGTGATCCAGAAATTTCGGGCGATGTCCCGTTAGAATACTTCATCCCGCTCGAAACCGTCTGAGTAATGCAAGTCCAGGAGCCTTTCGGGAACATGGATCAAGGTCTACGCGAGGATTATAAAGCCCCGCCAGTACCCAGCACGACGTATTCTCCTACTTCCCCGAAAGATGGCCAGCGAACTCATCGTCAACGCGCCCGCACCCAATGTTCCCTACTTCATGCCCGCGCAGAACCCGCCTGCGGGCACTGCGCTTGACCCGCAGCCAAATGGCAAGCCCATCCCGAAGCTTTTCCAGCCGCTGAAGATCCGTGGCGTCGAATTCCATAATCGCATCTGGGTATATGGCTCTGATTTTGAATAGTGAGTGGCCTGATCGCTGATGATGCCATCCTTGGCAGCTATCTCCCCTGTGCCAATACTCGGCTGAGAACGGAAAGCCATCCCCATGGCAATTCGCACATTGTACGTCTTCCTACGCATACTTCCTATCATCCAATAGCGCATCACCAACACACTCTTCAACAGTGGGTGGCATCCTGACCCGCGGTCCCGGCTTGACCGTGGTTGAGGCGACCGCAGTCGTCCCAGAAGGCCGTATCACTCCACAAGACGTCGGAATCTGGTCCGACGAGCACATCCAGCCCTGGAAGGAGATCGTCCAGTTCGCCCACTCCCAGAACCAGAAGATTGCCGTCCAACTCGCGCACGGGGGTCGTAAGGCATCGACCGTTGCGCCATGGCTGCACTCTGGACTCGCTGCGCCTGAGATCGACGGCGGCTGGCCGGACAACGTCTGGGGTCCGAGCGACATCCCGTACAACGAACACTTCCCAAAGCCGAAAGAGCTTTCGCATGACGGCGTCAAGCGCGTCGTGCATGCGTTCGCGAACGGCGCCCGTCGCGCGCTCAAGGCGGGTTTCGACGTCATCGAGATCCATGCCGCGCACGGGTACCTGATCAGCGAGTTTCTCAACCCGCAAGCGAACAGGCGCACGGACGAGTATGGCGGAAGCTTTGAGAATCGGATCCGGCTGCTGATTGAGATCGTTGACGCCCTGCGCGCGATCATACCTCCCGAGATGCCTCTCTTTGTCCGGTGAGTATATTGGTCTCTTCTGTGATGATTATCTAGACCCTGACATTTGATATGTAGTGTTTCTGGGACAGACTGGCTCGAGGAGGTCTATCCTAACGAGCACTGGGGCATTGAGGACACCGTTCGGCTCGCGCCCATCCTCGCCGAGCACGGTGTCGACCTGCTCGACGTCTCCAGCGGCGGCGTCCATGCCGCGCAGAGGCTCAAGCTTAAACCGCTCATGCAGGTCCCGTTCTCCGAGGCAGTCAGGCGCGCACACGGCGACAAGATCCTCGTCAGCGCCGTGGGCTCGATCACGAACGGGAATGACGCGCGGAATGTGATCGACCAGGTGAGCGACAAGTGCATGCTTCTGGGCTTGCGGGGTGGACTCTGACGCTATGTAATGTGCAGGGCGCGGCAGATGTCGTCTTTGTCGGACGCCAGTTCCAGAAGAACCCCGGGGCCGTCTGGGCGTTTGCGGAGGATCTGGGTGTGACTATCACTGTCCCACATCAGATTGAGTGGGGCTTCGTCGGGCGAGGAGGTGTCGGTAGGAAAGGTGTGGCTGGGTTGAAGCAACAATTCTAAGCTAGATGCGACAAATCTGCATAGCAACAAATTGCGCGACTGTTAGACGTTAGATTTGGTTGTGTACTAGAAGACATCAACTGACGCAGCAATGGCATTATTGACAATTCAGCTGTTGAACTCTTTTCGAGACGACAGTGCACTGGCTCACAAAGCGTTCATCTTAGCGATGAAGAACTGTGAAGGCCGTTGCAGTGGCACTCAACATTCAAATATTCAAGTTTCAGATAGGTACCAATGCTACGCTGAACAGCTGATCCGCAAAATTGCTGAAGGAAGACTCGAAGCCTTCATGAACGCGAGGAGCGGACATTCTAACGGATTGACTTCCATGTTAGATTTCACTCCTCACTCCCACGAGACACTGGAAGGCGGCGGCTGGCTAACACCGGGGCCGCACCAATATATCCTACTAGGAGGAGGAGCCTGAGCGTCGCAACGCTGCATCCTGTGCACCGCTTCAAGTCTTCTGAATCCTGATCAATGCCTCGCATTGTTGAGACAGCGCGAAAAACAAGCTTGTTTGTCCGGCCAAACAATAAGATCAGACCTGGCCAGAATGATAGAAAATGCTACGGTTGGGCAATAGGGATGTCCTACATCAGTCCTACATCAGTCCCTGCTCTGCATCCTCTGTTTCAGGACCCGAAGTTACATCACTTGCTGGTGCGTCGGGGTCACTATCAGCCGAATATTCGTCTATGGCATCCAAGGTCATACTGAATAATGAGAACGAGGATGGACAAGTCGCATTTCGACTAGCAGAAGCTTTGCGCAAATTCAACATGAGCCGTGACAGCGTCATCGATGTCAACCTGGAACGAATCAATGCTGAGCCAGAGTCATGAAAATCAGTGTGGAGGAGACGAACGCAGCTGTCCAAACAGCGAATGGCTCTGCGAACTGAAATGCAGTCAGCAAAGGAGATCATTCTCGTTGTCGGGCGACGTACAGACGTTGCGTCGAGATGACCGATTCCAATGCTCACAACGTTAGTGGCGGATAGTATACTGAAATGCAATTGATGATATTCTGTCTGATATGAGGGCGTGCGACTCACGCGAAAGACCACGCAGCTTAGCATAAGCGTAAGTGAAATACTTTTCAGTTACTCTTGAAGACGTACTATGGATAAGCATCAAGTTATGCAGCCCGCTTCTCAGGCTGTCTTCTCTGGATTGGCGGGTTTCCAGCCACGTCAAGACGAACACGATGATATCTGCCAAGACAGATGCTGCCCTGCCACCAATTACCCCTTCCGAGATGACATGAGTCGATCATGCTGACACTAATTGAATCACAACTTAGAGCTGGACAGCGCATCAGCCTACACACATATAGAACCAGAGGGGATGACTCACTTATCGTATACACTTCCTGATATGATTGACATGAATTGACACGTTACTTGATTGTCAGGAAGTAGGGAAACGTGCCCGCGCGTTACCACGAACGTATACTTGGAGGAATTCAGAGGAAGTATCTACGTGTTACATTAAGTCTACTTACTAATGTTAGGATAGGGTTAACGAGGCTCATAAGTAACACCAGCGCAAAGACAGATTTAGAACCATTGTAGATTTCATATACGCGAAGAGCTGCAAACGCTGTGGTGCCTCGTCGGATGCAGAAGCATTGGAAAAACGTGCTAAATTGCTTACCAGCAGCACTAGTCAAAAGAATGACGTCGTAAACCATCTGTAAAATCATGAACGCAGCACAGCTAGTGAAACATATATTAAGCCATCTTCTGGGAGGTGACTTGGATCGACATTTTACCTCTGTCATGAATAGTTCACAAAGTGTACGGTCGGCGCAGATGCATGTCACTCACCGTTGGTGTAGACCAGGTTGCGAAGGACGCCATCGACCAGACCGTGACGATGCAGTCAAGGGCTGCACTATACCTGCAGGCATAGAACAGTATACACGAGAAAGAAAGCCTGGCTTTCCATATATAATGGTACTCGTCGCCGATAGTCAAGAGATAGTCATACAGCACGAGGGCTTGGGTGAGCTTATGTCAGTATACACATCATCGATGACGAGATGTGCTGAAAACATACCTCTAGCCGAAGTATACAGTGATACTTCCAGGAAGCTAAAGCAAAGCATATGACACCACTCAACTCGAGAGTTATCGCATGAAGGCAGCAGTACAGCACGTACGTTTCCTCAGGCGTTATAGAAAAGACGGAGGAAGACATGTCTGACACCTTCAGCGGTGACGAACGAAGAAGACATGCCGGCTATTTGTACACATCCACTTGACGCTTATGGGTTGAGCTTGGGCTGTGGTAGAGGTATTTCCTCGCGTCCATAAGACACTCCAAGTGATTGAAACCCCCAGAACCCAAATGATTGCCACACATCACTTCCGTTCCTGCACCGACAATAACAGTTAAGGCTGCTCAGAGAGCTGTACCGAATGTGGTTTACTTTGCATAAGAATACGTGCCTAAGCCGCAGGACACGCCAGCTGTCATTGTGAGCTTCTTGGTTCATGACTGTTTTTGCACTATCCGCGGTGAGCACAGACTCGGATGCCTTGAAACTGCGTTGAAACATATACACAGCGTAGTGCGTACATCTTTACATGCTTATCTGTCCACGTTGCTTCCTTCCGGTGACTTCTATGACAGATGGAGAGGACACGAATGCCACATGAAGTCACTTCGATCGAGGCTAACATCGAAGGTCGCATAGCCTGCCCGCACCATCAGCATTGACCGAAATGCAGTACATGGCGGCAGACTGCAAACTCTAAGCGCAAGGACCACATCAACCGCGAACAGCATCGGATGACATGGCATTGAAATGCATTTAATGCCGCGCTTGGACGTCGGTGATTTGTGCTTACGTATAGAGACCGCAAAAATAGAGTACGTGGGGGATTGCCGTGAAGAATATTGATGGGTCGCGTTAGATGCCCATATGCGAGAATTTCGCTGGCAGTACAGCAGCTTTTCTATGCTACTGACATATCCTAACCTGGCCACCAAGGGTGAGAATTAGTGCACAATCCATGCATAGTGAACCGCGATATATCATACTATCGCATCCATAGATTGTGGTCCCAGTAATTCCGGCTTGATGAGATTTAGCGCACAGCCAACACACAGCAATAAATATATCGGCAGTCGTCATTGGGTTCAGGTTTCAGAGCGGGAAATGAACTTTCGGGTTGAGTTTGGGATGCCATGGACCGCCGAGTGATGGTGAGCGCTGAGCGTTTGCGCAATGTGATTCCACGATGCACGCTTAAGCATTGGTTCGCTAGACAAGGCGATCCATCTGACCGGAAACCAGAGAGTGATCGCCGCTCTGCTTCAAATCCTGCGGCTTTGCTGCAGTGACTGGATGCATGCAACTGCCAAGAGGCCGTGAGTAAGGAACATCGAGGACACTCGAGAAGATTTCTTTTGCTGTGGACGGATTTCGGAAGTCATAGCAGTGCTGCCCCAAATTACCGGGTATAATTTCTCCGTCAGCACATCAGCTAGCTTCGAACCAATGGCCACGTCCTTGAAGCGCTCCAGAAGCGACCTCGTGGGATTTTCTGTCCAGATGGCGAGGCGAGAGGCATGTGGCATGGAATGCCTGACGCGCACATCGAGCGCCGCGCTACGGTGAGTGGTGGATCTCCAGTCCACTTTCTGTAGCATTTGTAGATGAGCATCAAGAGGCGCGTGGATGAACACCAGCGGAAGCGATACAACAGTGCCGTGCTCATGCCCTGCTCGCCTGAACGCCCCTGCATGATCTGCCTAAGTGAGAATGGCACAGACGCCTGTGCGATGTCGGCTGTTCGGAAACTGTAGGACGCTGATATCCTGGGCAGAACGATTGTGGTTGACAGTAGGTCGTGGAAGCCGCACAGGTTCTGAGATAAAACCAATGATGGCATGTTGAAGAGAATACCGAATGCAAGAAACGATCTATGGTCGGGTCTGTCTAGACGTAGGTTGAGAATTGAAGTTGAAGTCCTGGAAGAAAGCTGTTCTGGTCCATAGGTCGACAAGCGATACAAGCGTGAGCACAAGAAAAGGAAAGAGACGATCGGATCCCATAGTTTGCCAGGTTAGCAATGTGCTGTGCGGCGAAGAGAGGATGGATGACGTTTGAGCGTTGTCGTAAAAGTTCGGCGCTACCTATGCTCCGCTCAAGTGCATGCACTGCCTCTCGATTGAGGTACTTTCACTCGCAGAGATATAGCCTCCTCAGGAGAGCCAGCGTAAATGCTCTGTGCACGTACGTTCCCGAGAGATACCAACCTGGGCACGCATTGAGCAGAGGACCGCTGTCATGCTTTAATAATGTCCCTACCGCCAGTTTAGAGTCATCCCACACCAACTGGACCTGCATGAAGCCCTGTTCCGTTATCTCATAGAATTTACAATTGATTGAGAGGCGGCGAGATGACCATCTGGCTACGCACCAAAAGCGATGCCCTAGTTCAGACAGTAGACTTCACGGTACTGTTGATCGCTCGTCAATAGTCTTCAAAGTGAGAAACGAACTGAGACATACTGACTCACAAACGAGGTAATACTAATGCTAAACACCGCTCGTTTCTTGAGCGCGACAATCAAAGGCGCGTTTGAGGATCTGATCAACGGCCATAGCAAAATGTGCTCGTCAGAGTGGGCATAGCTGATGACTGTGCCCCTTCAATAAAGAGAACCATTTCAGATCCTCATACTGCCCCTTGACCGGGAAAAGGCGCAACTCAAGCATGGTACTGAGCTGGAATGAATGTATGAACGTCATTGTGATAATTGGCTGGACCGAAAGAAGGACAAATCCGCCTATAAGACTTTCGGAGGTGTGCATCAGCAGCAAAGGAGCGACGGCCTCCATAGTTGTGTGAACATCGGTCAGATGCAGACGTATGTCAACGATGTAGATACGAACAGCGGAACCGTATCGTACCATCTCCGAGTGCAGTGTTCATTAGGTCAGCTCGCGTTTGAAGGCAGCTTGGTGGTTTTCGGAGGAGCACAGCCTGTTCACTGTATATTTCCTATGTCTTATGAGCATATAAGTGGACTTTGATGAGAAAGCTCACCATGAAGTCCAAAAGCTCGGTGCACCTACTCTGGTGGCAAACAATTAAAAATCTATCGCACCAAAGTCAGCGCCGACATTTCGGAAATACATTGTTTATCAAATAAATTGTCTTTCCACCGGCGTTCACGCCACGCGGACATTGTCGTGGATATTGTCTAGTCGCCATACATTCTTACAAATAACCTCGGCTGATCAATCCACACTACGTTGGGGCTCGGAAGGACCAGCCTCTATCTCTTCTGTATTTTCACCCATGCGAACCATCTCTACATCACTCGATGATTCGTCAAGGTATTCATCGGCCGGATATTCGTCGGGGATGCCTCCCGTACGCGCAGCGAAGACCATGGAGGTGAAGGTGTTCGAATATGTTGTTCCATCTTCTGATGCGTAGCCTCCGCGCAGATTAAGCGTCAACCGTGACAGAAGGATGGACGTCATCCTGAAGGACTGTGAATTGAGCTGCAGACCAGAAGCAGACATATGAAGGAAACCGACATAGCTGCCCAGATTGTGAATGGTTCTGTGAACTAGAGTACGGCCAGTCAGCCGGATATGATGCCTCCTGATAGGTAGATGACGCACAGAAATAGTATCGACATGGCTGACAGCAATGCTTACCGCGTTGACGATGGTCAATATCCTGGCATGCATGATGAGAGGGCGGCCTGCTTGCGACTCGAGGAACTCACGCGAAGTACCACGCCGCTTGACACGTCAATCAAAGTCAGTAAAAAAAGATAAACACATCACAGGCCGATGCGAACGTACTATCCATGAGCATCAAGCCATGCAGCCGTCGCTTATCGGCACCACTATGCGGTCTCATTCTCCACCAAGTAAGGAGTAGGACAACAACATCTGCGCAAATAGATGCTGCCCTGCCGCCGATAACCCCTGTTATGGCGAGCCGAGATGAGTCACCGCGACGATATACATTTTGCGACTTACAACTTATGAGCCACGTCAGTCTTTGTGTTACATAAAGAACAGGAAACCTTACTTGTCGAATGCACTCTCTGATATCCGCGTGTTATATAAGCACGTATTTTGATTGTCGGGCAGCGGTTGGACTTGCGGTATTATCACCACGAACGAGTACTGGAAAAGAGTAAGCTCAGCGAATCAACGTCTGCAATCTGCAGAAAGTGACTCACCATTGTCAGGATCGGATTCACAAGACTTAGGCTCAAAACGAATGCGTAGACTAGCTTGTTTCTGTCGTAAATGGCGTACATGCGCAATGCCACAAAGGCTAATATCGAGAACGTGAGGTGTAAGCCTGCATCGACGAGACACGTTGACATGCTTACCGGCTGAACTGACCCACAGGACCGTTCCGAGCACCTCCTGGAAGATAATCGAACCAGTACAGCTAACGGGCATTAGTCGTGAGCCATATTCTCTAACAGCTGATGGTCGCAATGCGTTACCTCTGAAAAAATTGTTACAAGTGTCTGAATAATCAATGCGGAGCACTCACCAGCCAGCCAGGCCAACTTGCGTAGGTGATAGTTGAAATTATCGAGGCGCAGGCGATCATGACTGCAGAATATCTGAGCGCGTAATACAGCCCGGACGCGAACGATATCCTGGTGCTCCACATGTAGCAGTATTCGTCGCCTATAGTCAGAGCATAGTCGTACAGCACGAGACCTGGAAATTTTGTTCAGTATTCAGGCTGAGAATGGAGAGGTACAGTAGTAACGTGCTCGCAGCTGAGAAATACAAGCAGTTGGTCTCATGGAAGCTAAATGGATAGCCAGAGTATTAGCCTGTGCTGACAGTATGAACTGAGCAAGCTAGCGCGCACGTTTGCAGGAAAGCCAAGCCAACGGTCCCTGAACTCATCGTGAGCCTCTCGGGGAGCGAGATACTAAAGCAACTCGCACAGCGGCCTTTTGTGCACGTCCTGGCTCCATGCTCCATCATCAATACACCTGCGGATAATGTGATCTGGCCATTAAAGCACGACGCGTCTCTCTGTGTCTCCGCAACATCGTCAACAGCGGCAGCGAAGGAGGATGGCCAGGCGCCACAGACCCGCCACTTGATCGTCGCCATAGGCGGCGTTGGGTTTCGCCGGAAATAAAACAGGTACGTCCGACATTTCCGCACGCGCGCGTGAGGGCTGGAACGAATTGTCATCGTGGGCTTGTGGTAGAGTATGCTTCCTGTTGACGCCTTCTAGCTTCATTCGACTACCACGATACTGCCAACAAAACTCTTCAATGGAAGCGGTCTCGCATATCATCACTTGCTCTCAATACACGGGCAAACGGTGCTTTTAGTAACTGGTGGAGACGGGCGCCATTCGAAGCCTTCAGACACGCCAATGCTGCAATTTGAGTGTACGTGGAGTTGATGAGGGTGGTGAGCAGAGCAATCTATCGCCTAAGTGCTATAGCCGACTGGTCAACTTTCATATATTGAACAGAACGCAAACGCTTGCAATGCATAGTAATGTTCGGCTCCACTGAGACAGACGGAATGTGGATCATGCGCTTACCTAGCAAATGCTAATGGTCACCAAGGCCCGGGGGATGGCCATACCTGCATAGATATTGTCCATATGGCAATGACAGGTAACCACTTGCGTGATCGGCAGACACCACAGCTTGCCCGGAACCGCGCATGCAGACAAATTTACCGCTCCGGGACACTTTGTGTCTGCTGGCCTTCCATGACATCGACACAATATCTGATTGCGCAGCCTTGTCGGCGGGAAATGCAGAAATCGTGACCGACAGAGCTTCCAGTGCTGGCAGCAGCTCCTTGTAGGCAGACCGTATCCAGCGAGCGGAAGAACGGTGACAGGCCGCATCGGATTCTTCTTCATGACTATCAAGAGACGCAGGCGATATATGCGTCCGAAGGATTTCGTAGCTGGCAGAGTCACTGCACTTATACGAGTCGCCGGGCACTGGGGATGGCCGTGGCAGTGCTGAAGAGGCTGCTTAAGTTCACAGCCACCAACCGACGCGCGCCTGAGTATCTCCCGGTGCGATTCACGCGACAATCAGTTATTCAGTTGTAAAAAAAAAATGTAAGGATGTCAACGGGACAGCTATATAACAGCGGGAAATGCAGGTTCCTCCCCATCTACCCTATGGCAGCTAAGGGGGCTTCATGCGAGAGGCGATACATTGTTTCATACCGTTTGGGGCCCCAGGATCAGGCACGTGCGCATGATCGAGACGAAGCACAAAATCCTACCCCCTCCGCGAAACGGTGAAACGCAACACGGAAAATGGGATTATACGCAGTCGAGACGATGCACTGCAGGTGGCTATGTCCCCCCATTTCTTCATAACAAATATGCCTATGATATTGCAATTGATGCTGTTGCAATGCACGGTGGGCAAGTGACAACGAGGGTTCGCTGCTGGCGGCACCGACACGATTGGATCCGGCCGAGTCGTAGGCAGTGTTTTGGACACCTTCTCGCCGAGAAAGCTTCAGCGAAGAGGACTGCGCAGCCGGCCCGCTAGTGGTGGGATTTGTTTGCACGGAGTCTGAGACAAGATAACTGTATCGACGCTCAGCGTCAGATTCGGACGAACGGGCCGCGAGTTACAGCAGGTGTCAGAGTGGCCACACCTACTTATGTAGCCGTACGGTCGAAAAGGGGGATATGAACAGCCTGTATATCCAAGTTCCATATACAAATCTGGGCATCGACTTGCGCAAAGAGCATAATACGGCTATGCTGCAAGGACGAGGGTAACTAGATCTCAATAAGCGACGGTTGTGGAGATGATGGAGGCGAAAGAAGAGATAGGCAGGAGAGGGCTAGCTGCGAGGGAAGTGCAGCCTGGGCACGGCAGAAAGAACGGGACGTGTTGGCGGGAGGCAGTATGAAGTCAAGTAGCCGATAGAGCCGGAAGCTTGTAGGTAATGAGATTATGGGATCGGCGAGACCTCTCTTGGGAAATATTGATGAGAGCGCACACATGTACGTCTCAAAAGCTTGCTGCAGAGGCGACATTACAGCGAGATTGCAGAAGACGGGATCCGCAGTGAAGCCAGAGATCAGCAAAAAGTATCATCAGCAGCAGCGAAGCCCGAGCACATTCCATCATGTGCTCACCGTCCGTCTGCAATCCAATGTTTTCGCAGGTTAAAAAAAAAGTGCTGACGAGTTGAGATACGGCCTGAGGACGATCAACGGTGAATTGTTCACGCAAATGACGCCGCGATGCGCGGTGCACGTCTGGGAAGTGAGTATAAAAATGCCGTCTGTGCGTGGAAAGGGGACGATAAGGATCTTTTTGAATTCCAAACGGCGGGACAGGTGAGGGGCCGTGCGCACCCGTTGGCGGTTGCGAGAGATGGAGGGCGATGGCCAAACAAGGCAGGTTCTTACGTTGAGCGTCTTCGCGCGGGTCGTAAGCAGAATTCTTGCATCATGGTAATGAAATGAATGCGCGGAGATCTCCAGTGAGCTGCTGACGGTGATCTTGAAGGCAGCGAGTCTGATACACGTGGAGGAGCAGGATGGCCCAACTTGGCAGGAGGCTTGCCCGATCAATTGCTCGTCTAATTCATTCAGAGAGTCTTATGCCGTTTGTGTCTGAGGAGACCACTCGCGTCTTAGCCGAGGCATACTCGCGCGCTTCCGGCCCCGAGGACGATCGAAGCACGCACGGGGAGGACATCGACGCGCTCCTCGTCGCGATCAAAATGAAACAGCGAGGAACCATGACGTTGGCGCTCACGTGAAGAGGAGTAACAGTTCCCGATCTGGACGCGTCCTCCCGCCGGCGCGAATCAGGAGGAGGATAACAAGTGCGGTTACTCGCCAGCCTAGGCCCGACTGCCGAATACTTATAGCCTCTACCTTTCCCCGGTTCCTCTCCTCCTCCCCCCCCGTCCTGCCTGCCCTCCGCGTGTATCTCCCTCCGTACTCGTGCATATACACCGCGCTTTAAACCTTCATCGTCGCTGTCCGAGTCATCCACGCAACTTACCTCACGCTAGCATCCCACGTACTCACACAATGGACAGCTTCGCCAGTCCGGACGCAGGCACGCGCCCTCCCGCCGCAGTCTCCCTCGCCGCAGTGCGTGAGCAGGTCCGCAAGCTCGAGGCCGAGCACCGCGCACAGGGCATAGTCCTTTCCGGCCGCATCATCCACGTCTGCCACTACCTCCCCGTTGTCTCCGCACTTACTCCCCGTCCTGCCAGCGCAGCGAAAGTACTGCCAAGCCCGCCGCAGACTCCCCCGGCGCACCCATCTGACATCCCGCCCAGCCCAAGCAGCGAGAAGCTCCCGGACGAGAAAGCTCAGGATGACGAGCAAATAATCGAGCAGCCTGTCCCGCAGCAAGCACAGGTGGGGACAGACGACCCCCGCACGCGCTGGGCAGTCCGCATGCGCTACGGCCACTCTGCCATGTTTTCAGGCATTGCATCCCTCTCTTCGACGCATGAGCAGCTCCTCGTCGGCTGGACCGGCGACATAGTCACTGCACCGCCAATTATCACACCCGTCAATGCTTCCTCTCCCTCGTCCACTCCTCCTCAGCAAGGTGCAAGCACGCCGTTGGACAGTTTTACTGCTCCCCCGAATGCGAGCGAGCTGCCAACAAAGGTCCCTATGGAACGAATTTCTCTGGAAGAGCGCTCAGCGCTTGACCCGTGCCTTGTAAAGTATGCTGCTGCGGAGATGAAGGAAGGCTCGAAGCCCACTACATATGTCCCCGTGTGGCTAGACGACGACGACGCGCATGGGCACTATGAGGGATACTGCAAACAAAGTGAGTATCTCATACTGACTCATGTGCTGTTTCTCCCTACTTCCCGCGTCTCCTTCACGCTTCCCGGGCGCCCTCCCATTCTCTTCGCCTGTTCCCGCCCAATTTTGTGTCCGAGGCCTCGAGCCATTCTAGCCGCCCCAATCTCGCGTATCAGTGCGCATACATCCACCGCTCTGCCATATCCGCGCATCTGGTTCGCTTCGCGTCAGCCAGATGCGAATGCGGACGCATATATGCGCGCTCCGTTTCATCATGGGCCGAGATTGCGTTCGGAGCTTATCTCGCAGTCCCGGTCTGGATGGAGGACGTGGAGTGTGAACTGATGAGGGGGTGAACGTGGTTGGGCACGTTCATGTCGCTTGGTTTGGAGGCGCACTTGAATTTGGATATGGAGCCAAGAGCTCGGATTTGGGTGACATGCCGGCCTTGGGCTGGGCTAAGACGAAGGGCGACTAGCGACTGCCAATCTGGTTTATCGGGCATGATTTTTTCTTTGTATGTTGTGGTTTGCTGCGGGTTGGCTGGTTACAGCCTTTTGCTTTCCTTGCTGGTCTCTATTCGGTCCTGTCAGCTGCTCTGGTCCCCCTCGCGACGCTCCTTGCCAAGAGACCGACAGTTGTTAGGAAGGAGATGATGCTTTTCCGAGTAATCCGAGTGGGAGAGTGCGTCCTGTGTACAACGGGAGCTGGGTGGGGTGGGGTGTATACACTTTCAGATATCCCATCTGATCCTTTACGCTTCCCCGTGCCGTTATTGCTCTCCATGCCTCTGCTACGTCATATATGCCGTAAAATAACATTATACTGACATCACTGCCTTCCACTCAGCTCTCTGGCCGCTCTTCCATTATCTCCTATGGCAAGACGTCGCGACGGAGTACGCGTCCGCGGACGCGCATTGGGCGTCATACGCGGCGGTCAATGCGGCGTTTGCGAAGCGGGTGCAGGAGGTGTACCGTCCAGGTGACCTCATCTGGATTCACGACTATCACCTGCTTCTCGTACCGTCGCTGCTCCGAACGGCGCTGCCGGAGGTAGCGGTCGGTCTGTTTGTGCACACGCCGTTCCCAAGCTCTGAGATTTTCAGATGCTTGCCACGAAGGAAGGAGATCTTGGATGGAATGCTGGGGGCGAATTTGATTTGCTTCCAGGTAAGAATTTGACTATCGTCATTTTTTTTCACAGGATGAGCAGCTAAAGATGGTGCGCTTACGTACAGACATACTCATATTCGCGTCATTTCACGTCGTCGTGTGTGAGGGTATGTGGGTATGAGATCACCCCTACTGGCGGCATCGATGTCATGGGGCATGTTGCGGCGATCGCATACTGCCCGGTGGGCGTCGATGCCGAGCGAGTGGCGAAGGATACGTGAGTACCCACCGCACCGTTTGCAAGTGCAGCATCTCACTAGAGGAATGTATGCAGCCTTCGTCCGGGCATCAAGCCGAAGTTGGAGGCACTGCGTACTTTATATGAGGGCAAGAAGATTATCGTTGGTAGGGACAAGCTGGACGTCGTCAAGGGTGTCGTGCAGAAGGTCTGTCTCCTCAATGCGCACGAGTGTTCGGCGTACTGACGATCCCCGCTGCAGCTCCGAGCCTTTGAGAAGCTGCTGCAAGACTACCCGCAATGGATCGGCAACGTTGTCTTCATCCAGGTGACCTCGCCCGCGCTGTCGGACTCGCCGAAGCTCGAGCGGCAGGTGTCGGAGCTCGTCGCGCATATCAATGGCGAGTACGGCTCGTTGGACTTCATTCCGGTGCATCATTATCATCAGACGATCAAGAAGGATGAGTTCTATGCGCTGCTATCGGTTGCGGACCTTGGTGTGATTACCCCGTTGAGGGACGGAATGAACACGACGTCGATGGAGTTTGTGATTGCGCAGGAGCGATCGAAGCATAGCCCGCTTGTCCTTTCGGAGTTCATGGGTATCTCGGGCAATATGTCGGATGCGTTGCAGGTGAATCCGTGGAACCTCGGGGTGCGCATACATCCATCTCTCATATATGTGTGCACGTTGTTGATGGAAGTGATGTGACTGCAGGAGGTTGCAGCGGCGATGAATCGTGGGCTGACGATGTCGGAGGAGGAGAAGCTGCGGAGGCACAAGCAGCTATTCAAGACGGTGACGACGCACACGTCGCATACGTGGGCGGCGATGCTCGTGAAGATGCTGCTGCAACAGGTTGGACGACAGAACTACGCACGGCAGACACCGCTCATGCCGAAGGACCGTCTTGAGAGCCAGTACCGCAGCGCGAAGAAGCGGCTGTTTTTGCTCGACTACGATGTGCGTCGCGGCTCTTTTCGTGATCCCTGGATGTGAGTGTACTAATGCGTGCGTATTATAGGGCACACTCGCACCGATCGTGCGCGTGCCGAGCGCAGCGGTGCCGTCGCTTGATACGCTGGAGGCACTCGAGCGGCTGACGGAAGACCCCCGGAACGTCGTGTTCATCATCTCGGGGCGCGACGGCGAGTTCTTGGAGCAGCATCTGGGCCACATCAAGAACCTCGGCATGTCGGCGGAGCATGGCGGCTTCGTGCGCGAGCCGGGTGCGAAGGAGTGGTCGAACTTTACGGAGAACTTGGATATGAGCTGGATGGATGAGGTCCTAGAGATCTTTAGGTATTATACTGAGGTGGGTTTTGTGATTGTTTGGGTGCGTGTGTGTGCTAATGGGAGTGTGTATAGCGCACGACTGGGAGCCAGATTGAGGTGAAGAAGAGCTCGATTACGTGGCATTATCGGGCGAGTGACCCAGAGTGGGGGTACGTGTGTAGGTAATACTGGCGAGATGGTGTCTCATTCTTGTGCAGTTTGTTCCAGTGCCGTCAGTGCCAGGACCTGCTCGAGAACAACTTGGCCCGTAAGCGGCCGATAGAAGGTCAGTATGGAGAAGACATTGCGAACGTACGGTGCTGATTGTTATCTTTAGTGCTTGTTGGCAAGAAGAACCTCGAGGTCCGCCCGCTTGCCGTCAACAAGGTTTGTTCCCTTTCGGTCGATTTGTTGTGAAGAATTAGCTAACAGTGATTGTGTTCGTAGGGCGAGATCGTCAAGCGTATCCTCTACTACAATCCTGATGCCGAGTTCGTCTTCTGCGCGGGCGACGACAAGGTACGTTAGTGACACCCTAGTTCATTCATTTGTCAATTCACGCCTCGCAGACTGACGAGGACATGTTCCGCGCCTTGCTGCTCTTCAACGGCAACGGCAGCGGGAACGGCAGCAGCGAGAGCAACGGCGAGGAGAAAAAGGCAATCCTCCCGGCCCCGCTCTCCGTCACGCTCATTGCAAAAGAACCCGCGAGCCATTTCTCGCCCGTCGAGCTTGCGCTTACCCGCGAGGGGATATTCACCACCGCGGTCGGCCACAGCAGCAAGCGCACGCTTGCCGCGTGGCACGTCACTAGCCCCGAGGCGGTTATTGAGCTCTTGCTCGATCTCGGTAACATAGCAGCCCACGACGTCGACGAGGCGAAGAGTTACCTATGATCGATGATCGACGGCCTCGCGGCAATTCCGGCAATGCTCCATCTCCACCAGCCCCCATACATGGCGTTCTCGACCTCATCTTCATTCCATTCGATTTGTATCGGGTTGCGACAACATACACGGGCTTCGCACACCCGTCGCGGATTGGTGTTATATTGGTTTTGGCACGGGCAGGTTGTACGAGTGTAATGGCATAGAAGACATCATCATCATCAACTTGTACATTCCCGCAGGGACTTAGTTTCGCACATCATTCACGCAGAATCGAACCATAGAGCAGCTAAAGTTGGGTTTGTATTGTAGACGCCAATTTTAGAATCATGGTACGGCACAAGTACATAGCGAGCAAACCACCCCAAGAGAATGCACATAGAATGCACGTCGCTGCTTGAGACACATGCCCACTCACACATCGGTCTGCATAGGTAAGGGTAAGGCCTGGCCGCCTTTCGCAGCGCTCGGCGTGAACGTGTGCCAGCGATCGTTGAAGCGGACGTCCAGTGGCCGTCCTCCGTACATATAGTTCTGGAATTTGGCTGCGGACGAGCGTCAGTTTAATTGATGATGAGAAGGAGCATGCAATCTCACCAATGGCGGTCTCAGCCTCCGGGACTTGACTGAACTGCACAACACCGCAGCCCTTCGACCGGGCACCTTCAAATAAGATCTCAGCCAGCTCAACCTGGCCGGTCGTCTCAAACAGCTCCACCAGGTCCTCATTAGCAGTAGACCACGGCAGCTACACCATCCATCCTCAGCTCAAACCCGACATCAGAAATGAAGCACCAATACGCACGTTTCGCACCATGATCTGCTGGCTCGGCTCCGCCTCGAAACCGGGGTAGGGAGCTCCAGCTGCAAATCCTCCAGCGGGATACCCCTCCATCCTGAGCCCGCCGCTTTGCGAGTCTGGTCCGGAATAATCCGCATACAAGTCCTGGCTGGAGAAGTCGCGCCCTGGAGCGGCACCGGCGTAGCCCCCGCGAAACCCTCCTCGGAAGCCACCCCTGCCGCCACGCAAACCACGCAAGCCACCGCGGAAGCCGCCTCGGAAGGCACCCGGGCCAGAGAGACCGGCGTAGCGGTCCTGCGATTGCTCCATCAAGCGAATGTCGATATGGAGAGTGCCAATGTCTACGTACCTCGCGCACTTCGAGTGTACGTCCGTACCAGTCGAAGCCATTGTACATACCTACCGACAATCAGAATAATGCTGCAGGGAAAAAAACACAGTGCTACACACTGATGGCCTGCTGAGCATCTTTTGCGGTCTCGAAAATGACAGTCCCAGATCCCTTCGGGCGTCCATCCGCACCAATGTTGATGTCGGCACGGATGATATTACCCGCAGAACGGAACAAATCCTTCAAGTCCTGCCAGCCAGCTTGGTAGGGCAGCTACGAACGCACCGACAATCAGACTTGTGCAATTCGAGCAACGATGTGAACTGTACATACATTGCCGACATAAAGTTGATTGCCGGGGTTCGTGTGGCCGAAGAGGTTGTGGGACGGCGGACGAGGTGGCGGCGCTGCGTGCAGTCCTTGCCCGGCCATCGCCATACCGATCTTACCTGGAACGGGCGTTGCACCGAATCGGGATTCGTTTTCGCGGTCCTAGAGACAGCGCATAAGAAACCGCTCCACTTTATTTGTCCAACAATATTGCACACCTCGCGAATGAAGACTGGCCGACTCAGCAAAGATTGTTCCGAGAGCTCTCGGATCGCACGTTGAGCGTCTTCCTGCGAGGCAAACTCGACGATACTTAAAAATTGATCAGTACTTGTGCGACATAAATTCTGCCAAATGTACTCACCCGCATCCCTTGGACACACCCGTCGGCGTGACAAGCACTTCGGCGAACAAGACCTCACCAGCTAAGTACCCCAAAAGAAAGCTCCCATCAATAACCGTCCTCTCAACTCGCCGTTCCATCAGTAGACCAAGAAACGCCAGCAAACCGACGGCCTCGACACGCAACCTCTTTCCTCGTGCATCACACTCATGAAGCTGCTTGCCTGCCTGCCCGCCACCTCTCTCCGCAGAGTCTCACTCGGACTCTCGAGCTCAAGCGATCGCCTGCGCCTGCGCCGGCCGCGCGCCTCCGTGGACGTGGAAAACAGCGAATAACTAATTTGAGATTCCCCCACCCACCTCCCCGCATGAATTCCATCAGGTCCCTGTACTTGACGTCGTAACTGAGGTTGCCGACGTAGACCCGGTTTTCTCTTTTGCTGACCTTGGCGAACTCGACCGCCTCTTCGTGGGGCGCGTTCATGGGACCACCGAGCGAGCGTGAGAAGGGCTCGGTAGGACGACGCTCCCGGCTCCGCGAACGACTGTGCGATCGTGTGCGCGAATTGGAGCGCGAGCGCGAGCGGCGCGAATGGCGACGCGGAGAGCGGGAACGTTTGTGAGAGCGGGAACGCGAGGGACTGCGCGACCTCCGGCGCTGAAAAATAACGCCACCTTCAGTGTACGGTCCCCAATCATGCATATGCGCACTCACATCGCCGTTCCGCCTTTCCTCGGGCTCCCAATGGTCACTTCGACGACTGCGGCCTTATTTTGAACGCGTCAGGATCGTGCCTCAGGGGCACGACTCGCGCTCATCAACTATAAGGGTAGCGCTTACCTGAGCCACGGTCGCGATCTCTGTCGCGTTCACGGTCGCGGTCACGATCCTTGTCGCGGTCGCGCCTGTCCCTCTCACGATCTTTGTCTCTGTCGCGCTCCCTGTCCCTATCACGGTCAGCGTCGCGCTCCCCGCCCCGCTCTCTCTCACGATCTCTTTTGTCCTCCACGTCGTCCTTCGCCTTCATATCGACGTCCATTGTGCGCAGAGCTCCTGGGAAGACGGTGAACGTGGAATGGATAGCCGGACAAGGAGGATGGTGGTGGTAGGAGGCAAAGATCGAGTCTTTTTCTGACCCCTCTTCCTGCCCAATGATCGCCCGGCGTTAATTTGGCTTGAGATTCCCAGGCTCCTTAATTGGAAATTTCCTGCCGTCAAAGTTCGTCAAAACGCTACCCGTAGTAGACGGCCCTCATCCAAATGGTCCTTCAAAGACAGGCATAATTGCAGCACAATTTCTGGGAGCGGCGGCAGCTGGGACTCGGTAGTCCCAAGTCTCTTTGGTTGTCGAATTATTTTCCTGGCTCGTCGGATCGCTTTTCTCATGCGTCCACAGCGTCCAAGTCTTACTACAGTGGCCAAAAACTTAAAGCTGTTTCCGTTGAAAATGGACCATGAGTGTATTCGTCTGATGCTAGCTGCATCTCTGAGCTTACCAACGGAATGACTCTACTTCTTCGCGACTTTAGGTACATGTGGAGAAATCGAAACAATAGGACTCCGTGACGAGCTGGCCCTCCACCTTTGGGCATTTGTTTCAGTTCCGAAATATTTTGTAGCTAAGACGATCATGGGCCGTGCGCAGGCGGTCCATAGGAAGTAGGATTACGAGATCTGACCTACCCAATTGGTGAACAATAACCTCCATCCATGCGGATAGCCTGCGTGATATAGCTGACGATCGTGTTCTCTAGTCGATGTGCTACCTTTAGTAGGAGCGACCGCAGGCTCAATCCAATGCACTCGTTCTGGTGGCCCGTGCATCAAAATCATCTCACGATTAGTAGGACATCACTCCCGTCTATTATTCCTTGATACGTTCAATATACAAGCGTGTCACGGTCGCCAGTCAATTTCGGCATTATACGTGGCCACTCGAAACCCGGTGGCACTTACTGCGCTTTGTGTGCCCATGAGCCGCTGCCAAGTATCCTCGTCGCTCCTGCCTAGTTGGATCGAGGCCACTGCATTTCTATGTGCCACCCAGAGGATTTTACAGAATTCTCAACATGGCCAGCTAATCACGCCGCTTGTCGTGAAGTCAGCACTCCTTGAGGCTGAAGGTATATAAACCCCTCAGAATCAGTTCCCTCCCCATCGTCGTCTTCTAACAAGTACCTTTTTCAACCATCATCCTCCTCATTCTCTAAATGCGGCGTCCACGCCCGCCACCCACGTCTCCAGTGCTCCTCTTCTCAAAGAGGCCTTGTGCGAATACCCTATGGTTACCACGACCGCCGATATACAACCGTCCTTACAGCCGCCTGGCGCCCGATCCAGCATCTCCACGGCGCGTCGGGACCGGCGCTAGGTGCTAAGATGTCAGTTGCCCCTCTCACTCGCCATTCACCGCTCATTTTGACATGACTCGCACTAGTGGCATCACTCGTTCCCAGTGCCCGCCGGTTGACCAACACCAGCCACCGCCACGGCGCCTCAGTCCTAAGCGACAACCCTGTGAGCTTCGCCTCACCAATCACGGGCGCATCGCGATGGGAGAACGTGCTGCACATGCGGGAATGGGCAACGGGGGATATTACCGCCTTTCGTTATCACAACAATGCTGTTCCGCAAGTCATCGCCCGCTCCGAAAGGAGCTCAATCATGGGCATGAGCGGGCGGAAGGAGTTTATGGGTATTATGGTAATAATACTCAATATCTGGAGGGAACTGATAGTAATCCTAAATTTATGAAGTGCATTGGGAGCACTGCTAGTCTGGTTCTAAGTAGGATCCAGTCTCTCAAACATACAATAGTCAGAGCTGTGGCCGTGCCATGTAAAGTTTGGTATCAGAGATCATGAAGTTTCAATGAATCCTCCTAGATAATTACTCCTACAGAAAAGACAGGACACATTGCTCGATAAGTTCCGGAATGGATCACGAAGACTTGGATTGTTTGCGCAGATGTTCATGTCATCATTTATTACTCCTCTCGTATCATCGAAGGTATAGCGTCAACAATGACTGTTTTAGTTCAGACTGTTGCCACAGCAAATAATGTATGAAATAGCTCTTGACTGTCGCCATTCACGAAATGTTGCGAGAGCACTTGAATTGTTTCTAGACTGGTCTTCAACTCTGGCATCTGACCAGGGGTGGACTGACAATGCCCGTTATCCATATCAAGCGATAGTCATAGGCAATTGCCCCCCCCGGGACATCGCGCATGCATCTCCACGAAAAACAGTCCAAGATAACGAATGTCATAGAAGAGGTTTCTCGATGAGACGGTCTACAACAACGTCGTGATCATTACCTAGAATGACTTCAGGTAAGAAGTCCCATCAGTCGCTCGTATCGTTAATCGCCCGAAGATTCAACGCCTTCAACTACTCCTTGTACCTGACGCTGTGACCGTGTCCCAAGGCTCCTCTCCTACGATAAATTGTTGTGTGCTATTGCTCATGCAGGTACGCGTTTTCGATAATTATCGAGGTGCGGCGCGGCACACATATACTGGAATCGGCTAATGAGGATTGTTATACAGGCTCAGACTACTTGATGAACCACCATTCACATATTATTTATCGTACATCACCAGATACGATGGTCGGAGTGCGTCGTTGGTGAACACGATCAGTTCGTCGTGGCTGACGGCGGCGCCTTTCTCTCCAAGAACCTATCATGGTGTCAGATGGAATCCTATCGAAGAGGAGATGTCTGCTGACCGAGTCAAACCCAGCTGGGGGTGCGGTGAGTGAAGGCACGTCGACTGTCGTCTTGTAGCCCTTTCCCACCACAACCTTGTTGAGGAGAATAGCTTTGAGAGGGGAATTGGAGTTGACGTTCCGCGCATAGTCATTGGAACTAGCATCTACATATCAGTATCGTATATCTCTTGCATGTTGTCCGACCACATACTTGGACGACGTGGATGATGTGTAATGTCCAACACCGAATCTGCACCTCGTTCAGTATGACAGCAGCTGTCCTGGATCACGAGCTGCACGTACCTTCCCCGGGCGAAGAACTTTAGATCAAACGAAGTCTCGATGATGCGGCACAGAGCGCAACTCGCAGATGAACAAAGTTGCGCATTACCGTTGTCCCCGATCGTGCATTCTCGTCTGGTCCCATGCCACCGTCGGTTCTCATTACCTGCAGGCCGTCCGGCGGCCATGAAATGCCCACGACTCTCGACCGCCGCCCTATGAGTCAGGTTGATCAGTCGCATTTTGCATACTAGCACAATACGCTCTGTACTTGTATTTCTCGTATTGGTCTTGAGATGCCTTCGGTCGCACAATTTTGTAGACATGCTTGACTTTAGGGCATTGACTGTTGTGTCTCCAGGAAGATTTAAATTGCGCGACAACTGCCGTCAACTTGTCAATGGCTCATCAATCGCATCCTAGTCAGCACACTGACCGTTATTGAAGACAGTGTGATTCTCCGGGACCTCCAGCAGCACCACGGCATGCTTCTGCGCTTCTTCCGCGCAAGTCCTCGAGCAGTAAGGGAAGGTACCTTGTTTCGGTTTCTGCAGGCACCACAGACATGCATTTTCTCCAAGACTAACCAATCGTTATCAGCAGCAATGCACACGTAGCGGAGGTATGCATGTCCGTACGTCTTGTGCTTTTTGGTGCAGTACTTTCCCGTGCCGTTCGTGGACTTGAATGCTGGCTGATTGCAGCCAGGTATTGGGCAAATACCGTTCGCTGTCGACCACATGGAGCACGTGCTAGGAGAAACAAAAAGCTAGCGACTTACAGACGGCACTTCTGTTGGTAGTATTCCGTTGCGGCGCAGCCGGCGTCTGCTTGCTTGCACACGTCCGGCTGCAGTATGGGTGTGTCCGCTTTCCATCAGTGAACTGCGGCCGACTGTGACAGACCTGATGCCCAGTATAATGTCGACTCCTTCAGTTCAAGAGGGAAAATGATTGCCTTAGACATACAATACACATTGCTACGTTGTTGGGGAGGAATCCATTCCGAGCCGACGCAGCACTCGCACACTGTTTCCCGCAGTATGGATGAGCGTGGCCGGTGCTCTCCACGAATTTCGGACGAGCGTGACATTGCTAAGATAATGTCAACAAGCTCGGACGTTCATTGTGAAAGCCACTGTCCTTACCTCACAGAGGTTGGAATTAATTGCTCCAGCGGTCGCTATGCCTGGTAAAGCCGAGCAAATCTGTGAGCATTATAAAGCATTGGACAATTCATGTAAAAATAAATAGCAACGTGTATTGGGATATGCAGACTTGTCGCTCCAGAAGCCAAATGCTGAGACGCACCGTTGTTCATCGTTCACCAGTAAAATATTGGAATGCAGGGATTGAAAACAGATGGAGCTCAGCAGTGATAACGGTGGTATGCACTAGTAAGAGAGAAATCGATGAGCGTGAGTCCATGTGAGAAAGAGTTTAAAGCTGTAGCGCACACCTAGCACCCCTAACACGCGTTTTTCGCATTGATGTAGCATGTCGCTGAACTTTACCGGAATGAGGAGGACGCATGTTAGGTTGCGCCTTCAAACCGACAACTAATGTCTTCCTTTTGCAAGTCTGTGGTATCGTGGGTATCTTGCATTCATACATGCTCACGGCGGCTATCATGAAAGATACGGCCGCATATATATCCGGAAATCAAGCGCCCGTATGCACACTCGGCGGACAGCGGCCCTGACAACTACTCCAGTACGTCACGTTGAACTGAGGCACATAACGTCCAGTACAACGATGTGTCAAGTATTCCATCGCAAAGCGATAGCTGCATGCCGTGTCTTAGCGAGAGCAGTATTAGACGACGGTGAGATCACCAGTTTGTACGTGCATGTCGCTGTTGATAAGTGGACCGTTTAGTGTATAACTCCATACCACAACACAATGCAGTGATACATACTTCACATCAACTTCTTGTGCAGAATGTTCACTCCTAGGAAGAAGCAACAGAGCTGCGTGGAGTTTGAACCAGAAGATGACCTACTCTGGCATTTGACCTGTCGATATCCAGAGAAACCGAAGAGATTCGGACATTGGTAATGCAGCTATCTGCTCCGATAAATGTCGGCGATGAGAGCATCATAACATTTGAGACGGTGCTGACATGACTTTTATTCTTCGAGCATTTGTGGGATAAAAATCGAGCAGCACCATAGTAAACATATGCATGTCAGCTGTGGCTGTGCTTCAAGTCAATGGTGAAATGGCTGCTCCAGTTGAGTTCTGATGGGCATGCCTCATCAAGGATACTCAGTAGCGGTCCGAAGGTTGGATAAGGTAGCTCACCATGTGTATGCTGGAAGATAGCAGGAATCTGCTATCGCTGAGCATGCCATCATCACTAGACATACCAGTGTACTCTCGTACTAAATTCCCGAAATCTCAATGATAATGCCTCAGATGGACTAATGGAGGGCATTGAAACAAAGGGGAGCATCTCTGCGGAGCCATGTGCCCTTGAACTTCAGTGCATGTCGATGCAACAACCGATGTCTTCACAGAGAGAGAGCATTCGGGATAAGAAAGCGAGAGATGCCAGTCGCAGAGTGACTGTTGACACAACATACATCGAGGACAGACGTACTAGATGATGATGAAAACGCCAGTTTGTGCGTAAAAATAGACAATATTACTGCAGATTGAACGTTTAGCCCGGGATCCCATACGAAGATGAAGCGCAATGAGACATACTTCTGAGCAACTGCTTGCGTGGCATGGCGCTTCCTAGCGAGAAACGTCAGATCTGCATGTGCCGCCTCCATCACCTTAGCGATAACCCATACCCGGGTACAACAGGCAAGTTGAGCATTGTCGAAGCCGCCGGATGTCACGAGCTTGGGCACAATGACAAAAACATGTTGATAGATGGAGCTTTCTAATTCCAGCGTGAATAACCGAGAGGAGTTTTCCATCAGATGCCGGTTAACACATTACTGATCATCCCGTCAGCATCTTGGTCAGGATTGTCTAGCATACACAATAACTCAGCTATATGCGCAAATGGAAATGTTATGTTGAAGCGGACAGTATCTGAAAAAAGTTTATTTTTGATACACTTCACGGCGTTGACCCAGCAGCGTCAAAAGACTCTTAAGCGAAGTCAATGAGCAATATGTCGCTTCAAAGCGATTAAAATTAGGTTGACATACTTCGGTTCAAAATCATCACCGTAGGACCCCGGGAGGAACATATCACTTAAGTCGTATCTTCGTGCAAGATAAGCTGAGTCCTCGCGCAAAAGCTCGTATAGAGGTGGAAAGAATCAGAGGCTGAAATCGAGGCTTCCTTTCCTGTCCTTGCCACTGAAAAGAGCCGCCTGTGGCGTACATTCAGCACCTTTGATCACAACAGCACCACTCTACCTATATGTGAATTTTTGCGCTGGGGACCTACGGTTTTGAACTTTGGTGGAACAGCAAGATGACATGGAACGGACAATGACACACCCTATGAGAGCGTTACAGCGACTCGGGAAAGGTACATGATGCAAGAGACAGTGTGAGACTGAGCGCCAAAAGCTCTTCAACTTGGTGTTGCTGCAGTCGAGTTTGATTGTTTTGTAGTAGAAGGCAAACATTAATCCACGGCCGTTGAGTTTCCGAGAGCGAAGGAGTCCAACCTTACACTTCATCTATCCGGGTCACCCGGGTATCTGAGGTCGCTCGATGCGAACATGATGGAATGGTAACTTCGCAACAGATTTCGATGCTTCTGAGCGCCGACGAAGTGCTCGTTTTGGGGAGGACAAAGTGCGGAGCATGGACGTTGAGTCGGAGAATGGTCTGGTGCTTCGAAGCGGCGACGCCGCCAATAAATCCTCCGCCACCGCCAAAAATACATTTTTGGCACATTGTGTCGGGCTTGATCTTTCGCCAGCCTCACGACATGCCCATGCATGGCGAGAACGGGGCGGTCGACGACGAGAGGGCACGCGCCCGCGTGGCGCCCGCGGTGGCACATTAAGGTTTATTTCACAGCCGTGACACGTGCAGACTTCTCCGAGTCTTTGACCATCAAACACTGCGCTCGTTGAATTGCTCAGCACGCCCATACCGCCCTTGTGAGTCACGGCCCTTGTAAGACCCGAAGGGCACGCTGTTGACGGTTGCGGGGCAAGGCGGTAGTTAGAACGGAACAGAAACGGAGTGGTGGAGTGTGTGTCGGTGAGTTTCTGAGCGGCGCCGGGATCGGGAACACGATTTGAGTCGGAGTGGGCAAACTCCCCATGTTCTCCGCTCCTCGTTCCGCTGCTTTTGGTTCGTAGTTGGTGAACATTGTCTGACCAAACGTCTTCAATGCCTTCAGAGTCGAGAGAAAGTCATCTACCAGTCGCGCCGTCGAGGACTCCTTTCTTCGACGGCCTCTTCGTGCTCATTCGCCATGGCAAGCGAGCAGAACAAATCTGCCAATTCTGGAGGTCACGAACAACCGCCGCCACACCCGATGGTATCTTACCCCCCTCAGCATTTTGGTAGCTCATACGTCCCTCCTGGACCCTACCCTTCTATCTACACTTACGCTCCCGTCCCCGACGGTAATCATGACCCAAACATCCCAGGCGGAGCCCCTCCGCCTGCTCCATACTTCATGGCAATCGCGCCTCCGCCGCCAGGCATGGTTTATGCCTATCCAGCACCTCCACCTGGTCAGAGCAAGTTCATTAGTCATCACATGTTGGATGTCGAACACTGACTCTCCCATGCAGGATATCCTCCGTACGTGCCACCAATGCAAGCCCCGCCGCCGCAGCGTCCCAAACGCAAGCAAGTAAAGATGGCAGTAAGTACTGGTTCTTTTCCTCCGCGCATATAGAGCGAACTGAATGGCCACAGTGCACGAATTGTGCGAGTGCATGCAAGAGGTGCGACGAAGCCCGTCCTTGCGAGCGCTGCCGTAAATACAATATTGCGGATAGCTGCGTCGATGGCGTCCGGAAAGAGAGAAAGAAAGGCATAAAGCGTGGCCCTTATAAGCGCAAGAATAGGAATCCGGGAACCGAGCAAGCAGCCGGAGGTCAGTTTTTCCCATCTCCGACTTTTTAGTTGCTTATCTTGCGATCTTAGGATATTCCTCTCCTCCTGCCGGTGAAGGCGATCAGCCAGCTGCACCTGTTCCTTATCCCGTGCCGCCTGAAGGATATTATTCATATTACTACCCGCATGGATACATGCCGCCTACCCACGATGGCCAGCCCCATCCGGAGGGTGTTCCAAATGGCAACGGTCAACACATTCCACACCCCCCGTACATACCTGTCCCAATGTATGCGCCGTTTCCGCCGTACTCTGGAGCTCCCATGCCGTACCCGCCCCCTCCGATGCCGACTCCCGCGCCTGCGTCGAATGCTGCCCCGATCACGAACGGAAGAGCTGATCCTCCTAGCCACAACGAGGCTAACGGAGATAGCGCCAGCACCAAGAATAAAAAGAGGGTGCGCGCCAAGAATGGTGACGACGGGACGAAATCAAGGAGGACGAAACACGTCCCCACGGACTCGCAGCCTGACGGCGACATCGGACGTGGGAAGAATGTGTCTCTGAACGGCCAGTCAGAGGCAGGAGGCGTCTTCAATGGAATGGAAACCAGAACCGTGGTGGCTGTCTAGCCATTACCTGCTCCACACCAGGCACCATGCCGCGTGTCTCGATGCATGTCTGCCAATTCCAGACATGCTCTCAACATCTTTCCACTACCGCCATTGTACTTGTATCTCTCGCGTTGTGTGACTGGAAAGAAATCGTCTCTATCTCTCGTCTTTTATACCGCCTTTATTGGCGTACAATCACTCCTACCTTGGCCCGCGGCTCCGGTGTGCTAGGATGTGTCTGGTGAGCTCTTTAGCCAGCACAGGGGTCCAGTCTTGCACTGTCGATCCCTTTGATGCGCTAAATAACTAGCAGAAATGTCCCGCCTCGAAGCGTTGGTTGAGCGTATAGATCTCGTCTCTTCCTCGTGCTTGGTTCGTGTCCCAGTTCCCCGTATGTTTCCCGTTTTGCTATGTGATAACTGCTCTGTGGACGTATGTACGGAAGGTTCTGATTTGTATAGCGAAAAAAACAACAACAAATGGATGTTACGTATTTATTAAATTTGCAGCCTAGGCGACAGGGTTGTCGTTCTAATGCCATCCGACGGTACGTCGTAGACGCGTCAAACGTCTTCCAGTGATCGGCCGCGGCCGCTTATCATCCGGGATGTTGCCATGATCACTTTCAACTTGACCTAAAATTTGAAGAAAGACAAATGGTTCGCACCTAGCTGTTTGATCAAACATTCAAACGTTAAAAAAAGGAGTCTGGGAGTCTCCGGTCGCGAGAAGTTCAAGCTTCAAGCCTCCTCGACAACTTTCGGGTCAAGTAGTCGCCGTTGATGCAGATGAAACGCCGTGCCAGCCTCGCTGTCGTCCAACACGCGCTTGCCACGGTGCAGGGACGCGTTTAATTAAGCTTGTCAAATGTGACAATTGATGCATATGTATAATGTTGCCCTCGCGTACCTGCATTTGATTCGTACATGAACGACAATGACAGCGCGTACATAGTTCGGACTCTCGCGGCAAGTGCAGCCTTACATGGAAGAATGATTCAAATGTTAGGCGCTCTCACCCCGCCCTGACGTTGGTGTCCAAATTAGGTTTGATTGCCAAAAGTCCCATCGGTGAGTTCCTTGATTGGCCTAACATTGGAAGTGTCAGGAAAGACATGTTTGCTACCGGCCACTGGACGCGGAACTCCGACATTCCGGGCACGAGGTATCGTAGCGAGACTGCTATACTTCGGATACGTGAGAGCTTCGAAGAGAAGACATTTAAATGACTCAATGGTGAGTCTCAGAGTTGTACGTCGAACATGCGAAGGGCCCACGTCGACGTCACGACCCACGAGGATTTCGGACCGAATGAACACGTATCTAGTAAACGTTATATTGTGTACGTGCCACGCGTCGCGCGATAGCTCAGAGACATCTCCTATCTGCTCATCGGAAAGCTTCACAACAGAGTCATCCCATCGCGGCGTGAGTGCTCTTAACGCGCAATTTCAATGACGGAAGTTCCTTAGCCCGGGTCCATTGCATGATATTTTTAGAGTGCTTTACAAGCGATTTCTGTGTAAAAATACAAGTCACCATTTCTTGTTGCAGTTCGCTGCTGCGATGCGCTGATGGTGATGGCCCATCAACTTGCATCGAAAATTCAAATCGACTTGTGGCTCACGAACCTCATTTTTGACTTGTGCTCGCTGGTTTTGGCTTATTACAGCCAATAAGCACACGATAAGAAGCTATCAACCCGGAGACAAAATCAAAACAAGGAGGTGCTGAACCTTGCTCGAACTTACTGTCTTTTTTTGTGACAGCAAACAGAAAAAAGCATCATAAGCCGGATTTGAGTTTTCCTGATGTGAACAATGTTTCCTCGGAGCCATAAGTTATGGCGTTTTGACAGAGCTTCGCATGGTTACCAGGAGGCGCAACCAAGTAAGTGTCGTACTGATCATCGTGCACAGTTCGTCTCGACACATAATCCGTTGAACGAAATGCACCGAATCTTGGAGATATCAAAGTTCAAGCGCGTCGGTGGCGGTTGTGTATTTCTAAGGCTGCAGCCAAACAAAGACCCCGGGCACCTGAAAACTAGACTAGAGCGCCCGCCGACGTCGAGACCCATCCCTCAGCTCAGCTCAACCCGCTCACCGCTCCCCATCACATTCTCCTTTTTACACCTTTTTTTTTGCTTTCAGTCACGCTTTTTGAAAACTATGTCGGCTATCAGAGCTCTCCGCCATATCTCGCTGTCTTCTAGCAGGGCGTTCGCGGTGAGGAGCGGCGCCCGTGCGTTCTCGCGCGCCGCGATGCCTGTATTTGCGTCCCGCGGCGTGCCCGCGAGCATGAGCGCGGCGAGGACGTTCTCTGCATCTGCGCGTGCATGCGGCGAGGGTGCGTGTGAGTGCTCGTGCTTACCTTGGATGCGAAAAAGGATGGAGGCTGATGGAATTGTGGTGGCTACGCAGCGGATGTGACCCTTGCGCAGAAGCTGTCGGAGGAGCTGCAGTACGAGAAGGAGGCATCGACGACCACTGAGCCGGAGTTCCTGAAGGTGTTCAAGGCGCAGAGCGTTTGGGAGGTGAGTTTTCTCGCCGGTTTGCTTCTTTTTTTTGTTGTGGACACGTGCGTCGTTGTCCGGAGAGATGTGCAAGTGTCTCAGTGGTTACGTTGAGGGCCATTCAGACAAAAAGGATCAGTCGCGATGGGAGAGGATGTCATGTAGCGCGGAAGGATCTGCGTACGTGACGTACATCAGTTTGTTGGGATGGACAATAGGGATGGATAATAGGCGCACGCCGTGATATGTACTCCTGTGGAGTCATCATTCATCATACGCGGTAATCTCTATCGTGTATGTTAGACAATGATAGTACAAGCACCAACCGCCTTCCTCGTTACGGGCAAATTCTGACGAGCCTTCCCTCCAGATTGAGGACACAGCCGGCAATGATGAGATCGCACTGACGCGGAAATTCGGCAACGAGACGTGCGTACTGCGTTATCTCTGTTCTTCGCTGCAGGATGATTGAGGCATGCATGTAGGATCCGGTTGATGTTCTCAATTGCTGATATCCAGAACGAGCATGAGACGGAGTTTGAGGAGAACGAGGAGAACGAGGAGACCGCGGATGAGGAGGAGCCGATCCACTCCTATCCCATTCGGTGTTCATTCTCCGTGACGAAGGTATGTAGCTTTCCATGCAGGACTCCTCTCACTCGATCTCACTACTGCGCCCAGTCCACGACCGAGGGTGCCCTGACGATCGATGCGATGTGCCAGGAGGGCGCGTTCATCGTGGACAACATCTCGTTTTATACCGACGCGAAATTGGGCACTGATCTGACTGCCGAAGCGGACTGGAAGCGCCGTGGACTGTACATTGGGCCGCAGTTTGACACCCTCGACGTTGCTGTGCAGGAGGAGTTTGAGAAGTTTTTGCAAGAGCGGGGCATCAACGAGAGCCTTGCGCTGTTCATCCCTGAGTATGCTGAGTACAAGGAGCAGAAGGTTAGTTCATCCCATTGCTTTATAGATGTACGATTGAAGTTCTGACTATGGGCCTGCAGGAGTACGTGAGCTGGCTTAAGAACGTTAAGACGTTCGTAGAGGCTTAGACTATGACTATTGCAAACCAAAATGTGTGCAGTGCCGCACTTGCTACGTGCTTAGCTACACGTCTACATGTGTAAAGTCTAATGACCTTGACCGGTATCACCACTCGACTTGAGAAGTGATAAGCATACGACCTGATCCGAAGATAGCTGTGACATCATCGCGTGGCGATCAAAGCACGATCGTAATGGCCGCGATGTTTCTCGCAGTTTCTGCCGCGTCCGAGAGCCTCGGAAGCCGCACGGACCACGTCACGATTTCTCGATGCCGCCAGGCTGTTCCGGAGCCCCAACCATTACAGGCGCCAGTTCACCCGGTACGGTTAGGCGACCACGCAGCCATTTCTGACTGATTGGGGGTGCGCTTGGGACATTCTTCACGGGCCCGCTCGGCCTCGTACGAGATGCGAATTGCGTGGCGGCCACGTCAGCTAGGCCTTGCGCGCCTCCGTTAGTATAAAGCGTGGTGAAGCGGTGACCGGTAACTCGTCCAAGCAGAGCCACAGCGGACTCGTCGTTTGGTCCGACATCTACGCATTTGCTTATACCTTGCGCACCCATTCTATAACTCTGCACGATGTCTAGCCCAATCGCCATCCCCCGTCGCTCCTCGCCCGCCCGGTCTGCTGCCGCTGACTCGCCCGTGGGCTCGCCGACGGGACTGTACGTCCCAGTTCACAAGCGTTCAGCCTCGTCGTCACCCTCGACGTCGACGATACGCTCCAACTCTCCTCCGCGCAGTCCCCGCGCGGCCGTGCATCGTAAGTTTGCCCAATGTCTGATATAGTGGTGTGCACCTTGACTGACCGGACGTCTGCCAGAACCGCTTACGATTATGCCGATGGGCGCAAAGGTGCCCTTCGTGTACGACATGATCGAGTTGCTCGCTCTCTCCGCCTCGCCCCTCGTCGGCCTCTCCCCCTCCCAGCGTGAGCATCTCGCGCAGCTCCTGCCATTAACCGCACCGAACTCCGCTGCCTCTCCCAAGGAGATGACTCCAAACCCGAACGCGAGTGCACGGCGTCGGCGCCCCGCGGCAGGTCGGCGCAGCACGAATGCGAAGAAGCTCGCGATGGAAGTGCATACTGATGTGGAGAGTCGCCGGAAGCGCCATGGTCAGTTTGGGTGGCACGCCCATGAGGCCGGCGAGGAGAGCTGGAGGCATGTCGGTGCGCCTGTTGTAGGAGTGCCACAGGCGGCGTGACCTTGGCTGGATGGCTGTGGCTATGGAAATTCTCATTGGAATGGACGGACGATTCATCAACGGTATAGCATGATACTTATTAATCCTAATGACCGGTAATATGTAACAGCTCATCATGTACAATGTATCATTATCACAATGTATTGATCCACTCCGTGCGTTTACTACAATGGGTTGACTCATTAGAAGCAAGAAATCTAGCACTTGGTTAAGACAAAACTTCCGGTGCTTATGATGCACCGCGCGAAGAATATCTCGAAGGATAGAGACACTCATCTGACTCGACTCGGGGATGCAGCTATCATTGGATGGATATAAACTCCTTCTGAGTCGCAATATGCCGATCTTTTGTATCAGATGGTTGTAGTTGACAAATTTCCAGTCAGCCGCAGGATCGGGCACTGGTCTTGCGGCTTCTATGGGAGACCACAGGGGAAGCACGGACTCCAGCGGGAGTTATTCAGGGCCCTCGTCCGAGGTAAGCCTCGATAGCAAGGCCGAGCTCCGCAACGACGCAGCCGATGATGGCAAGCCGACTTCAATAATCGCCACTTGTGGCAGCTATGCAGTATGATTGCCAGGTAACTTTAGTGTTCTCTCTCTCATACTAAATAGTGCAGTGGCAACTAGTATGGGGGAGGGGGCACGGAGGCGGGCGCTTGGTGCAGAGTGCTCAACGGGCGCTTCACGGGCGCATTCAATTCAACGTGGCTGGAGTCCGACCGCCACCTCATCCACGCCTGTCACCATGTTCTGGAGACCTTTTCCAATGTATAAACATGTGGCCCGTTGAGTGTGTTTTATTTAGACAATTTCCCTGAATTTATTTCTCGAACTCTACGTTGGGATCTCTGTTTACAACCGAGACTTCATCTTCAAAGATGATTGCCTGACTGGTGAGTTGACTTGCTACTATTTATTGCGATATTGTCATAACCCCATAGCTCATCTGTTTTCAACGTAAAGTATGTGCTCCTGTGCCGACATATGATAACCGGATGAATGGAAGGAAAAGCTGGGCTTCTTGCATCTCTGAATCTGAGCGAGCGCGATGAGATTTTCTAGGCAGAAAAGGTGTAGTTCTCTAGAAGGCATCGACAGAAATCATTAAATGTTAAAGTTCCGTGTAGGCTTTCGGTCACCGGTCTCACGCTAGTCTCATGCCGCCTTCCATTAGTGCTACTTGTCTAGACGTCCTGAGGGCTCATAGAGACGTCGTCACGTCACTGATGCTCATGCTGTGGAATTACTCGACTGCGATAGATGCGACATTCTGAATGCTGGATACCATACAGCACGGACAGACTGATGAGACCTATCGTCTGTTTTCAATGTCGCCAGCAGCGGTATTTACGGCTGCAAGCTCCTGGTCCGTTCCTTCCATGGTCATTCTACACCGACAGGTTATTTTTATGTTGGCAAGCCTGCGCGCATCCTTGTGCGATGTGACCATCATGAAGCAAAGGAAATGTGTCAACCTACTTTTCTCACGCCGTCAAGCTATATGGGCTTCCCTCACAGGTCTTGCAATGCCGAAAATCAAGCGCCGCGGACTACGTTAAAGGCGTGTGTTCGCACTACCGTTCTCCCCAAGCACGCCAATCTGCAAGAACATCTCGAACGCGATACCTATAGGACATTTTAACCCATGTTGTTTAGGACGTTGTGAGTCCCTTGCACCCCCACACCCTCGCATGCACATCATTGATAATCCGACCGCAGCACCATAGCCTCCCTAGTGTCCTTTGCAAGCGCTCTCATCCTTCAAACGCCGACGGAATGGGTCAGTGACGCCCCAGCGAACATCAGCTGGGAATCGCAACCCGATGATCCCTCCACGTTCGCGCTGGTACTTACCAATCTCAACGATCCGAGCCACATCAGCTACGCTCTCGCCAGCCCCATCCAGACGTCCGCCGGTTTTTCTTCCTTTGAAGTACCCACCGTTCCTACCGGGTACGTTTCTAGTCAGCGGTCAAGCCGTTAGCCACAAGTTTGACGCTTCTTCTTAGAAGCGGCTATGTTGTGTCGGCAGTGAACGCGACGTATGTGCTGTCGTTCTCCATCATAATATGACTTACAGACTGAATGGAATGTTGACAGCAACAATGACGAAGTGTACGCGCAAAGTGGAGAGTTCGCCATTGTCCGCTTCTAGGATGTCTGTCTTAGTTGAAGTATGCGGCGAAGAACCCGAATTATAGACCGAGTACTCCTTTTTTTAACAACACCTATACCGTTGGATTAACTTTCGCATATTGCGGCCGGCGATCGCACATGCTCGGTCACAATTTGTCTTGCATCCATGGGACGTGATATGCACGATCCCTTTGTACTATCATCGCAGGCACATGCAACAGTAGCACATTCATTCAAGCTAATCATGCCCTTCATATTCAAGTTCAATCAACGCTGTCTATCCGCAAATACTTCCGAGATGCGACGAGATCCAATTAATGCTGGACAACATCAACGTCTCCGACACCTTCACGTTTCAAATAAGGTTGTACATTGAACCTTGAAGTATGCTGTGTTGCGGATATAGCATACATTACACGAAACATGTCGGTACAGTACAGTACAGAGTCTATCGCATCTACTCCACCATAACCCAAACTTTAACCCGGGACACGCTGTCTCGGCCGAGCGAGTTCTCTCTATGTATCACCAGCAAGCCTACTGCGACCTGTGCGCAGCCACACCAAAAAACGGGGGTGGGGAACCAATAAATATACAGCGTAAGAGCTTTCAAAGATGAAGATATATGTGTATGGACTAAGATGATCACAACTTCGCGAAAAGTAAACCGATGACGATAAAGATGATCGTGGACGGAGGGGTTACGACACAGTATGACCAAAACACCGTCCGGCTGATCAACCTCTCGAACGCGTCGCCGGACGCTGCCTGCGTGATCTGCGCGAGGGTCAACGCTGGCGGAGATGCGATCAACAGCACGTTCGACACGACAAAGACCGGGCTGCACAGAGAAGTCATCAGTATGCCGGCATGTGGCATGGACACGAGCAAGGACGTACTCATCAAACACCTCCTGTAGGTCAAGCTTCGTCGACATCGCCATCAGCGGCAACAGCAACAGCGGCGTAACGATCATCCTCGAGACGACTGCGACCAACACCGTCTTCGTCTCTCCAGGCCGCTTGTGCACCTTCCTCTTCTGACGCATCGCGCCCTTATCGCGACGCCTCATGCTGAAAATCTCCTTCACATTCTCAAACAGGGACAACCGAGACGCGGTACTCGGGCTGCGCGTCGTCGGCCCATCCGACACCGGCCTGTGATGCGACGGCAGCCGCGTCTCGATCTCTGATGGGGTGTAGAAATATGCGCCGAGCACGACCAGTGTGAGCGGGATGGAGCAGTTGCCCGCAGCGGTCAACGCGCCCTTGACGGGCTGCACGTGCTTCTCAAGGATGTGCTGCAACGGCTGTATGGACGCGACGATGAGTGACGCAAGTGCCGCCCAGAGCGGGGCGGTCATGAACTCGTAGAAGGTAAACCACCACCTGCCCATGCGGTTTCGCATGCGCCGCATGCGTGATTGCCACGCCGAGGATGTCGGCTCGGTGATCTCGCGACGTGTGATGAACTCGATCTCTTCAGCGTTCATGTCTTCGGCATCGTTGAACAGCGACGGCGCATTGGACATGATATCATGTAGATGTGGTGGAGGCGAAGGAGCACGCGAGTTAGGTTGGGACTTGGAGTGGTCGGTGCCCTCGGCGTCTCCCGTCCTGGTGTCGTCAGACTGCAATGACAATGATGACGTTTCATAACGCAGCGTCTGCTCTTCTTGCGGATTTGAGAGGGCGGTCTCCGCTGCTTCGATCAGCGGGGAGCTACATGGCTCATGATCCGAGCCGTCGGGGTCGGCATTGGACAGCAGTCGAACACCATAACTCCATCGCAGCTATGAAGACAACCGTCAATCTATCTATGGGTTAAGAACAAGTTTAACCAGTCACGTACCACCATGCCAAGTGTCGAATAGAGCACTAGATAGGTGAGGGCTCTACCGACCATAGCATCGATGTTGTCATCTGCTCCCCACTTCAATCCCGGCACAGTGATGACCAAGCTCTGCATGAGCGCGATGGGCAATGAGTTGGAGTTCATGAACATCGATGCAGCAATTGCGAAGCTCCTGTGGTTGTGAGGCAGGTCAGCGATCAGGCATGACGTCCCATCCAAATTGTTTCGGCAGCGAAGGCATCGAAACAGGAAAGTGTCTCAATCCTGGGACTAGCGATCGCCCAATATGACACCGATCACCTGTCAAAAGTTGGCGAGCGCCAGTCCCCATTGGTGGCAGGTGCATACAGCAAACTCAATCATGTTGAGCGCTCCCGCGTATACACAGAAACTTGTGGGTTGTGAGGGGAACATGGCGGCGATAGGCCAGCGGAAAGCCCGTCTCCTCGTCGACCACATTGCCTCATGTTGGGGACGCGATTATACCCCGCCGGTAAGAATGATCAGAGAGACGACATACCTCTGCGACTTCTTCAGCCTGAACATCAAGCTAAGAACATAGGCAACGATCATGGAAGCAACGGTTGTGACGACGAAGAAGATGGGTATGATCCATAGCTCCCGCAGCTTTGCTGATGGAATTCACGTCAGGACGCGGTTCACAAGACTTCAATACCAGATACACACCTGGTGACAAGAAGAACGCTACTTTCGAGAACAAGAGGCACGGCGTGAATAATGAGACATTTATGCGATTTAGTTGCTGGATGACATTGCGAGATTAGTGGTGAAATGAGGATACAAAACTAGACGATGCACCTTTTGTGTCTTCTTATCCAATACACCTCTCGTCGCCAGAATATAACCAGCCAGACATTGCAGGAATACCTCGAGGATAGACTGCAGAAATGAGTTTCACGTCAGCGCTTCGGCGGGACTGCGGAATACGGGACGCGGAACCTACTCCAAAAACAGTTTTCAGAAGCGGCCCTACTGGCGTGTCGGTCATGAGCATCGGATGAACGAAATGAGGAGTGGATGGCGGAAAGAGGATGAAAGGAAGAAGAGAGGATTAGGGGCGGGAGAGGGGCTCTTTAAGGCTGATGCGTCATTTCAAGTGCGCTGTGGCTGGAGGCACTGCCTCCCATTCTTGGCAACTCCCCTCGTTCTCGGTTCGCATCCGAAATGATTTTCACTTTCGCCGTCTGCATGGACACGACGCACACGAATGGTCCAGGTCGTCGCATGCGCAGCGCGCGGTGGGAAGCTGCCACAAATCGCCCAGTTCCAGTTGGTCCGTCTCTGTGCGCTCGAACACACGAAGCTCGGCCAGAGTAATCACTCGTGCATGCTGCGGGATATCAGAGCACAAATAGGCCGCCATTATACATAAGAGATCATCTGCACGTGAAAGCCAAACTAGCGATCTCTCTGGTGCGATAGTTTCACAACACGTGTAGAGTTCATGACAATCTTACTACCATCGAGGTTTGCGGAGCATGATGTGACGAACACGTCCACATGAAACCCTTCACACGCCTCTGAGTTACAGAGGTATTTCGTAGAAAGTCCTCGATGACTCCAGAGCAGGAACTCTAGGCAAGACAACAGCGTGGCCTCGTGATGATCGCAGTGCTGCCACCTACGTACGTAAGTCTCGAGTCTCCTGGCCCGGCTGCGCACACGTTCGTCCGATTCCTTGGCGCAAATGCCATTTTGATCACATACTCTTTCAACAAAAAGTGAACACGGGGGAAATGCAATCACGTAGTCGCACGGTATCGCAAGCGGAATTAGACGCATGCGGCTTGTGGCCACCACCGCGCCACCTGCAACGCTGCGCGCCTAATGTTGCTGAGGACATCACCCAAAATGGAAGTTGCAGTGGAACGGTTCCGGTGACACCGCAGCATGCTCTATGGCCCTTTGACGACTTCGCTTAGGAACACGTTCCTTCGTGGCTGCGCGTCCCGATATGGTGGTCCTTCTGAATGAGAACAATAATCGAAAGAGAAATTCATGCAAGAAAGAAAACGTTTCATAGGTGCTTGCTCAGCTGAAGCGCCGAGAACAAAGAAAGGTCAAGAAGTCATGGCGGGGGATCAGATTCGTGTGGCCACGAACGGTGAGTATTGGCCACAGGACGCTATGCGTGGAATATAGAGTCCGTGGCAGTGGCCGAAATTGCTCGTAACCTGTCAAACTCATTTTTTCTCTTTGTGGCCCGCCTGTGGCAGCTCATGGCCCCAAACCTCTTTTCGCGTGTTCATATCTTTCAGAGACATGGATATAAAAGCACGCTGCATTCAGTACGGACTTCCTTCATCTTCGTGTCGAAATATGAGTGCTGACTCCTCCACTATCGGCTCGCTCATGCATCCCACAAAGACAATCTGGACCCCAGAATTCGTCGAGAATGAAGACGTCTCCGGACGCACGGACCTCTCGTTCAGCCCCTCGATTGGCTTCCACGAGAGCCGCAGCCTCCAGCTCCCTATGCTCCCCAAGATGGTTCCTAATTCAGTAAACGATACATTTCCTCACAACCTACTGACGGTGCGCTGCGTCTGTCCTACCTCCTCCTTCAGGCGCTGAGTCATTCCTTAGGTCGGTTCGAAATGCACGGCCCGGGTATTCCTCTGGTCGAAGTTCCGGGCGGCGTACTACAGGTGCTTTAACGTGGACCCCGACGGTGTAGCAGCAAGCGTATGGATGGCCGCGACGGTCAGGAAGGAGCTGTGGTCGGTTACTGCGGTATGCTGTCCCCTCGCTTTCGATGACGATGAGCACTGAGCCCGTCGACAGAGTGGAGTGCGATTGCGCACTTATATGGTCGAGGTTGAAGGCCATGCGTCTGTCCTAAACTTGCAAGTGGTGCCGTTCTTTGGCGAGATGTGGACGGAGGGATGGCCTCCCGGACAAGCCATCGGGATGTACAAAGAACCTGTCATGCAGGCGGTGAGATCTCTCGAAAAAAATACAGAGTCGGTACTGATTAATTATTTACAAAGCTCCGCGTCTTCGTCGCCATCCCGACTATCACGAATTTTCAAAAGCTGACGCGGCAGCCAGTGATCTACTGCGCGATGATTGTGGTGCGTCAGTCAGCCTTGAGAATCGATCGTGCCATATGATACCACTGACCTCACAGTGCTGCGATCGGCTGAAGCACATCAAGCGCGGGTTTGTTATGGAGGGCCCATACAAAACGTGCAGCTTCTTTGTCCAGCAGACGGTGCCCGGGAATGAAGAAAATCGACTCGCCTTGAAGAACAAAGGGTGCATGTTCTACGACGAGGACAAGCACGACCGGTATCAGAGGGTACCTGGCCTGGTCAGATCTGGCACTCTCATCGATCAGTCCTTCAGAGATTCATATCCCTAATTAGGCTGCGTTGCAAAACGTCTCGGGACCAATGAGCGACAAGAGGGCTCATCCATTCTTCTTCCTTTCTCTTCCTTGCCCGTGATGTAACATTCATCTGGTATCCCATTAGCATTATTTCTACTACACCGCAGGACACGATTTGAGCAGCATGATCAGACAATTAGGCAGCAATAGTATTCTTGACCATTAGCGGTACAGTATGCTCACAGCTCTAGATGATACACGTAATGCAGAAATTAACCCAATGTGCTGTGCGAGAAACATAATTCGCAGAAACAAAGTCCCGGCACCGACGGCAGCATACTATGGTTGCGCGGTGAGCACCTCGAAGTACGTTGTGTACTCCTCCGGCGTCATCAGCTCTTGGTGCTCTTCCGTGACTTCCGAGAGACGTATTGGCTCTCCGTTCACTGTGTACAGACAAGCGACAAAGCATGGGGGTTCCGGCCGTGAGTAACCGGCAGACATGACGTCTGTGTAACATACGTACCATATACTATGGGTTCCTCCGAGGGAGCTTCAGCTTCCGCTGGCATTCCCGGCTCCTGAACCTCTGCTACAACCTCCGCTGGAAGCAATAAATCCTGCCCATTCAACCGTGGGATCTTCGGCGTCGCGTGGGCAACGCCCTCATTCTCCTGAGACCGCGACCTTTTGCGGTACTCGTTCAGTGAGTCAAGGTACTCAATTGACGGCTTCACGTCCTCCTCTTCTTCGCCAAAGTCGCTTCCGCCACCGGGTAGCGCAGGCGTGCCGTCAGTCGACGGTGCTGCGGACGCAGCGAGCGATGCATAGTACTGATCGTAATCTGCGAATCGTATTCATGCTCATAAGTGATCGCCTGACGTTAAGAAAGAAGTTAAAGCTCACAGTCAGCTTCTTGTGCCTGCGAGATCACAAGCTTCACATCTTCACCACTGATACGCGCAGCAACGGGCGGAGGCCCCGAGATCCCCAAGCCGCGCAGTATCGTGTCGTTTGAGCTCGGCAGACGATTCGTGTCCGCGCCCGACCCCTCCTCAGCTCGAGCATGCTCTTTTATACCCAGCGCGGTCAAATCGCCTGAGATCGTACTCTTCAAATGCCATGCCGGGAGAAGATTTTGCTGGCGTTTCGCGGCGGCTTCACGATCACGTTCTGCTCGCTGCGTTGCCTCGTCTTTGTCGACCGACAGCACAATGCCGAACGCATCCTCCTGCTTCAACTCCCCGGATGCTCCTGCGATCTTCAGGCCGCCATTCTGCGCAGCCAGCTTCGACTTCTCGGCATCGATGATGTGCATTTTGATCCAAAGCGCAACGTCGAAGCTAAAATAGACAGTTGAATAGTGGGTCGAGAAAAATGGTGAAGGTCGATACATACGCAGGTAGTACCATGTCTTCCGTCCTGCGCAACCCCTCACGAACGAAGCGCATCTGTCGATTGAAGCGCTGCATACGGTCTTGACTGCCTCGCACACTCTCGGCGTTTTCGTTGTCTACAAGCTCCGCATGGCATACGTCGCAGTTGAATGTGCCAGCGGCAAAGTCGATTAGCTTATCCGCCTCCAGAGGCGAGAAAGACTTGTGACATTGAGGACAAATGTAGCCCTTGTTGTCGAGTTCCTGTATACTCGACCGTCAGTGGCGTTGGGGTGTTTCATATCCGTGAGACACACATTGCGCAATGACGAATCAATGATCCGCCGCATCTCGGCAATCCGCCATTTCACGACGTTGCAGAAGTGCTGATAGTCGATGTAGTAGTACTGTCTTCCGACAGACCGCTGAGCACCCTCCTTCAGCTCGTTCTGACGATAACTGCGGAAACTGGTGAAGAACAACAAAAATAAGAGATAATGATACTCACATTCGCACTAGCCTGTCACCTTCCAACGCCGCCATAATCTTATTCAGCTCCTTCAGTTGAAGTCCCATACGTCCAGCCAAGTCGTCGTCCTTCAAGCTGCCCACCTATCGTGTTCAGTGCTGTCCTGCAAAGCAGAGCATCTCCGTGAATACCAGACACATACACCGGGTGTCGCACAAGCTGATCCATCACGACCGTAAACTTTGGCTCGTAGAATGCGCGCGAGACATGCTGCACGAGTAGCCGCAGAGTTTCCTGGTCATCCTTCGAGAGCGTAGATAATGCTGCCATGAGCGGGTGCTCAGAACGTCCGAGAGACGTTCGTCACCGCAGATGTGGCTCCAGAATGGCTCGAGAGTTCAAATGAGATGAGCTTCGAGATGGTTCTGCCACAGCAGCTGGTGGTCGAAATTCAAGCGCGGTGACCGCCCAACGAGCGCTGAACTCACTTTTTCTCGTCCAACGTGTTCTGCTTACAGCTCACTCAGCCCGTCCTCGTCCGGCGTGACACTCACGCACAGCCTTTTCAGTATCAGTGACCGCGATAGTGAGAGCTTACAAGCGCCGCAGCTGAGATGGAGCTCGCATGTCTGCCGTCGCAGCCGACGCTGTGGCTCTCAACGATGACTTGTCTCTGAACCACCATCACGACGCCTCATTTACCCGCAGAACCCATCCTATCTATTCATTATTTAACGACTTATGGATCCACGAGCCTTCCTACTTTCTGCACCTGCTGCGATGAGGCGTATGTCAGCGGTGAAGGTCCCATTCTCTGTGCGGAGCCATATCGAGAGCCTCGATGCAGGCTTGTCTTCTGTGAATGGTTCGTATCTATGTTGTGGCTTTTTCAATGAACTTATAAGCCGTCTTAGGCGCACTGGAAGTTATCGATATGATACGGTCGAGGCAGCGTGTCACGAAACTAATCCTCGGACACAATGATCTTGGTGACGACGGCTGCGTGGTGCTGTTCGGTTTTCTTAATTCCCAGAAAGGACGTCGGTATCCCATCTCGGAAATAAGCTTGAACTCGAATCGAATCGGAGACCGGGGCCTGCAGGCAATTGGCGAATATCTGAAGGATAACACGACGTTGAAGGAGCTCTTCCTGCAGAACGTACGTATCCGCTTGCGCCTACCACTTCATTACATATTCACCGCTATTGTAGAATGTCTTCAGAGGCAACCCTAGCGTAGTCTCAGCCTTCACGGCAGCCCTCAACTCCTCTTACCTAGAGACGTTGTCGTTGACCACCAATCACGACTTGTCGGACGCCTTCATCGCCCAGTTCCTGCCGAACATGGATGCGCCCTACCTAGGCGAGATTCATCTATCTGTCCTCGGCATTACTCCGACCTCCGTCCCCCATATCGTCGATTACATATCCTCTTCCCGCTGCCGAGTGCACACGCTCAAGATGAATGGCAACCGCCTCGGTATTCGCGGCGCGTGGGCGATCATCCGCGCCATCCAGCGGCACAACTTCACTCTCACCAAGCTCGAGCTATACGCCAATGGGCTTGCCGACGCCGATGCATCGAGCGAGACAACTGCGAGCGAGGACGACGGTGGTGGCCGCGGTCTTTGGCAGGATAAAGAGAAGGAGCTCGGTCGTCTGCTCCACCGCAATAGACAACTGAAGGAGGCGACCGAGAGGGAGGCGTTCGCGCTCTTGCGACATGCAAGAGCCGTCCTGCTTCGCTCGAAGTATAACGCATCCTCGATGGCGTTGGTGCCTCGCCCTGCACCGAACGAGAGTATTCTCTCGTCGATCGGAGTTCCAATTGTGCTCACCCAACCAGCACCTCCACCGTTCCCGTTCACCCGCCTCCCCATCGAGCTGCAGCTGCACATCCTCTCATTCCTAGCACCGACGCTCTCGACCGCACAGCACATTCGCATCTGCACCTTTGCAGCATCACCCGGCACGCTTCCACCGCTTCTCCCGAACCTGTCTCCGCGAGACTATTCGTTTGGCTCTTCGATCTCAGCCTTGGGCTTCGGTGCTGGTGTCGGGATGATGCCACGAAAGCGTGCAGGCGCGTCCGTCGGCCCAGGTTCTATCTCCGGAAAGGTCGCTTCGCCTGGTGATCATAGGAGAGCGGAGGAGCGTGCAAAGTGGTTGATTCGAATGCGGTGCAATGCGTTCGAGCTTGAGGAGGATGGAGTGTGGGCGCAGATGCATGAGCTTGCGGAATAGCTGAGCATATCGCTTTTCTCATAATCACACTATTATATAGAGCCGTCGTCGACCGCAGAGAATCCCTAATTAGTTTTGTTTCGGTTGTAGATGTGTCGCTGTAGCTTGACCATGTAATATACCAGATTGGTGTTCATCTTGTAACAATAACGTTTCATTCTTTCCGCATGTTCCCGCTGCGGCTTGCCATACATCCGTTGTTCCACTCTGTGGTGAGTGTCTCGATCAAATACTGGTGTTAGTACATACGCAAAGACGATCTAGGTACAAAACGACTCGTTTGAACGTGCGCCAGTTGTCCTGCTTCCTCTTATGTGTGTAGATTACATTGCCGCACGTCAGCAGGAAGAAGGGGTTCATCTATCTCTGCTATCTAGTTTCTCGCTACTCTCAATATGAAGATGGATGTTTCAATAAGGTCTACAAAGATGAGTCCTTCAGCTTCAAGGATCTTGCGAATAAATGATGTACTCACTCCGCCATCGATCAGCACCGTTTCGCCATTGACATACCAATTAGCCACAAGGAACAGCGCTAAGGAGCCCATATCCCTGCGTGTCCCGGCATGGAGGGGCGGACCTCCCGGTGTAAGAGGCGGTTGCGAGGTAGGCACTTCAAATGGGAAGTGCAGCTCAGACGGAATATGCGAGATTCCGAGGGGATTTATTGTCCCCGGGGCCGACATCTCGGTTGGAAACAAGCCTATCCAGAGGAATGTGAATGGACGCGAGTGTATGTGAGTGACTGAGCCTGAGGAATATTTAGGTGACACTCACCGGGCGCGATGCCATTGACTCTGATTCCCAGAGGCAACAGCTCGTGTGCTAGAGATGACGTTGCATGCCCGATGGCGGATTTCGAGAAGATGTATGGGAACGAGCAGCTGGCCGTCCTGGGATCCTATGGGTGATAGTCGCGGTCATTCAGAAGCTAGTCAACCATGGGCACAACGAGAGAAGCAAGTATGCACCAACCTTCGTCCAGCCGTTCATGCTTGAGGTCATGATAATCTGCGGCGCAAATCGCCTGGTCCCACCCTCATACTCTTTCCATTTCTCGAGAAGCGGCAGAAACGCGAAGGTGAGCCAAAACGGACCGACTGCATTCGTCTCTAGAGAGTTGATGAAATCCCCCTCAGAGACCGTATCGAAGTATGCGGCTCGGAACGCCTCAGCGGTCTTCGCTGTCGGTTCAGTAAATGCGCTCGCTAGGATGCTGCAAGTCTATCGATCAATAGATATTCGTGCAGAAGCTCGTAGGGGATGCGTTACCCGGCATTGTTGAATAAGACGGTGACGTGTTTCTCTCGCTTGCCCACTTCTTCTGCCAAACGCAATGCTTCGGACTGTGGCATGCGCAGGATGATGAGATCGACGTATGCGAGATGAGGGACTGCACGTCACTTTGCGCCTGATATCACCCTCAATGCCATAAATCCTCCCAGGTCTGTTGGTTTTCTTGGCACCTTCATTATACACATTCGCAATTCTGGCATTTGATGAGTTTTGGCTGCGGATTCCATTTCCCAAGCTCACTTGTCTAGATCTGCTTGTTTAGGCCCAATAATATACACTGTGGCGCCGTTTGCCATCAACGTCGAGCTTATCATGAGACCTATTCCCTATAGTGATCATGTCAGGCCAGAATTGGTGGATGCCCCGCATGGGGGCGCAGCGGATTGCTCGCCGTTCCACCACCGGTGACCACTGCCACGACGCCTCGCAAATCAAATATCGCACTCGCGGAGAGTTGTTCCAGCACAGCTTCTGCCATCTTTGATGAAAGAGATGATAGTCGAAAGCGAGAGGGCGTCGCGTTGTGTGCCCCAAATCCCACTTTATAGCTTGTACGCTGGCTCGACGGCATCTTCCAGAGTCTACTATGATGTCATGCGATCGACATATTTCTGATCGGCTGTCTCCAGACCACTGCAAAGCCCTCAAAAAGAGAAACCCTTCTCGAGTTCAGCCTTTCAAACGGAAGATATTATGTTCTCGAACAGACCCATTGGCTGCCTTAGCATGACCCGTTTACCATAGATATATTTGGCTGAGGAAGCATCGGAGAACCCAGTGGGTCACCCAGTTGGACCGCGCGTCCAGAATATTCCTTGTGAGGACGACGCGTTCATTAAGTCATACCTATCGTACAAATAGTAGTTAGCAGATCTACGGCCAGTGCTTCCACGTACACAGAGAGCGATACAAGTTCAAAGCGACAACAAGACAACAATGACAATCCAGCAATCAGCGTCAGTTGAACAGTCTGCGCGGGTCAGGCGTGAGTCTCTTCCTCTCGAGGATCAATGTCGAGATCACAATGTCGTCAAAGAGCCATTGACCGTCGGGGAAGACCTTCAATGATGAGGGAGGTGATGGGAGGCCATCGGCACGAGGAGCTAATGGTTGTGGAGTGAAGGATGCTAGTAGCGATGCATTCGGCGTGCCTGCTTGCGCTGCTAGGTAGCACTGACAAAACACAAATTGAGTGTAGCGAAACATCTCGGATAGTATCGTACGGACATATTTTACTGGGCTGTCGCAGTGCCAGCTCAGATGAAGTTCTCGATTGTTATGCCACTTCCACTGCCAGACACGCTATCATCACAAACGGAGGAACAGTCAGCCCAAGAGCATGTGGTGAGGAACATAAGTAGCCTCACGTTGGCCTTGTTTCCGGCTTTGTTCAGTACGACGTCCATTAACCGCTCACGGCCCGCCATCGTGACTGCGCTCTTCTTCGTAGCAATGCCCATCCTGTTTGTAACTTGCATCAGCACATCTATCCCGTCCTGCAATGTTGGTGAATCGTACTCGAACGAGCCCACCACCTCGCCATATGGGGACCCGCCTCTACGGATTGTTGTAATATGTGAGGTCGGAATGAAACAATTCATGTCTACAGAGACATGATAGAACGGTATCCCGTCATCTCGAGAACGTAGGACCATCGAGTTGAAGGATGCTTGCTCCCATATGCAGACGAATGGAACAAGATGAATTGCGGGCGACGATGGGCTGCTATCCAGGCGCCTGCCAGTGACCGCTGTCTATCACCTGTGGAACGCTCCGCCGCTGACGAGAGGGCTCACAGGATCTCAGTTGACGTTGAGGCGAGTCTTGCTCTGCTATTGTGAGGTGTGCCACTTCGACTTGGAATACCAGGACTGGACTGCCGACTTATAGGGATTAGCGAAAATGATGGCATCTGAGGCACCACTATTGAATCCACCACATCATCATAGCTGTAGAAGTTACGTGTAAAAGCCTACCCAAAGTTACTTCCGGTTCACTCACCAAGGAGGCTTAGGTGCATCGGGTCCATTGACGACACGAACGTGAATTTCGTTTCGCTCGGCAGCCGCCCATTCCGATTCTGTCACGATCATATTGCAACTGTTTCCTTCGGGAGGTGGAATGTTATATCGAAAAGGGAAAAGCGGGTCGGTGGATGCCTGGTCTACTACAGACTACGGACAAGCTGCTTAAAAGACGCGTGCAGTGGTTAGATCGGCAATTATCCCAACGTTCGCACGGTAGGCGATATCTAATATCCTTCGGGCTGTGCAGAGCCGGTACGATGATCGGAATCGCCGCGCGACATTACATATATACCATTACATGGCAGTTGCCACGGTCAGAAATCTCCGGCTAATTGGAGAAAATATCGGTCAAGATCTGACGCGTGGGGAAAGTCCGTTCACAGGCCCCGCGGTTGCGAAAGCTTTTCCGTTGATGTCACAAAGCTGCATTAAGAATGGCTTCGTTTTTCTAGCTTAAAGGTGAGAACGAGACATATATATATTATACATCACAGTGTGTCCAAGATCGCAGCGTACTTCTTTTCGCCTATTCTTACACAACGCCTCGGAGGAATCATGAGAAGTCCCTAGCATGCTTTTAATTCTCAAAAATGCGTAGATGAGTTCGACTACTGCGAGGACCGCCCTGACCGTATGCACGCCGAACAATCGTGCGAACGGATCTTCGATAGACGTCCCGCGCGGCGGTGCAGGATAAAGCATTGCCCTCCCCCTTCGCATGCCGGCTGCGCGCTGCAGGTGCGACACTAACCACCGGGCCATGCGCTCATGCTTGCGGGCGATGCTGTCGAGTCATTCACATGCAGCTCCAGGAAACAGGTCGCAGCGATACGTCCGGTCGTGCACGATTGAAAGGAGATCCGCGAAATCGGCTAGCGAGGATTTACGGGCCCGCCCTCAGCAACGCTCAACCGATCGAGGTTCCGCGCACTTCCTTGCAATGCGTGGTGCCAACCCACCTGAATACCGCTCGTCCGTTACGCGGATAGCAGAAATCTCGAACTGACATCCGACAACGCGGCCAGTGTAGCACACTAGCAAGGAGTCGTCCCGATTGACTGACTTGAATAATGCAAAGGGGGTGATATTTCTTGGAATGCTGCCGCTCATGAATTCTCCCGACGAAGTCCTGTATGTGACACAACGTGTTGACCGCGACCACGCTCGCTTGGGCGGACGAGATCGCTAGTTCGGCAGAAGGGTCCGGCGGCTTGATGGTTTCCTCCGTTGCGAAGGAGGAAGCTACGATCAGGAGCAAAATCGACGGCAGACCCAACGTTGAGCTGCACTGCCATGATCTTGATGGCGGGACGGTAGTGGAGTTAAGGTGCAGAACGACGACTCGAGCACTTCCTTCCGACGCTCAAGTCGCACACCATTCATCCCACGAGAATTGCAAGCATATCTTGATCCTGTAAGTGGCCATTACTTGTGAACAGAGTCAGACAACAGCGAGATTCGTTGAAGCTCATGCGCGAGCTTCCACGAGTCCGGTGATCCAAATAAGGCTGCTCTATCATTCGCTCCCCGACCTCTTCGCCTTATTCTCAAGCTCTCTCCTCGCCCAAACATTCAGAGACGTGGGAAACAGAGGCATCTCATCTAACCGCTCCTTCTCATGCGCCAATATGAGCAGAACGTTTTTCAATCCGTTCATAATCTTGAGCTTCTCCACGGTGTCCCGAGCGGTCTCGATATCGTCGTAATTCTCGTGGCTGATAAGGCGCTTGCCGGGATCGTAGCACAAACGATTGTGGCAGCAGTCAGCCGCAAGGAGGAGGAAATTATTCGGCGCAACGCGTGCCAGGGCGGCGAGATGGACAGGAAAATGGCCCGGTGCATCGATGAGGTAGAAGGAGCCGTCTTTGAATAGATCCATGCCATGGTCAAATGAGCCCAGTGGACTGATTTGATCAGACATCGGCATGCCATTGCCAAAATGAACATAGCGGACTTTCTGCCCTTCTGGAAACGCCGCACAGAGGCTTTCCGGATCATGTGGATAGGCGTGTTGCATGAGGTTCGCAGCTCCAGCGCCCAGCACGAGTTCCGCTGAGGCAAATGGAAGAAGATCCCCGACGTGGTTGAAATGCAAACGGCTGCATAGATTCAATCAGATATGCTTTGTCAAAGCAGGGTGATTGACAGCTTGCCTGTACTCGACTGTGTTGATCGAACTAGGCTGTATATGTCCCTCTCCCAGAATGTCGACCACATCCTTGGAACATTTGACAGTAAATTCTTGCAAAGTCTCGTCCCAAGCAGGCGGGTACCCTTTGCCATTCTGTCATATTCAAGCCAAGCGTCAGAGCCAGGCTACTTGGTGGCAAAGGTGGGCGCGCATACCTTTCTTAACCCCAAATCGAGCATCAATCTCCCATACGAAGGATGCTCCACGAGGAAAGCGAAGCTCGGGACACAAGACCCCGTTTACTATCCCAGGGAACCTTCAAATACCTCCTTGTCCTGAAGAAAGAACGAGCCAGCGTGCAGGGCGTATACGGTGACGTACACTTGCTTCCCTGAGTCAAGCGGCAGGTCGGCGTTCATACTACTCCGTCCCTTCTGTACAAATTCATGCACGATACAGGGTCTAGGCAGTTGTCACCATGCAGTATGCACGTTCGTAGCTTGTGAGTTTGATCGCTCACAAAAATAGCGGCCAACCTCAGGGAGCGAAGAGATCAAAGAATAGTGGTGGGAATCGGCAAGCTAGCACAATCAAGGAACGCTGGTTGCATTGTCAAGATGCCGAAAAGAAGCTCAACGATTATCAGGACATTGGGCGCCATCCGACGGAACCAAATAACCGCAGACACAGAACGCCGGTGGCCTACATAGCGCTCGCAAGCAGCAAGTTCATTCTGTCGCCTGTGACATACACATCCCCGTGACGCTCGCATATCGTCACGTCTTCCAAGCACAAGCCCCTCGTAACAAATCAATCCTCCTCTGCACCAACCGTGGTCAATCACTGGACAATAGGTCGCCCATTGGTGAGGGGGTCATTGGGCCACGGCAGCGGGTAGCTCCCAAAGCAATCAAACTGGTAGTCGACCTCCTCGATGCGTTGCTGCATGCCCTCAATAAAGTTCTCCAACAGGCACAAACCGTCCTTGTTCGGCGTCTCACAGTGCGCGATGCCCGTGAGCGGGACCGCGCCGTCGTTCAGCAGCCAACGGATGTATTTCTCCTTCTGTGAGGAGCCGGATGAGACGGGGCAGCTCATGACCTGTCCGACGAGGTTCGAGGCAAAAGGCGCAATGAGTTGCGTGTGGTAAGTCTGTGCCGCTGGAGGTTAGTGACGGTGTGAGTGTGAGTGTGGAAGATGTGTACCTGGTCTGCGGGGATGTAGTCGATTGGCAGCGGGCCGTTCGCAGTCATCGTTGTGAAGTTCATCGCAGTCGCAACTGGGAATGCTCGTTAGCACATACGGCACGAAAATGCGTAATGTAGTGATAGCTCACTGGAAGCGATCACTGTATCATGGGTAGCGTCCATGAAGATTGGCTGGTCAAGCGGAAAAGTGATGTTGTTTCCGTCAAGCGTGCCGTTGATGGACGTGTCGAACTTCGTGATAGGCGTCTGCGTCAATCGCGCGACAAGCTCTTGGACGTAGCCGACGCCCTGCGCAGCACCAGTCGGGTTGCCGGGGCCGTCGCTATACCAGAATTCCAGATCTGCGCCAACCCATTTATCAGAGCTAACTTCGCCAATCCTGTGAGCATAGCAAACGCACCCAGCCCGTATTCGAAACCCTTCCACTCCTCCTCCGTGAACAAGTCGCAAAACTCCGAGTATCCAATTGAGACGGTCTCGCAAGCACACATCTCCTGCATATCGTGCACAATGCTTGCATCCAGCGCGACACCATCGATGTGTTGCTGTAGACGCTCCACGGCGTCCTTGAGGTAAATCTCAGTCCAGTTCCCTTCAGCCCAGAAGCCCAACTCGTAGATATCGTTGTTGGCATTGGCGCAGTCGTTCCAGGGCGCGAGAGAATTGTTGTAGCCTGACTCCTCGATGATGATCGACTGATAGTAAGAGGTTGAATATTCCTGCACGCCGAAGAAGCCGGCTGCCCAGTTCAGCCTTAAAACGATCGAATGTGAGATGCCAATCACAGCGCGAAACGGAGCATACACACGCAGACTGGACCATACGTGCTGGAAACCATATGAGCACCACATTCGTAATTATCACGATGCAACTCACATTCAGACGTCGTACGAAACACTGGCAGCTTTGTGAAGCCATTCAACAGCTCGCCGTACTTCACCCTGAATGCAACTCCGAGGTCATACCTGAGAAATTGATCGTCAATGAAAAAAGTCGAAGCGAAAAACGATCAATCAAACTGGCTAACAGTTGCTGCCTACCAAACGGCGTGAGGATTTCTGCTCCAAGCTTGTACGTCCATGTGTTCAGAAATTCCAGTGGGCCAGAGGCAGTGAAGCCCGCGCTATCCGCGATGGATTGAATTAACGCCGCGAATTCGCTGGGTCCCGAGCCGGACGTGGGGTACCGGGCGCCGTGGCGCTGGACAAGATGCACCTGCACGAGCTCGCAGCCCTCCGGCACCTGAGGGGACGTGTCAGGGAGACCGAATGCTCCCCCGACTGACCACCAGGGCGAGAGGTTACCCCAGTAGCGCATGGGGTTGAAACTCGCTTGCTTTCCTTCGCTTGAGGTGTAGGGATTGATGAGCGGGTACGTATCCGACTTGACAGGTGCAGCAGGGGCGGTCTGGATGGCCTCAGGTTCAGCACCGGCTGCAAGATACAATCAGCACAAAGCGGCACGAGACGAATACCATACCTACTCGGGGTAGGTCCTACGAAGCCCACTTGCTCCTCATCCGGGAAATAGGTCTCATACGTCGTAATCGTCGCGCCAGGAGGAGGGTACACGCCGCTGCTCGTCGCGCCGGCATACGAGGAAGCGGACTCCACAGGCCACGGATAGGCAGCTGCAAAGGGCAGGAGGCCGACAAGCAGGAGCGCGTTGACCATATGGAAAGAGAGCAGGAACTGTACCGGCTGGCGAGCGGGTCCATGGAGAGCGATATTTAAGGACTGTCGGGTAAGGGCGGGCGCTGTCCAAGGTCAGGGCACCGAGGAGATTCTGATGGGAGAAACATCGTGCCCTGTCCAATCGCTATCCCACGGGCGCGAGAAGGGATATATGAGCCACGTTCGCACGTCACGCTTCGTGAGCAAGTATGGCTGCATGATGGGCTGTCCGTCTGAGTCCTGAATATTGATGTTGAATGTTCCGGGAAGATCGCGCATTAGTAGACCCGATGTCAGAATGAGTCGGTGACAATGTTTAGGCGGTCAGCCAGTGAAGAACGCACTTTAGATTACGGCGCCACTGGCATCACAGGTCCAAGTGTGTCGTCGACGGAAGGGGGCTCACTATAATCAGTGCCGAATGGGAGTTGAGGCGTACGATGAACGTTGAGGACCTATAGCCTCATGGCAGATGTTATATAGCACTATACAGAGAGGGCTTGATGGGTCACTGAGGACCATGGAATACACCAGAACGGACAGCCATGATCAGACAAGCCAAGAATAAAGCGAGAAGCTTTTTGAAGGCAATTTATGCTCCACAATGAGTTCCATTAAATTTGGGCGGGTAAGATTGTTATATTTTCCGATAACAGTTTCGATTGATTTCTTGCAGAATTATCCGACTGGAAGAGTTCTGAATTGACAGGGAAGGGGGATGTTTTGCACCCCTCTTCCTCGAGCGACCAACTTGTTTCATACAGCTGGGAAGATTCTTGTGTCTGTGTCTCGTCTGTCAAATACGCTCCTGTGTGCTTGTTTGGTCTGAACACTGGAATTGCATCGCGAATGTCAAAGCCGCTCGCATGCTACCCAGACTCACCGTTGTATCACGACGTGCACGATCTGTTTGTCCTTCTGTGCTCAGTCCCTTTTTCTTGGAGACAGGACACCTGTCTCAATTCTCTAACAAGAGATACGGGTTTTCTACGTCTACATCAACTGGCGCCGATAAAAATCCAGTCGCCATCGGTTCCGTTACATCTAGACATTCTGAACCACCCAACAATTCCCCAAAGGCTACACCGACGAATAAACAAAAGAAAGATGAAGACGAGCCCAGCACTGCCAGATCGATTGAGACGAACAAGGAGGATGTACACAACGGTAAGCTTTATGCTCTTCCGATTCGCTTGTTCTTCACTGTCCATTAGGACCAAAACGCAATGAAGTTGGAGTACAGCTCCTTTCGCGTAGCTTGCACTCACAGATCTTCGGCGAAACGCGATTTGACGCGCCAAAACCAGACGTTGTTCAGATCGCACAGGAGCACCTTACAATGCACGGCCTTGATCCCTCACAAGGATCCACGCTGCCAGAGACGGAATTCACATTACCGCCGTTACAAGGAAAGGACCTGGACCAGCATTTCCATAGGATCGGTGCGAGCGCGTGCGATCCATGGCTCCAGCTTGCCCAAGACTTTGCAGTCGAGACACTGCCTGAGATGCCGAAAGACTGGAAGGTTCAGGCAGGATGGACGCGCTACTGCGTCAAGAACGACTCGATGGAGTCCCAGTCAGTTGATTTCCCAGAGTTTGAGGGGAAGCCGGAGGAGATGCTTGCTTTCGACGTTGAGACGTTGTCGGCGGACAGTCCGTATCCCATCTTGGCATGCGCGGCCTCAAAAGACTGCTGGTACTCATGGATATCGCCGTGGCTTATCGGTGAAGATGACGATCACACGCACCTGATACCGATAGGCGGCTCCGAGGTTGACCGCGTGATCGTCGGCCATAATGTCTCTTACGATCGCGCGAGGATCTTAGAGGAGTACAATTTAAACGGCACACGGAACCGCTTCCTCGACACCATGTCTCTCCACGTTGCTGTGCAGGGCATCTCCTCGCATCAGCGTCCGGCGTGGCAAAAGCATCGGAAGTCTAAAGAGGACACCAAGGCGCTGAGGCAGCAGTTATTACAGCAGGAATTCGAGAATCTACCTGACTTGATAGAGGAGAAACGGAAAGAGCGGGCTGGGGAGAAGGACGGTGCCAAGAAGGATGAGATCGACAAGATGATACAAAAATTGGAGGAAGGACGCCAAAAAGTGAAGGTTCACGCGACCGAGGAAAGTTATGACGAAGAGGAATCCCCCACCGGGCAGTGGCAGGACGTGACGTCTGTGAATTCCCTTGCAGAAGTTGCGAAGTTGCATTGCAAAATCAAGATGAACAAGGCCAGGCGGGACGACTTTTCGAAGTGCTCCCGGGAGGAGATCCGCGAGCGCATTCAGGACTACCTCACCTATTGCGCGACCGACGTCGATGTCACGCACCAAGTGTTCGCCAAGATCCTCCCGGCGTTCCTCGAAACCTGCCCGAGCCCCGTCTCCTTCGCCGGGATGCTGACGATGGGTTCGAGCTTTCTGACTGTCAACCAGAAATGGAAGCAGTACATTGAGGACGCCGAGCAGGCGTACCATGTGCTGGCAGACAAGGTCCAGGCACGCCTTCACGAGCTGGCAAAGGATGCGATGAAGATGATGGACACCGATAAGTGGCAGAGTGATCCTTGGCTCAGCCAATTGGACTGGACGCCGAAGAAGGCTGGAAAGTCGAGGGGCGTGTGTGAGCAGCAGGTGAGGGTCCTCGGTGGTTAATGACTACGTTGTTCTTATCTAGCAATTTGCCACAGTGTTCTGTTCCGAACTACACATGGTATCAAACTCTACGCACCCTCGGCCCTCTCGATTCAAAAATCAAAACAACTATCCTTCCTCTCCTCCTCGAGCTGTCTTTTGACGGACATCCTCTTCAGTATTCTTCAGTCGAATGGTGGCACTACGTTTCTGACGGCAAAGTCACCCTTTTTCCAAAATGGATAACAGCGACGGCTACTTCTACTACCAAAAGCGCGAAGCTAAAAGACCCTCTAGGCTCGGAGCGCAGCCGTCCAGGTTTCAATAGCGGTCGTCTGACATCCAAGTATCCAGATCTAACAAAGGCAATCTATCAAGGAAGCGATATATCTTACACGTCGAAACGCATTCTCGAGATTGCCGAAGGGGTCGTACACATGGGCCCAGAAAAGGCAAGGAAGAATGCATCGTTGACGCAGCTTGACTGGGAACCGGTGGAGGGCTCTGCATCTCCATCCACGAAAAGGAAGGGGAAGACACTGTCCCTAACCGCGGCCAAACCTGCGCCCGTCATGTGGCCCAAATGGTTCTGGGATTTAACCGCGCCAAAGAAAGGCATGGAGCCCGGTTCTCTTGACCTTACTCTGCGCAGCCGCATCGCACCCATCCTTCTCCGCCTCGAATGGCGCGAATGGCCGTTATTCTACTCGCGCGAACATGGGTGGACATTCCGCGTGGACCCGGATGTCGACTTCGACACCCGAATGAAAAAGCTCGAGTTTAACGACCCTGAGGACTCGAAGCTGCGGGCGGACGTGGAGAAAGGGCACGCATTTTACAAGCTCCCACACAAGGACGGCGAGAAGGCGAACGTGGGGTGTCCGCTTGGGAAGACGTTCATGAAGTATGCGCAGGATGGGACGCTGACTAGTCCCGAGGCTACCGCGGCGGAGGCACTCGATATCAGTGCGCAGTGTAGCTACTGGATTAGTGCGAGGGACCGGATCAGGAACCAGATGGTCGTGTGGCAGAAGGAGCACGACTTAGGCTTTTCTTCGTTGGAGGAGAAAGAGGAGGTGAAGGACGCGGTGAAAGAGGAAGTGAAAGAGGAGGTGAAAGAGGAGGATTGGGGTATAATTTTACCTCAAGTTATCGCAATGGGCACGGTCACTCGACGGGCGGTCGAGAAGACATGGTTGACCGCGAGCAATGCCAAAAAGAATCGCGTAGGTTCTGAGCTGAAGGCGATGGTCACTGCGCCTCCAGGGTACGTGATCGTGGGCGCAGACGTGGACTCTGAAGAGCTGTGGATCTCCAGCGTCATGGGTGATGCACAGTTTGGTCTGCATGGCGCGACAGCGCTCGGATGGATGACACTAGAAGGCACGAAGGCAGCAGGGACGGACCTGCATTCAAAGACTGCGAGTATCTTGGGCATCTCGCGTGACCAAGCGAAGGTCTTCAACTACTCTCGAATCTACGGTGCAGGCATGCGGCATGCGATGCTCCTCTTGCTTCAGTCAAACGTGAACATGTCGGAGGATGAGGCACAGCAGCTCGCGCGGAATCTGTACGGGTCGACCAAGGGCCATAGCATCCGCGCCTCGGGCCTACATGAACGCCAGTTCTGGCACGGCGGCTCGGAGAGCTTCGTGTTCAACAAGCTGGAGGACATCGCGCTTGGTGACGAGCCACGAACGCCTGCGCTCGGGTGCGGCGTGACATACGCGCTGTCAAAGAAGTACCTGCCGGAGGAGTTCGGTGCGAACTACATGACCTCGCGGATCAATTGGGTCGTCCAGTCCTCGGGCGTTGACTACTTGCACCTCCTCATCGTCTCAATGGACCATCTGATCAAAACGTATGACATCCAAGCGCGGTACCTAATTTCGGTACATGACGAGCTGCGGTACCTTGTCAAGGAGGAGGATAGGTACCGTGCCGCGCTTGCGCTTCAGACTGCAAACCTGTGGACGCGCAGTCTGTTTGCGTTGAAGCTGGGGATGGATGACCTCCCGCAGGGTGTCGCGTTCTTCTCCTCGGTCGACATCGACACCGTGCTGCGGAAAGAGGTCAACATGCCATGCGTGACGCCGTCGCATCCCGATCCGATCGAGCCTGGCGAGAGCGTGGACATCATACAGGTGCTGGAGAAAACGAACCGCTCATTGTGGGCCATGGACGGGAACGGACAGACGAGACCGATGGAGGAGGGTGTGGAGGCCTTGCCTGCGGGCGACCTCACGAGTTACGTGCCGCCTGATTGGCTGAAGCATCGCGCGATCAATGTTGAATGGCTGAAGGCGCAGGCGACGGCGGACGTTGAGGAGATCGAGAAGCTCGCGAGTGGGCCTATTGAGAAGCCTTTGGGCAGGAAAACTCAAAGGCCATCAACTTATGGGAAGCGTACTACGTCCTCACAGTCGCGTACGTTCTCAAAGTCGTCTATGTCCTCAACGTGGACTACGTTCTCAAAGTCCTCACCGTCGGACTTCGAACCGGATTCGGATGACTGGGAAGATGTCGTCGCGGCAGAAATCGCTCGCGGCCGCTGGAAAGTTCACGCCATGAAAAGCTGACATTTGTATGACGAGACGACTGCGTAGGAGGCTTTATGTGGAACTTGTTGCATTGCATCATTGTACAACGCGCATTAGTTCTAGCGTTTGTGTACACTGGTCTCTGCGGTCATTTAACAGGACCATCGTCTCCGCTCTCCACTGCAACCGTGTGGCGTCGCTGAGCACTTGCGTCCGAGCGTCTAGTTTCATTTCGGTAACCGCCACGCCTTTGCCAGCTGGAGGCCGGTCTCAGCCTGAGGGAGGACCGAGCAACCCGGTGCGGCGCGGGCGGCGCCATCCCATCGCGTAGCAGGTGCGGTGAGCGCCAGCCGAATAGTTCGGCTGATGCCCAAAGTTGCCCAGGAGGATGCTGGGCTAAGTAAAGCAACAACGACGGAAGCCTGAGGGGTGCCAGTGGCGCGGGGGTTTATGTAAAGGTTGTTGCATCGCATCGTTGTACAAGGCGTATTAGTTTTTGATCTGTATACAGTAGTCTCTGCGGTCATCGTCTCCGCTCTCCACTGCAAGTGGGTCAAGCGTTTCCGAAGGTATCAGTCTGGAACGTGTAAGTGGCATAATACAAGGCGTTAACAAGATGTGTCTGAATTTTCATACATATATACATGTAATCAACTGACAACGTGGTTCACTGTTTTCCGTCCAGTTTCCGTCCCTCTTCTTAAGCAGCTGGGAAGATCCTCGTGTTTGAGCCCCATCTGTGTAACGCGCTTCTGTGTGCTTGTTTGGTCTGAATACTGGAGTTGCATCGTGAATGTCAAGGCCGCTCGCATGCTATTAAGACTCGCCGTTGTATCACGACGTGCACGATCTGTTTGCCCTGCTGTGTTCAGTCCCCTTCTGTTGGAAGCAGGATACCTGTCTCAGTCCTCTAGCAAGAGATACGCTTCTTCTAAACCAACTGACGCCGATTCTGTTAAGCGATGTAGGGCTCTCCCAAAACAGTACTCCCAACACACTGCACAACCCAACAACTTCCCGAAATCGAACGCTACACCGACAAATGAGCAGCAAAAGAAACGTGAAGGCAAGTCCAGCATCGCCAGATCGATCGACACGGGCAACAAGGATGTACACAACGGTCAGCTTCATGCTCTTCCATTTAGCTTGTTCTTCACTGTCTTTTTAGGACCAAAACGCAATGAAGTTGGAGTGCAGCTCCTCTCGCGCAGCCTACACTCGCAAATCTTCGGCAACATGCAGTTTGAAGCACCAAGATCAGATGTTGTTCAGATCGCACAGGAGCACCTTACAATGCACGGCCTTGATCCCTTGCACGGATCCACGCTACCAGAGACGGACTTCACATTACCGCCGTTACAAGGAAAGGACCTGGACCAGCATTTCCATAGGATCGGTGCGCGCGCTTGCGATCCATGGCTCCGGCTTGCCCAAACCTTTGCACGCGAGACACTGCCTGAGATACCGATGGAATGGACGGTTCAGTCAGGATGGACGCGTCACTGCATCAAGAATGGCTTGATGGAGTCCCAGTCAGTTGATTTCCCAGAGTTTGAGGGGAAGCCGGAGGAGATGCTTGCCTTCAACGTGGAGACGTTGCCGGCGGACAGTCCATATCCCATCTTGGCATGCGCGGCCTCGAAAAACTGCTGGTACTCATGGATATCGCCGTGGTTTCTCGGTGAAGATGACGTTCACAAGCACCTGATACCGATAGGCGGCTCCGAGGTTGGCCGCGTGATCGTCGGCCATAATGTCTCTTACGATCGCGCGAGGATCTTAGAGGAGTACAATTTAAATGGCACACGGAACCGCTTCCTCGACACCATGTCTCTCCACGTTGCTGTGCAGGGCATCTCCTCGCATCAGCGTCCGGCGTGGCAAAAGCATCGGAAGTCTCAAGAGGAGACCAAGGCGCTGAGGCAGCGAGCATTAGAGCAGGGTTTCGAGAAGTTACATGACTTGATAGAGTATCAACAGAAAAAGCTGGCTGAGGAAAAGCACGATACCAAGAAGGAGGAGATCAGACAGATGCTACGAAAGTTAGAGGATGCACTGGAAAATCTTCAATCTCACGCGACCGAGGAGACCCATGACGATGAAGAACCCCCCGCCGGGCAATGGATGGATGTGACGTCTGTGAATTCCCTTGCAGAAGTTGCGAAGCTGCACTGCGGAATCAAGATGAAGAAAGCCGTGGGAGAGGACTTTAAGTGCTCCCGGGAGGAGATCCGCGAGCGCATTCAGGACTACCTCACCTATTGCGCGACCGATGTCGATGTCACGCACAAAGTGTTCGCAAAGATCCTTCCGTCGTTCCTCGTAACTTGTCCGAGCCTCGTCTCGTTCGCTGGGATGCTGACGATGGGTTCGAGCTTTCTGACTGTCAACCAGAAATGGAAGCAGTACATCGAGGCCGCCGAGCACGCGTATCATGTGTTGGCAGATAAGGTTCAGGCACGCCTTCACGAGTTGGCCAGGGACGCGATGAAGATGATGGACACTAACGAGTGGCAGAGTGATCTTTGGCTCAGTCAATTGGACTGGACGCCGAAGAAGGCTGGGAAGTCGAGGGGTGTGTCTGAGCAGCAGGTGAGGACCTCGGTGGTTAATGACTAAGTTGTTCTTACCCGTTTGTTTGAATACCATCAGGTCATTTCTGAGCCGTCGAAGGATGAGACACGACCCAGCAATCGGCCACAGTGTTCTGATCCAACTTACTCATGGTATCAAACTTTATGCACCCTAGGCCCTCTCGATCCAAAAATTAAAATGACCGTCCTCCCTCTCCTCCTCGAGCTGTCTTTTGACGGACATCCTCTTCAATATTCTTCAACTGAATGGTGGTACTACGTTCCTGACGGCAAAGTCACCCTACTTCCAGAACGGATAAAAGTCACGGGTGCTTCTACTACGAAAAGAGTGAAGCTCAAGGACCCTCTAGGATCACTGCGCGGCCGTGCGCTTTTTGACAGCGGTCATCTGAAATGCAAGTATCCAGATCTAGCAGATGCAATCTATCAAGAAAGCGATTTGTCTGACACTTCGAAACGCATTCTCGAAATTGCCGAGAAGATCGCGCGCAGAGGCCCAGAAAAGGTAAAGAAGAATATATCGTTGAAGCAGCTTGACTGGGAACCGGTAGAGGGCTCTGCGTCTCCATCGACGAAAAGGAGGAGAAAGACATTGTCCCTGACCGCGGCCAAACCTGCGCCCGTCATGTGGCCCAAATGGTTCTGGGATTCTACCACGCCAAAGAAAGGCATGGAGCTCGGTTCTCTTGACCTTACCGTGCGCAGCCGCATCGCACCGATCCTTCTCCGTCTCAGATGGCGCGGATGGCCGTTGTTCTACTCGCACAAGCATGGGTGGACATTCCGCGTGGATCCTAATACCGGCTTCGACACCCGAACGAAAAAGCTCGAGTTTCACGACCCTGAGGATTCGAGGCTGCAGGCGGACGTGGAGAAAGGGCACGCATTTTACAAGCTCCCACACAAGGACGGCGAGAAGGCGAATGTGGGGAGCCCGCTCGGGAAGACGTTCATGAAGTACGCGCAGGATGGGACGCTGACTAGTCCGGAGGCCACCGCGGCGGAGGCGCTTGATATCAGTGCGCAGTGTAGCTACTGGATTAGTGCGAGGGACCGAATCAAGAAGCAGATGGTCGTGTGGCAGAAGGAGCACGACTTAGGCTTTTCGTCTTTGGAGGAGAAAGACAAGGATTGGGGTATAATCTTGCCTCAAGTTATCACCATGGGCACGATCACACGACGGGCGATCGAGAAGACATGGCTGACTGCGAGCAATGCCAAGAAGAATCGCGTAGGTTCTGAGCTGAAGGCGATGGTCACTGCGCCTCCAGGGTACGCGATCGTGGGTGCAGACGTGGACTCTGAAGAGCTGTGGATCTCCAGCGTCATGGGTGATGCACAATTTGGTCTGCATGGCGCGACAGCACTCGGATGGATGACATTAGAGGGCACGAAAGCAGCAGGGACGGACTTGCATTCGAAGACCGCGAGTATCTTGGGCATCTCGCGTGACCAAGCGAAGGTCTTCAACTACTCGCGAATCTACGGTGCAAGCATGCGGTATGTCGTGCTCCTTCTGCTTGAGTCAAACGCGAACATGTCGGAGGGTGAGGCACAGCGGCTCGCACGGAATATGTACGCGTCCGCCAAGGGCCATAGCACCCGCGCACCGGGCCTACATGAGCGCCAATTTTGGCACGGTGGCTCGGAGAGTTTCGTGTTCAACAAATTGGAAGACATCGCGCTTTGTGACGAGCCGCGGACGCCTGCGCTCGGGTGTGGCATGACATACGCACTGTCAACGAAGTATCTGCCGACGGATTTCGGTTCGAACTACATGACCTCGCGAATCAATTGGGTCGTCCAGTCCTCCGGCGTTGACTATTTGCACCTCCTCATCGTCTCAATGGACCACCTGATCAAAAGGTATGGCATCAAAGCGCGGTACCTGATCTCGGTACATGACGAGCTGCGGTACCTTGTGAAGAAGGAGGATAGATACCGCGCCGCGCTTGCGCTTCAGATTGCAAACCTGTGGACGCGCAGCCTGTTTGCGCTGAAGCTGGGGATGGACGACCTCCCGCAGGGTGTCGCGTTCTTCTCCTCGGTCGACATCGACCATGTGCTGCGGAAGGAGGTCAACATGCCGTGTGTGACGCCGTCGCACCCCGAAGCGATTTCGCCTGGCGAGAGCGTGGACATCACACAGGTGCTGGAGAAGACGAACGGCTCATTGTGGGCCAAGGACGAGAGCGGACAGACGAGACCGATGGAGGAGGCTGTGGAGACCTCACCTACGGGCGACCTCAGGCTCACGAGCTACGTGCAGCCTGATTGGCTGAAGCATCGCGCGACCAGTATTGAATGGCTGAAGGCGCAGGCGACGGCGGACGTTGAGGAGATCGAGAAGCTCGCGGGTGGGCCTATTGAGAAGCCTTTGGGCTGGAAAAGTCAAAGGCCATCAACTTATGGGAAGCGTAATACGTCGTCACAATTTTCGTCGTATTTCTAGGCGAAATACTGCGCCAATGGAAAGCGTAAGACGCCGTCAGAGTTCTTACCGGAGGACATCAGATGGAAGAAAGCCATTGGCCATGTCATCGATGACTGCACGAAAGACCGCGCTAATGGAAAGCGTGATACGCCCTCAAAGTTCTCACCGGAGGACTAGAACCCGATCTAGTAGGAAGAAATCATTGACGCTTTCAGTAGCGACTGCTTGGAAGACTGGTTTCGCCGATGGAAAGCTGACTGCGCAGGAGGATTTATATATAAGTTGTTGCGTTGCATCATTGTACAAGGCGTATCAGTTCTACGATCCATGGACGCCAGATTCTCTGCGGTCATCTGAAGGGACCATTCAAGTTGTCTTCGCTCTCCATTCCAACTGGGTCAAATGTAAATAAGGATCGGGAAGCGGATTTCTGCATGATGAGACGACTTCTCAGGAGGTTTTATGTAACATTCGTTGCATTGCATCGTTGCGTATTAGTTCTACGGTGCGTGCGCGGTCATTCAAAGGACCGTCGTCTCCGGGGCGAACGATACCAAACGTATCAGTCTGGGACGTGTAAGCGTAAGGCATCGACAAGAGATGTGTCTTCATACATATATGTGACTGTGTAAGCAAATGCGGGTTCTTTGTCGGTGACGTCCTCCGTTCCCATTCTCGGCGTCGCCGAGCACTTGTGTCCGAGCGCCTAGTTTCATTTCGGTAATCGCCACGCCTTTGCCAGCCGGAGGCCGGAGGAGGACTGAGCCACTCGGCGGGAAGAGTGAGCCACTCGGTACGGACGGCACGGCGCAGGAGGCGCCGTCCCGCCGCGTAGCAGGTGCGGTGAGCGCCAGTTCGCGCTGGCGCTTGCCGATGCCCATTGCCCAGAGGCCGCTTTGGCAGGCAACAACGACGGAACGGGTAAGTGGCGCGCTGGAGTCGGCTGTTCTGGACGCGGCGGGGGAGCACGAGGAGAGGTCGTGGGCCGACACATGCGGCGGGCGGGGTGATAGTGGCATGTGCTAGCCGGATAGGGAAGGAGGCGGATGGACCGAACAGGCAAGAGTGCGCCCTGCGCGTGAGAATGCGGGCGATGTGGACGCGATAAGCGGCTTCTCGATCAGAGCCTCCCGACGGCCGTGTGAGCGCAAAATGACTCGCGTCCCCCGCTTTCCGCTTTCCAACATTGCGCTCCGCCGCAATGGTGTGCTCTGCGCGCCCGCCCTCGCCCTCTATATAACGGGCGGGATCTGGAGGAGCGGCCTCAGCACGGCACTCCCGCCCGCCCTCTCCCGCCCTCCTCTCTATCCCTCCACTCGTCCTCCGCTCCAATAACACCTTGGCTACCATGTATCTGCCACCCACTCCGTCGTCGAGCCGCAGCCAGCGCTCCTGGGGATCAGAGACGACGCTCGCGCCGCTCGTGAGCCCAAAGAGGCTGCCGGAGACGCCGCCGCCGATGCCTGGCACGCCGGCCGCGCCAGCGACCCCGCGGCACCTCCAGCACCAGCCGCCGCCGCCCGCCCCGCGGCTCTTGCCGGTCGCGCTCCCGCGGACCCCAAGTTTCAACCCAGCTTGTGCGCATCAATGTTCAAGTGTGAATGACAAGGTTTACTGACCGCCCGCCCGGACGCGTTTTCAACAGATGGACTGCCGACTCCGCCCATGAGCCCCGCGCGGCCCCCGTGCTCTCTCGAACTGTTCCAGCTGCACGACGCGCTCGCGGCGCCGAGACCGCGCGTGCACTTCAACTTGAAGGACACCGTCCAGAGCATCCAGTACCACCCGTCGTGCTCGCCGAACGACTGCGCGACCGCGCCCGCCGCGAGCCAGATATGCATCAACGTCGTCGGCGTGTTCAACGTCATCGTCTCGACGCCCGGACGCGCCGTGACGGTCGCGGACGTGGTCGGCAAGTTGGCGGTGGAGATGGGCAGGGCGGCGAGCCCCGAGGAGCAGCGCTTTTTCTCGGGGGAGACTCAGCGCAGCGTTGGCGCTGCAGCGTCTTCGCGCTCGCGCGCTCACGGCAGCCCCTCCGTCAAAAGACGCGTCGACTACCTCGGTTCGCGCGTCGTCTTCGGTGGGCTCCAAGTGACGCAGGCCTCGGACACCATTGTCTTCTGCGACCTTCGACTAGCATGAGCGCGCTCTCGCTACTATGCCACCCTTCCCAACAGCTCGCAATGCTGCCGGACCGTCCACCTCCAAGCCCCGCAAAGTCACCCCTCCGGTACCATAATATACAAAATCCCCTCTTGGTCTTCTATCGCCAGCTCCCTGCCGCTATTATTATTTCTCTCCCCTCGCTTTCCTTTGTCATCTACCTCGCTATCGGTTCCTGCGTGGAAGCAAACTACGGACTTGCTAAACGGACATGGCCTCGACCACGCGGACTTCTGTATCCGTCCACCCCCCGCTGAACTCTCGCTTCCCACCTTGCTATCTATCGTCAAATTGCTAGACCTCCTCCACTCTGTAGCGCTTGGCTTTTCCTCCCTCGGTTCTCCCTGCTGTCCCCTCGGTCTTGTGTAGCATATACTCATGATCTTTGTTGTTTGTATACTACCGAATCGAATGCTCAGTTGATCATTTACAACGGTGGTGTGATGACGTACACTCTTGTCTCGGGGCACAGTGAATATGAGGATGACACGTACGAAAAATTTAGCGCGTTCCCATTAGCCGACTCGAACGACTGACCTCGTCATAGCAACCAGTACTAGTGACGCGCTCTACCAACTGAGCTAAACGGGATGACATCACCATCAAAATCATTATAATACAATTCTATAATGTCGAACGTCCTCATAAAAACGTAGTCATTATCGTACGTATTCGTCAAGATAACTGTTCGTTGGGATAAACATGAGGTCAATGACCAGACAGCAACCAGTCAGACAAGACAAATGATCCGTCAAAAATTTCCGGACGCAAAGCGGACATCCACTGGCATCCGACCGCATCACGGAGGTTTAGCAAACACGAGCGAGGCAGCTCCACTCCCACCACCAGCAGCCTTATCCACCTCAACGCCAACCAGCATCGTCTTCCTCCCAAGCCAATCAATCCTCCGAACGCCGCCCTCCCACCCTCCACCCGCGCGCATACACCGCCGCTCGTACGCCCGCGCGACCTTCCGCTGCGCCCTGCTCCCGGTGCCCAGGGCCTCCCATTCTTCCGGCGTTACGGGCGTCAGCAGCGAGGTGTGCGCCGCGTAGAGGACGTCGAGGTTCGTGACGGTGCTGCCTGCGTGTGCGTGTGCGTGGGAGGGCTTTGGTGGCCCGATGGTGAAGCGGGGGATGGGGGAGGCGGCTGCGGCGGGGGCGGGGGCGACGACGGTGATTGGCCAGGGGAACTTGGTGGAGCGAAGAACGAGCTGCATGCCCGGAGGGACGGGAGGCTCTGTCGCGGGTTGGGCGAGGGTGAGCGGGGGAATGGCAGATCGGGTCGTTTTGTCGAGGACCGTTCGAGCGGACGGGGCGTGCATGATGTCGTAGGCTATCGGCGCGCTATGCGAGCGCGTGTGGGCGAGCAACGGGTGCATGTGGAATATTCGTGTCTGAGGTCGAGGGTAGCCGTGGGCTGGTTTATCTGAGGACCAACAGATCGTTATATTGGGATACCGTGAAGTCATGATTGTTTTTGGACTTACAGGAGTATGAACCGCTGTCGACGCTGCTACCGGTTTGGAAGCTTGTATTGGGCCTCAAAGGCGGCCGAGACCGTCCGTAATGCCTCGCATCCGAAACGGACGACATAGCACCCATGGTATAGAGCGAAGCACCAGAGTTGGATCGCGAACCTGGCGGTGTAATGTACGTAGCCGAAGGGGTGCGCGTCATCTGGATCGCTGTCATATTTCACGGCTCTCAGCATATCCCAAAAAAAGGAATAATATATTTATATTCACCTGGGTCTGCTGCTGCTCGACGAAGGACATGCGCGCGGGGAGCGTCCACGTACGGTATCGATGGATTGTGCTTCTCATACCCATACGCTATGCGTGAATCGGCGCGAACACGGTAGTCCAGCGGAGAGGGATCGGCTGCTCGAGGGTCTAGCCTACTGTGACTTCGTTGAATCGTTGCGTGCAAATCAGTGTGTTTGTCCGTCGGTCCAGCCGAATATGAACGGCCGCGAGATCTTGGTTTCTCAGCCGGGTTAAGCTGATTCTTTGGGCTACCGAACCAGCTACGGAAGGCAGTCGGCATGGCGGTCGCAATATCGGTCGGGAAGTCGGAGGAAGTGGCAAGGCAGAAAATCAGTCAAGAGAGAACTGGCACAGTAGTGAGGTCCTTATATACGTGGCTGCGTCATGAAGCTTTCTTATCCGGGTAGATTTGGAAACGTGCATAGTAGACCTGAGAAGCCCAACACAATGTGTGCGACGCCTCGATCGAACTTCTCCTTCCACGTTCATTGCGCCACAGCATAGTCGATATCGATCGCAGGGCGAGGATAGGCCCAGCCCTGTGTAATTCCGAAATCTGACGGGCATTACGGTGTCCTTCCTTGACGGACGGACGAGGCCAATGCGGCTTCGCAACGTGAAGGGGTTGTGACTGGTAGTGTGGAACGCCGAGTTGCTGACAAGCAGATCACATACTTGATTCCCGCAACGTGGTGATGCCGCGTGTGGGAGGCGTGTTCATCAATTTAGGTAGGGAGGCGCGACCAAGGCGGAAGCATCATCGAAGAGGTGCGCAGATGGGACCCGGGTCGAGGCCACAAGAGAAGGTTCATCATTGTTGTATGAGAGAAGGCGGAGGAAACTGGTCCTCCGTTCTGTCGGATCTGCTGTAGCCACAGTGTAAATGACCCAGCAACAGCCTCGAAAAAGCCACAGTGTAAATGTCCCAGTAACAACAGCCTCAAGAACTCGATAACCGTAATCGCCGTTACAGCAGATACCACGCGGGGTGATGACGCAAAACGACGAGAGCAAATTCCGATGGCAACGAGGTTGCCGTTCGATGTTGAATAGAAATCACAAGAGCCGAGACTCGAAGAACCAACATCAACGCCCTGGAATCCGATCCGTCGAGGGATTTCAAAATCTTGTTGGTTCTTGTTGGACCGGACAGAAGCCGCCTCATGTCGCCGGAACAACGAATGAGAAGACCGTTCGCCTACCACCGAGAGAAGCACATTCTGCTGGATATCAAAACCTCGGGCGGGGGCTAGTCTGCATGAACGTGGATGCAAGTCGAGGTGATAAGGTCCATCCATAGCCGACACATTGCAATCGCGGGGCTTCAGATATCAAGAAGTCAGCCATGGTTCGTTGAGTAATGAGATAAAGAGCAGAGCCTCAAGGGAATTTGTCCGGCGGCATTGGCGCAGATCATGCCAGAGAACGCTTCTTATCGAGAAGACGGGCTATTACTTTGCCTAATCAGTAAACCGCAGCAGAATTTTACGTGTAGACCGTCTAGACTGACATATCTTTCAGTTCCAACGGTAGAACGATAGTCAGTTTCCAGGAAAGTAAAGGCATTGGCACGCACAGTCTCCATCGACCGTGCTCTAGTATCTCTGCGAATTCACTTAACTGCGCTCCAATGATCCCTGAAGAAAGACTTCTGGATGATCGTAGTATAATCGTACATGTTGCGTGGCGGTCGATGATGCCACAGGAGTATAAGAGCTTCGAGGCTATCGATCCGGAGCGAGATCATGTATCCGACTTGTGGAGGACACTCTCCTGAAGTAATCTGCTCAGCCGAACATACTCGCTAACGTCTGTGTTTGCTTACACAGGCAAATGTGGCCGCAGAGATTCGGGGCTTCTGCACGCTTGCTTGGTTGCAATTGGCGGGCTTCATGAACGTGTCTGCAGCTTGAAGGCCGCATGGGTCGTCCCATCACGACATGTGAGATGCAGCAACAAGGGATCCATTACACACGGATTCATGACAGCTAATCAGGTAGAACGGGCACAGCATGAGTTGAGGAACGTGTTCGCGACGCAAAGGTGGCCCAGACCGATCGAGCGAACAAACAGCAAACTCCGAGGACAAGTGGAGCGCTCGATGAGATCGACGGGAAAGAACTCCAATAATCAGTAACTGACGTTGAGAAACCGGGGTTCCATAGTGTGAAGCGGGCTTCTCTTGATGGGACGGATGATTAGAGAAGCAACGGGGCGAATAACACCAGAACGGACTATCAGGTGATGAATAACAGAGATGGAGGAGCTGCGAGATGCCTGACGAGTAGATTGCATAGTCCTTAAGGAGGTGGGCTTGATGGCTTTCGAAGGGAGACGTTCGAGACCTCGGTGGTATATCCCTGCCGACGATGGATCGAGCTATTAGCTTTGCCACAAGGACTCTGTAAGCCTCACAGGTCGCCCAGGTTCTGGAGCCCGCCAAGAGAGAAGAGAAATAAATATACAGCTCCACTCGTGACTAATCTTTGCAGGTTATACGGCCAATATGAATCAGTAGCAGGAAAAAATCGAGTCGTTAAGATAATTACCTGCAACACGCGTACACCGCTTGATACAAAGACGAGAGATCGTTCGAACGTATCTGATTCTGAAATGGGTACAGACCCAGTCTCACGATGACAAGTGCATCCGTCTTCATATTGAGCATAGATATAAGCACAAGCCGCTACGCAAGGCTCTGACCGATGGAATCTGTAAGCACGATGCGCTGCAGCTTGCAGGATGATCAAGACGCTGGGCCAAGAGCGATGAACTTGAATAGATGCGTGCGGTTCGAAGTGACTGTGACTTCCCACGTGATACGTGACATATCGCGGCACGACGTCCTCGCACCCCGCGTCTCCTTCGACGAATGCGTGCCGTTAACGGCTCTATAAGTTTTTACAGTATAGAAGGTAGTTCCTGCACGGCAGTTTATTGAGGATAAACTTTCTCTAACCGTTGAAAATCCTAAGGTGATGTTCGGACGACGAGATGAAGGATGGAAGTTATGTACCGCTTCAGTCAATGCTATTCCATCCGGTGTTACCTCTGCGTCATTTGTATCGTTGATACGAACGTGCTTATATGTGGGACTGAAAGGCATGACATTCTTTTCTGCATTTCGCTGCAACAACAATTTAATTCGTGTGCAGCCGATCGTAATGTCAGGTGACAACCACAACCTTTTGCCGCAGACGTCATATCTCGGGAGCCGGACGAGCGCCGTATATGTTGCTACGCATCTTCCACCATGCATAAGCTTTCCAAACTCCTGCAGAATCACCTCAACCCGCAGTCTGCGCCTCAGACAGCAGTGCCTTACGCAGAGCCAACATCGCCGTTTCCGACAGAAATAGATTTCTTTCGCCATCGCAAACAACGTGGCGTAAACCTTGGTATGCAACTACCATCTTCTGGCGTCTCCGATAATACTAATTGGCTGGCTGGTGTACGTATAGGATCGTGGTTCGTGCTGGAACGCTGGATAGCAGACTCTCCGTTTCGCTGCGCTGCCTCCCCTGCGCAAAGCGACCTGGACGTCGCGCGTGGCTCCAACGCTAAGGAGATCCTAGAACAGCACTGGGACACCTGGATCACTGAAGATGATTGGAAGTGGATAGCCGATAAAGGCATCAACACAGTTCGCATCCCGGTGCGTCCGTCTCGAACGCTCAATGTTCGCATATCATAGAAGCTATATGACCTCCCGGCACAGATTGGATACTATCATGTCTGTGGGGCAGATCCCTCCGTGCTTCAGAACACAGATTTTGCAGACTTTGAGCATGTCTTCGCCGGTGCATGGCCTCGCATCACAAACGCTATCGCCACGGCTCACCAACACGGTCTCGGTGTGTTAATCGGTAGGCGTCCCATGTATTCTTCGCCGTGCTATATTTGACCGTTGCGGCAGATCTACACGCTGCCCCTGGGAAGCAGAATGCAGACTCGCATTCCGGAACATCATCTTCCAATCCATCCTTCTTCACGAATTCTTCCAACATGCCTCACACAACGCACGTGCTGTCCTCGCTCCTGTCCCATCTCGAAGCATTCGCCCCCTCGCACTCTCCACCGCTCCCAAATATAGTCGGGATAGAGCTTCTCAACGAGCCTCAGCCGCAATCCCATAAACAAGCGCTGGAGAAATGGTACCTCGACACATTCAGGGCGCTTCGGTCCATCGATTCTTCCATCCCGCTGTATATCGGCGACGCGTGGATGACGGACGAGTACGCGGACTTCATCAGCAACTCCGGTGCCCAGTTCATTGTGCTCGACCACCACTTGTATCGCTGCTTCACTCCTCAGGATAGTTCCACATCTGCTACGGAGCACGCACGAGCCCTGTCCGACCCGAACCAATCGGCACCACAAATGTTCGCCCGAGTCTCGCAAAAACTCGAAGGTGCAGGCTGCGGACTCGTCGTCGGTGAATGGTCCGGAGCGCTGAACCCGGGCTCTGTCCAAGGAATACAGAACGAAGATGCTGCAAGGAGGGACTACATAGCGGCACAATTGCAACTGTATGACCGCCATTGCGCTGGTTGGTTCTTTTGGACATATAAGAAACAGTGGAGCGGAGATAAGGGCTGGTCATTCAGAGACGCCGTGGAAGCAGGAGTGTTTCCCGCGCTGGTGGGCTTACGCCGCAGGAAGCCAGTGGAAGATACCGCTGCCATAGCACCACGAAGGGATTTGGCGCGAGACAAGGCTTTGGGTGAGGCCGTTCGCCATCATCGGAGCTTAGGTGAACTAAATAAAGATATATTCTGCATGTTTCCAGGCGAACATACCGCATACTGGCAGCAATATCCTGGGCATTACGAACATGAACGGTTTGGGGAAGGCTTCATTCAAGGTTGGGAAGACGCATGGGTGTTTCTTGGTGCCGAGCCGCTTGCCTCCGCTCCTGTTTCGGAACTAGGCTTCAAGGGACCTTGGGCGAAACGGCGAGCGCAGGAGCATGCGAGGAGGCAAGGAGAAGGCAACATATGGGAATACGGTGAGTGCCAGTGCGCATTCAGGAAAGCGATGTGCTAATAGCTGCTCGATTTGTCAGAGCAGGGATTCATGCAAGGAGTAACAGCTGCAAGAGCAGATTTCGATGCCATGTACTGCTGATTCAGTCTCAGCTTCGGCATTGGGATATTTACCTTTATGCAAGCACCGTCACCGCGATTGAGAAGGAACGAAAATAGAAAACAGCTTACACTAAGGTGTGGGCAGTATCTACGGCTCCCGATCCAGGGAAGTCACGCTGTCAATTTTCACGAACTGCGCGAGCGGCGTCATGAGGTATCTGTGGATAAATTCCGTGTGCACGATGAGACGGTGCAAGGGCAGGCAATGAGCAGCGCGTTCTGCGACCATCCCGTACACCTTGTCATAACTCGTATCGTCCAGCATGGTGACGTTCTTCAAACCCGGCCAGTTCAGCGTGACTGGCATGCGAGGATCGAAAGTTTGTTTTGAGCGAAGCAGTTCCAAAAATCGTTCTGCGCCAGAGTTGATGATAGTGAGTTGCGTGATGGTAGAGAATGCGGCGATAAACTCCCGCGATAGAGGGCAGGTTGCTACGTTCAGAAGCACAAGGGACTTCAGAGCTGAATACCGTGCACCCGAGTACGGCAACCAGCTCATGAATTCACGAAACTCGCCTTCGTCGACATTCGCAAGCGTCAAGGTCTCGAGGGCGGGTGGTACCAGCAGCGCACATAGAAGACAGACCTTGTCGCCGGATACCTCCAGATAACGGAGGTTAGGTAGATATATGGGGGTGTATGATCCGCCAGGGCGTAGATCAATGTGCTTTCCACGGAGGGTTAGTGTTGTGAGATTGGGCGATGCGGCAAGGAGGTCTTGAAATTGTGAGTACATGAGCTTGCGAAACCACAACCACCGGATGTCCAACATAGTCAGGCCGACTAGCGGCGGACTTCGCCATGGAAGCACAACGCTATCAAGCCGCACGGAGTGTAGCTCAGGCGCACCCCCGGCGAACAGGCGTGGAATGGATACTTCCTGGTTCCCGGCTGGGCCGCTGCCAGTGAGGGATAAGCGAAGGTGCTGGAGAGAGAGCGACTGAGCGCTCGCGAGTAGTTCGCCGATCAACAGCACGACATTCCTGTGGTGCGTGATAAGCGTGAAGCGCCGCCAGCGATACATGTGGGCGGACACTGCCGCCATGCACGCTACCACCGCCTCGCTGCTCGGAGCAAGACCCGTCCGGAAGTCGAGAGTGATGTCGAGCGGCTGTGTGGCAGAGCGCTCGAGCGCTATCGGGAGCCAGTGTCGCGGTCGGTACAATGGGGTGTACACGTTCGTCCATAGGGTGGACGTGCTTAGAGCGATCTTGCGCCACGTACGCGATACGGAGGCAATGAGCATGGGAAAAGGGAGGCCGCTCTTATGTTCCGCAAGACTGCCGGCCTGGAAGATGAGCGCAAGAATCTCCTCGGGGAGGGATGCGATTGGTGGGATGAGTAACAGGAGCTCTGTCGTCTTCTCCTTGATGCGTGCGAGCGAGGCCTCGATACGCTGAACTCGGTGGATCAGGTTCGTAACCGCCTCCGTGTGGTGGTATCGCGCGGGGTCGGAATCGAGCAGGTACTGCACACCATGGGGGACGCGGAGGATCTCCTCCTGGCAAAGCCTCATGAGATTGCAAGTAGCAGAAGAGCGAGCTCGCTCACCACATAACTCGGATCGTCCTGGATGACGCGTATGAGGAGTGTTCGTTGGGACTGCAGCTCGACAGCCTGGCGGCTGAGGGCGTTGATGATGCGCTTAATGTCATTCCGTTGGGGGTTCTGGAGGCTCATGCAGGGCTTCTGCATCGCATGGAATGAATCTCGAAGCACTTCTGACGGCCGCGAGACGCACCTGTCGTGTCGCAATGTCCGGGTATGTCGATGCTTGGTATCACGGTGCGCGGAGGGCTCGAGGGCGTCGGCGGATGGGGTATAATTGAAGGCTATCAAGATGCACGTGTTGGTGTACCGAGCTTGCCGCTGCGGCTGTTATGTTTGCGGCCTGATCACGGTGCGGCTTTCCGGACTCAGACTTTTTGCGCTTTTCGAGAGTAAATGAGGGCGGAGATATGAGCAGCGGCGAAGGAGCGAAGCTTATACTTGATAGGAAGCTTTTTTTGGCGTCCCATCGGCCTGCTTTGCAGCAAGAAAGTGCGACAGAGCCAAGGAGCTATAATTTTTTTCATCGATTCGTCAGCATACGAAGCCGAGTCGGCTGATATGTGGTTATCAGAGAGCAACCTATTTCTTTGAACCTTATCCATCGTCTGTGTCACTTCCGCGGACCTCAGAGCAAAGATCAGCATAGGAACCTTGTCGACACGGTGTGAGACCTGGTGTGAGACAAGTCGCGGATTACGAGACTGGTGGCGCCAACGCCGGCAGTCCAAGCCAGTCGTAAGTCAGCTAGCAGCCTGCAGGATGGAGCCCTGATGGCAGCGGTGATTGTGTCTGCTACGCTTTGACAGAGCTCAATACCAAGCACGCGCTGTCGCAAGGACACAAACGAGAGAGACTCAAGGCTACTGTTACCAGCTGCCTAGGGTGGCCATGTGGCGCAGCCGATTAGTGATCAGACCTCTGGGAATGTATTCGCCGAAGTGCTTCTTTTCAACACCATTGCGTTGAACTTCCGCATGCTTCCTCAAAACCATCGCAACTGGAAGGAGTCCGTGTGAAAGTCACAGGTTGTGCAGGAGTAAAAGTGTTCGTTCCAATACCCCAAATGTTCGATCACATCTTATCCTAATCATGTTTTATCATGCCCAGTTCGATTCGCCGCATTCGTGATATAAGAATTTATAATGATGTGGACCTGATCAATCTCAACTAGTCAGTCTGGAGACGCGTTGATCAAGGTTTCTGCTACCTCATTGTTTTTGTTTCGTCAAAGTCAATGGTCTATTTTGCGGAGAGATTCGAACGGACCTGCTCCTCTGTCCTATCTCCTCCTGATGAACCCGACGCGATTTTGGAGAATGCTCTTATGCTCTATAACTCGGTTCGCGCACGACGGGAACCTTGGCTCCGACCACGACAACGTGATCTATATAACGGAGCACTTGGGGAGACTATGTCGACGTACAGATATATGTAGGCCGTCTGCCTTGCTACGTCGAATTATCTAATATGTTCACTGAGCGTTCTTAATATCCAATCCAGTGCTGTAGCTTGCAATTTACTGGGCCGGACATCGCGTTGTTAGCAGTCCACGCCCTTCCAGTTCCCCAAAGACCTCGTTGGAGTGCGTATGGAGTGCTGTGAACGGCTGGGAAATGGCTACGTACGTACGTATATCATACTACCTTCTGCCCCTGTTCACCTTGCATTTCCGACCCATTCCGTCTCCAGGCACGCACCCGACCAGGCACGCTTGCGACGTGTTTCACCACGGCGCGATCTTTGTGTCCGGCACACCCGGAAGCGCGTATACAAGTGCATCCTGAACTTAACTTAACAACGCTGTAATCATCCGCAGCCACCGGAACGTCCGATGTTTCCATTTGAGGATAGTTTCCAGACCAATGGAGGTAAGTACCTTCAATAGGTGCTCTTGAAGGGTTTTGAATGAGTAATCGCAATTGTCGCGCAAGTATGTTTTGATAACACCCCAGAGAAACTCAATAGGATTGACTCCTTACAGTTATATTTTGGCAAGAAGGTGCATATGTGGCCCGCATCCTCAGTGACTTTATGAACCAGTACGGTGCGCTGCCCATGAAACACAAATCAATGTAAATGTGTCTGATAAGCGGCCCGTGTTGGGAAACCGTACGATAGGGTCTACTAGTTTTTACTAGTTTCATGCCACTCCCCACCCAAATTGGCTATTGTAGAAGAGTGGCGGTGACTAGGTGGCGCGCACCATAGGCAGTGCCCTTGACAGGTGTGAGAACACCGACGAGGAAATGCAGGCTATATTGGCGTGCATAGCGGTGCACTGCGGAGTGTGCGTCACCCAGACGAGCAGAGCACCAGCGCATCGCATCTGTCTCTTACGTCTTCGAACGCATATATGCCGAGCACCCGTGCTGACTTCCGACATTGTCGCTGACTCAAGCTGCAACACGCCCGCATGCCTCCTCCGTCTGTCACCATTTATATTTCGCGCGCTGGTTTTCTTGCGGGAGAAGTTGTCTATGGCACCGTGGAGTTGAATTTCCGCGCACTTGAAGAAGAACGGGTAAAAGAAGTTCGCGTAAAGCTCAGGGGCCACGCCGCAACGTGTGTCTCACTGCTCATTCACTTCGAACAATCTCATTTGACCATCATTTGCCTAGTGCTTTGAAACATTCAGATGACGAAGAGAGCCAAACGGCGGACTTTATCTGCCTTGATCAATCGCTGTGGATGCCTGGAACCCATTATCCCCCGCCTGAATCAGACTTCCTTTCCATCCCGTATAGGTTTTTGCTACCAGCAGAGCTACCGCCTTCATTTATTGCTAAGCACGGCGCCACTTTCGCCTCTATCCGCTATCACGTCGAAGCGGTCGGGATACGGCCAGGCTTGTTCAAGAGGAACAGGCGAAGCCTCCGTGCCTTCATCGTACATATTCACCCCTGACGAAGCTGGTTCGTTGGTAAAGCAACAATTACAGATCGGTCGGTTTTGAACCGGAGCCTGGTTGACCGCTACGGAGCATAAGCGCATACGTCGAGCCTTCTGGGGAGATTATGGTGATGTACAATTGGAGGTAAGGCTACGCCAAGTTCAATAGGCAGCAAAATCATTGAACACGCTCAAGATAGCTCAAACGTCCCTCCGCTATCATCTACCCTGTTCTTTCAGACATACTGTTTGTGATAACAATTGCAACGATTGGCAAGCCGATCAAGTTGAAAGACAATAAGAAACCGTGGCCGTCCCCGCCACTAGAGCCGAGTGCAGTTCATTTCGAGCTCAAGCGTATATTCCGAGTGCAAGTGAAAGAATGGAGTGATACCAGCACTGGTATTCTCACCTCGTTGGGCGGCATGGGCGGGTCGTATGCAAGCGTTAGTATCGAGACTAAGGAGGACCAGTGGCTCCCAGATGACGAGGATAAGAACAAGGGAAGATGGCGCAAGGAGGTGTCATTCAGCTCTTCTTTCAGGCTCAAGCACACCCCTACGTTCAGTTCCCCGCTCATCACACTCGAGGTATGCCAGATGCTGCTATGTCGACCGCATGCAACTCATGTAGAGTTTGTTATCCCAGTACTTCTTGCATGTCAGAGTCCATTTCGGCGGCCTCCGCAACAGCCTGAGCATGGACATCCCGATCACGGTCGGCTCCGGCGTGGCGCCTCTCACGGGAGACGCTGCTCGTGATAACCAAAGCGATGAGGCTTTACCGCGCTTCGAAGACCTTGATATCCCACCGTAAGTTCCCACATACTCAGTGACGATATCAACTGACCATCACTAGGTTATATTGGAATACCAAACATATACTTGCCGTAAAGGAGAAGTAAACTATTCTTGTTATGTTAATAACGCTCTGTCGACTATACCCATCATAAAGTTTCATAACTATTTTAGTGAGTAACGACCCTAGTGCTGTATAGCCTTGTGAGGTTTCGAGTTGCCTTCGTGGAAGAGGCTGACATCACAGGAGCGGCGCAGGTTTGCTTGATGGATGGAGGTGCGATATCTCCTTCAGTCGCGGTGGAAATGCCGGTTGAACTGCCTCTTGCACCACACGGGTAGCAACATTTTGTGAGCATTGTACCGCACATTGATCTCAATCTTTGTACCAGATTAGTTTGGAATGTGGTCACTCAAAGACAGCATAACGTACATCTAGTTCCCATCCTGCTCGAGCGATAAGTATGAGACCAGGAGGGAACAAGCAGCGCCTACACAGAGGCTACACATATAAAGAACTTCTTGTCCTCTCGGATGAGTCACTCATTTCTTCGTCCCATAGGCTTTGCCTCAAGCTTTCGCTTTGTACTAAATTCACTTCAAGACGTTCAAGACATTCTTACGTCGCGCTGTGACTACCGAGAGATACTCAGCTGGAACAACCTCGTCCATTGCTGTCGTTATCTTGTGGAAGGTGTTTCGGATGCGAGCAGGATAGATGGCCACGACCTGCATAACCGGCCAGTGGTAAATTAGCAGTGTCTCTCTGCGAGGGCCTATGTACTAATTTAATCACTGGGGTCCCATTGAGGCTGCCCACTCATAACATCTTCTACAAAACATTCGGCCCACTTATTAGCAGGTTTTACGGGATCTGGGATGTTACGTTGACTCACCGTTCTTAAGCCCCGATTTCCCTACTTTGATGTAATTTAACCTAATTCCGTACCATTTGAATTGTAATGTAATTTACGTCAGTAGATTAGCGCTGGCTAATAAGCGTTAGCTATTTCCCCGTGCCTCACTGATAAGATTACTGTAGTCCATAATTCAGACATGCTTGGGTTGACTGTGATAGTAGTCAGATTGTGGTGCTCGCTGTCGATTTCTCCAGCGTTGAGTATAGGTCGTTTCAACTGGCGTGCGCATGTTTCGGACAACCCGTGTCAAATCAATAGCCAGACACATTTATGTGGTTATCCGGAGAGGTGATAATGTAATCTCTTAAGATAAGTGCTCAAGCGCTCCTCCTTTTTCTTTTATCAGCGCCGCATGACGACAATGTCCCTAGGCGGTGCCCTTGACAGGTGTGAGAGCACCGAGAAGGACGCAGGCTATATTGGCGTGCATAGCGATGCACTGCGGAGTGTGATTCGCTCATACGAGCAGAGTACCACTGGTGCATCGCATCTGTCTCGTTCGTCTTCAAACGCATATACTCCCGTCACCTTCCGAGATTGTCGTTAACTCGAGCTGCGACACCCCCGCATGGCGCCCCCATCTGTCACCGTCTATACTTTGCGCGGTGGTTTTCTTGCGGGAGATGTATTCTATGGCACGGTGGAGTTGAATTTCCGCGCGCTTCAAGAAGAACAGGTAGAAGAAGTTCACGTAAAGCTCAGGGGTTACGCCGCGACGTATGTCTCACTGCGAAATAACTTCGAACAATCTCATCTGATTGGCCTTTGTCCAGTTCTATATTCCGTAACAATCAAAGAGCAAGACAAATCGTGGAGCTAGTCCGCCTTGATCAATCGCTCTGGACTCGCGGGACCCTTTATCCCCCGCCTGGATCAGACGTTCTCTCCATCCCGTTTAGGTTTTTGCTACCAGCAGAACTGCCGCCTTCGTTTATCTTTCGTCACCCCGTCGCTGACGCCTATATTCGCTATCATGTCGAAGCGGTCGGAGTGCGGCCAGGCTTGCTGAAGATGAACAAGCGATGCCTCCGGCCCTTCATCGTATTCACTCCTGATGAAGCTGGTTCACTTGTAAAACCAGAATTGCAGATTGGTCAGCTTTGGACAGGAGCCTGGTTGACTGCTACGGAGCATAAGCGTATACGTCGAGCCTTTTGGGGAGATTACGGCGATGTACAATTGGAGGTACGGTCAGACAATCTCAATAGGCAACAAAATCATTGACCGTGCTCGAGATAGTTCAAACGTCCCTCCGCCGTTGTCTATCCTGTTCTTTCAGACATACCGTTTGTGATAACCATCGCAACGATTAGTAAGCCGATCAAGTTGGAAGACGGTAAAAAGCCATGGCCGTCCCCGCCACTAGAGCCGAGTGCAGTTCACCTCGAACTGAAGCACACAGTCTGGGTGCAAGCGGGAATATGGGATCAGACCAGCACTCAAACCCTCACCTCGTTGGGCGGCATGGGCGGGTCAATTGGGAGCGTTAGTATTGAGACTCACGAAGATGAGTGGCTCCCAGATGATGAGGATAAGAAAAAGGGAAGATGGCGCAAGAAGGTGTCATTCAGCTCTTCTTTCAAACTCAAACACACCCCTACGTTCAATTTTCCGTTCATCACACTCGAGGTATGCCAGATGCTGTTCATTCGACTGCGTGCAGCTCATGTGGAGTTTGCTATCCCAGTACTTCTTGCATGTCAAAGTTCATTTCGGCGGCCTCCTCAACAGCCTGAGCATAGACATTCCGACCACGGTCGGCTCCGGCATGACGCCTCTCACGGGAGACGTCGACCTTGATAACCAACGCGATGAGGCTTTACCGCGCTTCGAGGACCTTGATCTCCCTCCGTAAGTGCCCACATACCCGCTGACGACATCAACTGACCATTCCTAGATCATATTGGAGTACTACAGATGTACCTACCGAAAAGGAGAGGAAGTGAACTATTCGTGCTATTTAACGCTCTGTCATCTATGCCCATCATAAAGGTTTATAACTATTCTAGTGAGTAACGACCCTACTGTATAGCATTGTGAGGTTTGGAGTTGCCTTGGTGCGAAGATTATCGTCGAATACAGCAGCGACGATTGCTCAGGTGAGCGATAGGAGACACTGGCAGTAACAAGTTAATGCAGGCAGAATCATACTCTCGTTTAGGACTCATCCATAGGTACGAGATGCCTCTCGATCGACAACGGACAATGACAATGATCTCCAACTGCAACCCTGCTGAGTTCGTTGTGAATGAACTACATATGACTGCCGTTGCGGATATATCGGAATCGTGTGCGCACTAGTACACATCACAGGAGCAGCGCAGGTTTACTTGATTGATAGATGGATATGCGATATTCCATTCGGTCGCGGTGGAAATGTCAGTCAGACTGCCTCTTGCATCACAGATACCAAAAAATGTGATTATGAGCATTGTGCCCGCATGGGAGGATCATTCGATACCGTATGTGTCGAGACTATTTATACACGACTCGGATAGTACCTTCGGGAAGTTACAGTGTGAAGAGGGATGGCGGCAACAGAGAGTGTACTAATTAAGAGGTGTCTAGAGGTAGTCCGACACATCTTATCCCAAGCGCCGATGGAGCGATCCCCTTAGGCCCCTCAGCAGCATAAGTCCTCACGGAATGTTCAGAGTTCGACATCCACCATTCTTTTCGTCGTCGGCATCGATCCACGTTTCGAATCACCCCTGTCTTGAAGATGTCATCGAGTTCTGTCCGCGCTCACGTCCAACCAGCACATTTCCATTGGTGCGGATGGCAAAGTCTCCATCGACCTTACGTTCGTGTCAGAGCCACTGGGTTTGCCAGCTCAGGATGGTTACGGCTGGCCCCAAATTGACTTCAATCAAGCCATCGGCCCGGAAGATCGCTACATCATTTGCAGAAAGCTCGGCTGGGGCATGTCTTCAAGCACTTGGCTTGCCCGTGACCGCATGTGCGCATCGTCATGATCTTCCATTCAGTCTTCCGGGTAGCTCCAATCGGTTTGCAGTGAAAACTCCTATGTTGCCATCAAGATACTCAACGGCTACACCACCGACCTTGTCCAGCGTGGTCTCGTCTGGGAACATGCGGCACTCCAGCGTATTTCGTCCCCGACGTCGAGCCCACATTGCCTCCAGCTATTGTCTAGCTTCAAGTTTTCTGGCAAAGGCAGCGCAGGAGAGCACCTCTGTTTCGTAACGCAGGTCTTCGGCGGAGACGTGAAGTCGCTGTTTTTGGCGCATAGCAAAGACAACAAAGTGTTTCCTCTTTCTCTTGCCAAACGCATCCTCCTGCATACGCTTCGCGGCATTGCCCATGCTCACAACCGCGGCGTCGTGCACACTGATCTGAAGCACGATAACATTATCTTTGACTGTCGCATGTCCACCCGCGACTTTGACGAGCTTCTCGCTTCTGATCCATCTCGTCGTCACCTTCCAGAGGCATCTCAGGACGGAATTGTGCAGTCGGCTGTCTCACAGCCGCTTCCACTTCCTTCTCTACAAGAAGCCATGCAACGAACATTTGCCCTCGCCGACTTTGGTAGTGGTGCGTATAGGGTGCAGCTTGATGTGGCCTTGGTCTGAGATGTTGTCACAGCTCAGCCTACAGATAATCATAGCGTCGATAATATCACAGCTGTGTAGCTTCGTCCGCCTGAAATTATCATTGGAGGGCCATGGAATGAAACTGTAGATATATGGACATTTGGATGTTTGGTATGTATGTTTCTTCAGGCTGTTTCCGGGCACCCTTTCCGGGCACCCTTTCGAAAGCATTTAGGTCTTCGAACTTGTCACCGGCCGTGGTCTCTTCAAATACGAGCCGTACCCCAAATACCACCTCAATGAGGCTAGTAACCTCCTGTACCAGATGGTATGCTATACAGGCGAAGACTTCAGTGCGGAGCAGCTCACGATCAGTGCTTGGGCGGCCGAGTTCTTCGATACCACTTGTGCGTCCAGTTTAAATTTGATGTCTACCCGATATTCAAGTCCGACAGGTAACCTCAAAGAAAACCCAACACTTTATGATTACCCGTTCGAGATATCGATTCGGAGTTACAAAGTCGTAGAGGAAGCCAATGTTCTTTCCACCGCTTGCCTGATGAGGAGATGCTTACGCCTGGATCCTGCAGAGCGCGTGAGTGCTGTTGAACTACTCTCTGATCCGTGGTTCAACGGTGTCGATTAGGACCGCTTGACACATATAGTAGTACGGCCTACACATGTTTATTATTTGATGGTGGCTGCGGTAATTGTTATGCCATTTTTACCAAAACTGCTGATTCTCTGATAGTGCTCAATGAAATCCAACGTGGCGGCAACACTGGCTATGATAAAATACAGGACTTGTCGCATTTCAACATGCCCGTGGTTGTAAATATTGTGCCAAACATCTCCCATTTCAGCGTGTTTATACTTACAGGAAGTATCATACGAGCTTCGCCTGATAGTTCAATTGATGTGTCCGAGTCTCATCTGCCGCCACACTGAGGCCGTCAGAAACAGCATGACATGAGCGGCCAAGACCGACAGGAAACGACCGAAGTCAATGATGGAGTAGACGAAATGGATTGTGAGAGTATAGATACCTCGTTAAGGATCTCCTTGATACGCGAGAAACCAAAGATGTATGGGAAACTACAAGCGACCAACTTGAAAATGTTTTGACCTCAGTGCGTACACGTTGTAACTTGATGACACTCCATCGCCTGTTGCTATTCGTCCTCTGCTGAGATGTGAGCAGCTTGCGGGCACATGAACATGTCATGGAGAATACAATGCCCACCCAATGCGAAACAAAGGCATCAACGATCTCATTATCGTGGAAATCCTATTCGTCCAATTCGAGCAGTAGTCATGTAAATTCCGTGGTCAGTTGTCGAACTGGAAAAGAGTCAAGGGGAAGAATGCCAAACACGTATACATCTATGATCATCGGGTGAGGATGGTATGCTCACTCAGCTGCCGCTTTCGCACCGGAGGTCATAAATGACATCATTTTTAGGGCGAAGCCTCGTCGGCGTAAACATGGACTGAATATCCGATCGGATAGTGTCGATCGAATAGAGCTACGATATGATGATTGCATCTGTCATCGCTGGACTTCAAAGGTGCCTTCACGCCCCTGTGCACTAGAATCCTCGCGTCTAAGGACGCATCATGCAGTCAGGTGACATTGTCTCGCACGAACTAGTGCCACATGTCTTCTAACGCGTATTAGATAACGACAGATGAGCAGCCATTAGGAGGAGTGCCCTGAATCCGTCGGAATCGATGAGTGCCTGCCAACGCGGATGTAAGTACCGAAGTCCCTTCTCGTACTTCTTCCATTTAAGAGACAAGAATAGAATGAAGCCGAGAATATTCGGTATCAATCAATCTCACGGTTGGGTGGTACTCTTTCTGCTGTCATATACATCAGTGGGGTCGAGCCTCCGCGCGCCGTTAGCCATGCTGACTTTTACTGGAGGTTTCTCAGCACAACACCTGAGCACGAGATGTTACACTGGAATGAAAGGTATGATGAACGGAACGAGGCAGCAGCATGCTAGATCGCTCGCCGCGAAATCCCCGAAGGCTGGACTCAAAGTCATGTTCGCTTCAAGCGAGAGCATTGAAGTATACATACCTGGACCGAAGAGAAGCGATCCGCGCTGATCGTGTACACGACTGTGCGGGAGCAGATTACTTCTTCAAGATTCCGGTCCTCAAGTCGGGGAGTCCTAATGGCGCCGAGCCCAGTCACTCAAATTTTTCCTGCGGTCCGCCACCAGTAAACTTCAACAATCGAACCCCGGGAAGTCTGGATTCCGAGAACGCTTAGCCCATCACATGGAAGAAAACCCGGAAAGCACGCAATTCATGAAACTGCTGACACGCGCGACGCAAAAGCACCTGCTGACGCAAAGTTTGCTCCATGCGATGTTTGCGCGTATCTCTTCTGAACTTCGATACTGAATAGTATATCAAGGCGAAGGAGTGGAAAGATTGCATTTAACGCTCACCGTGAGTCTGGGCACGTGAACACCTACTGCTGGATACATCGGTCACTTGCTCTGCATCGCAACTTCTTTGTTCCAGTGTCGACGCAGCAGCTCAGCGCTCAATATCTGGCATGCACATTGTCCGATCGGCATTTTCATGTGCGCCTTTCACGCAGAAAGGCAGTGTATTTCATACAGCAGCCGCGTGCGGATCATGTCTGCATTACGGCCAAGCCAAAGGAGCACGGCAGGTGGTGAATGACCCGCTTTTGATTGCGAACAGAACGTCTCTGGCGTGCGTATCATTTAGCAGGTGCATAAGGAGCGAAAGGCAAGTGTTCGATCGAACCTTAATACGTGAACTCGCAGACGACGGCATGTCAGTAAACAGTCTTCTTGTTCGATGAAATCAGGGGTTCAGAACATCAGCTGCTCATAAATTTAGCGCGAGTCGACCGCGCTTCAACTGCGGATGCTAAGGCACCACGCTGTGATGCACTATCGCCCACTATTGTGGACGAGGGTGGATGGATCTCGATAAACAAGGATCCTACTGTGAACGTCCACATCGCAACCCGGCCTTTCCTCTCCAGCTTCCTCGCGGGGCACAGCACAGCTTTCGATTGCGTTTCTGGACAGTCTTTGTAAGTACTAGTCAATCTTGTACTTAAATGTGCGAAATCGTCACTGGCAAACGTCAGCCAGCCGAATAAGCTTGACATGGGCGAGATTATGACTTATCTTGCGGCAATGGTTCAAATGCAGCATCTGGACAATTTTCCATGACATATGGACTGCCTTTCAGTGGCAGCAGTGCATAGCCTCACTCGTGTTGACTGGAAGTGGAGTAGGCGTCTAACTATCTCCTCACCGTGCTGCAGGGACCTCCGTTTATACCATCATGTCTTCACCGGAACTCAGGCTAGCGGTTATGCTCGATCGCCCACATTAGACTAGGTTGTTTTGGTGGGTATACTGTTCATTACTCAATTCGGCCTCGGTCTTGCCGCAGACACGTTCACAATTTGTTGAATGGTAGCGCGCAGCCACATATATAACCATTCGGTAATGTTGGCGCAAGATTCACATCACGCAATTCCTCGTCTTCTCCAGTCACGTATGACTTCCTCTACCAATGTAATTATCTGACTGATTTCGAAGGCACTTACTGATCTCTATCAGCCCGAGCAGCGTCCAGAGGGCGAAAGTACGAATTCCGAAGGTAGAATCCCTCGAAGGACACCGATGGCGTGTCAGTTCTGTAGGGGTGCGTGTTTTACGTGTTACGTCACTCGAAGGCGGATTCGATGACCGGAAAATGGGAAATAAAGGTCGTAAATTGAAGTGCGATGGTCGTCCGACTTGTGCAAACTGCAGCCGCCGTAATATACCGTGTGTCTACGTTCCTGTGTAAGTCAACTGTGGGCTTCCAGACGTGACTTTCGAAACCTTACTATGTTTCTTTGCTAGCTCTGCGCAGAATCAACCTGCACCGGCATCATGAACGGTCTACTAAGACCCTCACGTCGATTTAGTAGTGCTTTCAGCCATGTCCTGCTTCTTGAGCTACATACCATCAGTTGTTTCCTCGGCTCAGAGCGTAAGGAATACTCACTTGCCCGGCTACATGCACGATAATCTTAGGTTGCATGCACTCAACGCACGTCCCGCAGTATTTTGGGGGCAGGATGCAGTCTATAGTGCCATATTCCGCTGCTTCGGCTCACCATCAGCATGGCGCTTCCATACGCTACTTTATCGCGACCATCAGCGGATCGATAGGAGCTGTACTGCTAATCGATAATTGAAACGCTGTACCAGGACTAATACAGTATGAGAGATGGGGATAGGCACCGGCTGGACAACAGATAGTCGCCGCATTTCAGGTCAGGAGATTGCGGCCGCCCCTCCATAGACTGCTACTTATCGGCCTTCTTTGCCCAAACGTAATACTTGTCCTCGGATCAGAGTTATCGGCTGCCGACCTCGATGGTGATCATAGTCACGTAACCCGGGAACTTCAGATGCTCCAGAACCCATCCCCTAATAAGCCAAACGGCCGTCCCCAGACAGAGTAACCTGCACATATTTATGGGTGTCTCAAAGCCACGCGATATAGATTCATGCGGAGATAGCCGCCAACCGAAAAGCAGGGCTGTCGGTCTATGAGAGCTTGGTGAACGTCGCAGAGTCTTGGCTCCGACCAGAGCTCATAAGCATGGCCGTAAACGTCGGAGAAGTACCAGCCGCCGCCGAGCCAAGGGCCACTAGAAACCATCAAAAGACGGGAAGAAGCTTCCACGTACAAATCACGAGGTGTGTCACCGGAGGCATGTCATCATCACATCTGTAAATCGGACATGGTATCGCGATACAGAGGCACTAAGCATGTTGCGAATACGCAGGACTTCTCACCCTCTGTGTTCTCATCGTGGCCGCACTCTGAAAACAATTTGTGCTATGTTCAGAGGAACGACAAGGAGGCCGTTATGGACGCACCTAAAGTGTGAAACACAGACAACAGCGGAATGGTGAGGTGGGCACGTCCAAAGTGTTAAGTCGTGGAAACCTATGTTCAAGACGGAGCGCTGACTACGGCCCTGACTCCCGCACTGCAGCAGCCCCTGCTTCTTGGTGCCCTCGTGGTGCTCATGAACACCGCACCCGAGTCCCATGAGCCGTGGCGTGTTTTATTCAAGCAAAACAATGATGCTCGCTATCACAGAACTTTTGAGCGCCCTACATGCTGCTTATCGGTGTGAACGAGCTCCAAGAGAGGACGAAGTCGACGCAACACTAGCGTTCTGACTACGCATGACAGTCACAAATGCGCTACACAGCGGTAAGGCCACTCTTCTTGTAAGGTGGTGATGGTTCTTGGTGTCTGACTCGGATATCACCGTGTCGATCGCCGACGATCCTGATTGCCTGCCAAAACTCAACGCTTCGTTGAGTTGTTACCATGGGCTCACTTGCTAATGCCACTGCAAGAACATTATAAAGAAAAGAACTGTGCCATAGTTAGGTGCAACGTTCTCACAATCCCCGTCCATAATCGCCACGAATGGATACGGTAGTTCAAATCGGGTGATGATGTGCACCACTTTTTTAAGCTTCGAGTTCCCACCGATTGTGAACCATGCAGGACTGCCAAAACACAACGTACCTGATGCATATCAGTATAAGCGTCCGCTGTGACGGCGTAGAGACGTAAACAACTTCACGTATCTCACAAAAGCTCATCCAGAAGGCTTCGCTTCTGGCACCGACGATAGGCGCTTCTCGCGAGTTTCGCAGCGGAGACGTGCCGCGTGCCAGAGGAAGCCTCGTTACTCTATTATTTAGTTTTAGGCTTAGTGACATTGAGGCATGATAAGTATGATGCCCATGAGGATACTTCCATATGAATCGCAAGAATGTACTCACGGTTCTGAAACCAGCGGTCTGGTAGACGTCGCATTAAAACTGATATTGGGGGGCTTCAAGTTCCGGAGAAGTCCAGTGCTGCTTCCCTCGTTCGTACTATTGAGAGTGTTTTTTGATCATAGAATGCCCTCGGAGTGTTTAAGGGTACATTCTCACAGTGGCGACGAGTGCGAGCTCACGGGAGTCTGATGTTGATCAGACAGAGTGCGTTAATAGAAACGCCACGGGTAATGCATATTTTACGTTACCGCTCGGCGCCTTTCGTTCATTTCGCAACCGCACTGAGGACCTTGTCCAATAGGCTTTGTTCCGTCTGCGCAGTATTCATCAGCACAACGGTGATTTTATGGGCAGTTATGGTTTCTGTAACACTTCGGATGCCCAATGTGCACATAATAACTTCATTACTGTGCATTTCATGGTAGTCCATGCAGAACCGCCGCCAGCAAGTTTTACAATCACCATGCTATTCGCTGACACAACAACTGACATACTCAGTCACCTCAACAGTCTCACTGGAGCTCCCTGCGAATCAATGCCGTCCACGTCGTCGGCTCGCGTCCCAGCAACCACCTGAGTACGTTGTTATTTCCAGGAATTCCCCTAAGCCGGCGTGTTTCAGGGCAATAACAGCGAGGGGAGCTGCGGGATAGCGCACCTTTTATCGTAGTAATACAACATCCTGTCTAGGGCCTCCGCGGCGTAATCACCCTGCAGCGTGAAGGCGAACACGCCACGATCAAGTATCTGCTCCCTGGGTACCAGCTCGCACTTGATCTGGCGCCCTAGGTGGGACGAAAGCTCTCGCGCTACATCTTCTTGGGTGCAGTTTTGTCCGATAAGTTCGTATCGTGCACGGTTGTGCGGTTCCGGATCTAACAAGACAAGGCACGCGACTGCAGCGAGGTCTTCGAGGTCGAGATAACCTTGCAATGTTTTCTGGCTCCACGGGGCGGGAAGCTTGGAATATGCCAGAACATGTTGCAGATTCACGTTTTGCATGTATGAAGATGGCTGGCAGAAGCAACATCATGTGCACTCGTCGTGTTAGGAAGCTCTAAATACGAACCTCCAAAATAGTGTAGTTTAGACCGGATTCAAGCAAGTATTCCTCGACGCTACACGATCCCAGGTTGGTCTCTGGTTGATGTGAACGATATGTCTGGCGGAATTACTCACTAGCGCTTGACTTTGTGATTCAGCAATTTGGTCAAGATGGGATGAAGGACGCTGCAGTAGACGAAATGCTTCACGCCTGCCTGCTTGCTGGCCTCGATGATCGCGATGCCCATAGCGGTCTCCTGAGGATGGAACGCCGGAGCATTGTGGAAGACGACGTCCACTCCTTGGACCGCAGCAGGGAGTGTGCTGGCCTCAAGGTAATCCGCGATCACAAATGCGGACCGCGGGAGCTGCGGATATTTTGTCTGCAACTTCTCAATGGCACTTTTGGAGCGCACCAGCAGGCGAAGCTCTTGGGCAGCAGGGTTAGTTGACTGAAGCAGCGCTTTTATCACATATCCGGATGTTCGCCCGGCGGCCCCAGTTATCAAGATGGTCATGAGTCGCGACAGCCTGCATTCGCGCACATCAATTGCTTGAAAGCATGACCTTGGAAGACCACACACCTGACTAACAAACTGCACTCTTCAATTATGCGGGATATGACGCCTGCGCGTTGTCGTTAAGCGATGATAGACGACGAAAGAGCAACAAAAATGCACTTCTGGAGTGTGGGGGATTTGTATAGACGTCGGTGGATGCACCTGCTTTTGAGTTCATTCAGTTGGTCTCCTATTTCGGATCGCTTGTCCCGACGCCTGGCGCTACGTCATCGCTGGTGAAGTATAGGAGCCTGGACGCTAAACCTCATGCTTTGCACCATTCTGCGGGAGAGATAATGCCCACGACAGTCTAGCCTCGAACATTCTGGCATCCGTTGATCCGGCAATCATCGTAGGTTGCATAAACTCGGAGACCAGGAGATCCCACGACAGCCTCCACCGACGGTGAAACGTTTTGAGAACATGCGCTGTTCAATTAATGTTTAGTGTAAGATCCAAGCCGACGTTTTTGTGCAAGTGCAAGGTAGTCCGTCCACAGACGGTCTACAGTGTCTCTTTACGTAAGAAAAACAGATCACGTGACCGTTTTCAACATCCTGAAGGTGCCCATGAGCCTCACAAAGACATCCGTTCAGCGGTATTTCTCACAGAGTGAAAGCGCTAGAACCACAGGCATTAACGGAGTGTCATTATGCATTTGCAGGCTCATTAATCATTGGCGGAGTCGCGCCGAATGGACAAATTCTTGAAGCGCCAACGCCACCAACGCGGCACACTCGTACTGGATCAACAAACACGACATAAGTGCAGAATTTCAGAACGTATTTATAGATAATGTACAAGCAACGTGATCGATGATAGAATAGCATTTCTTCCTGATGAATGTCTAGAGGAGATTTGCAATTGTGCACCCACGTTAGTACTGGCCAATAGCAATATAAATATTTCAGAAATAAACAGGTCCCTATGCGCGGTCTCAGCACGGATTTGACGCTGAAGTTCTTTGGCACTTGCCACTAGCCAGCCAGCTGAGAGTAACGACCTCGGTATCTTGCCTTATATCCATCAGCCTTGGTTCCGACCGGTTCGACCTTACACGGGAAATCGAGAGCAGTTGAGCCTCTGAATTGGCAAGTTCCAATATTTTGGGTGGAAGTGAGTTGTTTTATCTCAGATTCCTGCGTACCATGCGATCTCCTGAGTCGTTCATTTATTATCACTAGGGAGAATTAGTCGAGAGAACAGGTACTGCTTGTTAGTGACGATATCGTCGCACGCCCTTGCTCCCTGGTCAACTGGACTAGTCCCGAGAACTTTCCTGCTCAATCGCAACCCACAACACGTAGAGTGAAGCGCGATCATCCTCAGTATCCTCCTGAGACGCTAGGATACGCCGTTCTGATTCTGACAAAGAGACGCGGCCTTGAACGGGGGCTTGGAGCTTTGACTGGGCAGTGACGTCGTCGACGTCGCTGGCGGCTGGATCATCGGAGCTAGGAGCAAGGGCCGTCTCGCTAAGCCTGAGTCGTCTGTCCACGTTACCTCGTCTGTCAACCTGCGGGAATGCCATCGCTCTCAGTCGTACGAGCCGCCAATACGGCGTTCTCCTCACCCCGCCCTCCTGTCGCGATCTTCGTCGGCGGCACATCCGGCATTGGACGAGCAATCGCCCAAGCCTTTGCGCGCTACACGGCGGGAAACTCACACATCGTGCTCTGTGGGCGCAATCGGTCCGCCGCCCAGTCGGCTCTCACGTCATTCCCCAAGCACACCACCTCGGACGCCGGTATACAGCACGAGTTCCTGAAGTGTGATGTGCTGGAGATGAAGAATGTGGCAACTACCACGGGGGCGCTGCTATCTCGTCTTCCAAAAGTCAACTTTCTCGTCCTCTCACCAGGCGCGCTTAGTCTGAAGGGTCGAGAGGAGACATCTGAAGGGATCGACAAGAGGCTGGTTCTCAACTATTATGCGCGCTGGAAATTCATCTATGACTTGTTACCGCTACTCCGGAACGCCAGCAGTGCTGGAGAAAGTGCAAAGGTCATGACAATATTGGCTCCTGGCACTGGTGGAGCCATAGATCTCGACAACCTCGGGCTGAAGAAGAACTACAGCGCTTTGAAAGCACTATACGCTGTACCGACATACAATGATCTCATGATCGAAGTATGGCTACTTGAAATGTCCTTGAATGCATATACTGAACATTTGTGACAGGCATTCGCAGAGAAGGAGCCTAGCATGTCGTTCATACATGCTTTTCCCGGACTCGTGCGGACGCCGATGATGGGACGTCTTGCCAGCGCACTTCTCTATCCAGTGACAGTCTCTCCGGAGGACTGTGCCGAATATCTGCTATATGCGCTGCTCAACGCCGAGCCGGGAGCACACCGCATCAACAACAAAGGGGATGATATGGGGAAGAAGAGGTACTATGGTTCTGATGAAGCAAGGGCGCGGCTGTGGGATCATACTGTGGCGGAAATCAACCGGGCAATGGGTGTCGAAACTGAGCATCCCGTGTATTAACGCATGTGCGCTGTATCACACGCAGCTTTCACCTTAGTGTAATGATAGGAACGTTGTGCATGGAGCAATGTCAAAGATGTTCGCGTATTTCGTCCCGGAGCTTACTACGATCATCATGAAGACAACCGGGTAAGTGTTAGATAAAGCATCTTGAACTGACCATTGAAGGAACAGCGACCATGGAAGATTGCATGCTCGACAGAAACGTTGACAGAACTGCGGGCTCGATCAAGCTTCTCTGACTCAACAGGTAGTCAGTAGCACGTTTATCCAAATCACCCTTGCCAACTCATGATCTGCTGAGACTCCACTCGGACTAGTCGACTCCAGGCTGTCCATAATTGACTCAAGCTGTGCTCTAATCACGAGATGAGCTGATTGACTCACTGACAGGGCGGTAAACTGCAAGCCAAGTTCCAACATACTCTCGCGAGAAGCGCATGACGGAGGACATGCGAACAGCACGTTCGCATGTGCGAGAGCCCAGCGCGCACCACCGATAGTCAACAGCTTCGAATAAAGTAGTATCATGCCCGGCTCGCCTTGGTCTTATGTTAGGTTTGTTGAGTACTCGTAGAAGCAGTATATAGAGTCCACAACCAATCAACTCGGGGATTTCCATCGAAGGATATGCTTTGCAGAGTTCAAGCTAGTCTCTTCGTGCATAGGACGGAAGCCCGTTGTGAGAGCGAAGTCCGTGCATGTCGCTATGAACAGGGACCTGACTTCGCGCAGAACGTAAACAACCAGGCCGATCGGAAGGCACCAGGAATGCTATTAACAGAAAGGGAAAATTCCATCTCGTGGTTCAGGAAGGCTTTGGCGCAGATACTACTCCTGCTGTCGACCCTGAAGAATAATTCGTCCGAATGTGAAAGGATAGATGGGCGATGCGCAGATTCAGTGAGCGTTCGGGACAACCGAGGCAAGGCGTCATCACAGAGGTCTTTCGCTCCTGTCGCGCGTGCATGACAATGAGCTGCCAGGCAGCAGGCTCCAGATGAGAAAGCACGGATACAAGGTGGAGGGGGGCGTCCTGCAGATACAACTCCTCTACCTTTGGAAGGATGATTGCCCGACGCCGGTCGGGGAGGTTCATGAGGCGACTGGGAAGACCGAACGCGGGACTTAGCATTCAGTGCACAATTCAGAACAATGTCCCAGCACATTAAGGGAGAGGTTGGGATGGGTGGGCGAATTGGGCGATAAAAACATGAGAGTCAATTGTCGTGGGTAGGGATGGCGCAGTCCCACGGAATAAATGGACGGGATAGAGTCAACCACTTCAGCGTTGTGAATAGGTGACGAGACGGTGCAAAGCGCCCTTGTATTATGTCATGAGCAGACTGGACTTCGAACCATAGCATCTTCAAAGGCGGCATTGTAAATGCCAATCAACTGGTCGTTTGCCTGTCCAAATCGTAAAGCTCCACATAGCAGATCTGGTTCCGATGAGTTTGCATTTGATCAAGGGTTGGGTTCGTCAGCCAGTAGGCAACGTGAGAAAGACTTGACGAGAATGCGGCTTAGCACGATTGGTGAAACAGAAATGCGGTGAATGGTACCTCAGTCTTCCTAAATTCAGAGTTATGCTGCCGGTTTCGTTCTCCGAATTGGATACCAGCACAGAGAGTTGGCTATAAGATAGAGAAGGAACGCCAGCAATAGCATACATGAGTATGCGTGAGCCCACGTCCGAATGGCGAACGCATACGAAAATTACCATTAATTATTGCGGTAGTCAGCTAATCCTGGTCAGTGATTTCAGCAAGGTAGCTGGCGGAAACCATTGAGCCCATCCATCGGACGCGATTTGATCCAGCCGAGAAACTGACAGACTAGCTTTTCTTCTTGTGAAAGGGTGTCAAAAGTGATCATGATTACGGCGAAGTAGTCTTCTGTGTTCCACGACGAGAGAAGTTCAGAAATTCGAATCAGTGGACACCTGCAGGGTGAGACGTACCTAACACGCAGTGCGAGTGATACAGTGTCTCTCAGGGCTTGATTAGGCCGAAAGGGCAGATTTCAATTATACCTGCAGATTCAATCGGTCAAAACCCTGCTAAGGCACATGATACGAACTCGATGAAGTCGTACATATTCAATCATGCGTGATAATCACGATCACTGTCACTGTACGTGGCCGAAGACCTTCCTCACTATTTTTCAAGTACGGTCATTCTTCAGAGGTGAGTCGGCAAGAGCTGCTGTATCGTTCGGCTTTGATTCTGGAAATGAATGTGCTACGCATACCTTGTTTCATTCGCGATCACGTATAAGAGATCAGATCGATGCCCATAGAAGGTTCCTAAGGCCACAGGACTGGCAAACCTCGCAAAATCCGAGCGACGATGATGAGCGTTGCACCTAAGGTTGAAGATAATAGAGAGTAAAACTAATTGGAGTCAGTAAACCGGTTGAACCAGAGTTGCGCGGTCACGTGGTAGACGCGTTCCATCATCATATCGCCGACCGCGATGCGGGAAAGAGACAGGGCCACCATGAGGGTGTATATCACTCGTTGTCATCATAAATATGAAAATATTCTCGTGGGATCATGAGAAAGTCTAAAAAGGAGAACAAAATACAAGGCTTGCGCACATGAACCCAGATACTGTATTACCGTCCGACCGCGCCGTAATCAAGCATCGAGAATACTTCTGCACTATGATGGAATTTGCTATTCAAATAAAAAAAAAGGCTGTCAGCAATTATTTCGTACCTCATGAGACGTTAAACAGGATCCGTCATGCTGTCGGCTCTAGCCTCTGACCACTACCGCCAACATCGCGTGAGGGTACTAAGATACAACATAAAATAAGTGACCTGATGGGACACAGGAGACTCTGCTGCAAGTGATGTAGAAGCAAAAAATTGCTGACACAGACAATGTGGATTGATTCGTCAGTGGCGGCATTTGCAACCCAATCTACTCCCGCCTGCAGCGGGTCATGCCACACAGTCAAGCAACTTTACCCTTGCGCGTCAGGCCAGCCTTCGGCAAAACCACCGCAGCTCCGCGAATGAGCCTATCAAAATTCAAACATTCAGCATCAAAGTCTCTCCAGATGAGCGAAGGCGATCACAAGACAGAAGAGGAACTTGTTGCCACCATGCACATGGGCCGCAGCGACATCGACCACGCGCTCGGCGACGATCGCAAATCTGAATCGGTAGGCTTCTTTGCCTCTCAGTGACGTGATCTTCATAGTTCCGCAGGAAGCACGGTTCCGTCGATGCAGATCTATATCCAATTCATTATGCGGGAGAAAAGATCGCCTTCGACGCGTTTCCACGAGGCTGGACAGATTCGGTGGAACGATCGAAATGCTGACCGCGTTACTCAGAGTGTCAAGAACTGGAGAGCTCGTCATTCGTGAGTTCAAACTGTTCATTGCTTGAGGTGACGAGAAGACAAACTTACACGACGCTGGCCTAGCATTTTTGACCAGTGACAGCAAGTTGATCACGAGCCACTCATCCGCGTAAACTGATCCAGCCCCACCCTCATTAACGGAGCCTGAAATAGCAATGAGAGTCGCTCATTTCCTTCGGTCTTGATACAGGCAGAGAAATCGTGAACCTAGCAACATGTCGTCGTTCCCTCACTAAGCGAGTCCTAGTTGCACTTCGGCGACTCCAGATTTCGCATTGTGGCGTTGCTAGCGTCTGCACAAATGATGGTGAGTCAACATGATTGCCATATCGACATCATGGATGATCTGGCCAGCAGCATCGCGTGTGTGAACACGAGGAAATGAAGATGAGGACCGAGCAGTGTTCGAAATTGGATCTTGATCAAGGGAGAAATTATGTCCGCGGGGAGATTGCATTAATCGTCCGTGAATGCAACGTGGATTGCACAAACATCGATGACGTTAGGCGAGATCGATTCGCTGCTAAGCGAGTTTGCACAGCTAACCGGCGTTTCCGCCCCAGCGATCCACCGCGGCGGCAAGTCGGCACTCGATTAATTCGTCATCTCAACCTACACCTAGGCGAGCCAACGCGCTCCGCATTAATTGGGCGTCTTCGAGCCGGGAGGGAGAACCGCATGACGAACTACTGACGTAGCGGAAACATGATGGACAATTGGATGCACTAGCTTGCGTGGGTAGAACGTTAGAGATACTGCCTTCTCGTTTTTACGAAAGCCTCGGGTACAGCGGTAATAGACCGGATCCCGACACAGATGTGAGCATCTGAGCAACCCGATTGATCTCGACTTCGAAGCGGGACCGTGAGCAGGAGACACACTAGGCTCGACTATACCGTAATCTGCCAGGGGGAGCCAGTGTTGCCTGGTGTCTACAAGATTCTGCGCATCAGCCTCTTAGCTGTGAGGCCGCCGTTATAGTGATGCGCAGATAATCAGCTCCTCGTACGCCCCAAGGAGAATACAATACAATATGGTTGGATCGCACGAGGTGGAGGCATGTTGCGGAAGCACAGGGCTCCAAACTCCATGCCATCAGATCGCGTGGGACAAATACCATCAATGCCTCGCATCGCGATGGCTTGCTGCTATTGCATGTGCGCCGGACGTCAGACGATCCCTCCCCTCAATATTTGAAAATGAAGATTAGCAACGTAAGGCAGGAGTGCAGCAGAGCCCAGACATAGACTCACCGCGTGCAGCTCCATAGCGCTCCCAGCATCGGATCGGACGGACCATGGGACCACATGCTTGTCCGTTGTCAAGGCAGCTGAAGCACTCGCAACACCAACTTGGAAACTCAAAGGCTATGATCGCGCGCGAGGGGGAAGCGGCGACCCTGAATGCGCATCTAAATAGCAGACATCGCTAATTTCGGTAAGGTGCTTGCAGATCGCGCCTTGAAGTTCCCCGGTGAAACCATGACCTAGGCCTACGACACCCGAAGCGGGAAAGGCTTGCGCGCATCCTAGGAACGAAGCGCTAAAAGCAGAACTTCGAGTCCAGATGAGGGTCTAAAGCATATCTGCAGCGTCTGCATCAGACATCGAATAGTAAACGGAGGATTTGTTGAACACACGGCCCTGCCTCGTGCATATCGAACGTCTGTTTTTACTGCCCATACCGGGCACTTACTCCCACACTGTGGCACACACCCACATAGAAGCAGGCGATCCATCATGTGCTGCGAAGTATGCCAGATTGATATTCTTCCTTCTCCTTGTTCAGACGCACAGCACACCTGCTACATATCAGCATCACGACTCCCCGCACAAGCATGGATCTCAAACCATCAGCGCCCAAATCGAAGACCTACTCAGAACAGCGTACCTCTCTAGCTAATTATACTGCATCCCTGGATCCTCCGAACGCGCGACCCCGCAGAACGGTTCTTGCCTATCGCACCGCAAGGAGCTGGACCATACCGCGAGAAACGCACACCGGGCTGTCCGCATGCCTACACGCAGTTGCCAATGTGAGATTGCAGAAACATATGGCTCCTTGCCAGCCGGCCCACTGGGAAGCGTGGACGGGGCACCGCTCGGAATTCGACCCTGAATACACATCTAGATCGAGGAGCGGAAACTGCTCGCAGGGGGCCCAGTATTTGAGGATCTCAAGGCGGATCTTGCTGATGCAGGCACGATGTCCAGGTTCCTGAGTCCTATGCACTACGCACAGAAGACGTTCTAGAGTGCTGCAAGCCAACCGGGCTTCGCGGTGTCTCAGATGCTTGGCCTGGCCGAAATTCCAGGCCCTGGGGCGATAGTTCGGTGCGGATGCAGAGCCACTAGGGTTCCTGTCAGCGGGATGGACACACGTTGAGAGAACAGCTTCCGATTCGAGTGTATTAGGTTGAGGCTAACTTCCCCCGTAGAGCGAGCCCATTGCATTGAGAGCGGGTTCCTGAGACACGAGAAGAACGTTATGAAGACCAATCCTCTGAACGAATGCGAACGGACATCACTGTTCGATGAGCCGTTAGCTTGGGTTCGAGACGCATTGATGATTGGAGAGTTTGTATGTAGGCGCGCACACGACCAGACAGGACGTGCCGAGACCGACAGCTTCGACGCCTCGTGTTGCCCGAGATAATCACGAGAACTCTCCCGTGCCAACCAGTGCTCTAGCGCCTTTTGCGGCCAGAGAGAAGCAAGACGCGGTATTCGTACATGTCGAGATGTTTCGTTGAGAAGATATACATGAACCATGGCGACTGCCTTGTCGGACGATCGCGACGAGATCACCAGTGTCGCAATACTTTGCGGACGGGCCGTACAAATGAGGTGTTGTGCTTGACCCAGTCTGACCGTATTTGTCATCTTTATAGTTTCACGTTCCAGGCGAAAGCACTCCAGATACCCAGGAAGATGGTCCGCTAATTTTATAACCAGGAAGATCGCTGCACGATACATTAGTAGATACTACTCGTCTGACGAGCTATTAGGAGCGCCAGCCAACTACAGGAGGTCTCAAATGTAATGACAGTTGTGTTTTGTCGATGCATCGATTCAAGCTTTGTCTTGCCTAGGCAGACTACATAGTAAGTCTCCCTAGTTCAATGAGGAGAGAGAGGTGAGGAGATATAAATATAACGTCTGCGCGCCTGTCAGACTATAGTCTAAATATGCATACAAAGTTAACTTTATTACAAATGTACATTTATAACCTCACAGCACCAATTCTCATTGGAGGAAAGGCATCGTAATTGAATAAAATGATTCAGTCTTTCCCATCGAGTGACTAAATTTTGGAGAAAACAATCCAAATATAAATGCTCACGATACTTTGAACGCGATCTTCAGACGCAAAGCTAGTAAGACGAGATCCGATCGACGTGTCTCGGAGATGAAATCATTTATATAACTTCAAAGGCGCGTCTTAGTGTATTATGACTAATTCAACAGCATTCAACCTTCCGAGCAACCTTCCGACACTCGTTGCGCTTTAGCGTAGCTATACCATTAGCATATACATATGTGATGAATTTCTGGAGCTGAGAGGAGCATGAGAGTGCATGTCGACACCGGAAGATATGGCGGAAGGTTGCTCGGAAGATTGAATCGGAGGCGGGCACGACGCGTCCAATCAAGAAAGTGATGACGTAACGTTACATTTGGGGTCTACTGTAATGACATAATCGATCCAGGGACCCACGACACAGTGGTGAAGGCATATATAGCTTTTATCGAAAGCCTATACAGGTAGTACAGTATGCATACGTATGAACGACATGTTACATGGCATGGGTTGGGAGGTTGGCTATTACACACTACAAATCAGACTGGGCAATACAGGTAGGGAAGAGAGATCTACGAGGGTATAGAACGGGGAGGGGGATACAACACACGTAACACCAGGAACCTAAGGAGACGGGGATCGAATAGCGTAGGAATAAAGACACAGTCCGCGCGATCGCCTGAAGTGGCGACGCGCGTATCGGCGGGAGTGCTCGTCGGTGGAGTGCATAATGATTATTAATAATGAATAAGTTGATGACGGTCGCTCACGCGAGTGCGACCTGCAGCGACCAGACCTCGCCGAGACCTTTGCCCTTGAGCGGCGGGCCGCCCATGACGATCGCGAGCCCAACAAACCTCCGCGCCTCCATCAAGAAGTCCACCCGCTTGACGCCCTTGCTCTTCTCGATCATGCGCGTGCGCTCGTCGGGGGCGATGCGGCAGCGCGTGTGGTACGCAGCGTGCACGCGCTCGCGGACCTCGTGCGGGAGGTAGTTGAGCTCGACGTCGGAGACGGCGAGGCGGAGCGTGCGGTAGACGGTGCCGAGGACGTCGCCGACGGTGATGCACTGCGGGCGCGGAGAGAGTGCGGACGCGGGCGCGGGCGTGACGGTGATCGACCATGGGAGGAGGTCGCAGATGATGGTGAGCGAGGGCAGTGGGGGTTGCGTCGCGGGCGCGGCGAGGAGCGCGGGTGGGAGGGGCTGGGCGGTGCTCGGGTCGTATGCCGCAGCGGGGTGCTGGACCATGTCCCAGATGAGCGCGGCATTGGGGGTGACGAGCGCGGGGTGGATGCGGACGTGGGCAGACGCGTACGGGACGGAGGCGAAGGAAGCGGGGGAGTCGAGGAACTGTTGCACGGGGTACAGAGGCGACTGCGCGAACTGCGGCGGCGTGTTCGGGCCCGCGGACGAGGGCAGCGAGGTGTCGGAGAAGGAAGGCGACGGCGTCGCGGTGGGGAGGTCGAAGTGAACACGCTTGGTGGTGCTCGGCATGGCGATTTGCACTGTGGGTGATGCGTATGCGGGCGGTGCGTATCGGGGTGATGCGTATGTGGGTGATGCGTATGCGGGTGGATAGTACAGAACGCTTCGCGAGGGGCTTAAGAAGAAAGTGGGGAGGGCGTCGGGGGAAAAGCCTGCATGGTCTTTTATGTAGAAAGGATGCGGTACAGAATGCACGAGCGCGGGTGCGGCACTGCGCAGATGTCAGATTGTACGCACAGCCTGTTCGGGCGAGGGGAATGTGCTCGCTCACCTAGGCAACTCGGGCGGCGGCATATTTGCGTATTTTTCAGAATTGGACTAGCCGGGAAAGAGGAGGAGCAGGAGCTCCGAGAAGTTGACTCATAGCAGATGCTCACGCGTGACGAGAAGACGTTTCGAGCAAGACGTGGGACGGCGGTCGAAGAGAGAAACACGTCAACGCGCGAACACCATCCCAGGCTTCATCGGTCGTCACGCTGCCGTGGAACTCTCCGGGGTCCCGCGTTGACCTGGACGTGACCCGTGCGTGACCGTGTCGCCATCGTCATCCGCCTCGTGCGCGGCGACCAACCCTTGAAACGCCTTGCTGTTGTTCTTCTTCTTTCCCGTTGTTCATCTTTCGATTGTGTCTCTATGCGCGGTGCTTATATGCTGCAGTCAACACAGCAAGGAGCTGCTCCTCATCACCAAGGAGTGGGTGGTCATCACGCTATCGCTGGACCAGCTCGTCTCAGGCCGTTCCCTCTCAACTCCTTGCCAGCGATCAAGCTGCGATCTTGTTGTTATCACAATGCTTGCTCTCAGCAGTTACTCCCATAGTGGAAGCGGAGATCATGGGTGATATCGGTGAGTCACACCGATCATGATGAGAGCTTTCGTGAGACTGAACAGTGCCAGCTCATCGCCGTCACACGTCTCTATTGCGATGGTTGACGGATCCTCACTTGAGGGTTCACAACTAGCGTGTTGATGCGCAACAGAGCTCTGTAGCCAGCCCCGAGATCGGGGACTATCGCGAAGGATGAAGTCGTTTGCACTCCCGGCACGTAGCCAGACGAAGCTACGAATGGACTGCTAGCCTAGTGACCTTCCTCTAACTCCTAGAACATTCCGTGTTCTGCTTTCCATCCTGCAGCTTTGCTGGTTACGCACCTACGAAGCCAGTACCTCGCTCCGCATCCTAACTGAACCTTGCCCAGGCATCGTCTTGACACTCTCCTTCGCCTCTCCAACGGCTTTCGCGCACCAAGTACACATTAGGACCCCAAATCACCCGCATATAGTCGACCATTCTCCTCTCCTCACACCTGTGACGACATGTCAAACCTTTCGGCATCACAAGTCAATTCCAGTGATCCCCCGCGCTCCCTTTGACGTGGCGGTGTGCACCAAGACCCCGAGCCTTCCATCATCGATTCAGTTCGGTCTAGATTTTGGACAGCCTGCAATTCTGTCGGACGCCGTTCAGCTACAAGAGCAACACCGCTATCAGTGCCTGCCGTTCCGATGCGCTGGATATACATCCGTTTTGACCGGCCTCCAGACAGTGCCACTAGGTCTTGGTGCACACATTTGCATTTTGCTTACGATGTGAGGTCCACAGGCCTGTGTCCGTGGGATGTGTGTGGTTCAGGAACTACTTCTGGCAGGAGGCTGCGCCCACCGAGGCGCTCACGCAACACACCCCGTTACACTGCCGCGACAAGTTCCAAGCATCGCCCGTGGCTGTGGGCCTCGACCGGATGAGCGCAGCACTCAATAAACTACATTGGTTCCCTCAGTCCTTACTCAGCCATCTCGATGCTCGCTCCATCAGGCTACATTGCTTGATGCTGGTTGTGTCGATTGGGCTATTCGTCGTGCAATTCAATGCTCCGACTCCCGATGATGCGACGGCGTGATTTGCTCCGGGTCGTGATGGTACGAACCCCAGCGACGATCGACTGTCCAATACTAGACTGGTGGCGTTCCGCGGCGCGTGCGCTGTAACGGTCGTTCGTTGCCGCTGAGACGGATCGTCAAATCCGGTGTTGCTCCACAGAGCAAAGTTCATCAATATCACTGATTGACCATCTTCCAGGCCATCTCTGCGGTATTATCGACAGGTGAGACCGCAGTGCGCCGGAACACAATGGTGTTCCCGACAAAAGTTGCTTAATTCGGAAGTCTTGCTTCCATCTTGCGCGGGTCCGCTCCGGTATGCCTGATTGGGCTCAGAAACCGATGTGTTTCAAGAACTGGTGTTGTGGTTTTGTTAGGCTGTGGTCAAGGGGCGCGGTCTGTGGTCACCAGGTGAGTTGATCTGGGGGTTAAGGCCTTGCCTTGGAGATCGTCGTCAATTCAGTCGTGCGCGGCTTTGTTTCAGACTTTCACTGCCATCGGGATGAATGCAATGGAACATGCCGAGAACGAGATCGCGATGTAATGTCACGCTCAGCAGCGCGCGGATGTCCTTCGTACACCGCGCTCGGCCCCATTTTGTCACAGAGCGTTCAATGTCTGCGACGGCGTGGAAGTCCCTGCGGATGCGTGGGAAAGTGAGTGTTGCGATTATGAACTCTAAAAGTGATAGATTAATCCTCATCGCAGCTCATTCATGTCGGCCATCAGTTTCCAATCAACCGTTCCGTGACAGCTGCGCGATTCGTTTGAGACTGTATGCTGACACCCACGAAGAAGCACCGAGACACGCAAGCGTTCCCAGGAGCTTCTGCACAGAGGCAGCCAAGTATGTCCAGCTGGCTTGGAACGGAACTGACGTGGCGGGCCGGGTAGGCATGATTGCGCCGCGCTCTGCCCGCTTTGCACCCGTCGGGCTGGCGCTTGGAGCAATGCGCGTGTAGCTGCGCGAGCTAACGTGTATTCAATACCACACTCGGGCGTCTATACGACCCTGATCGGAGATGCGCGGAAAGATCGAGGAGGGCGGCGAAGCCCACGCTGCCTGCACGCGCGGCAAGTATTGTGTGGAGGCTCTAAATTCGACGGCGGACAAGCGGCGCGTTGTATACAGACAGTTGTGGATGACGTCTTGTCTGATGATCATTTGCGACGTGAATGACGATCGCCCTCGGCGAGGGTAGGCTGCCCTTTATTTCGGTGGGCTTGTCCGAGAAGGCGAGTGTCGGCTACACGCTGCGATGAGTTCATCAGCCCCGCCAACAAGACACGTTCAGTCAGCGATTAGATTGTGAGTTTTGGAGTCTTGTGCGGCTGTATGTATGCGCTCATGCGAGCACTGACATGCAGGGAATGCGGGGATGCTGCGGAGCGCGGGCGTTCGGAGAGAGTGTGTGGTGAAGTGGCGGCCATCCGCTACGTCTCGACCTCAGGCTTGAACTCGCTTCTGATGCTGACGCGTGTTCGTTGGACCAGGTCTCTGGCCGGCATGAGCACTTTCTGCTGCGCCATATGCATGCCCGCGACAAATCGGCGAGAAGGCTGACATTCACCGACACCGATTTGGGAGACGACTTGACGCGGGCTAGAGTGACATCGGCATCGACTAGCCTGCTGATTGGAGGCCACATCCTCGATGGATTCCCTATATGCTCCAGTTCGTATATCGCTGCGGCTATGTTTTCTCTGGATTTCTTCTGCCTTGGTCTCAATTTCATACGAGTGGAGCATCGTGTACGTTAGGTATGTTTTATCCTCACCGCAGACCAATCTGAGGCTCGGGCTAATTGCCCCGTTTTCTGGTAGACGGTGTGGCGATCTTTTAATTCGTCTTTGGCCTCGGCGAAATACGCCGTCTGACGCTTGGGAGATTGCGGCCTGTAAACAGCGTTGCGACTCGTTCCTGTGTCTGCAAGAGCTTCTCATATCCCCGGTCACGTCCATATCTGGCTTTCTCAGCTCTCGAAGCTGGCTGAGCGCCCGTCCCCCGGACGTGTATTGGGCTTCGAATATTGAGGCTGCAGGACCAAATAAGCAGGTGCGGTGTCCTCTCAGTTCTCTCTTTGTTCAATATTCTAGCGGCACGTTGCAAAAGCCCTGCGGTAGCCGGAGGCGGACGGCGATGGACCCACAAGTGGTAACCGTGAGTAGCTTCGTCTCGATTAGGCCAAATGCTATCGTTGCCTGATAACGCAAAACGCCCTCAATGCAGCGAGCGTACTAGCCGCACGGCAAGCGTCATTCTATTGAGGGCTTTGCCCCTTCTCCATCAATTTCCCCGGCCTTCAAGGCCTGGTTCCTAGGCATGCCGCTGGCTCATCGGACGGTGTGCGAAGCAGCCGTTAATCTTGATCGTGCATCTCGCCATGCCGTTTGTGCCATGCAGTTATCGTCAGATCGTTCGTATGTGCACGTCTCCATCCCTCACAGCAATAGCCTTCCGTGATGATCGATCAGCCTCTTCTCAATAATTCGATGTTTCACTTCACAGGTGGTGTTTGCCTCCTGATGACTCGGATGGCAAAGGCCGGCGCCTGCTTGACGTGGGGGAAGTCTTCGTTCTTCGGCTATCGGGTCTCCGCAATGGAACGTACCGGGCCGTCGGTGCCATCCTGCGAGGCGAGTAGACGCCGAGGCTGTGATGATAATCGGGCGCGCACAGGACGGGGCACACGAGACGCGCTAAACTCTCCTCCATAACAACATGTACTCCGCCACAAAGGGTCCCGGAGAAGCCACGATGTGGTTTGCTCCACAGCCCTCCTTGTGAGGCTGACGAGAAATCCGGCGCAGCGGACTTCTCCGATTACGTGCCTGTGCAATGCAATCCGTAACCTCGGTACCCTACTATATTGGGTGTGCGCGTCGCTGCCGTCCGCGCTTGAGTCATGCCAAACCACACTTCCTCAGCTCAGGCGGATGCGCGTGAATTTGCGGGCTGTGCTCAGGGGAGGCTGACGCATATAAGCACGGCCTGTGCACTGCTTCCCTTGCCCAGCCTCCCCCATCCAGCGCAAGGATACCCCACAGCCATACCCCCGCGCTCATTACGACACTTTAACGACTTATCACGATGCAGTTCGCGCAGCCCACCAGGGGATACTACCTTAATCGCGCCGACGATCGTCGGTCCTCTTCTCCCTCCTCCAGCGGCAGCTCGTCGGGGCCGCGCACACCCCAGACGTATTACCACTCCCGCATTATCCCGCTGCCGCCGGTGACGCCACACCACACATTCGTACAACTTCCTCTTTCCCCGCCACCTTCTCCTGTCTGTGTAACGCCGCAGGTAGAGATTTCGCGATTCTTCGAAGCAAAGCCGGGGCAGCCTTCTCGCATTAAGTGGAACATTACCCAGGATCCGAGGAAGTACGCGTTCGACCGCAAATACGGCAGGCCGTTGTCGCCTGAGCAGCTCGCGGAGCCTGCTACTATGCCATCATACCCCTTATTGGCCATCTCCATTGCCGACCTTGAATACCCTTTCACCATCGATGTCAGCGCATCGACCCCTTACTCAGAGGTGACGGTCGAGAACGTATTGATGGCTATCTACAACGATGTGCGCCGGCGTGTGTCGTCGAGAGAACTAAAGGAGGTGGGGTTGGATGACAGGACGAGGGAGCAAATCGAGGTCTTCTGTCGCCGCCGGATGGGCGCGACGCCAGGTGGGATGGATATGCGGAGGATCAATGTGCTGATGAGTCAGCATTTGTTCTGCGGGATGACCTTATCGAGGACGGGGTACGGGCTGGAACTGCAATTGGGCCCTGTGTGAATGGGCGTCAGCCCGACATTCAGCGGCTCGCATCGTCCAACATACCCTGTCGCCTAACGCACTGGCTGCGTTATAACGAATACTCATTGATCGATGGTCTCTCCATCTCACTTTCCTTCATCATCATTATCATGTTCCGCACTGGACAGAGTCGCATAAGTGCTTCCATCGTATTTTGTTAGCCTTTGTATCTTTAGTTATTTCTTCTTTCCTCATCCCCACACACAGCAGGCTTTCTGTAATTTGTCGCATTTTTGCCAATAACATAATGTACACCAGCTGGTCGAATGGTACTCGTTCACAAGTCCGTCAGAGTGGCCTTCCAGCATTCGGGCAACCATATATGGTAAGTATTGTGGATTGTGTATGGTTACCTTCAGCCACCCGAGCTGCCAAACTCCATCGATAGTGGAAGCGATTTCCTGCTTCCGACTTACGACGACGTTTCTGCGAACTCTACCCACCTCGACATGCCTTTTCTAAGCTGTTGCTCATTGGAACGTTGCATTATCACCGCAGTTGACCGTACCCGCAAACAAAGAGTGTCCCATCCCCGCAGCGCATTGTCAAAAATGACCTAGGTTCATCGGAGGCGGACCTCCAGGATCGTAGCTGCCGGTCAAAGCTAGAAAAACCTACGTAGCAAGTATATCGACGATGCGGGCACCTGTGCGAATGTCGTACTGTTCGGTGAGAGCCACGTTTGGAGTACAGCCTTGAAGGATGCATGTCATTCAAGCAAACACATTGTGCCGGCGATTCTAGAACCGACCTCGTAATACTCGGCTGTAGGTCTGCTATCGGGAAGGTAGATGTAACTCAAACGTATGTGCGTGTTTGCATCCGGCTCGGTCGTATTATCGCGCAACTGGGCAGTGCGCAGTAATGTGGGCCTCCCACGAAACCCAGCGACTTCTTGAGTACGTACTAGCATATTTGGTCTATTCATTCAATTTCACATATCTGTTTATCTTTATCTTAGCCATTCACAAGGCGATGCATCCCGAACGAAGCTCTCTGCGGTGGCAGTACCTCGCTGGTCCTTGTGCTTCAGGCTACACTCTGCGATTGTTTGCTATCTAACCTCACTTTTCCTTCTATCATGCATGTCCTACTTGACACACCACCTCGACTCGGCCTTTTAGAAGGCTATACACTATGGGCGCTATTATGCGCGGTGCTGTTGGTCCCTGGTCAGAGCGTGAAAGGTCATCCTGCTGGAGTCTCGCTCAATACGCTTGGACGTTCTGTTTCATGTTTCGAGTTTGGCGCTTGATGGAATTAAATACTCACGCATGAGCGTTAAATTGGCCCACTCTCATTCCTCAAACGCAAAATAATCAACGACTGTATGCTGTTTCCGCTCATTCAAGAATTCAATTGCGTATGTCCCATAATTATGAGTATGCATGCTGATATCACGCAAAATATAGTCTGGTAGGCTGTGCGTATCGAGGGCAAGTATGAGGCGGTGTGGATGATCATCGCCACTGCGAATAATATGGCGTCTGCCGGGACGTCAAGCTTTGACAGGTTTCTCACATGTCGCTGACTATGTGCATTCCTCATTCCCCTTTGCGCCTCGCACAGTCAAGGCTCGGTTGCATGTGCTAGTCCTCGAACGCTCAGGTGTCAATGAGCTAAAGTCTGTCTACACTGATGTCTGAGTGCTGTTGGCGCCTGCCCCCACAATCTAGACGTGCGGTGTTGCTCAGAAGCCTCCACCCATTCGGCCGGGATCAGTCAGCGATGCTATCCTAATATGTCAAGCCCACGCAATCGATTGTACTCCCTATGTGACAGCGTGTCTCAGATACTACTACGCTCCTTGCCTTGGTTCTAGAAATTCCTTGCCTTGCCTGAGTCAGACGGCTGCCGATGCACAGCAACGGCATCCACTGAACCGCCTGACTCGCTCTTGGATAGCGATGTATAAATCCTCTCCCCCAATCCATGCTGTATCTCGTCATATGGTCGCCCTTAACCGATCTTCTTCAACATGCCATTCAATGGCCCGTCGGATCAACGGGCGCTCCATGCTGCTCTCAGTCCACGGAAGAAGGCACTGCTTATTGGCATCAATTATGAAGGCAATACCCAGCTATATGGCCCACAGCAGGACGCAAAGAGCTTCGCCGATCTTCTAATACGTGAGCACTTATCAGAGGAAAACCCATGTTTCGCGGCTAACGCCGCACATAGAGCACTTTGGATATGATGCTAAGAACGTCGTGATAATGCTTGACCGACAGGATGAAGATAAGCAGATGGTACCTACCGAGGCAAACGTGGTATGTTGCAGACAGTTCGGAATGTACAGCAACAGTCAATGTCTTCGCGAACAGCTACGTGAACTTAACAACCTTGTCCAAGACGCACGACCTGGAGATCACTTTGTATTTTATTGTGTGTGTCGCATTTATTGGTGAACGTTCATAATTGTTGACGATGGGACATGCTGGTCTTGTCAGACGCTGGGCATGGCGGTCAAATACCTTGCACGCACCTCCTCAAGGACGAGAAGGATAGTATAACAAGTTCTTGCTACTCTGAAGTTGATGGCCAAGATGAAGGTGAGCCGCTTGACAGCCAAGTTTGATTACGACTTATAATTGCTGCATTAGTAATCATTGCCGCAGATGGCTTATCCATTTTGGATAATGTACATGCCACGTTGCCTTTCTCGTCCGCCAGGCTTTGACTACTGACTACGATGATGCTGCGTTTGCACAGGTTTTGCGCGAAGTCCTTGTCGATCGGCTGCCCCCTGGTGCCTCTTTGAATGTAAGTGCTGTGGAAGCCGTCAGGATGACATCATGCGACTGACTTTTTAGGCAATTTTTGATGCCTGCCATTCGGGGACCCTTCTTGGTGAGCTAGCTGTCGCTTCGTAAAAATATATATGATCTCAATTACCACCCTTCTCGCACAAGACTTGGATCATAGTGAATGCAATCGTCGGCAGTTCGACAAGACGTACCGGTTCAGGCGCACTCCAGGTGGGACTCCGCGAACATCGCCAGTTACAAGCACGGTGCAACTTCGACAACGTACGTTGTCGCGGTCTCCGCAGCGCAGCATTCCTCGTGGTCAGTCTCTCCCAGACGATATGCCAACATTGCTGACGTGCCGTCTGATTGACTTTGTTGATAGTCCTCAGTCTCCATAGTATCGTTGAAGAGCCATCGCTTCTGCAGAGATTAGGACATCACCCCCTAATTGAGTCTCACTCAGAGAGGGATGCCTCTGATATAGACACGTCCTCCGATGGGAAAACAACAACACAGATCAGAATGCGCTCGACGGCCTCCATCATTGTCTCCATACGGAAGATGGTCAAGTCGGGAAGACTTGCTAAAGGACGCGTCATTGAGAAGGTAGCGACCTATTCTTGGATAGGAGCTGCGGCCACTCCCAGTATAATCACCAAATCCAACTTGGAGTCCAGAGAATTGGACCCAATGGCAACGGCTTCCAGCAGTCTTGACAGAAGCAGCAGCTTGAAGGAGAGGTTTTCAATGCCCTTTAGGGTCATCAAGAAGGTCAAACAATCGATTGGTAGTAAAATGGTTTCAGGTCTTGCAAGGAGAGGTTCTTTTGAAGAAAGGGAACAAGAGGAGCGGAACTCAGGGCAACGGTCTGCGGTTGCCGGCGTCAGGTTATCTGCATACATCGAGTCTTGGACCACTGTATCCTCGTCCTCCAGCTCCGCCGCGTCTGTAACGATCATTCCTAGACGCAGTCCGACAAGGAGGCATTCAGCAGATGCAATCCTTGGGCGTGCCCATACCGCATTGGCGCCCGTTTTTGCGATGCCAGTGATGAGTTCGAGAGATTCTCTCGGCGTCTCAGCAAATGACGGACTATCGCTGATGGCCGCTGGTGCTACGCTTGCGTCTGCCAGCTTCGTACAAGCTGTCCAAAAGCGAGTGAAGAAGCGGTGTGCTGGACGTTGTCACGACGGGTTACTTCTAACGAAACAATCGGCTGTGCACGTAGAGGTAGTGTCATTTTCTGCGTGCGCAGATGGACAACTGTCATGGGAGGGCCCACGAGGAACGTCAATGACACAGGTGAGACGTCTTCATTGAACATCGATGTTGCGGATTGTTCCTCGTCATACTGATTCTCACCGACAGGTTCTAATCGAGTATCTAAGTACGCCGCTCCAGAGCTTCCTCACGTACCGTATGACATGAACATCCATTTGTAGAGCAGAACCCATCACCGACATATAGGAGTCTATGGACTCATATGAAGTAAGATTGTTAATTACGGGGGGATGACCTAGCTTCCCTGATCGTGGCTGCATTGTTAATAGCGATCATTGGGATGACACCATGCGTGTGATGCGGGACTCATATCGCAAAGCGAGGAAGAAGCCGCCATTTGGCATGCCCGACTATCAGTACCCACAGGTGCGCATTAGTATCACGCATGGGACAATCAACTCAGTTGACAATTCCGCACACGCATTGCAGTTCAGCAGCATGCAGCCACTCGTAAGTGAAACGGTGCTGCTCTCCACTTAACACTCCTAATCGTCGAGAATTGCCAATCAGGATCTCGATGCAGAATTCACGCTGTAGGCCTCAATCGTAGCTTCACGGCTAGTGTCAGCCAACCTGTCCGCCTGTATTCCCAATACCACATACTCTATGTTCTCCGACCGCATTTAGGAGAGCGCCACGATCACTCGTGCATGTTGGTTGGCCAACTTGAAAGGCAGTATAGTGATATAGAGGTACCAGAAGAGGGTCAGAAACCGCTTCTTGTTCTCTCTTTGGGCACTGCAACACGGCCCTTGAATCGACGAAAATGGTCCCTTTTCTCCTGTCTCAAGGTGCATGCACTACTTCGCTGCGGCTATGCTCTCGCCAACAATCTTCATTTGCATCCGCGCGGCGAAACATAGCCCGTCGTGGGCTTTTGTGGAAAAACGATCACTGGCTGATATAGAAGAGTACACATGATGTGTGAAACTCAGACGCACACGATGGCGTCCTGTACGCCTGAAGCGTCTGTCTTGAACCGACACTATGGCTCGTGGGACGGATGCCCGCTCCAATTCATTCGGGAAGCGGCACCTTCTCCATCTCCTCTACTCCGGTGTCGCAGGGGCCCGCTTTGAAACGTAACGGGCTTCTTTTGCGGGTAAGCTAGTTCAAGCAACTTCGTACCGTCGAGGCTGCCATAAACGGAATACATTCATCCAGTTGGAGGGCACCCTAGTGGCTCTGCAACCGCACCTCACCATCGCTCCTAGGATCTCGGACACCGGCCAGGCCAAGCCGCTGCAACACCGTGAAGCCCGGTCACCTTGCGGCACTCTAGAACGTCTTCTGTGCGTCGTGCATACGACTCAGGAACCTGGACACCGTGCATGCATGAGCAAGATCCGCCTTGAGATCCTCAAGCACTTGACCTGCGAGCAATCTCCGCTGCTCGATCTTGATGGGTATTTAGGTCGAATTTTACGCGCGGCTCCGTCCACTCTTCTTAGCGTGCCAGTTGACAAGGAGCCATATTGGCGATTGCGTATAGGCATGCGGACAGACTGGTGCGGTATTGTAGCGGTATGTTCCGGTTGCCTGCAGTGCGATAGGCAAGTACCGTTCTGTGGGGTCGCGCATTCGGAAGATACAGGGATGCAGTATAAATAGCTGGAGAGGTATGCCGTTTCAAGTAAGTCTTCGATGCGGGGCGCTGATTGTTTGAGATCCATGCCTTTGCGGGGACAGTGGTCCTGAGAAAAATCAATTTGGCATACTTGACGGCACATGCTGGATCTCCTGCCTTTGATATGGGTGTGGGGGTAGGCGCCCGGCTGGGAGCCACGAAGCTGATGCGAGACGTTCGGTATGCACGAAGCAGGGCCGTGTGCCCGGCAAATTCTCCGCCTGCTATTCGACGACTGAGCCGGACAGATTTGCTTTTATCGCCGCTTGCCGCGCACGCCTGCGGGCTCGACGATCCACTCTTAGCGCTCGCATCCTAGGATGCTGCGCGAGCCCGTTCCGCTTCTGGTGCCAAGCACCTAGGACATGGCTTCCTCGAGAGGCATCTCCTCGCAATATGCGACCTCTGCACCGAAGAGTGATTGTGCTCAAGATGTAGATCCAGTGTCGCAGGTTCCGCGTGCGCAGCCTCCCTCGCAGCCGATATCGCGAGTGCTTCCCAAGTGCCTGACGACGGAGAACGAGCTCCCATGCATCGTCCGGTGTTGTGAGTCCTATGAGCTGCACGCGACAGCCTTCATCTAGACTCTCCTGGACCCTTGCCTACTGACCTTCATTTGTGATTATGTAGGAGAGTGATCCGAAGCCGGACGCATCTGCATGGTCGTCAGCTACCATTGTCTCGGCTAGCCGAAGGGAACAAAATATATACGCTGCCTTCTTCTACTGGAGGCTGTTGTGATGCAAGGCGTTGGTGGTTTGTGGGTCCACACCATTCAGTGGGTGTGAGGCTAGGGCCTCGTGCTTCTCCATCGAGCCATCGTTAGTTACGTGCAATTCACACATGGTGTTGCCTCGTGGCAGATGTGGAGCTGGTTATCTGAGCTTCAGAATCACTACGATAGGCGATCGGCCCGGGAGCTAGTACGGAGCTGATGCGCCAGAGATTCTGTAGACATGAGGCAGCAACGGCTTCCTCCTGACGAGCCAAGCCTAGTACGTCTTCTGCGCATGATTCCTTATCTCACCGGCTACTCACATACCCATACCTCTATCGAGGCTCGCGCTCTACCTTCTGTACCCGAGGCTTTCCAGGTGGCAACGAGAAGGCAGTGCCTTCCTGTTTCATCTCATCAAGCCACTGGTGCATCCAATTCTCCATCGAATTTTCGCAACGCTGGTTGTCTGTCATGTGGTGAGGCTGTCAATCCGTTTTCCAGGCGTGCAGGCGCCCACCTTATGCAAACGCCTGCAGTGGGCGTTGGTTGAAATGCCGAATTCATTAGGTGCCGGCTTGCTGCCGTGCTGGATCGCTGGGGAAAAACACCGGTAAGCTGTGCAATCTCACTTAACAAGGAATCAATCTCGCCTAGTTGCTCATCGATGTCTGTTCAATTTACCTAGATGAATGCGATCTCGCCCCGGAGCCTGTGGGTGCCACTTATTGAGATTAAATTCTAATATCACATATCACAGCGTCCTCATCCCCAGGGCCTGGCAGACTGATCCGAGGAGGCTTTGAATCTCTCGCAATTTGATGGAGTATGGTATTTTTTTCAGAAATTGCTTTCAAATTGTGAAGGAATGCTCGGCTGACAATAAACTACGACCAATGATGCGACTTGAATTTCGTCCGGGGTCCCACAGGGCCACAATACTTGCGCGTTATCCACGTGACCGCGTCTATGTGACAGGCGTCTCGTGCGCGTGTGACTCGTACTGCTCGCGGACTAAATGCATATTCCGTTGCAGCTTTATGAGTCTGGCTTTAGGCATAATGCATAACTACTTATGGATGTCCGTTGATCAAGCATGGCGCAGCAATACTCGAAGTTGAATAATGCAAACAGATGCCTCCTGTCCTCTCCTTTACGAAAATTTACAGCAAGTACTGTTTCTTACTATGCTGTGCGTTTGTTGAGTACTAACATTTCATATGAATAATTAGACATTTAGGCTAAAGAGAGCCTCGTACAGTGTCAGTGATATACCCGTTTGTGTTCCAAAGTATGTGCACTCCACAGCCATGTTCTCCAGGTTTAACAAGACCATGGTCAGGCTATTTTCATTCCTTTTTGTGTAAGCATTTACATATGTGGTTGATGTATTGGTATTTGACCGCTCCCTAGGCGATCTTCGAGATGTGCCATTCGGGCCCTCTATGTGCTGCGCTGAGTATGCTACTGAACACTATCAGATGGTGACGTGAGTTGTTGCGCGTAAATTCCGACGGTACATAGCGACAGAAATTGTTTTCAGTTTGACAAGATGTTTGGCCGGTTCGCACTGCAGGCAAATCACTACCTCCACCCTCGCCGGAAATTAACCAGTGTACAATACCGTAGGTACAATCGACTCACCTTTATTGTGAGTCTTCCATCCTATCGCTTAGCAAACCATCGTAGATGACGGAATTGAACGAAATCCAGTACCCACTCTCTCCACAACGGCTGAAGATTCGCTATCGCAGACGAGGATCGCTCGACCATCCGGATCCTATGAAGGTGATTCCTCTTTCTCATGAATATCCCTTCTGATCCGTAATGAACGAAATCCTCTAGCCTTTGTATGACTGCAACCATTGTTGTCGTTGTCGTTCATTGAGGAGAAAAACGGTAATGCGGCGTCTGGAGATATCCGTCGATGAGAAGGGCAAAACAACGAACGCACACATATTCAAAGAGGTAGCAGAATATACATGGGTACAAACGGCCTCCATTCCGGGAGTCGCAGTCAAGAGGCTGAACGATGCACCAATTGTGGGTCCAATCCCACGCAAACATAGCGATTTTACGCAGGCGTACTCTGCAGTCGACCGATGAATGCGAGAGGGGACGAAGACATTGTACCTTTAACCAACTATTACAAGAACAGGATCCTCCTCTGTGGCCACGTCGACGTCGCAGATTTGTCTAAGGCACCCCCAGCGCTCAAGTCGACAATAACTCATCGCTTCCTTGGAGTGCGATGTAAGCTGTCCAACGTATCTCCGCAAATGCTACAATCGCTTTGAATGCACAGATTGACTAACGAGGGGCCGCCTACTTCCGAGGCATTTTCGACAAGCCGTGCGCAAACACCGATTTCATAAGTGCGACTCTTAAGGCTTTCAACAAAGGTTCCCAAAGACGGCCAAAGACGCGATGCACCGGTCGCTGTCAGGATAAATTCATGTTGAAGCCGAACGGCAAACATACACAAGCCAAGATGGTGTCGTTTTCGACATGTGCAGATCAGCAGCTGTCATGGGAACTAGTACCTACCCGGAACGATACCGTAAGTACTCGGTGCGATTTCATCCTCTTATCATAGCGAGCGTGAACGTTGCGGGTGGGAAGCTTGAGTACTTCGATGACAGAAGTGAGGTATTTCACCCGCTAGGACTTGTACTGGTGCACTCCAAGGTTCTTGTAAACTGTCTTGGTATGTGTCCTGCCTCAAACCGCTGAAGTAACCTCTGATAAAACTCCCCGTGCAGAGTGCACACCGTCGCCGGCATACAGAACGTTTTGGACTCATAAGAAGTATGATCATTCACAAGTGGCATTGTTGCCTATCATTCTTTCACGACAACTGTGTTGAGTAAATTATTGCTGAGATGAAGCTATCCATAGGCATGATGCGAGAACATCACCACTGGGCAGCAAGCAATCGTGCAGGCATCATGCCCGAATACCTGTGTTTACAGGTGAGCATGAATATTATGTAGGCAATCAAGCGTTGATAATGACATATATTTCGTCCAGTTAAGCAGCGTCATGATGAAACCTATTGTAGGTTTGTATGTCCTGCCATGCCGCCCGCCAATTAATCAGTCGTTTGAACGCGTATCGCACAGTCTAAGGTCCGCACTCACTAGTTGGCGGTGGGCAAACAGATGCATGGCTGATTCCAATGATAAATTTCTAGTGGACAAGCCTTCTATGGAGTCTATGCGCAGGCTGTTCGAAGCACTGATAACTTCTCGAGTCGACCCTTCTCTTTCTCCTTCATTTGTCTATCCATTCTTTTAACCTTGTGATGGAATCCATTCTTGGTTATGGATAGACATTCCGTTCGCCCGTACCAAGGAAACATTTTTCGTTATATGTTCTCCATTAGTGCCCGACTGTCACGAATGTGATGATAATCCGATACTGTAGTATACATGATCGGCATCAGACTCGTTCTGATCCTTAGATAGCATGCTCGGCATGCCCATATTTCAGAACATTCGACATAGAATTAGTCTCCCAAGGGAACTTTACTCGTGCCAATGACACTCGTATGCATGCCATTGGCCACCACCGCGGCGGCGCACAAAGAAAGTCGGCAGCGCGCGTAAGCGCTCATCAAGCTTCTTCACCCCAACGTTGCACTGCTGCTTTCAACATCTTCGCGTGTTCTCATCAAGGATTATCCTGGATCAGTCATCATGTTCGTGATCGGGATGATCTTACCATGGCCTTGGCCATACGCATCAAAAAGCGGAATCAGAAACAAGTTTGTAGCGCAACTTGTGCCGTTCATTCAACTGTTCTCGAAGCTGGCACACGCCAAGCTTTAAGCCTTGCATTTGCGCTCAGGATTCCACAGTTCAATCTGTATGGGTCACACAGCTGCATCGTAATGATCATCTTCCAACGCGGTCTATGCGTTTTCATTCAGTGCTAGCAATCATAACAATGCCGACTGCTCCGAGTCTTTCGAGTCATGCTTATGTGGTGCCGTTTCCCGGGAGAGAGTCCGCGATGCAGGGGACTGTCATCTCATGCTCAGATAATCTGCAAAGTGTACGTTACACTGTACGTTTAAACTCGGGTCCATCTGGGGCCGCCGATGTTTGGATACCGTCAGCGCCCAATGTCAAGCCACAGCCGCTCAATCAGCCTTGGCTGTGCCATAAGTACTTCTCGCATCATACACTTACACATAAACGCTCATTTACTCCGCAGCCTCCCGGATTCTATCCTACTTGCAGAAGGAGCGATGCCTACCCGCTTTTCTGATCCATCTCTCGCAGGCAGAACAGAAGTGTGGTTGGGTGGACTTTGTTCCACCCTTGGGCACTCTAGAACTGGTCTGCCAGCTTGAAACTGCATCGCGAAACGCGAATGAACAAGACACACTGCCATGAACTTTGCCCGATGACATACTTCAATTCCTGAAATCGGCTGCAACCCCCCGGAAATGACCGTGCTGCAGACCTATCTGCGTGTTATGGTATTTTCTTCTGCCAAGCCTGGGATACTTCAGGGTTGCTATGGACCACCACCTTTCGGCAAGTCTTTACAGAAGGACGGGCGAGTATGAATGCTTACATAGTATCGAACGCTAGTGCTACCTGGATGCGATATCCCAGATAGCACAGCAGAATCCCATTGTATTTGAAGGCAGAGATGCACCTGTTTCATCCTCCCGAGCGCCCAGTCTTGGCATTCATGAGACATACAAATAGCCGGCACAGCTTGCAAGGCACCACCGCTACACTTTTGCTCTCATCTCTGGGCGTTCTGCCTCTTTCATTGAGAAGACATCTATCAACAATTGCTCTTGTACTGCGCAAGCTATGCGGAACATGACCGTTGGTGCGCCGGTCGCAGCAGTCAACGCCGAAGTTCCATCGCCGCGGAAGAAGGCACTCATTGTCGGCAACAACGGGGACGATCTGCAGGGACCTCGACGAGACGCTGAGAGCTTCAAAGGCCTATTGATCCGTGAGCTCTTTACTCGATGCATTTGTGTGTAGACACTTAATGACGGCCCCAGACAAGTATAAGTTCAAAGCAGAAGACATCATGATGATGGTCAGCAATGGAGATGACCCATTGATGGATCCCTCACGGCGAGAGAATGTGGTGAGTCGAATGGAAAATGGAATTTGAACGACGGCTGTTGTACGAAACGTCACGTGGCTTCCCTATCAGATACGGGAATTGAAGGCCCTCGTGCGTGATGCACGTAAAGATGACAGCTTCGTGTTCTTCTGTATGTGCATCTGATGCTATTGCTCAGCCAGTCTCCATTCATTAATGAATGGCCATGCAGATGCAGGGCATAGCACGCAGATGACATGTAGACATGGCACTGAGGACGATGGACTGGACGAAGGTGGATAATTCCTGCATGATAAGATGCTCTAGCATGTGCACTAATCAAGCTGATTGTACAAGCTATCTGGCTCAAAAACGGCTCTGGTCCGGTGACAGAGAATGACTACATTCTGGATAATGTATGTCCCCTTACTTAGTCATAAACTTCAAGAGCATTACTGGATATACTATACAGGTCCTTCGAGAGATTCTAGTTGATACACTTCTCCCTCTTGGTGCTTATATGTTTGTGAGTTCACCGTATTCCCATATTGATTAATATTCACTGAGAGCACTAGTCGTTCTTCGATGCCTGCACCTCTGGCACTCTGATGGGTTAGTCCAAAAGAGTTACATGTCATGCCGACAAAATTAAGAAACACTGATGTTTACAGACTTGGATCACGACAAGTGCAACCAACGCCAATTCGAGAAGACGTATCACCCGAAGCGTACGATTCCTCCAAATACCTGCTGGCTTGAACAACCGCTTTGTATTTCGACATCCCACAATTTATTTTCGCCAGACAGTATGTTCAGTTTACGGTGCGCCATGCGTTATTGATTGATCGACATTGCTTTAGGATCAAATGTCTCATCGCCAGTCTCTATGCAATCCCCTCAAGCACAACCGCTAGCGCGATCTATTGTTGCGACACCGCTGACAAAGACACGCGTCTCTTCACCTCTGGCAAGAGGTGCTGTGCAACCGTCAGAGCCACATTCCAGACGTTCGAACAGAGTTACTACAGAACGTTCCGCGCAGACAACACCCGCCCATTTCCACCATGATACCAGGACATCTGTCGGGAGGCCTACCATGAACTCAGATATCCCCTACACTCCAATAGCCACCAGGCTTCAACACAGATCGACGGCCAACAAAGAGAACATGCAGGTTGAAGATACGTGCAGGCATCCCAAGAGACGTATGTCAACCTCGGAGCGCTTGAGTATGAACACGAGGAAGGACCCCGACAGAAGGCGTAGAGCGACTTCCTCTGCAACTTTCATGCAGTCGGTGATCCCGCCACCCGTGCCATCGACCTCTCTATCACGCTCCTCGGGCAGTGTCGGTTTACATGCCGGCACGCCAGCAAAGCGCCGCACTGCTGAAGACGTCTGGCGCGACGTTACTTCCTCTAGTCCTGTGCCATATTGCGACTCACCGCCAGGCAGCCCGCTGAATGCTTCGCTCAGCGTGCGGAGAGAAGCCAGTGCAGGTGTCACCTTTGCGGAGGCTGCCAGCATGGTGGAAAACCAGTCCAGAGTGAAATGCACCGGTTTCTGCCATGATCAGCTGCTCGAAAACAACGTGGGTTCAGGTCAAGGAGCACGGATTGTGTCCATCTCTGCATGCGCTGACGGGCAGCGGACGTGGGAGGCCGGATCGCGTTCCACGACACAGGTGAGAGGTAGCTTCGACTTGCCGTTTGTCTGCGCATTGTTGACTTGTTACGCAGTTCCTGGTACATTACCTGCGTATGGATCTTGATCTTCCGTATACGGAATGCAAAGTTGCGAACATTGACGTGTATGTTCTTGTAGGCACAACGCCGAAGCCGACATGGAGGCAGGTGTGGGCGCATCTGAGGTACTGTCTTGCCTTTACAGTCTTGACGAACCCGCGTTTGACGATAGATTTCTCGTAGCACTCGTGGAGACACGTTCATCCACACAGGACGAGAGAAATACCGTGAATGGCATAGAGAGGACTCCATGCCAACGTATCAGGATCCTCTGGTAAGCACCGACGAATAGTCATTTGCTGAGGCCGAATAACTGACGTTCTCCGCGTGTGCGTTGTAGATCAGTAGTGATTCACCACTGGTGAGCCTTGCGATGATCTTCTGCCATGGCGAGTATCGACGCTGAGATACCTTCGTGCAGATTCTGGACTCGCCTTTCACCCTCATCAACCCATTGTCGCTCGAGGATGCAGAAAGCACACAGCCATAGCATTGTGCTGACGCGACGCGTTTCAAACAGTAAATAGAATCCGTTGTTCAACGTTTCTGCCGTATTGCAGTACCACAGGCAATCCGTCGCTAGCCTTAAACGCATCACACATGCAATACTATGAAAGGTCATCGGCTCAATTTGTCTCTGTGGACCGTACTCTCATATGCTTGCAACTCGCATTGGGGTTTCACTTCGACGTTGTTGTCGTGATCGCCCACGCGGTAGACACCAGAATCCATGGTGAGGAAACCGGCCAACGTTGTAGCGCATAGACAATTCCAGGACATGTGTGGATGAATGGCAGGTTGAGGTCTTGTTCTGCAAGGAGAGGACTGGGTAGCACATATGATCACGATGCGTGTATTATGTACTTGGCCCGGTGTACGATTGCAATGTGGCATACAATCCTGTATCGCATCCCTCTACATCATGGTACTCATTAGGCAACGTTCATCGCGCGCGCAATTTCTCCTTCTGTGAACTCCCAGAGACGCTGACTTGCCTCATCAGAGCCGTAGTGCCGCTCCTTCCCCATGTCGTCGCCGTGATTGTCCATGCGATGGGCGCCAGGGCCCGCAGTGAAGAGTGCGCAAAGCATATACTCCGCACATTCTTCGGCAGACACAGAGAAGAAATAGAAGAGGAACCAGAAGAATCGCCCCAATATTGGCGTGTCTACAATTCCTGGCCAGATGTGAATGAATGACATGGTGGGATCGCGCTCTGCGAAGGCCTATCGGGAACGTTGGGATCAGAGCGAGTAAGAGAATGCAGATCGGGCGCACCTCGATCATGAGATCATTGTACATTGAGAGCTGGGCTCGCATGTTCAGAATGCCTCGATTCCTCTTTGGCCCGAGGTCGTCCAGGTCGATACCATTGCCCAACCCCGGCCCTGCGACCGACATGACCTTCGCATCCTCGCCCGCATCTTTCGCCTTCCTCAGCAGCGGAATCAAGTCATGGATGAACTTCCATCGAGCGTAGTACATCAGCACGGCGAGGTCGTCTATGCCCTCGCTGGTCTCACCCCTCCCAAAGAACCGCAAATTCGCCGAGGAGAGGACGAGATAGTTCACCTTGGGCAGGCGTGCGAGAAGGCCTTGCGTTGTCGACTCGACGTTCTTCATCAGGTTGGCATCGCAGGGCACGAATTCGTGTTGTACACCCGCCGGGGGCGGCGGAAAGGATGCGATAATGGCCTCGGCTGCGGCACGATTCCTCCCAATGATGATGATGTTCACATTGCCGTTGGTATAGCGGGCGAGGGTCTCCGCCATGGCACGTCCGATGCCGGACGTGCCCCCGACGAAGATCGCGACTGGAGGCGAAGGCGGGGCGTAATCGGCGTTAGAGGAGCGTGCAGCTTCGAGCGATGGCATGTTGGGAGACGTTGTAGTTGCAGCTACTACAGGGTCAATGTGATGTCTGTGCTAATACACGGGGCATTGTAGGGAGACTTTGTATGTCAGTGTCGCCAAGGTCATTGAAGGCCGTTGCATGACGCGTCACAACGGCGCCGCCATCATGCATTCAACACCACGAGCTCTTGTTCAACTGTCATTTCTGCGTATGTATTAGTAACGATCTCCTACTGTGTTGGGTCCAGTCAAGGGACCGTACTCACCGGGCTCGTCGCCTTGATGCTTGAAGTTGAAACCGGCGGTTTAGACTTGCTAGCGGTTACACCTTGGAATCCGCAAGTTATCTGGTCGCCACATACACCGCCCTGCGTGGATGCGGTGTGTGATGTTCTGCGGGCGGTGTGTGGTGTTCTACGGGCGGTGTGTGATAGAGGGAGATGGGTGATCCTGAGATTGCGATGCGAGACGCGGATAGGTTGAACACCAACCTCGTTGCAGTCATGTGCAATTTGCCGTTCATCGCCCACCTCCTCATGCCCTTCTGACATCGGTGACTGGAATACTTCAGCACTATGCAGATATCTTCTACGTTGCAGGCAGGAGGAAAGTCGATGGATGGTGAGCAGGCTTCATTCGTCAACAACTGTTAGTGAAACATACATCCTGCCGTGATGGTGCCGCTAGCACGCCTTGGCGGGCCTCATGTTAGCAAGCGTGAATCCTACGTTACGACGCATCGAAGGTCGTATTGTAAATGGCACATCCGGCTGCTGCAGAATATCAATGGTAGCGGAAGACGTATTGTATTTCTTTGGGCAGAAGTCGCTGTGGAGAGCGTCGCAAGGGGCAGGGATGGCAGCTTCCCCCCATCAAGGCCAGTCAACCCGTATCTTCGGCCCCGGGCAGGCACAGCCCCGCCACCTTGTGTTAATGATCGAGCCCATGGTTTGCTCCTCGGCAGTGCTTCCAGCCCACCTAAAGCTCGCCAGTTATCTGACCTTCAGACCCACTCATCCCGCTCAGGCGCGCCCATATGCGCAGCGACTGTCCCTCTTTCACCATTGTGCTTGGCCGTTGCTGCTAGTCGCCGAGTGGGATAGACATGAAGATCATCCGCTACCTCCGTCGTCAGCAGAGCGATCAGCCGCCGAAGAAGAAGGCTCTCATCGTTGGGATCAAATATGACACCCCGGAGTCGCCAAAAAGCCCAGATTATGTGCAGCTTGTGGGGCCCCACAAGGATGCGCAAGACTTCCGGGACTTGCTTATTGGTGCGCCCATGGGGTCCGAAGCGGCTTGTGAGGCTTTCACTAATGTCGATATTCGTCTAGACACCTATGGATACGCGAAAGAAGACGTGACCGTGATGACGGACGGCAAGGGCGATATATCTCTCGCCCCTACTAAGGCCAACATGGTCAGTCGTGCACTAGTACTCGCTTGTTCAATTGTTGAGTAACGGTCGTCAGGTTCGCGAGATGCGGCGTCTGGTTAAGGATGCCCGTCCAGGAGATCATTTCGTGTTCCTATGTGAGCATCGTTATTATTGACACGGATTTATCATCCTCATTGTCCTTCTCAAAAGATTCAGGGCACTCTGACCAGATCCCCTGTCTAGAGGGCAGCGAGGACGATGGCATGGACGAAGGTACGTTTGAGGCAATTTGCTGCGACACAAGATCCACTGACGATTGTATTTCATCGGGCAGTTATTCTCCCTATGGACCACGAATGCCTCGAGAAGAGGGAGAAACTGATCATAGATAATGTGCCTTTTCACATCCCGGACTCGCTTCCGATCCACGTTAACTTGTGCCTTCGTCACAGGATCTGCGCAAACTGCTGGTTGATTCCCTTCCAGTTGGCGCCTATCTCACGGTAGGTCCATGTTTACCGAGACACCGATGCGCCGAAAATCTCATTTCATTTTGCGATCGACGTAGGCAATCTTCGATACGTGTCATTCCGGCACGATGCTAGGTGAGTGGATCTGTCGGCCGGCTGCTTGGTTGCTGCGCGCGGAGGTGGCGGTGCCGGTATGCGGAGAAGAAAGGGCTTGCTTGATTGATCGACGGCTCGGATATTGTAGCCTGTGCGGGCAGCATCCTTGTGCTGCGCGTGTAGCGTTTCTGTGCCGCTGAGACCGAAATCTTTTTCAGCTTTTGTACTCGACCCAGAAGTTGACCGTTGATGAATTTTAGATCTGGAGCATTACCGTTGCAATGCGATCTATCATCCGTGGGTTTCGAAAGGCTGGCGACGCTTCAAGACATTGTGGATGTGGACAGGTGCGCAATGTGGCGTGTGTCGTGCTCCCAGTTGTCGCTGACATCTCACCCGGAATTCCCAGAGCGCAAGGACGCGATCCGTCAGTTTATGTCGTTATATCTGTTTGTCCACTCTGCTGACGCGAGCTACAGTGCTACCCTCGAAGACTTTCAGCCTGCGCTCCGCACCGTCCCGGCTGCACAACATGCCGTCGCTCGCCCAGGCGTTCTCTCGGTCCAGTCAGCACCGACATCCTGCCCCGGAGAAGACTTTCCCGTTCGTTCGTCAGCGTTCGCCGCTTACCCGGGTCCAATCGCCTCCCACCTCGTCGCAGTCCCCAACATTGCCCGTCGAGCTTCATCGCGGACGCCTTGCAAGACGGCGCGGGTCCTTCATAATCAAGAGCACCGCGCTCCAACTCAAGACGACCGCGTTGGGGCTGATTATACCGCAGTGCATGTCGCCGGTGTCGCAGCTTAGGGAGTGCGATGGAGATTGTGTCGCGAGCCCGACGGAGAAGGCACACGTGGTGAGTGGTGATGTCTTCTTGCGGTGTGCCGTTCGCTCATTAGTGCTCGATGATTTGTAGATCTCAATTTCCGCGTGTGGTGACTCTCAGGTGGACTGGGAGGGAGGGAATATAGGGTCGATGACGCAGGTGAGGAGGGCTCTGCCGCGTTTCGTGACAGTTGTCTTATGACATTCTCAGGCCCTCGTCAAGTACTTGAGACAGCACCCCCATCCGACGTTGCATGAACTAATGGAGTATATCGAGTGAGTATACTTCTGTTCTCCGTAGCATGGTAACATTGAGCTTCACTCATCCCCAAATGCAGTGAGGATCGGCACCAGGCCTCGATGAGGATACACAAGATCGGAAACAATATCAGAAAGAAGGGAAAGAGGGTTGAGAGGTCGCAGGGCACTGTTTTCACAGTTCCAATTGGAGGGGAGAGCGTGGAGCTACCGGTTGAGGTGCTGAACTTCCAGGATCCTCAGGTAAGTGACCTTTGTCTCCTGGCTGTATGCTTGATGGCTGATACATTGTTTGGATCCGCAGCTTGGGAGCTTGGAGAAGCTGGTGAGTAGTTGGGAATGAGATTGATTGCCGGACGCTCAAACTGATGCCCATGGCTTTAGGATTTGAACGCATGTTTTACCTTCTAACGACTTAGGTCGCGCATACATGGACTAAACTAATCGCCCATGACGTCCAATCGAACGGACGGTCTCGCTCACGAATCGGTCAACGCATCTTGTATCGCCTATACTCTGTCTTCTTGTTGTCTCCTTTGCAAATCACGGTCATCTCAAGTTGTCAAATGTATTTATACCTAATCATTGCACTGTTGCCAATTAAAATGTGTCATAATGCTTGTCTCCGTACTGATTCTAGTGCAGCACAGGATCTGAGCTGAGAAGGGTATCCCAAATTCCTAGCGGCGCTCCACGTAGAGGGTCACCAGCGGAGGGCGTCAACCTTGCTCATGCTGAAGCATAACTATTGGTGCTTGAGCTCGTTCGTATCCGCAATCTCCGGAGTGAAAGGTTTTGCGTCTCAGGCAGAAGGGCAGTAGTGAACAAGAGGTCTGCCATTATCCTTGCAGCGGCGAGCGTTTCTCTTCAACTTGAATGTGCCAGGAGGGATTTGTGATTAGATTAGATTACAAATGTTCTCGGGTAGACGCGCACTGCGCGGTAACGTGATTGCATCTTCTAATCGCTCCGCGCAAATTCAACATCGGCGTGGACCATTCTCTTTTTCTAACTCTCTCTTCATTACCAACATCAACTGCACGGCATGACTTTGGCTCTCAAGGCAGCCAAGTCATATATTACAACAGTACTTCGCTCGATGTGTTCGCATTCAGATGCGGTTCGTATCTCGGATTACATGCAGCCACCGTGCAGCGTGTCTGACGCGTCGCGCCGCACAGGACCCAACTTCACACCGACGGCCGCGCGAACTGCCCTTGGACGTCTGGAGACACGTCATTGCCGACTACCTGCAGGACGACACCGCCGCCCTGCAGGCGTGCAGCCTGACGTGCCGTGCATGGCTGCCCATCGCGCGCCGCCAGCTATTTCGCACCGTCACGATCAGGCAGCATGCCGGCCGCACCTGCTTGACCGGCCTATTGGACGCGCAGCCACGTCTTGCACGGTACATTAGGGAGCTAAAGTTGAAGTCGGGGCACCACGGGGGTGACTGGCTGGCTGAAGAGTTGGGGGCGCTTTTGCCGAGGCTTCCGGATCTTGTTATGCTCGCGGTGGAGGGTCATCACGAGCTGGGTGCCAGCGCGATCCAGGCTATCAGTTCGCGAGTGGCAGCGCACGGTCTGCGCGGCATCCACCTGTCGCAGCTTCGTATCAGCTGCGACCACCTCGTGCAGCTACTCACATTGTTTCGTGATCTCGCGGCTATCGGGCTGCACCACTTGCACATCACAGCTGAGACGTGCTCGAAGCTGGTACATGACCAAAGAAATATACTGCGGATCCGGGAAGTGGCTATTGAATCGATCGACGATGCTACAGACGGGCTGTGGCTTTGCCGCGCTCCCTTCAGACTGCAATTGCGGGTGTTCAAGTGGGTGGGGCGTCGGTGTCGACGCCATCTGCACATATTAGCCAGCTTGCTTCGCCATGTAGACGCCGCGGCCACGCTGGAGCACCTTGTCGTCGGACTAGAAGATGTGGACCACGAAGCACCGAGCGGTGAGTGTCGTGATGCCTTCCCAGAATGCGTGCCATCTGAACAATTGAACCCTGTAGAGTCGTTCCCGTACCTGCGCATTCACCTCAGATGCCTGCGTACGATCTGGCTGCATATACCGCCGCCTCTCGTACCTTGGGACCGTATATTCCGCCAGAATACCGACCGTGCGAGCGACCTCATTGTCGGCGTGCTCAGTCAGATAGAATCCTGTCACATGGAAAACATCACCATTGGCAGTGTTCTGTATCTTGATCACGATTTTGAGCCGATCAAATGGCGATTCGTCGACCGACAGCTCACCCGCCTTGGCCAAGCGAATCCTGGGCTCATCGTGAGCTTCCTCGTCGAAGTGCACTTTGCGGTGCCAGACAGTGAGTGGAGGAAGAGGATGAGGGATGTGGTGCAGGCTCATTTGCCATGGTCGCGGAGACAGTGGCCGCGGATGAGGCTGTGCTGCTACAACAGTCATGACCAGCGGCTGGACATAATTGACGTAGGGACTGGCGAGCTCACTACCGAACCACTCGAGCAGTGGCGTACTTGGAGATCTGCATTATTCTGGTGAAACTGTCCCGTTGATCCATACATCTGCTATACTCTACATATGAAGGAGGATTACAATGGTCTATAGGAGGTGAGACTTGTGATAGCTGTTCTCAAGCTGCCGAGCATATCGACGGTGCACATCTTGATCAACATACACTAGACAAATCGCACGAATTGAACTCGTCACCGCTGCGACTCACATACGATCCATCCTGGACCGTCGGAAGCTCAGCTGCCGCTAGATGTCTATGACGAGATCCCCAAATACCTCCATGATTTGTCTCCCCTAAGCAGAAGCAGACTACAAAATATCTCCTTCTCTGACAGAAGGAGGTCACGAGATATATAGCCTCCATGATGGCGACTCCTCTACTCTGCACCTGCAGTTTCCCATGTTGCTCCCGGCTCCCAAGCACGAGGTCACGTCGTCTCCAGTCCTTCTGTAGTTTCTTGCAGTATCCCCCCGTATCTGAAATCTACGTGAAGGCATTGATAACCGATGCCTACAGGCTGGCGCCTGGCCCTTTGCGCTGGCTGTCAATGCCATTGGAAGCGCTTCGCCAAATCAGCACAAATCCGTACCATGACATCGCTAAGGCTCACTCGGTTCAATAGAGAAATAAGCAATACATGAGCAACGTCCGATCCCAATGTGGATATACAAGTGGCGGCCTCCTATAGCTCGTCATGCATACCGGAAGGAACATTAGAGGGCATCGCGCTCCTCTCTGCTGTTCTTTCCAACAGATCATCGCTCTCGGCTGACGGCGTCACCTCGACTGGATCTTGCGATGAGGAGGTGATCACTTCTTCGAGAATTGGGTTGAACGTCGCTTGCTCGGTAGGCCCAAGCTCTTCGCTCGCGGTTGTTGTCATCGTAGTAAATTGCGAGAAAGCAGCACTTGAAACAGCGACCGCTGGTGCCGTCGTGAGTGCGCTCGTGATCAAGCTGTTCACGAACCCCTTGCCTTCCTCTGCCCGCAAAAGCCCCTCATCACTGCTCAAGCTCGGGAGAAATCTCGTCCACCAGAATGCAATCCGGATACTGCGGTCGACTATGCGCTGCTTGAGGATGAAAGCCACGACGAGGAGGAAGAAGAACAAGCCGGCGAGGACGAGGAGACGGTCTAACCAGTCTGACTTCTCGAGAGCGGTGATGAGGTGCTTGGAGGTATCCAAGAGGCTGTCGAGGACATCGTGAGTTGAGGATGTAGAGCGTAGAGCGGCAGTAGAGGACTCTGCAAGGTAGCAAGTGTTAGAGGCTGCTCGCTTAGAGTTATGCTTGCCCACCTAGCAGCTGAGACGACAAGACCGACCGCTCCAGCTCTCCCTGCATTAGAGTGATCGTTCGCTGTAGCGCCCCTGTCACATCGTTGTTGGCTTTCATGAGCGCATCCTCCCTACATTCGAGTGTGAACGGGACACGAAGCACGTCCTAGCGCATGATATACTCACGCAACCTTCTCGCTCAAGTTCTGCTTCTCTTTGACTGCAGAGGAGCGCAGAAGCTCTTCTCGGTTGGACAGCTGGTTTGAGTCGATAGCTTTCTTGGATGCAAGCAGTGCGGCGCGCGCATCTTTCTTCAAGCTTTACCACCTCAATACCCATGAGGGGAGACAACAAGAATAGCAGTCCCTCACCTCGTTAAAGCAGCGTGGAACTCGTCAACAATCTGTCGAAGTTCATGCCTGTCTCGTTCCGTCCTCTGATCATCTACTGCGATATCGAGGTTCTACTCAGACTGTCTTGGAAACTGACCACGGGAAAATAAAGCAACACCTGCCTTAATCTGATGTGCAAACGCATCTATGTCCTCACGAAGCTCTGCTGCATAACGCTGTTGTAGTGCAGGCGGGCCCGTGCATGTCCGCAGGCGGTTGATCTGGAAGTCCGAGAGGTCCTTTTGACGTCTCTGCAGTGATTCTACCAGAGACCTTGTCTCTTCGTTGAGCGTGCTCGGTATTGGGGCCATTGGAACAAGTCGCTCGATTGAGAGGCAGGACAATTCAGGGTAGCGGTCTCAGTCAACCTGCAACTGCCTGCGCTTGTCTGCAGACACGCGGGCGTCTCCATATTAATATTGAAATCTCAGATTCGAACGGTCATGTACTGGCCTTTAAAGAACTCAATCCCAACACATTAAAGAAAAAAACAAGCTGGAGAGTGTTTCGGTGAGCAAAGTAGCTATCCAGTTTAATGTAGCGTGCTTTTCTATGCGGAGATGGCCAATGCAATTGAAGTACATAGATTGAAGGAAGACTCGAGCCATCCGACTGAATCCCATTGGATTCTTAGCAACCTCCAGCTCGCCTAGAAGACGTAGGAGCGACTGAACGAAACGCTTTTCAGTCACAGAATCTGCCGCGAACCTGAATCTCGTCGTTCAACGCGGAATGGAAATCCGTCTCGGACCTTCCCGCCCTCGTGGAAGGAAACATTGCTTAGTACGTGTACCCACATACACATGGTCCTCTTGCAATGCTGGGAGCTCATGTATTTCATACCAATTGCAGACAAATGATACCTGAGAGGGCTTGACGAATGCGTCGAAGAATACCGAACGTTGCGAAAGAACCAACATCCAGCAGAACCGTTGCAATTGAGCGCTTCCAAGCACGCATTGATGGCATCCGTATGGCTTCGTTGCGACAAATTAACGTTTCCTCAAGTTTTCTCGCAAGGTCTAATCGCAGCAGCAGACTTGAATCGCGAGGCGCGAGGTAGAACCGTACGTGAACGATCCCAATGAGAGGTATCCGCTTTTCTAGATGACTATATGCGGGGATTTCATGAAATGCAGTTACAGAGGTGCCTTAAGCTAAGTGCAGACTCCCCGTCATGAGCTCTAGGAGGCGCGGGTGAGCTCCATGACGGCGTACCTCGAGCCGGTACAGCGCACCATAATCTATACATGCTCATCGAGACTCCTTGACCTCTGCATAGCATCGTAAGCGTTCAGTCGCCCGGCCCCTGTACTCAGTGATAGATCAGAAATGCGGACTACCGTAGGCTGTTGCAGGCCATAAACGACACTGGACTTCTTGCCAGTTGTTTCATATATCACCTTTGCAGTCTCTGGGGCCTCTTCGATTGTCGGCTTCCAAAGTCTCATCTCTGTCTTATACCTCAAAGCCACCGTTTTTCTCATCTGAAGAGCAAGAGTCCATATATATGTAGAAAGACATCGCGGAAGTTCCTATCAATTGAATAATGACTGCCACGGCCGCTCACAACCAACGGTCCCAAACTATCGTGCCATCGTACTTAAGATTGTTGTTCGCGCACAACTGATTTCGATGAAAGTGAGAGCTCGACGGCGAGCTGTACTCCGTAGGTGATAATCAGTTGCGTGTCAGTTACCGCGACGGATGTGGCATTCAGATGATGTTTCTCAATCAACACTCCGCAGTGGTTGCTGTCATAAGCATACATGAGGAATGTAATGATTTGAGTAGAGGACGTATAGATCTACCGCAACGCCAGCAGCTCATTACACCATAGCCAGCACGCGTAGAATATCGAAAAACGTTCGCCGCCCGACGCTGCTGCCGAAAAAGGCAACCATCTAGCCATATATAGGGAGCTTCGTCAGGGTGCAGCACCGGAAAGCTTCCCTCTGCGGATCAGATCGGCGCGCCTTCGTCGGCGGTGGTATATAAGGGCGCGCGCTGTGTGGTCCACTGAGACCACATCTTTCCCCCACCTTCGTTCCTCATCGTCACGGCACTGCTTTAAGCTGGCACGCTCAGCTCGTGTATGTGCAAAATTCTCACCTTTTTTTTGCTCTCTCTGAACATATCATACTCTTGTCGAACTCGGCTGAAGCAGCGTGCGAGCGATATTTGGCCTCCAACGTGTCGAAAGTCGATTGTTGCTGTTGTGTCAATGTCCTCTGTGGGGCATCACGAACTCTTGGACATCGTCATAGGACGAGATGTTGTCTGTCCCCAAGCAACATAACAAGTCGCAGGTTGTGCGACGTGCGTGATGGGAGAATAAGTATTCCAATTAATACAAACGATCATCTTCCGGTTCAAAACAGTAGGTAAGTCTGCCATCAGCGACCGCCAGCTCTCATTGGTCGATGCAGAAACAGTCGTCCGTTAAAGATGCCGCTGGGCGCATTCTGAGACGGAACATGGAGCCAGATCACGGAGACATCGGAGATTCGACTTGTGCGGGGGCGAAGAATGGACGCCGCTGGCCAACGCTCGCCATCCGCGGCCTTGTTCGCTGAATGCATGGGTGTCCGGCAGAACCACGCTAGCGCTGGCCTATCCTGTTATCGCGCATTGCCATTGCTCCTTCTGAACGCCGTCCAGGCACGCTGTCAAGGTCGCATGCTAGACACGAAACGCTCTGCAGAGGAAATGGGCAGCAATGAGAAAAGTGACATCCTGACTGCTTGCTTGATTAAGGACAGGGGAGAAGAGGAGATCGAGCTGACGTTGAGGGTGAGCGGCGCGTTGCGCAACGGGCGAGCGCCGTTGAGCGCGGGAAAAAGTGATGTCGCGTGACGTCGGTGCCTTGGAGGAGCGGAGTGCCAAAGTCGCAAATAGAAACGGTATTCGCTTCATGCTTAGGGCCCCGCTCGTTTGACCCAAGCTGTGCGATTTCTCCTATATACCCCCTCTCGCATCCGCTCCTTACCCGTTTGCAGTGGAGACGGCCCGTGTGGTGTCAGTTATCCTCTTGGCTGCGAGCCGCAACTATTATACTCACCATCTCATTTCCGGCCAGCCTCTACTTTACGACCTTCCTTCACGACCAGCCACATCGTTCTTCTAGACAAACATGTTCGCAGTCCCAGGCCTCCACTCGGTCGAGCTTGGCGTCAGCGATGTGCTCGTGCGCAGGGACTCTGATATCTCGGAAGCATCGAGCTACTCAACGTCCACCTTTGCGACAGCTCTTGTTTTCAATGCTGCTGTTTTCGGAGGCGAGCTCCTTGCGTTCACCCTACTGTGGCGGTATTTCCCCGCGATATACCATCCGCGGACATACGTTCCCCCTGAAGGGTGAGTGGCGTGGCTGCATACACACCATCTTTCTCTTTCGTCAGCATGCTAAAGGGATTTATTACAGAAAGCGAGCTCCACCCTTCGCACGTAACTTCATTCTCTGGCCATTATCTGTCTTCCGTGCAAACTATGCCGACATCAAAAATGCGAATGGCCTCGACGCATATTTCTTCGTGCGCTACCTGCGCATGATGGCCCGCGTCTTCTTTCCCATCTGGATCATATCTTGGCTTATCCTCCTTCCTGTGTACTCGGTACACACCTCGAATGGTGAAAGTGACAGTCTAACTCAATTCCAGTTCGGCAATGTTGGCACGGGCCAGCAGGCTCGCCTATGGGCGCCGCTCATTCTCACCTGGTTGTTTACGAGTGAGTTTTTGACGTTCTTCTTGATTCGCTGTGTACTGATCGCTGGCAGTTTGGATATGCTGGAACATCCGGCACGAAATGTCACATTTCGTGACGACTCGCCAGCAGTGGTTGATTGATCCTTCCAACTCCTCGACCGCTCAAGCCAATACGATATTGGTGACAGGTGTACCAAAGCGCTACCTGACCGAGTCTGCGCTCAAGAACCTCTTCTCGCATCTTCCGGGTGGCGTCGCAAAGGTGTGGCTCAACCGGTATGTCCTTCTGTATGTTTCGTATGTTGATCGCGGCATTAACGTTGCCGTAGAGACTTGAAGGAAATGCCAGACCTGTACGACCGCCAGGTCTCTGCCTGCCTGAAGCTTGAGTCCGCCGAGACACAGTTACTCAACACTGCGGTGAAGCGCCATAACAAGCGCATTAAGGCCGCTGCCAAAGTGGCAAAGAAGTCCAGGAAGAAAGGTGGCGAGGATGTCGCCGACATTGACGTCTCGAGCGATAACCGCCACCTTACGGATCCGAGCTTCACAGAAACAGATGCAGAGCGCGGAGATGTCTTGCTCGCGGAGAAGCTCGTCCCAAAGAAGAAGAGGCCGACACACCGCCTGCCGCTCATGAGCTTCTTGCCGAGCTTGCCGCTCGTCGGGAAGAAGGTAGATTCAATCGATTGGGCGCGAGAGGAGATCATCGCAACGGCCAAGGCGCTGAAGATGTCACGGAAGGCTCTGGCCAGAGAGATCGCACAGGGACTGGAGGCCGACGCCAGTGGTCGTGGAGCTGCAAACTCAAACGAGCCCGATGACAAGTCCGACGCGCTGAAGCCGGACAAGGACACGGCGCAGACCTACCCGCCTCTCAATTCGGCGTTTGTGCTGTTCAACGAGCAAATCGCAGCGCATTTGGCAGCGCAGAGTCTTACACACCACGCGCCGTATCGTATGGCGGAGAAGCATTTGGGTGTGGTACCGGATGATGTGATTTGGGGCAACTTGAACATGAACCCGTACGAGGCGAAGATCCGTATTGCGATTAGCTGGGCGTTCACGCTCGGGCTCATCATCCTCTGGTCGTTCCCTGGTGCGTGGTCCCAAGGTCTGCTACGCGTGGATTTGGAGATGCTCATGTGAACGTGAACAGTTGCCTTCGTTGGCGCGGTGTCCAATATCCGCTCCCTGTGTGCAACATATAGCTGGCTTGCGTGGTTGTGCAAGTTGCCGGCCGTGGTCATCGGGATCATTTCGGGTGTTCTGTCGCCTGTGCTACTAGCTGTACTCATGATGCTCCTTCCCATCGTGCTCCGCCTCCTTGCAAGATTCCAAGGGATGACGACGCGGTCCGCGGTCGAGTTGAGCCTGATGCACAGATACTTCATGTTCTTGATTATTGTAAGTGCCTGTTTGTGATATGAGGTTGCCGGTCGCTCATCAGCTGGTGTAGCACTCGTTCTTGATTGTGACAGTGAGTTCGGGTATCATCGCTGCGCTGCCCTCGCTGGTGGAAGACACGAGCTCTATTCCATCTATGCTTGCACAGCATCTGCCGCAGGCGTCGACATTCTTCCTTGCGTCAGTGTCCGATCTATTTTGCTCGCTCAAGCTAGTTTGACTTATGTGCTCTTTAGTTACATCATCTTGCAGGGTCTTTCGGGCACAGCCACAGGATTCCTGGCATACGTGTCGCTCGCGATCTACTACGTCAAGCTGTACCTCATGGGTAGCACGCCACGCTCAATCTACCACATTAAGTATCAGCTGCAGTCAACACAATGGGGCTCGACGTTTCCCTCGGTCACGCTCCTCACCTGTATTAGTATGTCGCGTGTCTCTTCTTTGCATGCGCACCGTATATTGACATTTATTTCGTAGCAATTGCATATTCCGTCATTTCGCCTATCATCAATGGCCTTTCGGCAGCGACATTCTTCCTGTTCTACATGCTCTGGAAGTACCGCCTGCTGTGGCAGCTCGGCCAGCCGCGCTCGAGCGAGACGGGAGGGCAGTTCTTCCCCAAGGCGATGCAGCATGTGTTCATCGGCTTGTACGTGGAGCAGGTCTGTTTGGCGGCGCTGTTCTTCCTTGCTCAGGACGAGAGCAAGCACGCTAGTGCGATTCCGGAGGGAGCATTGATGATAGTGCTGATAGTGTTCACGGTGCGTCGATGATTTCGTGTCCGGATATAATGAGAGCATTTCACTAACACGGTCGTTGTGCCTTCAGGCGTTCTTCCACGTGATAATCAACAACTCATACGACCCGCTGATACAGTACCTCCCACTCACGCTCGCAAACCATGATCGCGAGCTCCTGGATGCGAACCGCGTTCAGGCCGAGCGGGAGCTGCGGGATCACGAGTCAGTGTCGAGCGCCGTGGAACCCATTAAGGTGAAGAGGCGACATAGTGAGAACGTGGAGATGCGCGCGCGCACGGGCCCAGAAAGCTGCACTCTCGTCGACAGCAAGGGCAAGGCACGGAACGTCGAGGACGTCGAGCGCGACTACGACGACGATGACGCGAGGCAAAGTGACAAAGACAACGCCCTGGTGCGGAAGAGTATCCTCGGCGTGGATGACGCGAGGCAAAGTGACAAAGACAATGCCGTAGTGCGGAAGAGTATACTCGGTCTGGATGAAGAGGCAGGCCCGAAGGATTTTTACCATCCGGCGAGCGTTGAGCCGCAGCAGACGATATGGATTCCGGTGGATCTGCTGGGCCTCGGCAAGGCGGAGGAGGAAGTGATCCGAGAGCAGGGGATCAAGGTGACGACGAGGGATGCACACATGGACGAGAAGGGCCATGTCAACATCTCTGGCGAACCGCCGGACTACGAGCCGCCTGTTTACTGAAGAGCACGCGAGGTGCTGTAGGAGATGAGGAGGAAACTTGGACCCTCGATGCATGTTCCGTCGGCAGGGCTGTTCATTTCATTTCCGTGGATAGGAGGTCTTTCACTGTATTGCTAGTTCAAATTTGCTCGCATTCGTTTGGAATACCAATACACGATTACGTTCTCTACTGCTTTCATCTACTCTACTTCATGTTGATGATTCATCGCGCTTGCTTTCTTGTCGTCACATAGAATGTTGCCAGCACCGTGTAATACTGAGTCAAATAGTTACGTTGAATACCCATAGCGTTCATAGATACCTGTGGAGGAAGGGCAAAGGCTGATCAATATTAGCATCAAAACATGACGTCAAGCTCCATTGGCGATTCAAAATATTCCCGCTACGATAGTAGTGGGTCTTGTGGATTTGAAGCTCACAAGGCTCTCCGCGAAAATTAGCGATCGGCGGAACACGTCTGCCCTGAAGTGATCATCGCTCCATTGCGCGTCATGTCTCGTGATCTCTTTCCCTGTGCGTCTGTATGACCGTCGCCACAGTGCCTGTCGCATTCTGTGGCACGATGAACATCTTCACAGGATTATGTAGTCGATTTACATACCTCCGTTTCCACATCGTATTCGATCTCCTCTATTACTGAAAAGTGACCGAACTAGCTGCCCATTATGGGAATTGGCGTGCACACAATTCGAATTCTAGGGCGATGACTGACAAACGAAATGATTTGAAAAAAATGACAAGCCTGTTCATGCCACATCTCTCCAAAAGATAAACCACGGTAAGGAAGACCAAATCTTATTACACGACAGGCGGTGTTACTCAATTCCGGTGCTTGAAACGCATGAAGCGCCGATTAGCAAAGTAACCGCGCTCGTCGTAGCGGGCGCTGCCGGCACCGACCCTACCACCTTATTACACATTATCCTGGTACAAGGCAAAGCAGATCAACCATCCCACAAAACATCAGAGCAGATCGACAAGAAATCACAACGGTAAAAGGAATAATCATGTCTTGAAGATTCGGAGTAGCCGCTGCTCCGTGATGATGCGCGTGCGGCAAAGCGGACACTCCCGCGTGCTATTCATGATGAGCTCCGAGCACGGTCGGCAGAGGCAGAGATGTCTGAGGAAATCCATAGCGAACGATCAGTAAGATGAGACGGGGACGATCGTCAACAACGTCTGCAGACGTGCACTCACCCGCAATCAACGATGGCGATGTTAGCGTCTTCATCCTGACAGATCACGCACAGGCCCGTGCGCTCCAGCCGAGAGGCCATGGCCTGCGCGTGCGCAGAGAGGCCGGGCGTGGGCGGAGAGGAGGCAGGAGGCTTGGGAGGCGGCGAAGGTGGCGACATGACTTCGTCCTGTGCTTCATGGTCGGGTTGCCGAGTAACACCTGTCGATGAAGCTGGCGCAGGCTCGGGTCCAACGGAGTCGACCTCCATACGCGTCTCCTCCTCCATCTCCCTGCGCCTCTCCTCCTCCGCCAACCTCTCCACCTCCAAGTCATGCGCATGCCTCTCGCGTTCACGCCGCTCCTCCACGAGCAGCGTGCGCACCTTACTCACGAGCTCTTCCTTCTCGACGACGAGCCGCGCGTTCACGTGGTTCTGGAAGAGGACCGCCTTGAGCGTCGAGATCGAGAGGTGTGCGAGCTCCGCGTCGGGCATCGCCAGTAGCTCGTCGAGCGTGGGCGGCGGAGGCGAGGCACCACGGGGCGTGGATGACACAGAGGAAGCGCGGGTCCGCCCTGTGGCGGGAGCGTTCACATTCGCGGAAGTGGCGCTCGGGCGGGTGGGAGGCGTGCGGGGAGGCGCCGGGCCCGGCCCGGCGCCCTGATACGTTGGCGGCTGTTGATACTGTTGTTGTGGAGGCTGTCGTTGCTGTTGTCGGCGCGGGTCAAGGTCAGGTCGGGGGAAGCTGTTTGGGACGGAGGTCGTGCGCTGGCGGGGTTGGTAGGGCCGCTGCTGGGCCTGTGGCGGGGATCGCGGCGAGGAGCGGTCTGAACCCATCGCGTCCATGGCGCGGGCGAAGATGCCGCGGGGCCGGCGGCTTCGGCGGCTTGGGACGGAATGCTTGCGATAGAAGGTCTGCGAGAGGATTTGCATGGAGTTGGTCATGATATCGGGATGTCAACTTACTTCATTCTCTCTGAATAGACAACCGGTTGGCGACTGTGAACTTGCTCGACTTGTTATAGAAGATAAGGAAGGGCGGCGGGACGTACCCTCGCTGCAATGATGGCATCGATCAGATCATCCTTCTCGAGAACCCCATTGACCTTGATGTTGTAGTCGCCGGCGTATTTCTTCAGCTTTGGCAGTGGGAGCTTTCGCAAATAGCTCTTCCCACCTGCAGTGACTGCCCGCTGCCTGATTCAGTATCTGACCTGTGCCAGCGGGGAGAGTGAGACTGAACGCGAGGGACGTACTCGTCAGGTTGTCAATGCAGAACCCGCACACGGAGGCGACGTCGAAACCTGGCTCGCTGCTCCTGCGAGGCATCAGCGCCTGGAAGTCCGTGCATGAATGGCAGTACAGGTATCCTAAGGGGCAGAGTTCAGTTCCGCCCGGTACGATGCGCAACAAGAGCTGCCAAAGACGAACCACAGTGGTTGCACTTGCGCGAGCGCGTGAAGACGACGTTGAATTCTTTGTCGCATTTGCGGCACGACTGCTCGCTCCCACTATATTCGGGCGGCGGTCCACTGAGGAGGGGCAGACCTCCAGTCGACATGGGGTCTGGAGGTAGTAGGTGATTCGCAGCAAAGTGTGGAATTGGGTAAGGCGATGCTCAGCGCCGAGGTGTTATTTAATTAGAAGTCGCTGTTCGGCGCCGTAGCAAGTTATAGTCAGCAGGGGATAGCGCCTTCGAGTATCTTCCACTGGGCGGCCACGTGCGCCGTGCGCGAGGCGACGCGCCCATGTGACCTGGCATCCTGAGCCGCCTCCCTACGCCCCGCGACGTCTTTGCGTATGGCGGTGCTCAACGAGCCAGAATATTATGATACTTTCAACAGCTGGTGAGGCTCTGGCTGTACCACTCCGCCTTAACCTCATTTTTTTCAGAGGTTGAATAATCAAAGGCACAGCGAGATGTTGCTTCATGATCCTTTACTGAAGTTGATCAGTGGTAGATATCTAGAGACTCGACTCCCTGGTTCGGGCTTATTGAACCCTGAGCATCGTTTTCTGACTCTCCCTGAGTCATTGACTAAAGATGAAACAGATCTACTGGATAGACAAAGTGAAAGACTTGATCCGCGGCTGCCGCTCCCGGAGCAGCACTCTAGCATACATATATTCGCATCAATATCCGTGGAAATCACAATGTCGGATTTATAGGCATCTCTCTTACGGTTCAAGTTACACAGAGTTCTGCCAAACTACGATATGACATGCAGCAGGGTCCGATATCTACAGAAGAAAAGAAATAGTCGACATCTAGCATAGTCCGCGCATGTAGCCACTGTAACAACACTCCTAGACAGGCCCGGGGACGAGCCGTTGAATGCGCGGAGAAAAAGTGCTCATGTATAAAGAACGGGACCATCATTTGTAGTGTTCGACGTGAAAGCATGATGGGAGAGTGCTCCGCTTGAGATTGCATAATGAATGAACATTACAAGAAAACATCAGACCAAAAGATGTACATGCATTCCCGTATAATTGATGGCAGACTATCCGAAATGTTTCTTTGATTTTCTTGTGGGAATGTAGGCTGGCCTGAAGGGGCCGCCACGCTCACGCCTAAAAAGGCAGTAATCCTCCGCTTCTTGTGCGCCAGCACGTGACCGCGCCCAACTTCGCGTGCCCAGTTCAGTGGCGGAGCCGGTTGCGTTCGACTTTTTCCTGCTTCTGCTTTCGTTCCCGCCTGCTCCGTAGTAGAGCATCTTCGTGTGGACAGAGACCTATAAGAAAGAGAAAGAAGTGGCTGGAGAATGCAGCCCTCCTCATCTCGAGGACCAAATGGCCCCCAACCCACTTCCCACGTTATACAACACGGTCGCTACGAACACATCGGCGTGCCGTTTCCACTTCCGATAGCAAATGTAGATGTGCAGCTTCCTCTACAGACCCAGAACTTACTGCAGACACTCGCACATGCGCTCACGAGTTTTCAAGATCGAACGACGGACAGGCTGGAGAAGCTCGAGATGAACCTGAACGGAATGGTAGTCGCCATCAACGAAAACTCACGCAAGGACACGATCAATCTCGCAGAGTATATGGAGCGCTCTCATAAGATTCAAATGAATGCGACACAGCGTCTGCTTGATCGACTTGAGGCCGTTGAGGGCACTCTTGGCAATGATCCATCTCTCCACGGGGATGAGACTTTGACTAGCCGAATGCAACGCATAGATTGCGTTGTGCATGAACTTTTGGAAGGGATCAGTGACCCAGATGCCACTCGTGAGCGATTCGCGCATTGATACTGCTGCACGGCGCTGAACCGCATTTCCTCACGCATCCAGGTAGAGTGACGCCGATGCACGACGCGGCAGTCAATACCAGTCCATCGCTCCTTGCAAAGAACTTGGTCGATATCGGTGTCGATCCAATCAAGCTCGATCATAGGCTGATCGACGCTGGAGTTGATGCCCCGATTCTTACAACTGTGGATGTTGACATTGATGCTACCGCACTTATCGCCCCTACCGACGCGACGATGGGTCCAGAAAGCGGACGTTCAAACGTTCAAATACGCACATTCGCCGATGCTGCAATATTTGCGTGCATTCCGGTAGACGAAGATAACGAGAGCGAGAGTGGAGATGGTGATTCGCCTCCGGCTCCTCCGAGTCTCTCGTCGTTCGGTGAGCACAGACTGTGAATCATTTGATCATACTAGTTACACGCACTTCGCTCGAAACACTACATAGGCGTGCCAATGCATACTCGCTTCCCGACGTCTCCGTACAAGTCCGATCCCTTAACACCAGCGCAATGGTCGCCGAAGGATGCCAGTTGTAAGCCATCGCCTAATGCCTCTGTCGCATGCTCATTTTTTCTGATGCAGTCTCGAGCTCATCTGAGGGCCTCTCTGGGTCACAAACTTCATCCAGAGGTCAGTCCACTCCTAGCTAAATGATGCTCACGCAGCATCTTACCAGCCTCATCTTACAGAGCTGTCTTATGTGGACAACTATCTTGCTCGTGCGAGCAGTGGTACTACATCGGCATCGGAAACCCCTCAAAGAGCTGTCGTCGTTGCTCAAGAAGAAGTACACGATGGGTTCGCAGCTGCAGATGAGAACGTGAACATGACAGTCACCGAATTAGCGGCGGTGGTCCCCCCCGATCCCGGGACCCCCATCGAGACTGGTCCATTCACGAATGCCTGCCGTCCGCCCAGCATACCCCCGTCTGCGCAGAATCCACTCCCTAGCTTCGAACCGCTCTCTAGATCCACGACCCCGGGCGCACAGACAGTCTCCTCCCCGACCGTGGTGGACATGTCACCTACACCGCGCAGCCCATCGCCCAAGAGCATTGCGTCGCCCGTCTTCAACGCCTCGTCCAGCCCCGTGCCGCTGGCCCTCCCGCGGAAACGCCCGGCACCTGATCGTGCTCTTTCCACGTCTCCCAATGCGCGCCCGCTGCCACCACCAATATTTATTGGGACGAGTGCATTGCAGACGCAGACGCAGAGGTCGTGGCGGCCGGTGTCGTTCTCGGAGTCGTTGTCGAGCCTGTCCTCTCTCACTGAATCCTCCCGTGCACCATCGCCGCCCCCTCTTCCTCCGCCCCCTTTGCCGCGTCGCACCCACGCTGCACTCGCATCGTCGACGCCGCAGGCAGTTAAGCTCACGTTGAAAATCAAGCCCTCGCGGAGCCGCAACTCCTCGCCAGAGGTGCAAATCATCGAGAAGCCGGCGAGAATTGAGAGCACGAGCAGGCGCAAGGATAAAGGAAAGAGAAAGGCCCGGACAAATGTGGGTAATGGTGAAGAGAAACATGACCTCGGCAGGCCGCAGAAGAAGCGCAAGACGGACGGTGCGGGAGCGGCAGCAAAGTCCAAGCGGGGGCCGGGTCGGCCCCGTAAGATAAAGAGCGAGGCTATAATGCACAGTAAGGCTGCGCTTGTTGCTGAGAGTTCGAGTGCAGCCGCGTGGAGAGATGCTGACGGTGAGAAGTGTGGCTGGCCGGAGAAGATTGAAGACGATATCGCTTATCAACGACAAGTACGTCACTCTGAGCATTTTATTTTCCGAGATGTTCGCTGATCTCGCTCCTGAGTTAGTTCGTGCAATGTGATAAGTGAGTGGTTCTCATGTTGAAATCAGTGTTAGAGCTAATAACCGCGTAGTTGTGATGCGTGGTACCACTTCGGTTGTGTCGCTATGCGTGCCGACGACCCTCGTCTTGCGGCTGAGGATGATGGGGAGTTCTTCTGCCCGCCCTGTGAGCTGTTCCCGTATGTTTGCATCCTGATCTTCTATGCTGTACTTTGCTCATGGGCATTCTATACTCCGCGTTTCAATACCCTCGGCTGTGCAATCCTCACCATAGGGAGCAACGTGAGTGTAACCTTCTCCTCATAGCGGCATATTTGCTTATATGTCGTGCAGGCAATCGGCGCTATGTGAACGCAGTTGAAGATGCCTCGTGCCGTCGTCCGGACTGCAACCACCCCGGAGACCCATCGGAAAACAAAGAGTACTTTATCGAGCGCATCATCGGCCGCCGCCCTGAGATCGGCGACAATTCGAGAACAGGTCATCCTCGCTACCTGTGGCTGGTCAAATGGGATGGGTATGTTGCACGGCGTTTCTCTTGCGCTTTTGTATGTTCTGATGACGGGATGATGGGCTGCAGGTGGCCGGTACAAGATGCCTCATGGGCGCATCCTGTGCATTTGGGTGATTGCACGCATTATATTGAAGGTTTCGAGACGGCTGCGGGGGTGGAGGGACATGATCTGAGTGATCCTTGGAAGAAAGTTGTCCTAAACGAGGCTGCTGCTGTGAACTGGTAGGTTTATGCTTGCTGAATTTATAGTTCTGTTCTGTCTTCAAATGCCGCTACGCTGTACGCTGTCGCAATTGTTTCTTGATTCAAAAAACTGCCCTGCGCGCGACATATGTCCTATGTAGAACACGTGTTCGTTAGAATGTCTTATGGAGCATCCTCAATCCAGTCTCATACCAGCATTGCTGCTTGTCTTCCTCTTGTGTTGAATGCACATGGAAAGCTCAATGCCAAGCTATGAGCACATGATGGATGGAATTGAAAATACAAGGGCTATCCGGGCATTAGCAGTGCTTCAAGCAGCAAGTAGCATGCACGTTGCGAACGGACTGCTGGCACGCAGTGCATAGAACATTGTCAGGAGAGTATCAAACAAAGTACACAGACCAGAGAGACTTGGATTAGCATGCAGCTGATCAGCCGCCCTTCACGACCTCAAAACTCTCATAAAGAAAAATGTTACATATCAAGGACGATGTTGATGGGCCTGCCATTGGAGTACTACGTTGCACACATAGTGACTCGAGGCCCAGACAAAAATATATGGAGCCCGGACGGAAGGTCAACAGTGGCGTGGGAATGCACCATTACAGCCCGTTTCAGGTATGCACTGTGTTTGAATGGTGATAAGAATCTCACTACTTGCTCATCTTTCGTCAAACAGGACAGCATCCCCGATTCCGATTTCGAACGCCTTTGTACCTTCCGTTTGACATCTTACGCGGCGTTGTGAGCATCAGACTACAGGCCCAATGGTTTGATGGTTTGCTCACCTTAGACTCATGCTCCGAAAGTCAGGGCGAGATTCAGGCCTCACGCAAGCCTTCTATCAGCCTTCAAGTACAAAGTACTAGCTAAATGCGACACAGCATGCTCGTCGCGTGCTACAGCGCACTGAGACGTCCCTTGTACTTCCCCCCGGAGATACTCCACGCTATACTAGCAGATGTCGTGGCCCAGTTTCTGCAGGATCTCTTCTTCTCCAGCTTCATCGACTGGAATGCCTGTCAAAAATGTCTCGCGTCAAGCACAATTCCTGCGTTGCTTCAAGTCTGCCATCAATATAGAGAGGTCATGTTTACTGTACTACATGACGTCTTTGCGATCAAGCGGGGTGCGGACGGCTGGTAAGTTGCTTGCTTTTGCAGATGGCGTGAGCGACCAACATCTGCGCTACTTAGTCTTCCTATGGATGCATGGAGGGAGACGGAACATGTGATGAGAGCCCTCTCTCTGTCGCGATGTGGCACCGCTGCCCAATACGATGAGCACGTCGCCATGGCTCAGAGATGTTCATCTAAGCTACTTCAGGCTTACCTTGAAGTGGGGACCATGGAGGGAAGAAGTCGTGCTTTGGCCCGAAGTCACGTCGCGAGTGTCGCACCTCTCAATCAGTTAGGGATCAATCTTGAACATGCTGCCAGTCGATTTCCTTCACTTCTCGCCGATATCAAGCACGAGACGTTTTGCATGTCCTTCTCTCCATTCCTAAGGACCGCTGTCACGAAGAGCATGACTCGTGAGCTTGGCACCTTGTCCGTTTGGTTTCATGGCTAGTTGATCGCGCAACAGTATATTGCCTTACCATCTCTAGATTTGATATAATCGATCGACTGCAATATCTGGAGCGACTTGGAGAGCGGATCGATAATGATGTACGTTGCACAATCTCACTTCAAGCTAGTCTTTCATCATACCTGTCACAGATACTCCAGGGTGCTGCTGAGCATATTGAAAGCAGCTTGAGGATATGGTCGTATCGGGTTCCATCTTATCGCTACCCGGGGCATACTATCACAATCCTGGATACAGTCTACGATTTAAATCCTAGAGAAGAGGATGTCAAGATCGCCGTAGGCTGTTCAAGTTTTGTCCCAATTTTGATCGTGGCATATTGACTACTTGATGGGGCATCACTGGCAGTGCTTGAGAACGATTCCGTCTCTATGGAGTCTACTCGATAACCAGCGACTTTCCGTGGAACGTATCTATCTGGACATTGCTCAAGAGCTGTTGAAAAAATTGCGCCTCATGGTGCTCTCGGAGTGTGCTCCTCTGACTTGTCCGGGTATGGTGTGCATTCATTCTGTAAAAGTTCGAGCTGACATTCAAGTGCTGGCACCAGCGCTCAGGAGAAGTCGTTCACAACCAGCTCTCGGCAAGCAATCGAAGGCAAAAAGACCGCGGGATCAAAGTGCACTTCTCTGAATGAGCGCATATCGCGAGCACATGTCTGGTTTGCGTGTAATACACGGTTGTCACCTATATGCTGAGGAAATGTATCCGACCATTGTTCTACGATTGACGAGATTGCTCAGAATATCAGATCACGTGAAGGTACTTGCAGAGTACGTGCGAAGTCAGAAAAATAAATAGCACAAGTCCAAATTACCACCATGGATGACAATCGCCCCCGTTCCAAACCCAGACGCTAGCCTCGTCACCCACAATCATCTTTTTTCGCTCCATCCGCCAGCCATCGTACACTTCCCTCACCCACCATCGCACCAGCCGGTGGCTCAGCACCCACTTGTACCACACGTAGAACTTCCACTGATAGCTCGTCACGACCCGCGGGTTGACGTAGATCCGGTCGAGCCCGAACAGCCTGCGCATGTCGTACGGGAGCAGGAACGACTCGCTCGAGAAGCACTCGCCCGCGCCGCGATCGGCTGACCGGAAGCGCAGCGGCGGGGTCAGCGCGGGCGATGGGCCACGCAGGTCCGGATTGCGCGCCGCAGGATGGGTGCGAGGCAGCGGCGATGACAGTGCAAGCGGGGAGAGCGTCCGGTTGGGACGCAGTGCGATGGGCAGGAGTGGCTCGGCGTTGAAGACGACGATGCCGTTCCAGCACGTGAACGCGGGCACGGGCAGATCCTCGCGCATCTGCTGGATCGACGGTGCATCGATGAAGTATGGCCAACTGCACGCGACGCGGGGTGAGCTCCTCTCGCGGACACAGTAGACAGATACGTACATTGTGCTCGTCAAATGTCCCAGTCGATCTCGCAGAACCCAAGCATCATATGCCCTGCAAGCGATAAAGTCAGCTGCAGTCAGGCAGGGGAAAACCCTGCCACGCACCCAAAATGATTAAAGTCCATCCCGCACACCATGTCGTACGTGCCGTTCCGCGTCTCGAGCAACTCGATGACGCTCTCCGGCTCGACGTACACGTCGTTTGAGAACAGCACGCGGTCGTATCCTCCGTCCTCCACAAGCGGCTCCATGGCGCGGTTGCGCACAGCCGCGAGGAAGTTGATCCGGTTGTTGAACGACATGTCGTCCGGCTTCTCGACCGCATCATCGTGCACGAGGATGCGCTGAGCGACACCACGCTCAGCGAGCGTCGCCGCGAAGCCACGCAGCAGCTCTGGCGTCTTGTCGTGTGAGTTTGACTCGACGATCGACACGAAGACGTTCTGTGTGCCCAGGTAGGTGATCACGGACAACATTGTCTGCATCCAATACGGAAGCACCTGTTCATTGTCGTAGAAAGCAGCGGCAATAAATATTTTCTCTGCGTGGTGCGACATATGGTGAGTAGGATCGACGTGAACGTGTGAAAGAGAATATAAAGATGGACACTTACCGCCTTTCGCGTACCCTGCAGGGTTGCGTTGTGGATCCGCTAGGGCGCGCCGCAGTTCTGGACGGAATCGGATGTCGTTTGGATGCTCGTAATGCAGCGCCTCCCATGAACCAACGAGGACAATGGATGCGTATAGAACCGCCTGCGTCCACCAGAAGACTGTGCGGAGGCTCGGCATGCGCGTCTCTCTCCACTCGCTGTTCGGAGACACCGCGGAAGCCGACCGACGACGCTCGTCATCGTGGTCCGTCTCGGGAAGCAGCATGTACTCATCCTCATCCTGCGACCGTCTTGGGCTCCCATTCTGTGGCCTGGCATGTCCACGCCTATACTTCTGCCCTCGTCGCCATCTATCGTAACCCAGTATTATCCCTTCCCGCCCGAGGAGCCAGAGAAGCCAGATGGCGGTATTGATGGATGCGACGACGAGACAGATGACCCAGGTGGACCACGAGTCTGGCCAGGCAGGCTTCCAGATACCATTGCAATCGTATACGGCGCACCAAGTGTGGGACGCGATTCGGAATAGGACGAAGAAAGAGAGAATCGGAAGGAGAAACGGCAGGCGGAGCACGGCGAGAAGTAGACGCAAGACAAGAGAGGCTCCAGGAATGACCATACTGCCAATTGATCTTCCAAATGCCTGAGCTCGCGACATGAAGGGATGCAGACGGACGTAGCTACGAAGAGGGTTAATTAACTGCGCTGGCATGCCAGTCACCATCAGACAGCGCTCGGACGAACAGATGAAAATATGGCGGTACCTGACCGACAAGGGCGCGCCCGTCATCACACCATGGCTTTAGGGCAGAGTTGGAGGTTCAGGTCATGTACGCTGCGAGCAGGAGTGGCAAAGCTGCGTTACGGCGGACATAGTCTAAGCGCCTCCCCTAAGTTGCGGGACAGAGAGCGTGCATATAATTCCTTTCCACGTTCACATCGGAGACGCAATGCAGTTTTCACTGTATAATATGCATCGCAAATGTCGATTGGTCTTTGTGAAATATATTTGCCACCATCGCAATCAATTGCGTACCCGAAATCTGATACATGGAATGTGGCTCTGCTACAGATGTGTGCCTATAGACTTGATTATATCTTTAATCTGAGATGCAAGAGGCTGATACGTCTCCAGGTCTGCCGTACTACCATACTACATGAGTCATTTCTGTCACCATCACTCATGCATCATGCACCATGATCAATTCAAAGTGTTGGATTCTGCACCCAGTGGTGAGTTGCCGCATCGTTGCTACTTCGTCAAGCTCCCTTTGAAAAATGGGACTATACTCGGCAGCCACATTGAGCTATCCACGGGCAATCGAAAAGAAGAGGAAGACAAGCAACAATGCTAGTGTGAATCGTTGACGCTCCATAAGACATTCCAATGAACAAAATGTTCTGCATAGGATATATATCGCGCGCAGGACACTTTTTTTTTGAATCAAGAAACAGTTGCGACAACGTACAGCATAGCAATATTTGAAGACGTACCAGAACCGTAAAATTAAAACCTACCAGTTCACAACAGCAGCCTCGTTGAGAACACCTTCTCCCAAGGATGATCGATGATCGCTCAGAGCATGTCCCTCCATCCCCCAGCCGTCTCGAAGCCTTCAATATAACGCGTGCAATCACCCAAATGCACAGGATGCGCCCATGAGGCATCTTGCACCGGCCACCTGCAGTCGAAGTGTACGATGGCTGGCGGATGGAGCGAAAAAAAGATGATTGTGGGTGACGAGGCTAGTGTCTGGGTTTGGGACGGGGGAGATTGTCATCCGCGGTGGTAATATGGACTTGTGCTATTTCTTTTGGTCCTGACTCTGTACGTTGTCTGCAATATTTTAATATTACATGATCTCCTGAGCAAGCTCCTCCACCTTAGAACAATGGTGGTCACAACCATGTATCACATGCGAGCCAGGCACGCGCTCGAGATATGCGCTCATTCAGAGGAGTACGCTTTGATCCCGCGGCCTTTTTGTCTGCAAACTCTTGGAGAGATCTGGTTGCGAGCAGATTCTCCTTAGCGTTGGTGCTGGAATTTGACTGTCAGATTGAACGTTTCAGGTGAATGCACAGCATACCCGAACAAGTCAGAGGAGCACACTCCGAGAGCACCATCAGGCGCAATCTTTTCAACAGCTCGTTGGCAGCGTCCAAATGACTACGTTCAACGGAAAGTCGCTGGTTATCGAGTAGACTCCATAGCGCCGGAATCGTTCTCAAGCACTGATGGCCCATCAAGTAGTCAGTACGTTACGATCAGAATTGGTACAAAACTTGAACAGCTTACGGCGATCCTGATATCTTTTTCTCTAGTATTCAAATCGGGGACTGCATCCAGGATTGTGAGGTTATGCCCCAGGTGTGGAGCCCGATACAGAAATGGCTCCAAGCCGCTTGCAATGGCCCCAGTAGCATCCTGGAGTATCTAGGACAGATATGATGGAAAGTCAACGTGACGTAAAGCCGCATCGTAGAACATACATCATTGTTGATCTGCTCGCCAAGCCGCTCCAGCTTTTGCAGCTGATTGATTATAGTGAATCTAGAGAAGGTAAGATAAAGCACTGCTTGCGCGATTATAGGCCATATAAACAATATAACAAGTTAATAAGCTCACGAATTATGCTTCTCGTAGTTGCAGTCATCAGAAATGGAGCGGCGGACATGCAGAATGCGTCGTGCTTGATATTGAGGAATGAAGCCATATATACGGCAACATGTTCAAGAATGTTCGCCGCCTGTATGATAGGCGCGAAACTCGTGACGTGACTTCTGGCCACGGCTCGGACCCTACCCTCCATGGTTCCCACTTCTAAATATGCTTGCAGTAATTTAGATGAGCACCTCTGAGCCGTGGCGACGTGCTCATCGTATTGGGCTGAGGTGCCGCACCGCGATAGCGACAGAGCTCTCATCACGTACTCTGTCTCTCTCCATGCATCCATAGGAAGACTAAGTGGTACAGATGTTGATCACTTACGCCATCTGCAATAAGCGAGCAACATACCAGCCGTTCAATTCCCGCTTGATCGCAAGGGCATCGTGTAAAACAGTAAACGTGACCTCTCTATATTGATGACCAACTTGTAGCAACGCAGGAATTGGATTGGACGCGAGACATTTTTGACCAGAATCCCAGTCGATGAAGCTGAAGGAGAAGAGATCCTGCAGGAACTGGGCCACAACATCTGCCAGTATGGCATGAAGAATTTCCGGTGGGAAGTGCAGAGGACGGTTCATGCTGTGTCGTGTCCAGATAGATACTTGATAGCTGGCTCAGGCTAGGTGGCTTGCGTGGTGCCAGTGACTTTCGCAGCATGAGTCTAAGGTGAGCAAACCATCAAAGCATTGGGCCTGTAGTCTGATGCTTACAACGCCGTGTGAGATGTCAAATTGAATGGTGGAAAAGTGCTCGAAATCGTGATCGCGGATGCTGTCCTCCTTGACAAAGGATGGGCAAGTAGCTATGGCGAGATACTGCGAGACGATCTAAATACAGTGCATACCTGAAATGGGCTATAATGGATGCGTTCCCACGCCACTGTTCACCTCTGCGACTCTCAATTTCATAAGTTTCTCAAAACAACGCGCAATAGGTCGTGGAGGGCGGCCGAGCCTCATGGCTGATCTGCTGCATGATGTTCATTCGAGTTTCTCTGATCTGTGTAATTTCTACTCCCCCTGATGATCCATAGACTCTATGTACCGAGTGTGAGAAGTTCTTATATATGCAATCTGCCTACTATTTGCTGCTAGAAGCACTGATAATGCCTGGAAACTGTCTCACCGCCATAATTTAGGCTGACAGGAATCTTCAAGTCCGTTTCCTGTTATGCGACTTGCATGTTCCGCTCTGGTGTCGTTGTCAAGTTCGAAATTTACACATGCACTGAAATATTGACCGGCGACGGTCCTGCTAACGTAAAGTTGACCTCATGCTCTCTGCACCTGCCGAATGTCCAGTCGTCCACTCCACGCGACTTCTCGCTTTATGCTTCCTGCCGTTAACGAGCGTTTTATCCATGGAGCTTTCAAAACGTGTTTGGTAGGTTATTGTTGATAATGCGTGGATGTTCGGAGTTCAAACGTACGTCAATTAAGATTGAACCTTGATAGCCGCGCCGCGACTGCTATCGTCTCCTGCAGCGAGACACCATTCGTGAACTCTTTGCGGACGTTTCTTGAGGCCTACTACCTGCGCATTCATGAGCGATGTTCTCCATTTCTTCCCGGAGCGCCTGCATGCGGATGTACTTGTTCGCCAGGTCGAAATCGTCCCATACTTCAGGAGCATCGTTGCCCAAGCACAAGCGTCAGCGTACACCTTCGAAGAAATCGCCTGAGCCACCTTCCCCAGACTCGCCTGGTAATGCACACAATGGTCAGTGTCCGCCTTCATCAGAGTGCAAGCCCGGCGGTTGACAGCCAGCTTAACCATCAAGCTCATGAAGCCTCTAAGCCCGCAGTGAGAGCAAGTCTAACAGACGAGCGTTTTCCATAATACTGATGCCGTTGTCAGAAGAGGCTTCGCAACGTGAAGAGTGACTACAAGTTTGGATATTCAGACAGAGAACGCAAAGCACTATTCTTACAAGGGATCAACCCTGATGATGAGGACGAGGTTGACATGAAGGTGGGCCACCCAGGGCTCAGCGCCTGCCTAATCGGCTCATCGTTGTCGGCCGAGCAGAACGTGCTAGATATACTCAGGAAGAACGGCATGATATAGTTCATATTCGCCAACGCGTGCGCGGCCAAGGCCCAACGCGGACACTCCAAGAATGTATATTACTCGTCCTGATTGGAAGGACGTCTTCGTGATCTGTTTGGTCAAACTCGCTGCGGGTCCCACAATGTAGATAGTACATCCACAAAGTTTTTTCATTAGCGCCTCGCTCGATCTCGGGTAGGCCACCAATTTGTTTGCGAGATGGTCCAGGGACGTGGACGTTAGCTGGGCAATACTAGACCCAACCAACGTCATACTGACCATAACATATAAGCGCCGGATTACTCCTGTGTTTAAGTACCCTCTGCTTGCGCCCCTCTAAAGCCATCTATCATACCAAAACTCACGACGATAAAGCAGCCCGTGCTGTGTCCTTTGTCAATCCAAGAAGTGTCACTCGCCACCGTTGCGACCTCGAGAGTCATTACAAGATGTCGAAACTATCCCGATCTACGTCGGAGATGCTCACAAAGTGTCTAACGGCAATGCAGAAGATCTATGGCCCATGCGCACATTTATCTCCAACAGAGGCGACCCGTTGGACTCCTCCTCCAATGGCAGAGGGTCATCGCGGGCGGTATTTGTGGACGGACGCCTTCGGCGTCCTCAATTTCATCACCCTAGCGTCACTGACCACGAACCCAGTATACAACACCCTAGCTGATCGCCTCATCGACACCGTTCACGGGATCCTCGGGCGTACGCGAGACGGGATGCACCGACTGCCAGGCGCAACGGATGAACATCCGCTCGCGGGCGGATTGCGTATTGGAAAGGAGGACGAAGAGGACGACCCAGGAGGAGACGGTGATGGACAGTACCATCACTATCTGACGATTTGGATGTTCGCGCTCAACCGCATGTCGCTCGCCGCGAAGGAAAGACGATACAATGATCTCGCCATTGAGCTGGCGAAGGCCATACATCCTCGGTTCGTGTGGGATAGAGACTCGCCACGGCCGAGGATGTATTGGAAGATGAGCATCGACATGAGTCGGCCAATGGTACAGTCTGAAGGCAATCTCGATCCAATCGATGGCTATGTGGTGTACAGTCTCCTTCAGCGGTCCAACAAGGACGACACCTACATCCTCGCACAGGAAGTAAGCGAGTACAAGAAAATCCTGGACACCAAGTGGCGACATTACGTTTCGGATGACCCCCTCGACCTCGGTATGACCTTGTGGACAGCTCACTGGTTCGACGGTGAAGAGGAGTGGGCCACACAACTCACTAGACGGGCACTGACTTGTCTCCGTGAGTTGCTTTTTTCTTCATGGCTATGCTGTCCTTGCAGACCGTGCCACAGATGCTCTCTTTGATCATGGGTATTTCGACGAGCCGGTAGCATATCGCTTAGCCTTTCGCGAGTTCGGGACCTGCATGGGTATACAGTGCCACCTCGAACGGCATGGCGGGAATGCGGCCCCGCGGGAATCTCGGTATTGGGAAGATTGTTTGGAGAAGGTATTGTCCACATGGGAGCCAAGAGTCAACGCATCCCCCCCTGCAACGCGAGAGAAGCTGGTTCCTATCACAATGGTTATGTACTGCAGTGCATTGGTTCCCGGAGGTGAGTTAATCCGCATCCTCAAAAACCACAGGAAAAGCATATTGACGTCGATGGCCATGCGCAGCCTTCGCTAAGGGGTTCTTCGGCGAAGAGTGAGTTCGTGAGAATTGGTGGCGGCGGTGTATGGTGTGCTGCGAAGGGGGCAGGATTTTGACAGTAGAATCTAACATGTACAGTTGGACGCATCCGTTCTTCCATCGCAATCTGTATCAGCTTCTTTTCTCGATTTTTTATCATTACGATATGTCCCGTGCGGCTTCAGCCGGGAAGACTGGGTCCACTTTGTACAACAATTGGCTTCCAAAGCTTGGAATCTATGCTCACCGGCGTGTAGCACATGGCTTCCCGAGATTGTTGGATGCTGATTCAAGACGGTGAGATCAAGCTCCGGCTCGCATTGGCAACGAGATCGGCGATTCGATCGCGATCCAATACGCATAGGTCCCCGTCTTGATGAATATTCTCCTTGCTGTGCTTGAGCGGGAAGTCTTGCCAAGGAGCTTTTCACAGAGCAGTTTCGCCGGCACGTGAGTTTGCACGGGAGGAGCCACCACCGAGACACTAGTCTTCGCGAGTCAACGTTAGTCCGAGAGACGAGCGGTATTGCCACCCGTCTAATGACTCGGTATACCAATGGAGCAGCACATTGTAACAACCGAGATAACGCTGTGCAAGTAGATGTAAAGAGAGTTGGTGCAGCGGCTGGAGCTCCAGGGCTGGGAACTCCGATCATGAGCGGAGGATTGCCATAGAGGGCAAGGTAGCGTATGTAAATCCGCTACGCTGCGGAACGCTTGACGTCGGAGACGAGTTTTGCACAGGTTTTCAGGAGGCTAGTCAGGAGACCATGAGGATCCTGTCAAAGGCGAGGCTGTTGACAGACTGCCGAAGAACTTGCGAGTACGCATCGCATAATGCCTCGAAGGTGTAGTGAAGCAGCCAAAATTGTACCACGGATGCAAGCAAAGAGTGGGCTGGAATAATGCTGAGAAAAGAGTGTTCAGATCTTCTACAACCTCATGAACAGTCGTTCGAGCGGGCGAACGAGAAGGTCATATCAAAGACGACAGAATATTGATGGCGATCATGTGAGCGACGCGTCCGCGTCAGTGGCTGTGAATTTTCCCAGGACACAATGCGATCAAATTGGTACTCGGACTCATCTTTCTGCGAGCTGCTTTGCACATTCAGACACGAATTGTTCCGACAAGAAGCCGCGCATGATGAGAAAGAAAACAGGTTTTGCTTCTGCAAGCCTCGTTCTATTGGTTACTAAACGATCGTATCAAGCGTGTCAGGGTTCATAAGCGCTATCACAGATCAAAAACCCGCCGCTCGCCCGGGAATGGACAAGATGTGGCATGTTTGATGTTGTACAGCCATCATCCACTCGCCATGTTTTTGTTACGTCGCGGAGAAACGTGTAGGTTGACGACGGCTGCCTTTGAATGCCGCATATTGGAGCGCGCCCTCAGGAGCGTCGCTCTTCACCGCACCGCATCCGAATGCACAGCGATGTTCTGACTCGTGCGTACCGCCGGCCGGTTTGCTTAAAAGCTTGGGATATCGGTGCCTCCATCCGAGCAACAGCAACGCGACCTCTCTTCCTACACTAGGTTCACGACTTAATTCACAGTTCATCCTATACGGCCTCAATAATATTCATTTAGCAGCCTCTATCTACTCAGCAATGTCCTCTTTCAAGACACATCTCACCGTTCTTGCCGAAAGCGCAGCTACTTACCCAACTCGGCCCGTCTTCAGGATCCCAATTGTCGACACACAATCACGCCGTGTACGAGACTGGAATACCATTACGTACAGCCAATTCCAGTCCGACGTCGAGCTCTACGCGAGGTACTGGTCACGCGCCTTGAGGGCAGATGGATTGCCGCGACGTTCTGTGGTCGGTCTCTGGTAAGGATGCGCTCATATGCTTGTACAATGCTTCAACTCACAAAACGATTCTATAGGCTTGGTGGATTGGCTTACACGGATGCAGTTCATATCTACTCAATAGCCAGGGCTGGATATATCCCCCAGCTCTTTTCGCTCAAGCTGCCAAATCCCGACGTTATCTACGAGCTCCTTCACAAAGCCAACGCCAAATCGCTCATTTACGACTCATCATATGTTCCTGATCTCGTCAACTGCCCGGTCACGACACATGCTGTAGTACATGTCCGCCCACAAGACTTGCAGGATGCTCCCCTTCCCAGCATGCCTGATCTCACGACAGTCAAGGGAACGGACACGGTCATGATCTTCCACACGTCAGGTTCCACGTCCGGATCCCCCAAGTTGATTCGATGCAGCTATTCGTGGCTCAACACAATTATCGCAAAAGCTGGTCGCGTCAGCAAAAGTATTCGGCAAACCGAGCAGGACGTCACGGTGATCATGTAAGCGTTTGTGAAAGTTTGTGCTTCCTATTCTAGACACTGACGACCGATCACAGGGGAAGCATGTGTCATATCGGCCAGACATTCATGCTGCTCGGTTCGCTCCAAAATGGAGCCTGCACAATTCAACCCACGGAGATATCATTCTCCTCTGAGGAGCTGCTCGACATGATCGTCCGTTGCCGCTTGAACCGTATAAACCAGTTCCCCGCTTATCTCGGCATTCACCTCCGTAACTCGCGCCATAACCCCAAGCTGCTCGCCCAGCTTCGCGCTCTTGATGAGATCCTCTACTCCGGGGGACAGATGCCACGCGAGGATGAGGAATGGGCATACAGTAATGATTTGAAATTGCTCAACGCCTTCGGCAGCACGGAGTGTGGGTTGATGCTCCTCTCCATGCGCGGTGGAGGACGCCCCAGTCCATCGCTCCGTCCGATCATGGAAGGAGTGAAATATGGGTTCTTCCCCATCTCATCTCAGGACGAAGGTGCATATGCAAATCTCAACAATCAGCTCGTTGAACTGGTCATCTTGGCCGAATCACCCGATTGCCCCGATCCTTCGCTGCGTTCTGCTGATGGCCACTATCACACTGGCGACCTGTTCATCGAGGTATCACCTGGAGCGTACGTTTCGCGCGGACGCAACGACGACTGGATAAAAACCGCGGTTGCTCTGCGGTGCGATACGAAATCGATCGAGGATAACGTCATCTCTACGTGCGGAGAGCTCGTCGCGAACTGCATCGTCGTAGGCAACGGGCGACCATCGCCAGCTCTTTTCGTCGAAGCTGCTGTTGCGATGGACGAGGAAAGATTGAAGAAGGAGATTATCCGCCGGACGCGGCACTTCCACTCCAGGAGATACATCCACGAGCGGATAACGTCCACGAAGATGGTCATTGTCGTGCCGCGCAATATACTTCCGCGCACGGCGACCAAGGGCAACATTCGCCGAAGAGCAGTGGAGGAAATGTTCAAGGCGGAACTCGATGCGATGTTTTCCTCGTGAATGATTACCATTCTAATAGACTACAGGAACACAAAACCTTGAGATGCCTTGTAGCATAGCCAAGGACATTAGTTGTATATCTCATGTATAATTTGAGCACGTGTAATTGACCACGTTCCTATTTGCCCCTTGACCATATATCCTTTAGCCTACGTAGCACTAGCATATAGATTAGCATCTCAAAGATGTTGCCGCTTATAATAACTTGTTGAATACCAAGTTCTTTTGTCGTGTACGAGGCGGCTTAATCCCAGTGCAGCGCTAAATATTACAAAGTGTACGAATAAGGCGTTAACGCAGTAGTTCTGACATAGACTCATTTCGGCTAGGACGTTTACAACTGCGATAAGTCTTTCGACTGTCGACAGTATGATCTGATCTCAGCATCGTGGCCAGCCACAGGGTGACGTTCGTGGGTCAGATCTCAGATCTCCATCAGGCACGCCAATCTTCGCGATCTAGTCAGAGAATCCAACATACCCTAAGCTAGAACAGCTATTTACATTAACTTTGCTGGCACTCTACATGCCCCGAAGGGCATTCAATGCATGCACCTTAAAAAGAACAAGAATGGAGGATCAATCACGTTCTACAATGGGCTAATGGAAGACGGAGACTGAGCATCGTCAACTCAAGGTCTGACATGTGACATGTTGACACCTCGATGGTCAACTCCTGCACCTCGTCGCCACAATTGCTTAGGTTTTTTGCTCGTCGCATCTGCTTGGTCTTCATCTCTGTCACGATAAACGTGATCGCGACTTTAACCTTTTGTGCGACCGACGCGGAACTTTTCATTACGTGGATTGGCATCAGTATAGATGACCAGGTTGCGACAATCACATCGTTCAAGTCCTTTTCATCATAGTCACCTTGCTTAGGATGCGCCTGCCCCATCTCCTTCCCAATCGTGGCGGAGACTGAGGGTCATGAGGAAGATTTCTACGTTCTTCCTGTGGTGAAATGCTTTGAACCCTCCGAATATGCCGATAACTGCTGTGGACCAAGGCTATCGCGATGCTTTTCCGTTGATACTCAACAGAGTTATGGCAAAGTTGGTCATGCACACCAGCTGAGAATCGGACGCAAGATTTTAATGGTATTATGCGGCTGTCTTCCTGTGATTGTCCTCTTTGAAGTGCATGTCGTCCTACGCAAAGGGGTAGTACGTCACCAAAAAATCATTGACGACGCAGTTAACAGCATTTTCTCTTTCAGTCTCTCAGCGACTTAAGCGCTTTCGCCGTGCAATGATGGACCGTTTCACAGGCCGCTAGTGCGACCTCTTTCTTTTTCCTTAGCTTTGTGCATCTTTTATTCGTCTTCTGAGGTCGCCCGCGGTACCTCATTGATAGGCACCATCACGCAGCGAGAAACATTCACACCAATGCTACACGTTCGCGGGCAGAAATTGCTCTGCTTGATGGACAACCAGCGCGTCTCGCCTCGTTCATGTTTTGAAGCGCAAAACGCTGAGGAATCTTCCAGGAAGGACCATACGATGCGAACCAATCTCCTACCTCTATGGAAAGTATCAGGATGGCGGGCGTTTCGTCATAAAATCCCGCAATCCGCTCCATGCTTGCTTGTACACCATAGATCGCAAGCCATTTAGTGACACGTACTGTTACGGAAGAATGACATAGGCTTACTTTCAAACTGCTAGCGATAGGTGTGCTCGAGCTGATCTTTGAACCACGTTAAATAACAGATTTGTGAATTTATCTTATTATGACCCAAGTCCTCCGTTGCGCATTCTGTGGGACGGGGCCTGCTGGAGTCTTGTTGAGATCGGCTCGGTAACACGATCTATTCCGAGTATGTGGCTTTCATTCGTGGGGTTGGACATCGACCTTCCCGCGCGATACTCCTTATGCATGCTGCTGAGACAGGTGAGGTCCAAAATGATTGCGGTGCGAATGAGCATAAACGTACTCATGTGATTGGATCCGCTTACCCAAAGCCAAAGAAGACCCCAAATTTTGTGAAACACAGCATTCATTGCGGACAGTGATATGAAAGAGCTGTGCGCTGAACCTGTAGGTAAATACGATATCTTCATCAGATTTGGCGTATTGTGCGAGCTTTACAGTAACTTCTTCTGCGTTTTTCGGTGATCATTCCCTCATTGAGTAGAAGCCTCTTCGACGCCGGAAATCGCAATCGACATTCCAGAGCCCCAGTTGGAGACATAAGCAGAATAAAAATGCTGCTCTGACGGAGCCTACTGAAAGGAATAGTTTCTGTAACACAGATCTTCATGTTGTCAAGTCAAAGGTAGAGAGAACTCATAGCCGCAAAGTCCATTTCTACAAGACTATCATGTCATGTGCATCAGTCTAGAATAGCTATTTATGACTCACAGCAGCCGCAGCGGATGCAGTCTGTGCAGATTGAAGAGGTACAAGTACCCGCATCATTCAATTTGAACGTTGAATATCGGTTAATCTCAGATTCCGATTCCGATCACTCATTCACATCACGTGATGAGGCGCGTTCGCGCGGTAGACTTGGGCGTCGCCTCGAACGACGAGGACTTACCTTCCATCAGTCATCACTTCATCGACATCCCTTGCGCTACCTAGGATTTATTAACGGACGTTGGCACTCTAAGGTTCTAAAAATGGTGCGCTTGTTTCTTCTTGGACTGGCCTTTTGCTGATATGTTCTGCAGGCTCGTAATGAGGAGAAAGCGCAATCCATGCTCTACCGCTTCCGCGAAGCCCAAGCGGCGGAGCTGGGACTGGGCACCAGAAGTGATCGCAGGCCACGGATGGCCAGTACTTGCAAGAGCCTGCGTGACTGCGAGCGGTGGAGAGGAGAGATCCTGCGCGAGATCAGTCGCAAGGTGTCCAAGATTCAAGATGGTGTGTTCATATGTCAGCATCCTTTCGGCTGGCCACTGACACTCTGCCTTCAGCTGGACTCACGGACTACGAAGTCAGGGATCTGAATGATGAGATTAACAAGTTGATGAGAGAAAAGAGACACTGGGAGAACCAAATCGTAGCTTTAGGTGGAGCCAATTACAGGCGGAATGTCGCCATGTTGGATCAAGATGGGAAAGAGGTTCCTGGAACGAAAGGCTACAAGTGCGTCCCATTCTCATCATCTCATCGTGCTGTGCTGACACATTGACATCTCAGGTACTTCGGTCGTGCGAAGGAATTGCCAGGAGTCAAGGAATTGTTCCAAAGCAAAAAGAAGGAAGAAGACGAAGAGACCCAAACGCAAAGCTACTACAAGAAGTTCACCAATCAAGGGCCTGCATACTTCGGTGACCAAGACGAACAAGATCCGACAGTGTTGCAGTTTGAGAAAAGCGCGGAGGAGGAAGGCGCGTCATAATCTTCGCAACTCTCCTATCATATATTGACACGTCTTTCACAGAGTGGGAAGATGCATATTCGCATTTGCGGTCAGCGCTCGGCCTCCCTACCGACGAGCCGATACCCAAGATACCCCGGCCGACGAGGACTACAACGGCCGTCACCGTGACAGACCAATCGCAACCACCCACGTCTGAGACGAAACGCAAAGCTCCAGAGGAGGATATAGAAATGTCTGAAGACGGTAGCACGGCAGAAGATCAGGGTAAGAAGCAGCGAACAGAAGTTACACCACAAGGTTTTGCGAACGGTGCTGTTTTGCCGCCAGATGCAGCAATCGCATATGCCAATACGACGGCGGCATTCATACCCTTCCTATCACCGGAGAACTTATTACCACCGAAGCTGCCTACAAGACAGGAGATGGAGGCATATCTGCTGGGTCTGCGGAAAAAAGCGTTGGTCGAAGAGTACTTCGGGGACGACCAGAGGTAGCCAGCCAGCTTGCTGTGCACATTATCCCATTCATACATCTTGCCTCCTTCGCTGCTGTATTGTCTCCCTCCTGCAATATTATTTGCGTGTGCAGTTGTTGCCTCCATTGTCTCAGCGAATCAGAGTTTAACGTTCATCATTCACAATGGCATTGAGGAGGAGCCTGACTCTTGTCACTAGTCCGACCCTTCGCGAAGTCCACCAGCTAGCGGCCAGGATAGGACGGCCTGCCGTCCAAAATGTGGCTACTGCAGTTGCATCCGATATTCACCTGCTGCGTTATGCAGAAGAGAGAAACGATTGAATGAGTGACCAATTGCTATAAGACGGTTTGCCGTCGGATTTGTTCGGCGCCTCGCAGATCGCACTTCCCACGGGCCACGGCCGCTACATCATCGCGGCCGTCGCGAGTCCGTCCCTCCAATCTGCGCCGTCTCTGCCCTCTTGCTGGCGTCCTACTCGTCGCTGGCACTCATCACTACCTCGACAGTATGCTCTCAAGACAGATAATAGCTGTTGCGCGCGGGCGGGCTCTCCGTGCCGATGCTGCAGTCATTGCAAGAGGATGGTACGTGCGTGTGTGGATTTTGGATGTTCTCAGGAACTGACCGTACGACATGCAGGAAAGTCGCAGCATCGTACTCGAAACGGGCGCAGTTCCACTCGACGAACCTGTTGAAGGGTGTGTGCGCGACGCGCGTTGTGCGTTTTGTCGGTTGCTGACATTTGCTGTCGCGTTCCGCAGCCGAGACGGTGAAGGTCCCTCAGATGGCAGAGTCTATTTCGGAGGGCACGCTGAAATCCTGGCTCAAGAAACCTGGTGAGAGCGTGCAGCAGGATGAGGAGGTCGCGACCATCGAAACCGACAAGGTATGTTGTGCTGTCTCATCACTCGTGAACGCGTCGCGCTCGTGCATGTCGCCCGTCCGAACGTGAAGATCCGATAGTCTGTGCTTGCCAGACGGGGACTAGTGTATCCTGCCAGCGTCCCTCCTGCAAACCACGACGCACTCTTGCTCGTGGTTGCTTGGAAACAAAACACACTTCACCGGCTTCAATCATGCAGGCCATGCGTGTGCGTCGAGACAGGCGCATTTGCTTATTTCCATAGATCGGACATATTACATGTGCTTTGCTTTCACATTTCACCCCCGGGACCAATTCACGAAGTACTGATGCACGCGTCATGGCCACGTAGATTGACGTGTCCGTGAACGCGCCCGCGGCGGGTACGATCACGGAGCTGTTAGCGAAAGAGGAGGACACTGTCAGCGTGGGACAGGACCTCTTCAAATTCGAGCCCGGCGAGGTCAGCCAGACGAAGGAGGAGGCTGCGCCCCCAGAGCCCACAAAGGCTGAGGCGGAGCCCAAGGAACAGCCGGTGGAGAAGGTCGCTCCCCCTCCGCCAAAACCAGAGGCTGAGGTGCAAAAGAAGGAGACGGCGGGTGTGCAGGCTGGCGAAGCGAAGAAGGAACCTGTGAAACCTGCGCCTGCGCCTGCGCCACCGAAGGAGAAGAAGGAGGTGCCGCCGCCACCGCCTCGCGTCGCCGGCGCACGCACAGAGACGCGAGTGAAGATGAACCGGATGCGTCTGCGTATTGCGGAGCGCCTGAAGGAGTCGCAGAATACCGCAGCATCATTGACAACGTTCAACGAAATCGACATGCACAGTTTAGTGGAGATGCGCAAGAAGTACAAGGAGGATGTTATGAAGACGCACGATGTCAAGTTCGGCTTCATGAGCGCATTCTCACGCGCTTGCTGCCTCGTGCTCAAGGAGATTCCTGCGGCAAACGCGTCTATCGAGGGCGATGAGATTGTGTACCGTGATTACGTCGATCTGAGCGTTGCTGTCGCCACCCCGAAGGGTCTCGTCACGCCTGTGGTCCGGAACGCGGAGAGCATGAGCTTCGTCGAGATTGAGAGGGAGATTGCTGCGCTGGGCAGAAAGGTGCGTCGATATACCTCTTGTATCATAATTAAAAGGCTGACAAATTGTTTAGGCTAGGGACGGGAAGCTTACGCTCGAGGACATGGCAGGCGGTACCTTCACCATGTATGCACTTGCACGAGTCCATGTTGCGTTTCATAACTGACTTGCGCACAGCTCTAATGGCGGTGTCTTCGGCTCGCTCTTTGGAACTCCTATAATCAATGTGCCTCAGGCCGCGGTTCTTGGTGAGTGGCCCTTTGATTTGAGTCCGATCGATCCTTCGGGCGACTGTCGACCTCGGCTTCGTCGTCCGCTGTGGCACTTCTGACCGACTTCCCTTTCAGGCATGCACACGATCAAGGAGCGCCCTGTGGTCGTGGATGGACAGATCGTCATCCGCCCGATCATGGTCGTTGCGCTGACATACGACCACCGGCTGCTCGACGGTCGGGAAGCCGTCACTTTCCTTGGTGCGTCCACTTTGCTCTGCATTGCGCTTGCCTGTATGCTGACTGGGTGTTGTCTTATTATGTCCATCGGTCGCCTTTCGTATGCCACGCAATAATCGCGTTGTACAGTGAAAATACGCGATTACCTGGAGGATCCAAGGAAAATGCTCCTGGCCTAAGGTCTAGAACACCGTTAGCTCCTCGTGCGTATCAATAATACGTTCGCATACTCGCCTATACGGTTCTCCGGGCGCGTTCTCGGGAGGACGACGATCATGCATTGCTTCGTTGTCTGCCTGGACCCTTCCTCCCGTGTTGCCTCGCTGTCCATCCTAGTGTAATGTTCACCCGCGCTCTCACGTACATACATGCAATATGAAGTCTTCTGATGCCTGCGATGCTCTGCACCACTCCGCTATCTCTTTGCGCCAGGGGCCGTTCACATGCGTATCATCCCGGCGGTCACGCTGCTGGGCGAGACCGCGCCTGAGGAAACTGCCGGGCAGGGACGGAATGACGAAGAGGGCACACGGCCGGTCTAATGAAGCTAAATTGCAATTTGGCCACCCCCGGACGAGCTAACGCGGGACGGCAACTGCCTATTTTGCTCGGTGTTCGTGGTCCGTCGCCGGAGCGGAACTCTGATTTAAAAGTCCGACACCATCTTCCGAAGTCCGAACGGCTGGCATATCTCGGGTACCTGGGCGGTGCACGTTTTGCTGTGTGCTGTTGTCGGGATGCATCATTCAATTGTACTCGCCCTTTGCCATGGGTGGGATCCAGCTCTGTAGACTGCTGGAGATGGTTTGATGCGTGTGGCTTGTGCGCGTCAGCGTCGTGCGAATGTGAAGCATTCAGGGCTGATAAGTTGGAGATGAGGAAGCCGCCTAGCGGTCTTCTGGTCCCCAGGGTATAGAGGCCGGGAACATCCAGGGCTGAGCTCATCAGGGTCCGTCGGCGACTCGGGTTCACACTTGGGAAGAAAAACAATCCAATCCTTGGGTGTTCCTCCGGAACATGGGGGTGATATGGTCATTGGCATGTCTGACAGAGCACGGTCGCTGTTTGACGTTGTTCATGGTCGATGGGAGCGCAAGGCATCGCCATCGTGGTTCGATCAAGTCGGCGAATTTCGAGAGCGCGCGGTCACAGGTCATATGAGGACATGACACGCACGCAGGGATATGCATCTGACAGCGCGCTCGGATAACGTCATTCTTTGGTATCCGGGCCTGGGTGGACTCCATACATAAATCGTTTCACAGGAGGGGAAATTCGTTGTCTATCCAGCTACGAGGAGGGGCGATGCCAATGGCAATCGCGAAATGTCTGAATCCCGTCCCAGCGAATGACGGACTGTGATCAATGTTTTGAATGGAGGCAACAGATACCGCGGACTGCAATGGTCCGCAGGAAGATGCAGTGAGGTCTGGGGGCAGTAGTGCATGGGCACAGCTCTCTCTCCCCGGATCAAGTGAAAAGAGAGCGACTAGCCATCTAAGAGAACATCAGCTTAAGTGGGCAAATATGTAAGATAACCACTCATCACATCGCACGGAACCGTGAATTGACCATTCCGCTAGCTGAAGTACTGTTTGCTGATGGCTTTTGCGCTCGTTTTGCAGCGCCCAAATTGTGGTATGCTTATAGCCCAGGATCCTAGTACTTACTAGTACTTACCGTTTCTGATGGCAACGCGATGATCATGCTGGCAGTTGTCATCCTTGGCACCAAAGCTCACCTTTGAATAATGTTTTTTTGGAAGGAGCATCAGTCAAAATGCACCTGAGCTATATCCATTGGGCATCCGACTGCGACGCCCACACTTAACAAGCGCTTGTGGCTATGACAGCGATCACTGGCTCGCTGTGGCCACTCATCGCCGACATAAGAGGGTAATGTGTTTTTAGCTGGGAGTAGCGGTTGGAAAGCGATGGCCGGACAAAGAAGAGAGTAATTCGCCATTGCGGACTAGAGTAGCATAGATGCCACCCGGAATCCCAAGTCATTGTTTCCATGTAAAGCAATGTTCCGAGCAGTGCTGCGGCGACGTATTTTAATGAAGGAGATCGAATGCCATCTGAGAGTAAACATGCTCGGGATGGGCGGCAACAGAATGGAAACAGCATGCAAAGATGGATGTCGAAGATCCAGGGTGAGTGCGTGCTGGACTGAATGACTATCACGCCATCAGTCTCGGGGCATCCTCAGGTGGCAAAAGACGTTCAGAATAGCGGACAGATCAAAGAACAGGCTCGAGCCTTGGTTTGACCGGACAAAAACGTGTGTGCAAGGGCTTCGGAAAGCGAACGGCTGGAGCTACTCAGCCACTCGGCAGCGGCTGACGGCTGGCTCGGATCAGTCTCGGCACTTGGATTGCCGGGCGCAGTACGGGATGTTTCAGTCTCCGCTTCAATCTAGGGTTGATTACAAGAGCAGCTAACTCCGGGGACAGCCCTCTCCTATCTTCCGTCCTGCCTCGTTTTTCATCCAATACCGTCGTCGTCGCGCACGTCGCCCTCCTCCCTCCCGCCAACATTCTCCCCTCCTCTCCACCATGCTCGCCGTCCAGAAGCCGCCACTACAAACATTCGCTGCGCCAATGTTCCACCCCAACCACAGCCGACACCCTTCAGCGCCCGTCATCGTACGGCCCACGCACACGCCGGGCCTCCTATCCTTCTCAAAGCCTGCCCAGCCTGCTCCCCGACCACAGACCGCTTGCCAGCACCAGCGGTCGCAGCGCGCATCGCCCAGAGGTAAACCTCAGCAGAGGTCGCCTCAACTGGCGCGAGCGCAGGCGTCCGACGACACTAAGAAATCATCAGGTGGAAGGCCCAAAGTGGACAGTGAGAAGGCCAGATTGGAGCCTGCTGTGGTTAGGACACTCGAGAAGTCTTCCAGAGGCCGGCAGACGAGCAAAGCTGCCAAAGACAAGGCTCAGCAAAGGTTGGTACATCTCGTTTCTATCTATATTTGGCCTTGCAAACCATGTCCGTCGATGCATCCAGGAGTGCTTCCTCATCCGCGCAAGCCCTTGCGCGGCGACCTTTACATCAATCATCACCTCCCCCATCTACTAGGATACCCTCGCGGGCAGAGGTGTCTTCCCAACGCTCGATGAAGTCGTCTCATCCAAGTGCAAACACTTCAGCATCGGAGTTTGCCGATCCTTTTGTTGTAGATCATTTGTCACACAGCGACAACGCCTCAGCAGAGCCAGCCAAAGCCGGCTCGAAGGGCTATTCTTACCGCCCTCCTCCACCCCTTTCCCAGCCTGCTGGTAAACTCGCTCGTCGTCGTCAGACTACCCGTGCTTCAAGCACTCCGGCCTTGCACAAGACTTGCCAGCAGCGCAAAGACAGGGTTGCCGAGCTTGTGGGTGGTGTCGCCGACGTTGCCGTGTCTGCCAGTGCACCTATCACTCCTCCGCGTCGTTCTAAGGTTCATCGTATTCCTGTTGCTGCAGATTGGGATGTGTTCCCGATCTGTGACGATTCGAGTGATCTCACCGACGAGAGCGACGAGTCTCCGCCATCCACTCCTCTCAGGGAGGCTGCCACTGTGCCGACGAAGAAGAATCGCAAGCCGTGGCAACACGCTCATCTCTTTGATGACGCGCCGCGTACGGCTCCTCTATCGTCGACATTCGAGTTGTCGTTTGCCCCGAGCCCCACGTCCTCTCCGACGCCCGCTCATCGCCGTCGCCACCATCAACGGGCCCCCAGTGACGGTGTTTTCTTGATGTCGACGGACGACGAGTCGTCTTCGTCGTCGGATGTTTTCTCGTCGGTGTCGTTGGCAGTGCCTCGACATAAGCTCGTGGTAGAGATGCGGCCTGTGCGAGCACCGGCCCCGGATGACGTACGTGCGTCTTCGGCCCCACAGCCAGGCTTCTTCGCAGGTTCGGTATTCCAAAGCTCGCCAAGTCCCGATGAGCTCCCGCCGCCATCTTTCTGATTGTATTTGTAGACATCGCAGAATTCGTCAAGTGTATAGGCAAGTCCTCTTGTAGCATTTCTATAGATGGATGGTTCGCTAACCTCCCTGGTTGGTCAGCCTGGATCTATCGGGTCCCTTTAGATGCTCTCATTTATCGCTGCAGCGACACTCCACTCTTCGCTGACCCGACTTTTATCGTCGACTACCTAATGCCGCATTACCCCCACATTCATACAATCCGTCGCCATATCCGTTGCCGTCTTCAAGCTCCGGACGTGTACATCAGCATCCCCTTCAGATATCATTATCATCTCGGCATTCGGTCTCACTTTGCATTTCTCCGGGTTCGGCGGTCTTTGAGCATTCGATTCTTCTGGGCTGCACACTTGGCATGATATTCATCGACTTTTACACTCGGTTTCTCCCGGTCAAGGTTACTCGTTCAGGACAACACGCTTCAAGGGTACAAAAGGGTACAATATTCATCTAGATATCCCGCCCTTAGCTGGGTCAGCTGTCGGTGCTGGCATTCATACCCCTATCCGACGGCACGAGACTGTCTATGGCAGTGGCACGATTGCGCGTCGACTGTCGTTGCGCTGTCTCGTACTCTGTCTTCTTCCTTCCACTGTCTCCATAATTTCACCACCTCGGTTTCACCTCGCATCTCAATTGTGTCAGTATCAACCCAGCTCACACGCGCATGCTCTCGCAACACAGCATCCCCGCATCGCATCCCCTTGCTCACGTGGAGCCTGACGATTATGCAGGCGCTGCGTTGTACCACTAGGAGATTTCATAGATTGCAAATATTAATGAACACGCAAGAAAAACACCAGACAAACTGAACGGGTTGCCAGAAGGCGGCCGTCATAATTTATCCTCCTCGGCGGATCGGCGTCGAGGAGCTATCTGTCCTCCCGTTCTTGGCTGGCTTGTGTCTTGGAATTTGGGACTCTGCTCGTAGCCATTCTTCTGGCTTATATTTCGTCTCTCATCGTGTCTGGGTTTACTGTAGCTTCTTCGGCGCCAGTTCCTCTTTCTCGGCGTTTGAGGACATATTGGCCCGCGGAGGACTTACTCCGCTTCCTACCTTTTCTTTACCGTTCTCATCCTTCGGCGGGCTGCATCAGGTGTATCAATATCGCATGATCGTCGTCGACGTTTCTTTATGTGTAGTAGTTACAGTCGACTCCTCGTCGTCGTGGCTCGCCTCGACGATGTCTGGTCATCAATTTACTCTATTTCGCCTATATTTTCTTCTTGCGTCTCTTTCTGTCTCTTTCTTCCCCTTCTTCTCGTCCATATCGGTTATTGTGGGCTTCGTGATGGTGTACATTGTTGGCATGGCTTGTGAGTATCCTAATCCTGGCTATTAGACGGATGCTAAAGTCGATGTCGCTTCAATTTACAGCTGATTGTCTATATCATACGCACGTATATGCGTACCCAACACTACTCCCATTCCATCCACCTGCTCCGCATCGCGTCTGCTCTCCATTCGGTCGGCGCTCCTGTATATACGATCTCCTCGAGTTTCCGGCGGATCAATGCTTCACACTCTTTATTCCTGTTTTCCTATCCCCTTCACGGCCCTAGAAATATCTGTTGTCGATCTCGCTCGGTTCCCCCCCCCCGTCCAGTTCACCTTCCTCGATCTATTTCTTGCCCTCGCCTTCATCGCCCTCGCTCTGCTTGGCCACACCATTGGCTGTTGTCTGTCGGTCACACCAATCTGTATCGTTAGCCACCCTCACGCGCAAAATGTTACTGCTTCGCCACCTCATATACTCCGTATCGGTTGCTCAGCCTGGCCTAACGTATTCGACGTCGCATTCCCATCGCTAATGGCCCAACACTTCAGTTACCAGTAGTGGGAGGGTAACTGTCTATTTCATTAAGCTCGTGGATTATGTGCGCGGAAGGGTGTTCGCGTGGCTGCTATAGGTTCGGTTCCTTGGTGGTTGGGTGTGGAGACAGGATTGGTGACAGCGTCATGGAGCCGTGGATCAGTTTGATGTTGTGCCCCGAGTGATAACATGCTATATGGTACTTAGGCTTTATGTATGACGAGCGGTTGGATGAAGAATCTGCAGCATTACTATATTGTGACGATGGTGTGCATCGAGCAACGTTCACTTTCGGCAGACCGCTCCCGAGAGTGAACGCGTTGTAGCTGTGTATCGGACGGTATGCAAGAGTTCGCGAAGTGAGTACAACAATACAGTACCAGTACAAATCATCGATACGTAACGACTGTGCAGACCATGTAGGCTGTCTACGGGAACGTCAGGATGTATTCCTTCATTTCATTCTCCCAGCTACAGTCGGGCAGACCGTTCGTGGCCTCGTCTTGCGCATCTCCACCGCAGGCCTCGAGGAGTTGCTCGTCGATCTCTCCCAGAATTTGTCTAAGCACAGCTGTTAAATCCGTTCTTTTTCTGAGAGGGATGGGCACCAAGATGTTGTTGGCAGAGTCCGGGTCAGAGTCAAAGGCAGCGCTAGAGGGTAAAGGAGGAGGAGCTTGGCTCAGTACCGGAGCCGTCGTATACGCCTTGTATCCATGCATGGGAGTAGCCCTAGAGCTGGCGACAGAAGACCTGGAAGCAGATTCTGCGGCAGCCTTTGCGAGTGCGCGCCCATACACCCTGCTCATGCGGCGAGAGTGCCCTTGGTCGGCTTTCATGAGTGCATGTTCGACCTGCTGGTACGTGTTCGAGCCCGGCGCGACGAGCGTCTCAAGGAGGTGGCGTGTCTGGTTGAACGCGATGTAGCGGAGCTGCGAATAGAAGTGCACCATAGACCCAGGCGTGCCACAAACGACAGGGCAGTCGGGGTTTGGGCAACCGGGCGGGTTCACGCCGTCCTGCTGGCACTTGCCGTGAAAGTAGCTAGGGAAGATCGCATTCTCCATCCCGTGGTAGGCTTGCATCTTATATGCGTCGTAGATGGGCGAAAGGTAGTTATTGGGCGGGATGGAAGAGTTCGCGCAAATCTGTTGGTTCTGCAGGGAGGATTGAGGTTAGTGAAACCGGCAAGCGGAGTATGGCGCACCAAGTCGTTCATCACTGCCTCGACGACGGGCGTGTAGTTTCCGAGGAACGCGTTCGTGATACCGACGATGCATTCGCCCTCGCATGCCGAGACAGTGGCCGGCACTGAGAGCAGGAGGGCAGATATTAACAAGAGTACGATCATGATGAAGACAGTCTAGTCTATGGGAACAGGTTAGAATTCGTCGTCGTCGAACCTGGGTCTTGCCAGAGACCGGGAGACAGTGCACGCGAGGAGGAGGACAAGACGTGCACGGAGGTCAGGACATGTGGACTCGAACTTGAACCGACGTGCGGTCACATGCCAAACACGTCGCAAACGACACGTCGATCGACATCCCGTCTCCTCCCGTTCATCCAACCATCTGGCCACATTCTGCATGGCCACGATGCGTGCAAGGTGCAGGCGCACTGGGAAGATCCAATGGGATACCTTAACACAAGCAGTGTGAACACCTGACAACGTTTCGGACATGATAACAAGCATTATCGTTCACCGTTCAACCTTCGATCGCAATTGAACTGCGACCCTGCGTCGAAAGAATAGAATGAAGATAACATATCGCTCCATAGTTGCTATGAGTACAGGCATGTCGCACATCTCAAACGTTCCACAGTGGTCACCATCAGTCGTAGTCATAACCTACAGGAAACTCGCACGATGAGTATACTGCGCACAGGCAGGAATAGAACACATACCGCCTGCTTCGTCTCCTCCTCCTCCACCGCCCAGGTCCTCGAAATCGTCGCCCTCACCATTGTCAAAATAATTTTCTGCGTAATCGTTGTCGAACTCCTCATCAACATCATAGTCCTCCTCTTCAGCCTGAGAACCAACGTCCGAGCGCTCGTCACTGGATTTTTCCTGTTATTGATATGAGGAAGGTCGACAAGGGACGAACGTCGATCAAAATTACGCGACTCACCTGTTCTTCGACATCCTTGGCCATTTCATCCAGGTTGATACGTTTCTTCGGACCCTTCTTCGCAGCTAGGCAGGAAAGCGGGGGTGAACACTACGACAAAGGTACCAAGATTCAGGGATTGCGCTCACAAATTTTTCGTCTCTTAGGGTTGAAGTAGCCTTCAAAGATCTCTTGAGGGAAGAATGGTTGATGAAGATTCTTCCTTTTCAGCGTAGGCTGTGACGCTGGAGAGGGGCGATACTTGTCCGAATATCGAGGCAATTCTACACTTTCCGCCGATCAGCACATGCATTCAGGACTCTCACAGGCCGGGACATGGGTGTTAAAACCGATGGATAAAAAGAAAGACAACGCATTGAAGAAAAGTTTGATATCGCCGTCATGGCTCAGACTCGGCATCTTTGGGAGCAATCACACCATCGAATGCTGATGAAGAACGTGGATTTCAAGTCATGCACTCTACTCACCTGTAGACTTGGTAGGCTCAATAACATAATATGCTGAACTGCGCAGACGAGTCGCAAAGCCTATCTGCAATTCGCAGATCCGCTTTTCCTCCTCGGAGTACTCGGTAAGTAATGGCAAGGGTTCCAGAGGCTTTATATAAGTTCAATGGCACAGTAAACCGCGTGAAATATGCATCACGCACAGGGTACAGGGCGGTCGCCTCCTTAGACATCGATTGGATGTCTGCGAATGTCAGGCCCATTGGAGGGAGGTTGTTCGCGCCGAACCCTCCCCTCCCGCCAAAACCACGTCCTCCACCACGCCCGCCGCCTCTTCCGCCTCTGGACATGACGTTGAAATATTGTCGGGTCGACGCGTTGAACCGAAGGGAGTTCTGCAAAGCAGCAGGATGCCGTACAGAATGGTCTCGCACACGCGCTAATAAGGTTACTGAACTATTTCGAACTCCGCACGAAATGTATAAAGTGCTCGCGCATCGTTCTGATCCCCCTTGCTACCTGCCTCCATCACGCCCCCCTCTCCCCCCAACAACCGACCGTCGTCGCCCTTGCCAGCGTCCGAGAACAATTCAGCATCCTGAATATTACAATGGATAAGACTTTGGATGAGGTTGGTGTGCTTTTTTTCACCAACGCCACCGTTCGCCTTCTCACTGCGTGGTATCTGCAGATCATAGCCACCCGCCCCAAGGGCATCCGTCGTGCAACTTCTCGCCGTGGATCCGCCAAGCAGCAAGTCTTGGGAAACGGCCCCGTTGCTTCTCGCACGCGTGCTGCTACCGGCACTGCGAATGGCACGAAGGCCCCTGCCGCTACTACCGCTACGTCGCAACAGCCAGCCGACAAGATCATCGTTTCCAATCTTCCTCCTGATGTCAACGAGCTTCAAATCAAGGTTAGTTACTACGGGCTCATAGCACATTGTTCTTCGCGCTGATGCGATCATTTCCAGGAATTGTTCCATACGACCGTAGGGCCCCTCAAGGACGTGACTCTTCACTACGACAGCCAGGGACGCTCGAAAGGCGTCGCTGCTGTCCACTTTCAACGTCGCGGTGATGGTACCAAGGCATTCCAGCAATACAACAACCGCCTCATTGATGGAAGTTAGTATCGGCTACTCTCACATCTTTTCCCCACGTCATCTCTAGCTTGGCTGTGCATGCACCTTGCTCTGCTGTGGTGCGATCCATTGCGAAGGTCATCTTCGCGGATTTCTTGCCAGTGGGGCTTTCCTTTCCTGTTGCAGGAGCAGGAGCGGGAATGTTGAGCCAGGCACGTTCGTCTCAAGCGACAAGTCGGTTCATGAACGAAGACGTACCCACCTGCGACTGGACTGCCGTTGGGCTGTCAACGCAGTCAACCTCCTAGCTGAGGGCAGAACCCACTGCCCAAGCGGACTCCGTGGTCGTAGTCATGCAATTCGCCCCTTACCTGGTTGATGCGCGCATTCTACGCTGCGAGAGGTTTCACGGAAGGTTTCATCCATCCGTCAACTTCGTCGGCAAACTAGTAGGAGGTCGGGTCAAGGTGCAGAGCTCGATAACGACGCGTTCCAGACTTCCGTACAAAGGCCGAATTCGTATCCTCTCTTTTGCTTGATTCCTCTCGCTTCGATGAACAGCCGACTAATGAGACCTCTGCTTTGCCTTTGTCGCCGATATTCCTCGCATCACCGTTACCCCTCTTGCCATCATCCAACAATCGTACCCGACGCAAATAGAGCGCCCGATGAAGATTGAGATCGTCGTTGACCCCTCTCGTCCTGCGCCCGCGGCGTCACTTGCTGCTCGTGTGGCGCCGGCTCCTGCAGCAGCAGCACCTGCCGAGGGTGCTAGGTTAGTCATCTCACTGCGGCTTGAATCAATGGTTCCCAAGGCTCATACTCTCGTTCAAGGACGGGCGGACGTCCCAAGCGCGGTCGTGGTGGACGCGGTGGTGGACGCGGCCGTAGGGCCGACAGGCCTAACAAGAGTGCGGCTGATCTGGATGCTGAGATGGAGGTAGGCTGGAATTGTTCATCGGAACCGAGGTCATGCTGAACGGATAATAATGTCCAGGATTACACTGCTAGCAACGCCCCTGCAGCTGCTGCGTAGTTAACACCGTATATTGTACCTTCCCCGATAGCGTATTATATTTTGGACTCTCGACCACTGTGTACTATCATACTTTAGCTGTCCGGTTTGTGACTCGATTGTCTACATACTCTTTCTCGAAATAGTGCGCGCTGTTATTGTCTTGTTGCTGAATATACCAGTATTTGTGTCGCGCACTGGGGTCATGACGAAGCTCGCATGGTGCAGCAAGCAAGGCTCATCGCTCAGCTCCCGACCTTCACCATGTCTGCTGCCTTCGAAGACGAAAGACTCTACTCTGAACGATCCGAATGGGCAGATGTCGTCCCCATACAGCAGTATCAGGGCATTGACCCTCTCGCTCCCATCAACTACTCGGTAGAATGTCCGTCTGAGCGTGCTCCTCTGTGTGTTCACTCTGACGTCTGCAGCATCGCATTGTAGACCAAGATGCGACGGACTACTTTCGAGGCATCGTCAAGACGGGAGAAATGAGCTCAAGGGTGCTGCAGCTCACAGAGCACATCATCCGAATGAATCCTGCCCACTATTCTGCATGGTGCGCAGTCCTCCCACCTATCTTTCTCTGCTTGATCTCGGATGCCCCTAGGCAATACCGCTACCGCACGCTGCTCGCGCTCAACTCCTCGCTCGAGGAGGAGCTGCGGCTGATGGACAGGTACGCTATCGAGTACCTCAAGACGTACCAGGTGTGGCACCATCGCCGGCTGCTGCTCACCGCCCTGCGCTCTGTTGACGCCGCAGCGGCGGAGCTCGCGTTCATCGCGCGTGCGCTCGAGACAGACACGAAGAACTACCATACGTGGTCGTACCGCCAATGGGTGCTCGCGCACTTCAACGACGAGGAGCGCCTGTGGGCGGGCGAGCGTGGCTGGACGGACGATCTTCTCGAGCAGGATGTAAGGAACAACTCGGCGTGGCATCATCGTTTTTTTGTCGTGTGGGATAGCGGCGTGCGGCAGGGGGACGAGGACCGCGAGGAGGTGCTTAGAAGAGAGCTGGCGTGAGTAGCTAGCTATGTGTGCCGTGCGTGTATCTCGCTGATCGCAACGTCCTGCTGCTGTATGGCAGGTTCACGAAGGAGAAGATCGCACTCGCGCCGAACAACCCCTCCGCGTGGAACTACCTCCGCGGAGTCCTCGAGCGCACACAAGTGCCGTTCAATACGCTTTCGTCCTTCGTGAAGCTGTACATCTCCTCAGTGCGCCCCGATCCGAATGACGTGCTGGACTTGGACGTGCCTCCGCCCACGGAAGGCGCCGAGCTGCCCTCCGTGAACGCTCTCGAGTTCCAGGCGGACATATACGAACAGGAAGGCGGGGAGCAGATTGGCAAGGCCGTTGAGGTGCGTGACGTTCTTCCTTGCACCATGTGAATGTAGCTGAGAAATCCTGAGCAGATTTGGAAGTCATTGGGGGACGAGTATGATACGATGAGGAAGAAGTGCGTTTTTATTGCGTGTCGTTCTGCTGGAGTGAGCTCACTCGTGCAATGCTCAGGTATTGGGAGTATCGTATCAGGGAGGCGCTTCAAACCAAGTGAAGTGGCGGACTCGGACGATTCTTACGCGAACGCGGGGAACGCTGACGTGCGTTATCAAAACGACGATAATCTCTGTAAAATAGCCGTGCAAACGAATCCTTCCAGTTCAAAGGTGACCATTAGCAGTATTTCAGGATTGACATTCTGCAGATGCCAGAGCTGGCCAGGATTAGGGGGAACAGCACCTTGCCTACGTCGGGCCTTGTGAGGTGATCGTGTTATAGTCTGGAAAGACCTCTAGGTTGGGCTGCGACGGTGCATGAAAACTGCGGAGGGCACTACTCGCGACAGTCTCAAAACACCCTTGCAGAAACGATATACACGAATATGTATAGTGGGCTACAAGCGATATTGATACAATCCACTTTGATATAGGATACATGGCTTACAATTCTAATCTTACACTTCACACACAACTATGCACACCTCGGCTATCCGGCAGCTTAGTAGTACTGCTTATCCTTGTCCGTCAACGGGACATACTGCATCAAAAACGACAGTCAGCACGATCAACTGTGCTCAAAGAGACGGAACAGATGGGATGCCTACCATGACGTCGAACAGCTCTTTCTCCGTCACTTCGCCGTTCTCGTCTTTGTCAACCTGCACATGGGTTTTGTTCGTTATGAGCTCTTCTGGGACGTCGTGAAGCGTACCTGAATGATCTGCTGCATTTCAGTGCCGACCGGGATGAACATTCTCCCGGGGGATGCGAGCTGGGCGACGAGTGTGTAGGGCATGGTCGGAGAAGCTGCGCCGACATGGATCGCATCGTACGGTGCTGTTCAGAAATAATATTGAACATCGATGCGTGCGACCAGCTGTGAATTGTCGTGCTTACCAACAGGAGGATAGCCTGGATAAGAGCATAAATTTCAAGCTAGCTCAAGGAACAGCGTACAGTCATACTACTCACCCTTTCTGCCATCTCCGGCAACCATCTGCAGATGTCCGCTGTCAATGGCCTTCCCTAGGCCATCGCGGCGCAGATTCTCAATGGACCACTCAGTCAACTCTGGGATGTGCTCGATGCCAACTACGGTGCCGAGCTTGTTGTGCTCCTCGTCCGTGACGAGCTGGTGTATGACCGCGCACAGGTAGCCTGAGCCAGAGCCGACGTCGAGTACGCGTGCCCCTGGACGGAGGTAGGGCTGGAGGTTCTGTAATGCGTGGGCGTGCTGAGGGAAATGTCGAGAAAGTTGGCGTGAGTGCGTGCTCTGTGCGTTCGCGTATGGTGCTAGACACTGACCATGTGAGGTGCGGAGATTGTCGCTCCATAACCGATAGGTCTGCAAGTGTAGTGGGTAGCATACAGAGATTGCCTGAGACGGCGGAGGGGACTCACTGAGGTGCATCTTCGTATGCCTCCCACTTGTTCCTAATGTAATGCGCGCGGTCGACCTTTGTCATCGCCTACCGACAAGCGACTCCGCGTGAGCTTCTTCCGCGAACATGTCGCGTGAGCTGTACTCACCGCCTGGATGCGTTCAGAGTGTATGATATGATGTTTCGCCAGGTTGTTGATGAGCTCAGCATTGGTCGCACCCGTGCATCTCCAAGCCATTTTGTGAGTGTCGTTCGTTCAGTCGATGTGAACGTGTGGTGCAGTGAGTTCAGGAAGAGAGATAAATATTCCTTTCACTCAGGCGAGCCAGGACTTAAGTATCATCGCCCGCCACCGGCTAGGCAGGGCTGGAGTGCAAGTGACGTTATTCGTTATTCACGTGCGTGTCGGGATTTACTGTATATGGTGACGCGCCCAGGGCGCGATCCATGGATCCTCGCAACCAACTCAGCTCATGGGCACATGAGAGGCATCAAGCGAGGCATTTCGGACGGTCTGACAGTCGCTTCGTTGCTTATTCTGTCAGATCCCATACATTGTCATCATGAAATCTCCCGTTTTATGCAACCGCGAAAGCTGCATCCGCCCTAGCAGGATCTCCGTTTGACACTGTACTGCTGGACGATGACCCTGCTAGGACAGATTGAATGGCATGAACAAATTGCCTGTAAAGAACTCGGAGAAGATTACTTCTCACCACTTTGAAACACAATGGCCGTCTCTTCCAGTTAGCTTCCGGGGAGAATTCAGAGAGTAACCACGGATGACTCCCAGCTGGCAGCGCCTTTCCCACAGGGCAGGTAACCACCCTCGGGTCTGAATTTCTGTCTTTTCAGCCCAGCCACCGAGATCCTCGTCGTGAATTGTCTTGGATGAGACCATTATGCCTGGGCTCTCTTCCGCTAGCCTCTGTTGAGGCGGTCATTGATCCGTTGCCTACTCTTGGCAATGCGATCCATATTGGCATGCGCTGGACATTCGGCGTAATATCCTTTGTCGCGCAGTCCATTTTGTTTAGATCTGACGAAACGCATGGTGGTTGAACAGAATGACAACCAAGATAGATAGAAAAGCGCGTGGAGAACCTTAGGTACCGCGAACTGAATTTGAATCGACGTTAAACTCGGCTTCCGCGAGAGATCCTGAAGTTATTGAATCGGGTCTGGGAGGCCCGATGTTGTAATTAGAATCGACAGCACTTCCAAATCTGCAGCAGCTAAGTCCACTAGAGCATTCCTCGCTTGAAAGTCCCGTGGGCAGAAGAGACAATTCCTTCAGCCTCCGCGGGCTCCGGACATCCTTGTCTGACATCTTCAGTCTGTCAGCTCGCCCTCCAGTCTCCGAATAGCTAGACTGCGCGGACCTCTTGTCTGCTAAGCGATAAATTCGCCGTAGTGTGCTGAAGGACCTTGCGCCCGTTGCCTTGATAACGGCTAGGTCAGGAGTCGTGACGGAGAGTAACCCCCCCCCCCCCTAGGTGGTGACGACATGAAACGGTATCCAGACAGAGATGCTAAGAGTCTCGGAAAGGAGCTGCGCAACCGCACCAGATTAAGTGATCGCTTCATGGTCAAACTCTGTCGCGGTCTAGTCTATGAGCGTCAGGTCTTCTGAGTTGGGTAGTCTTGGGAGGTTCGTCAACCGTTGACGTTCAGCCAAGTCGTAGCACCTGGAAACATAATATTCGTTTGATAATAGACAGGCAGCGGACGTGAAATGTCATTGTCTCTCTACGGACACCGATTGTCTCTCTAAACTTGATGAGGCTGCGCTCGTCTATGATATAGTCACTGACTTCTGGTGGCAAGTCGCGGTGAACCATCACGACGACACTTCACCTGAAGCTGAGCCACGTCAAAGTCATGCAAGGCAGACTGGAGCGGGACTGAAGACGACTTACTGAGAGAGGGTCGAGCATACACGGTGCTCTTGCGGGATTGCGCGAGGAATCTGAATCAACTGAGAGCGAATCTTAAGTGGTTCTATGGACAGTCTGTCAAGTGGAGGCGCACTCGTTGAGGATGCAGAGGTTGAGGCCTCCCAAGATTAAAGTTCACAAAACGAGGCGGTATTCATGGGGCGGATTAATATTCCTTCATAGTCCGATCCATGTAACACTCCCAGCGTAGAAGCGATTGTTACACTGGCGAGCCCATATTAACGTCAGTCATAGTGCACACCTCACTATAATTGCCGCATCACGTTCATGTATTGACTCGTCCGATTGTATCATTATACAGATGCGAGGAAACACGATTGAAGAAAGGACATCGTACACCACACGTTAATCAGGGCCACAGGTCAATGAACACAAATGCTACTACATGGCATACCTAGGGGGTAGTTGTGAGATCAGCGCCGAGCAACCGGACCATTAATACACCACTCACTTCCGTGTCCACTCCCGCGCGGTCGCCTCGTAGCGAGCACGGTCTGTCTTGTACAGATGTGCGATGTCAGGCACGAGCGGGTCATCGGGGTTGGGATCTGTCAGCATCGAGCAAATCGAGAGCAGCACTGCATTGGAACATGAGCGATGCTTTTCATGAAGAGACAACACTTCGATGCATGATGAGACTCACCTTTCGAGATTGTCAGTGCTGGACTCCACTGGTCACGTAGAATGTCGAGACAAATCGAGCCGTTCGCGTTGATGTTGGGGTGGTAGATCTTCGTCGTGAAACTGACCTTCGGGGGCTTGAACGGATAATCGGTGGGGAAAGTGATAGAAAGGAAGAAGACGCCACCCGCGTAAGGCGAATCGCCCTAAACAAGGATTGTTAAGTCCATGTTGGTCGTCAGATAGTGATGTCGTTCAAAACTCACTGGGCCCATAATGGTCGCCTGCCATTGGAACATGTTGTCGCCTGTCGGACCGGCACTGCATGAAGAGGGTGGATCGCGGCCGAGGTCAATCAGTTCCTGAACAATAACAGTCAGCGTCGCCTAACATCGATGACCGCCTAGCGCCACCACTTCTCTTTGACGCGCAGATCCTTGTGCCACGTCGGAGCACAGGAACGGCAAAAACTCACCTTGTTAATGCGCTTGAGGGCCATCGTTATAGAGCTCTAAGATGCTAAAGAGGTCGTGACTGTTCAACAGAGAGCAGTGGACGACAATCGGTGCAGATCGCGCAGGATCAAGGGCGACGACACAACGATACGCGGGCCCGACAAGTCACAAGCAGCGATGAAGAGCGACGACAACGAGGAGAAACTGTCAACGACGATACCAATGTACAGCGAGAAGCTAATACTCACGATGATGAGGGAGAAACGCTGAAGTGAAGGGAGGTGGTGGACAGAGGTAAGGATAAGTACCGGCGCGCATCCACGCTTGTTTGGCTTTTGTCACCGTGTTTGGTCGCTTACTCGATTCGAACAGCCTCTCACAGACGGAATCTTCCGGAAACACCCTTTTATGCCATCTCCGCTGCCACAATCACCATACTTATGATCCTAACTCAGGCATTGGCGCGGTGAAAATTTGCAGTACGCGCTACATCTGTGTCCAACTGTCATTTGCTTTCAAGCGACTCTTGGTGATCTCGCAATATTTGGCAACGATTTTGCCGCATATATGTCACGCCGCACATCATGTGGCACTCGCAAAATCCGAAATCTCAGCGTCAAGAACGCGTGCTCCTTCCGCTGCGACTATGTGAGAATGTGATGAGCGTGGCTGTCTTCATATCGCGATGCTGATCATGATAATTCACGAGAGATAACTGTCCACCAAACATAGATGACCGATTGACAAGTTAACCAGATACAAGCATTCAACATATCCGGGTATCACGACAACTCGTAGCGATTGAACGACCGGTCCTAGTCGGATGTCCTTCGCTTGGACGTCGCGTGGCTAACTTGAAGCCTGTAACATGTCAGGTTTTCAGTGTATGCCTTTAACACCTCCGGAAAGTAGTGACCAGTGAACTATCATATACTGGTCGGAACATATTTCTTTGTTCATGGAAATTTTCGTCATTTGAATGCGCCTTCGGACTTCCAAGCACAATCCGAAGGGTCCCATTCATTCATCCGTGTATGCTGAGCTTCTCATTCGCCAGCCCGAAATGTGGACGGATCTTCTGCGGTCGACATTGGATTCATCTAGGCTGGACCTCATCCGCGTCCTGACGCCCGTAACGGGTTCCGATTAGAGATTCCCAAGCAACATCCTTCGACGAAAACCTCATGCTCATCGTATTGGCGAAGCTTAGTAGCCCGGACTCTTCAGCGACTTCGCTTGAGGTTGAGTGGTTTTGAGCATCTGCGCAATTGATATTTTGCTGCGGTCTACCAACTGTGGCGGCCCACATGTCCGCCTTCCTGCCACAGAAGAAAGCCTCGTTGATGAGATGATCTTCCCGAGTCATTAACGTATCGGGCGGTTGGCCTGGGTGGTCGTCCTAGATCTCGTAGCCGGCTGTGTGGATTCTGAATGGGGCCGTCGTCTGTTAATTTCCCAAAATAAGAGTCTGAGTTTCCTCATGAGGTCGAGGCATTCTGCTCCTCCAACAATAGCTGGACATCGAGCACAATAGGTTCATCCGCATTGCCCGTGAGGGCAAACTCCTCAATCCATAGTCTGCACTCCTCGTTCTACCTTCACATCGCTTTCTGCTTCCAGCCACGAACATCATTTCAGCGTTCCGCCCCCAACTCCAGCCGCGAGTCCAGGCCCTCAGGAAAGTCCGACGAGCACTTCCCTGCGACTGCCACGAGAAACAACAATCCATCTAGACTACAGCGACTGGTTTACACCTCGGCGACCCAAGTCCATTTATTCAGAGATCCCGCAGGATAACTTATTCCTCGAGGAAGAAGTAGTTTCCGGCCGCTGTAAAAGACATCAGTCAATGCTCATGAAGACTGATTTTGAATACGACACTCACCCTTCTGTTCCCTGTCTTTGACACTATTCAGCTTGTTCACACGTGGCCGATAGTTTGTCGGGTCTCGCCGGAATGTGATCTCGAGCGACGCCAGGAACTTATTCATGCCGGTCAATAACGACTGAGGTCTATGCATTACGACCATGGGGAATGAGCGTCGTCATGATAGGATACATTAAATATGATACGTACGGTGTCGCCGTTGCTGCAATAGCAGGCTTCCCCCCGAACACGATGACACGATCGGCCAGGTAGGTAGCCATGATGAAGTCGTGTTCGATAACGAATGCCGTTTTCTTGGCATGGAGTATGAACCTGAAGGGAGGGTCAGCGGAATTGAAACTCGCTAACACGCTGACGTACCTCTTGATGACCTTACTCGCGATGATACGCTGTTCGGAATCCAAGAAGCTACAGCAGATATCAGCATCCGCGGACTGTCAAAAGGAACTGTTGAAACGCACGAGCTAGGTTCGTCAATCAGGTACACAGAGGCGGGCTTGCCTAATGAAAGCACAATAGCAACACGTTGAAGCTCTCCTCCAGATAGAGTTTTTACTTCCTGGTCCAAGATCGGTTCCAGGTTCATCGGCTTCACCACATCCGTGTTGAACTGCGGATGCATGAACGCGGCCTTGATCCGCTTCAGCAGCAGCATGCGCACGGTTCCCGGGAACGACGGTGAGATCGCCTGCGGTTTGAGCGACACTTCGAGCGTCTGCTTGTCCGTCTCCTCGTCCGGCGTATCGCCCGCCAACAGCCGAACGAACGTCGTCTTGCCCGTTCCGTTCTCGCCAAGCATGACGATGATCTCCGAATCTGTAAACCCGCCGCCCTCCACGGTGAGCTTGAAGCCGCCGAGCGTCTTTGTCATGGACGGATAGGAGTACTGCCGCGTCTTGTCGACGACCAATTCTTCCGCTGTTTCAACCATCTTGAATGATAGCGACTCTTCACGGAATCGCAGATTCTCGGTCGGGATGAAACCGTCCAGGAAAATGTTGATACCTACACCATTTTTAATGACAGTCAGCCGTATATTGATACTCCACGTACCCTCACGAACGGAATAAGGCATGGTAACCACGCCATACACGGAGGGCTTGCCATATAAGCAGCAGATGAAATCAGAGAGGTAATCGAGCACGGACAGATCGTGTTCTACAGCAATGACGTAGTTGTCTGGAGTCAAAAGCTCGCGGATGACCTCTGCCGCCTTCAAACGCTGCTTGATATCCAAATAACTTGACGGCTCGTCGAACATGTATCTGAAGACAAGATCGGTAATGCAACCGGGCAAACCAGTCTGACGGATCACGTACACATCTGCCCTCTGGATACACGACATTGCGATCGCGAACCTCTGAAGCTCTCCGCCAGACAATTGCGATATCTCGCGGGTCAGCACCTCATTCAGTTCCAAGTCATCGCACATCTTCTGCTTATTGTTCCGTTCCAGCTTCGTGTCCAACATCTGGGACACGGTGAGCTTGCCCTTCACCGCACGCGGTATGTGATCCACATATTGCGGCTTGATAAGCGCCTTCAGGTTGTCCTCTAACACCTTTGTGAAGTAGTTCTGCAGCTCGGAACCGCGGAAATACTTCAATATTTCCTGCCAATCTGGCGGGTCCTACGGAAACGTCAGGAGAAAACTAACATGAGCGTGAAACGTCACGGACGTCGTAGCGACCGAGATTCGGCTTCAACTTGCCCGCGAGTATCTTCAATGCAGTACTCTTCCCAATACCATTAGTGCCGACGAGTCCAAGCACCTGACCTGGTCGTGGCGTAGGCAGACGATGTAGCTTGAATGCATTTGCGGTGTACCGATGTGTAACTTCGGAATCGAGGTTAGTGGGCAGGTTGATAATCGTAATGGCATCGAAGGGACATCTGGGGAAGATGAGCGTTGAACATATAAGAGCTGCAGAGTCACGTACTTCTTTACGCAAATACCACAACCTATGCAAAGAAACTCGGAGATGAAGGCGATTTTGTCGGTGGGTTTGACCTCTATACATAGCTTGCCTGAACGTCACTGACAGATCAGCGAGCATTCAATGAAGCATATACTGGAATCGTTACCCATTTTTACGACGGGACATGACTAAAGTATCGGTCAGCATCCTTCAGCATCTCCGACGGCATATACGATCTGACCTTCTTGCACTCCTGTGCACATCGCTTAGGCTTGCAGCGATTCGCGTCGACAATCGCAATACGGGTGATTTTGTCCGAGGACATGCTGGACGACGAGTCTCCAGGTATGGTGGATGACGATAGGGAAACCAGCAATCGCAGCTGCCAAACGCGCGGGTGGCCAGAGCAATCGCACCTTGTGCTTTACTTCATTGAAATTTCTGAGCACACGTGATCAACTCTCGGAAATACAACTAAACTCATTGGCTAGCTTGGGCGGTAACAGTTACATTTGCTGAATAGGTCCCGATAAAGAGTTATCTGCAACCCATCAGCAAGCCGTCGCCCGGTGTGGCCCCATAATCTGCGACGACGCCTCCGACTCCCCAGGTCACTTTGCTACAAAGTCGGCATTCCTGCCTTGAGTGGCCCGTGTGCTCTTATGGAAATCTCAGATTCTTCCCGTCCTCCGGATCCTGCTCAGCTTGCATTTGAATCTGGCCGAACACGACGGTTGATCATTGCATCCTACTGGATCACCATTCTCCTTGCTCTACCTCTCTGGTGGACAACCACAAGCATTGAACGAAAATCACTACCTGCGGCTCGTGTATTCGCTCAGCAACACCGAGAGGTGACGCGATCGTATTGAATATGCTGTGCAGCGAATCTCATTGGAACGTAGCTGATTTTCCCCATCCATGTGCACCTGAATTCTTCAGATAGCTCTATTCACACCGCTACTCTAGCGCAAGAAGTGCAAAACTACCTAGACACTAATGCAGAGCTGCAGCATGGAAGCGGGCTGCATATTACGATCTCGCCCAACGAAACAACGTGAGTGGCAATGTGAGACATTGATCGCTTTACCTCATTGACGTTGCTCTGAAGCTCTGATGGGTATCAGGTGCTCCTGGAAAGAGGGGAACAAGAGCCGATGCTAGAGAAGCGGAGCCTGCATTTAGCCGTTCATCCAGAGGTCCATGACAGTTGTATGTCTCATCATTAGCTGTGCTCCGGCTCGAGTTGATTGTACGGGTCTCCCAGCATCCCAGATGCTAGCCATGGAAGTTGCTGATACTCTGGCAACGTTGATATCTCCGTACACCACATTACGGAGCCCGCATGCTGAACGCGTCGTCAGCTACGCGCCTCGTTATCGCCTGGCGTTCACTCTCCTCAACGAAGATGCAGCTTCTGACAATGCTGCATTGTCTTGGGATGTGCGGGAATCACTATCCAGTCTGTATCCGTATTGATCATGTTGCGTATTGTAGGTGAGCTGACTTAGTGTAGGGCATATTCAGCCGGTCCTCGATCGACTGTCGATGCTGCATAACTTCACGATAGAGAGTCAAGTGCAGTTTCATGCCCCATTAGCATTCCAGCCTCGCACCATACATCACAATGGACAGATAGCCTACGGTCTGACTCAGGAAGATCTGACCGTGTTCATTAACTCGGCTGAATGGACTCTTTGTGAGCAATTTCTGTACCTATCATAGAACATTTACTGATAAATGTAGCCTCGAGCGTTTCGAATGACCCTGTTCTACACTTCATCATGTTCGTTCCGTCATCGCGTCATAGTCCTCTGTATATTCTCGGTGACAACGGTGAGCATTCATTGTATGCGCCTGTAGCTGTAGCCAGCAGCTTACACCTTGTAGGCTCTCCCTTGTCTTCCAATGCCTTCATCCTGCCGCAATGGGGCGGCATAGTGCTCTTCAACCCACCTTCCACGAACACCACCCTGCACCTACCAGCGTCCGCACTAAATGCAATATTCGCCACCTTTCATCGCCAGCTCAAGATATTGCTTGGCGTTCCTGCGCTCCCTGCATATATGCGTCCCCGTTTTCTTGGCTCTGCAGGAATCACAGATTGGCAGCTAGATACATTAACCCGGAGGCGAGCTGCTGAGAATGCCATCGTCGCTCAGGGAACGCTGGAGAGTACTGTCCGGCTCGTATCTCAAATCGGGAATATGCCTGTTGGGCAAGACGTGAAAGGCGACGTACAGGAGGCACTAACAGCGCTCGAAAAGGTAGGTCTTGTTGTGATTGAGGCAGTACTCAAAGATGTTCAGTCGTCTTCCACAGGCTCATGAAATTACGTCCTCTTCCTCTGCATCGTCACTTCAATTTGCCGGCAAGGCCTCCGCACTTGCTTCACGGGCATTTTTCAATCCGGGAATGCTGGCGCTGCTGTATTTTCCTGCAGAGCACAAGTTCGCCGTTTACACACCGCTATTTGCATCTATAGCTGCCCCGCTTGTTGCCGCTGTCATCAGGGAGCTTTTAACATGGAGAAAGGCGAGAAGATTGTCGATTAAGGAGAAAACTGGAGCGAACGTTGAAAGACCGAAGGCCGAATAGACCACGCTTCTCAGTTTCGATCGATGGACCAACATACACCCACTGATACCTGATTTTAGAAACATATAACTACCTGTAATGATATAGTAGCGAGTTCCAGGTGGGTTCGTATCATGCTTTCAGGCAAGGCAATATATACGTTATACGCGCATGCTCGTTTTTCTTCTGCGGTAATACATTCCATAAGCAATGAAGGTCGATATATATGCAGACAAGCCAGGGCTATTCCACCAGTAAGTACACAACGTGGACAAGCCGCGACCATAACACAAAGAAATGATATATCGCGTATCCGCTGTCATATAAAGAGCCTTGTCGAGGGTCTACGCTGGACGGACACATACCTGATGACCACAGTGAGCCTCGAGCTCGCGCTTGGACTGGGGGCGACATCCTATAAGACCTGCCGACCTGAATCCAGAGGCGGAGGCGCGAAAGGACTCACAGATGATTGAGAGCGAGTGTACGTGGACCATCAATGCTGTTGGTGCTCTCAAGAGGTGCCAATAGACACAAAGTAGACGCAACTCCATGGCACATTGCGCGGACGTCCGAGAGAATGTGAAGTGAGGCGGATCGATGCTCCCAGGCTTGACGACGTGTGCCTTCTGCTCGTCGAGACATGCACTGCTGCACCGTCCCAGGATGTGGAAGGTACCTTGGCACGAGAAGAATCTGCATGATAGTGTACCTGTACGATGGAATCCTAGCAGTGAACGATCCTGTGACCGGCTGTGCATCCAAACTCGTGGGAGGCAGGACACGCATGTCGAGATATCCGGCTTGGTCTGACCAGCAAAGAAATGATTTCTCAGCAAGCCTAGCTCAGAGAGGGCTCGTATCCTTCCGCAGGTATTAGGATGCAGTAGTCATGTTGGAGGGGGTACGAAGGCTCGCCAACAGATCACCGTGAGTTATCAAGGACCTTTGAGCAAGCTAAGGACAACTTGACAAGAACCCCCCGGCAATCGCCGAATACGTTCAGGCGGAGTCCCAACGGATGGCACCAAGTCCAGAGATGGAACTCTTGCAAGGCAGTCCGCATCTTACAGCTCAAACCCTCAACTGCATTCACGCAGAGCGTACTAGTGTTCTTTATCTTCTTCTAATTTCTCACATACAACTGCTTTATGCCCCAGGCAAAGCAGGATATCCACATCTAAATCCTCAGTCGGCTGGTTTCCAAGAGTTGCTTCACTCACTATTCGTTCAAAGAACTTCGTAGTGCATTTCTGATGGGCCCAAAACGTGGACGAGGAAGGGCACCAAATATTGTTCCATTGTCTTATGATGTAAGTCAAAGTGGGCTCGTTTGCACAGGTGATCAACACTTGTTTTCTAACGCTTACTCTAGCGGCCTCCGGGGCCAGGGCAGTCACTGCCTCCCGAACCATCGAATGGATTTGGGCCATACGATAGATATCTTCCGGTACAAGGCAATCCGAGTTTCCACGATGGCTATGGTGGTGTTTACGATCCAAATTTACCCGAACACGCAGGACTTCCATTTCAGCCTCCTCTTCCTCCATTTTATTGGAGTTCTCCAAATCTCCTGAACATGTGGGATCATGCGATACCCTGGAATCCACACGACGCAGCCAAACGGACAAATGGCAGGAATCCCAGGAACAACGGTCCACGCTCGCGGGGTCGCCGTGAAACCATGGCCGAACGAATGTTCGAACCTTCGGATACTTGGAAGCAGTCGCATACTGAGTCTTTGGAAGGGCAAGTATCCGTAACATTTTTCTCTAGCGAGTTCTCCATTGACAACTATTCAGGCAAGATCAGGGCAGAGATTTCCACCCTCCACCAGAATCCACGGCACGTAACATTAGACAATTCCCGCCTCAGAGAATGCGCAACCATTATTCTCCTTCTCGCAACGGGTATTATCTGTCCCGAGACCACTACTCTCCTTCAAGTAGCCATTATTCTCCTCCCCATTTCTCTGGCGCCCGCTACCGACCGTATTCTCCATCCTTCGACATGCCTAAATCATACTCTGAATCAATTCCGGAACCACTTTCTCCTCTCTTTGATAACGGCCTGCCTTTGCAGAACCCATATGCCGAAGATTACAGGTACGACAACCGCTATGTAGACGAGCAGCTTGCATATCCTCTGCGAGCACGCTCTCCTGCAGATGATCGCGCAAGCAGACGCTTTCAGAGCCGTGATAGATCCCCGAGTGCGGGCTCCTCTCGCATTACATCCGGCTACTCTCCAACGACAGCGCGTATCCATTCACCGGAACCGCCAACGTCGCGCGGACCCTCGTTCGATTCCGGTCCGGACGTCCATACACGCCGGTTCTCCAGGCCAGTGGATAGTCCTACAAATTTGCGTGGTTCTGGTCCTCGAAATAAGTGGACTACTCCCTTACCTCCACCTTTGTCTATCCCAGGTCTTCCAAAACGCCCGGACACTATTATTCCAGGCCACGAGGTGAAGCAAGAGGACGATACGGTCACGAGACTTGAAAGCATGGATAGTATTGCCTCGACACCTCAGGAAGAATATGGTCCTCCTCGCCCTTCAGCTTATGGACAGGCTGTTGCTCATCCGGGACGCTTTCATCGATCAGATTCAGTCGTATCCTCATATAGAGTTCACCGATTCTCCTCCGGCAGTGATAAGAAAAGACGTGAGAGACGAAGCACCGGAAGTAGCGTATCGCCTGCCGATGCACCACAGAGACATGGTGAGAAACAGAGGCCCCCGAGTCTCCCGCGCGAATGGGTCCCCAATGCTGCCTATGTACGAGCAGACTCTGACATGGACATGTCTGCACCGTCGTCCCCTGTCGAAGAGGTGCACAAGGCTGGTAGTGCGCCAGGCCAGGATGTTCTCCAAGACGTTACGTGTTCTGACAAGGATGCCGAGGACGTATCTCGCACCGCAGGTGCTGATGTCGGGCAAGGGCAAGTTATTTTTTAGTCTACCATAAGAGCTCCAAGGCTAATGCGTCGATCTAAATTGTAGGCATGCCAGTCCGGATGAGTCGGATATGGAAGATATGGAAATGTCCCTTCCTCCTACTCCTGCCCATCGGCCACCGACTCCGGACATCGCGAAGGCCATACAAATAGTACAGAATGCCCAAGATGCTCCCGATCGCATCGCATCGATGTCTCCAGTTCCCGGGCTAACCATTGGTATGCCGCAAGAAGTAGTCCCCAAAGAAGAGGCATCGTCCACGTCTCCGGAAGCCAGCCAGAATGACATTGTCCTTCACAGGCCTATTTCTGTCTCGCGCCGACGGTCGTTCACAGGCATGTCAGACATGGATATGTCTCCTCCACCCTCGCCTCACACGCCTGCCGAATCTATGTTCACTCTGGTCATTACGGAGCAAAACGATGATGGCCGTATTGATGCTCGCGGTCTCGGCCCATATACCGAGCAGATGGAGGAGCTCGATGCAGAAATTCCAGGTCTGACGCAGACTGAGATGGCAACTAGTATCAAGCACATCCGTGAAGCGATTCCCGAACTTCCGCCTTCGTCTCCTACAGTCTCGTCTATTCGAAGTACCCCACAACGTCGTCCCTCAGTCGAGGAGCTTCCCCCTATTGACGGGGAGCTGGCTGTCAGCCGACCTGAGGACCACGCTCATGTCGTCGGACCCGAAATGACAGAAGAAGCGGACAACGTCGCTAAGGCTTCAACACCGGTTGCAGAAAATGTTGTGAAGCAAGATCAATCTCATGTATCTGACGGGCAACTGCCTCTGCCTACGACCCTTGACGGTACCGCGAAAGAAAAACATTCTCTCGTGCCTCATGACCGAACATCTCTGCCTACCCTTCCGGACAAGGCTGCAGATGACGAATATCCTCGCGTAGTCGAAGAACAGTCGACTCTGCGTGCGGACGAAGATATCACCATGGATGACGTTCGTCCTCATGTAGTTCTCGCACAACCATCAGCACCTAAGCAGACAGCGCGCCTTGTCGCTCAGCAGTTCGAAGCCGATAGTAGGCCTGTGCAGACAGACGGCGTGCCGATTGAGGAAGACGCGGCCGAAAATAGGTCTAGGCAACCGAATGGCGTTACAGTTGAGCAAGTCGCAGCTGAGAACAGACCTGCACAGCCCAAGGATGTTGCGATGGAGCAACTTGGATCCGGCATTAGACCGGAGACGCAGGAAACCATCTCTTTGTATGATGGTCTCCGAATGGTTGTGATGGCTCGGCTGCGTCATGACCGCCAGACGAAAGAAGAGCGCGTTCAACCGGTCCTCATAGGCAACCTCACAATCGCTGGATTCCCAACGTCTCGAGAACGAACGTCTCCTAGATCGGTCATGCGGGAGGTCTTTGATGGAGAATGGATGCAGACAAAAAGGGAAGATTTTATCAGAGCCAGGCCATCCTTGGAGACACTCTTCGCTGAGCGACAGGCAGTCATCACAAGAAAGGTGCAGAAGCTGCGTGAAGAATACCTGGCTTTGAATGAACGTTGGAAAGTCCACTGCGCCAAGCTGGATGAGGTCGCGAAGGCCGCTGCTTTATCGGAGGCCGCTGCAAACGCTGGAAGAACGACACGACGCTCAGCTGCTATGGGCGATGCTGTTCGAACAGACCTCGAAATGGAGCAAATTATCGCCAGCCTCGGCAACGAAGAGCTTACCGATGCGAACCACCTTGGTGCTCGAAATGCTGCAACGATCCCTGATATGGTATCCGTTACGAATGGCTCAGTAACCTACTTGTTCGACGACACGAATAACGAAGTCGATGATCCCGCCACATTCTATGCACCCGAGACCGGCTTTGATGACTGGACCAAAGAAGAGAAAACGATCCTCCTGGAGAAGTATGTGTTGTACCCGAAGCAGTTCGGGGTCATCGCGGATTTCCTGCCCAACAAGACTCCCGCCCAATGTGTCACGTACTACTACCTGCACAAGAACAAAATCGTCAACTTCCGTGAGATTCTCTCGCAGCACACGGCGAGTAAACGGAAGCGCGGCGGCAGACGTGCTGCCAAAAAGAAGGCCAATGCTCTGTTGACTGATATTCGCGATCATGATGCGGAGGTTTTGAGAGGTTCCACCACATCCGGATATGCGACACGCCGCAAGCGAGCTCCGAGGAATACTGATGGCGAATCCAGGCGGCCTGCTGTTTCTCGCCGGAGCACGGCTCAGGCAGGCAATTCCACCACGCCGACGCCAGATCCAGAGGTCGAGCCGCGGCGCAGACGAAGAACGACCAGGCCGACCGCACGCGCAGTCGCAGCGATGGAACAGGAGGCCGAGGAGGAGTCTGCGGTGTGTGGTGTAGTTGAAGTCACGCGTTCTTTTGAGGAATTGACATCATACGTCAATGCAGCAGGAATTTGAGATGAAGACGGTGAAGCGGGTCCGGAGGAGTCGTAAGGTCAGGTCGACAGAGACTGTCGTTTCTCCCATCGTGCCGGAGGAGGTGCAGATGTTGTTCAGTGAAACGAAGTTCATCGACCAAACGGAGCTAACGGCTCGAAAGAAGATTACTCCAGGCATGGTCTATTGGTCCGAAGAAGACAAAGGTGGGCACATCAGGGTAACTGCGATGGATATCGGCTAATCAGTGTGCTAGAGCTTTTTCTAGATCTCCTGGCTCAACATGGTGCTGATTTCAAGCGTATAGCTGCCTCGATGCCCAATAAGGTATGTGTGCTTCTTTGCTTATGAAACTCGCGTGCAGATAACTAAGCCTGACTGACGCATAGACTACTATTCAAGTCAGCGCGTATTATAAGAGCAATCTCGCTGAACTGAATTTAGCCAAAGTAGTGGCCAATGCACCAAAGCGGTCCTCATCTCCCGATGGGGTCTCAGACGCCTACAAGGATGCTTCTGTCCCCGGCTCTGGCGTCATCACTCCGACCACGGGACGGTCGACGCCGCAGCTCTCTGCATTTGGCTTTGGAATGTCTCGCGCAACTGACGATGCCACCGGATCCCCCGCAATGCAGCAGACAGCGACAGCGACGGAAAGAAGTCGGGAAGCTTCCCTTGCACTTCCCCGCTCGGTGACAAGCGCCACTCCTTCATCTTATGGGATTCAAACCCGTCCGGCCTCTGTTGGCTGTGTGCGAGTGCCGTACGGTGCGATGTCGGAGTTTCCAGAGCATGCCCTCCCTCCGCACATGCGGTCCTCGCCATCCGCACCTCCGCATCCGCTGGCAGCTGGACCTATCATCGGCGACAGCAGCAGCTTCGTCAGCCCGCTGCCCACCAACGGCGCCCCTGCAACGCTAACGATGACGTTCCCTTCGAGCTTCGCATACGCGAATTTGTCGCCGTCGCACTTCGCCGGCGACCAGCGGCCGGCGATGCGTGCCACGTTCATGCGCGGCGTCACGCCGTCCAGTGCGCCATCGAGTTCGACAATGACGTTTGATTCGTCCACGTTCACACAGCATGCATGGACACTACGGACGACGCCAAATGACTTAGTTCCGGGGATGCCTGCCACGCTGCAGACGACAGATGATCTCGTGGCGTATATTGAGCATCGCACACGCATGGCGGGGGAACGACCTTCAGACTTTATGTAGGACTCACCGGGTCTTGGCTCGCAGAACGTTTGCTATTTTACTATACGGATTCAATTTGTGCTCGTCCAGATATTGTGCTGCGCATATCTTTGTTGAATAATATACACGAACGCCGCTTTATTAATCAAGCGTTATGGTCAGCGGCGTCCCTCGACCATGATGATGTGGTATCCAAAACTCGTCTTCACGAGCGGAGAGAGGATCGGCTTGTCGACTGTCGAGGGCTCAAGTGCGAACGCTGCGTCCTGGAAGGGTCCCTGAACGATATATGGATGTCTGAGTAAACATCAAGGATTGCTACACAGACGGCGATGCTTACCACCATGGATCCTCGAGTCATCCAGCCGAGACTACCGCCAGCTACAGGATGTAGATTATAAGTATACCTGCAAGGACGAACATGACTTCGCCTCATACCTTTGGCCTTGTCTTCCGAATATTCTTGCGCAACTTTGTCGAACCGTTGTCCCTCCTTGGGTAGTTATCAGAGATCAGATGGATCAGTACAGAACCCGTTGACATGCCTGTATCTTTTGCAAGGCCTCTGTTGCCCTTGAGTGCTTCTCACACAGTATGTGGCGCACGTTGACTGCTGTCGCTGGCTTCAAACCGCCCTTTCCCTGCTTATCAGTTGGTTAACATATATTCAGCCCTAACGTAGTCGATCGCGTCAATCACCTTCGGCTTTTCTGCAGCGTCCTCGCTCTTGGAGTTACCTTTTCCTGCTTTCTTGTCTGCGGGTTTCTTCTCTGCTGTAGCAGCACCCTTCTTCGGCATGACGGTAGGAGACAGCGTTACATTTCCAAGTTGGCGCTCGACCTCGCAGACTAAATAAGATAATGACGATGCTTCTTCCCTTGATCCATTGACCATATCATGTCTTCCATGCCTATTGATTCTGTCGCAACTCGAAATGCTGCATGTTGAACAAACAGCATAGACCTGACGACGAGGGTGAATTTGAAGACGAATTTGACTCCACGAACGCTTAGCGTTCGTCTGATGTCATGCGCTCTTGCGACCGCACGCTGCTAGTAGGATTCTGTCACCAACCCTTTTACCCTCCCGGTCTACAAGGAAATACCTCTATATTATACCCTCTGTCACATCGTCGTCTGTCTTTTGTGAGCAAATGAGCTCGAGAACAAAAAGCAAGCCGTTGGTGGGTAGCATATTCTCTGGTCTATACTGCAATGGCCCAAGCGAGATATTCTCATCCTCCGGGACGTTACGTGCAGGCTATAGCTACTGTCGTTGGTAGTCTTGCCACACTCGGATACATGTATATTGCTGGCATGCAGATCAAGAAGGAAGAAGGGTCTGCATCAATCTTCAGTGCGTTCAGATTGCTGCTGTCAAGTCTATGGTGATTCATCATTTCATGGTCTTCTACAGAGGAACCTAAGGGACCGGGCAACCTCACGAATTCAGGGAGTGATGCGCGGATGAGTTCTGCTGCTGTACGATCAGCAGTACACGGGGATCGGAAATCGTGATGTTCAAAATGTCGAAAGGGACAGTATACGTCAAAAGTGTGCAAGTAATCATAATCACACGCGCTCTCCAGTTTGTGACATTGCCTTCGCGGCGGATTGCGGTCAGCGTGTGTAAAATGGGAGCAACAGGTGGATGCTGACAGTCGCCATGTCGGGAGCGATGAGGCCGGCATACGCATCCCGCATGAACACAGCGTTTGGTGATGATACGTAGTGTCCCTGCAAGCCACAAATTCACCCCTCAGCCAATACTTCTTCCCACACCGGTTCGCGATGACTCTTTGATACAAATCTGGTGATGTACCGGTGGGCCACCGTCTTGTTTCCTAGGCTTTCCTCCCCGGTCTTATCCACAGTACTCTCTGTGCACGTCTCATGATACAGCAATCTTATACATCGAGAGCCAGCCTGAAGGAAGAGAAGAAGATGGAGTTCGGCTCCTCCCCAAAACGACAGAACACCACTATGCCAAAGAATGCGAGCTCCTCCTCTGGCGCTTTCACTCATCGTCTCAAGCTTGACATCTATAAACAAGTCCAGGGTCCATCCGAACGATCTTTTGAGTCTCTTGCGAAGGACTGACGGAGTTCCACTAACGGTCTGACCAGTCGACCTGTATAGTTGCCGAGGTACCGCTCGGGATGCTACTGTCAGCCTCCGATGACATATCCTTGGCTGTTTGAAAGAGTCCAAGATGGGCAGAGTCGTGCGTCCAAGCTGGCACAACCGTCGCGGACGTAATAATCTGATAACATCAGATTAGCAAAACCTTTCGAAGAAAGCACAGATCTGCCTCGTCGAGATATTTCTGGCGGTCTATTTCACGTACGTCTCGAGCTTAACCCATATCTTCTTGCCGGTCGCTGTAGTGGTAAAGCTGAACGCCCATTTCGCGCAGTCCTCCATACGAGCGTTGTATAACACCCGGTTAAGCAGGACCCGGGTGGCTTGTTGCTCAGCGTTTCGAGCGTCAGAAGGTGCCAGCTCCTGAAAATTCATCACCCGACCGTGATGGTGAAGTTCTGTTCACGCAGATACGAGGGAATTTTGAAACATAGGTGGCGGATATATACATATATAAATCTGAAGCTCGTTCCCATTCCCGGCGTCCATTACAGGTGGTCCAACGGCCTTGACCTCTCCTGCATTTACACTTATCATCACGGATGAGACGCGCCGGGAAGTGATTCACACAATCGCGCTGTTCATACATTCAGACGTGTCATCAACCCCCCTGAGGTGCCAGCGTAACCCCCTCCTCGTTGCACGCCGAATGACAGATCCCGCCGTGAGGTATCAAGATTGTTCTGTTCAAACAAGCAGTATACGAAAATCGAACGAGGGAATATGTACATACAAATCTTCATACAGAGCCAATGTCCCAGATCGCGTCTGCCCAAGAGTATACCCATTGAAATAATGACCCTGAGCTAATCCTATTTGGCATGGATCGCGGACCGATGAGGGACACGATCTGATTATGTCTGCTTATCGTTAGGCTGGTGGACCTGTATGATATTGGCTATCCCGCCACAAAACTGGATCGACCATCTCGACTTGCGTAAACGCGGAGTTGTAATAGTTATCCGGGGACTGGTCTAATGTCGACATATCCGAGGCGAAATGCTCAAAGAAAAACTCGAATCCTTGCCGAGGGAAAGCGTAAGACGGTGCGCCATGCCCAGCCATCAGGTTATCGACGGCATGCGCCTGGCGCTGGGCAGCCTGAGAAGTACTCATAACTGGGTTGTTTGAAGGCGCGTTGTGACGCGTAGAGGGATCAACGACCGTTGTCGATGTCTCTGTGTTGGCAGTGGAGGTGGTGACGGACTTGAGCAGGGCGGTTAGAAATCTTGCATGAACAGCCGGAACGTGAGTCGAGTCTAGAGCAACCCGTTTATAGTGTTCAATAAGCATCGCCACGTCCTCGATGACGTGTGTGCGTAGGATCGGGTCTATGTTGAATCGAGCCTTGAGCAACTGAGATAAATACTATCAGTATGATATGGAGAGAGAGGACATGAGCCATACGCACCCTCACGAGAGATGCGGCCGCCAGTGTCAAGTAGAAAAACTGAGGCTAGGATGACCGAGTTATTGAGCAATCAGCAACACGCCACAACGCTCATTTCAAGCATAAGGCAAGCCTACCTCGATCGCATAAGGAAACCGCTCGATGGGATAAACCTTGACACAAAGATGGATGACCGCACGGCCCGCTTGTATGGACTGAGGCTTGATACGTTTATATGCCATGACTACCATCAAAATGTGTACTTACACGTTCCAACACATCGAAGGACGATGACGCATCCAGTTTCTCCGCAAGGTGTATGCCTACTCCGAGGATTGCCATCCGCAATGTATTTGCCGTGCTGCCCATATTATATGGTGAGCCCGCCATGTAGTATAAGCATTCTCCGAGATGACGCCCAAACTCACAGTTGAACCATCACGTCAAGCCGAAGAGACGCTATCACAGCATATATTTCAGAGGCTATGCAATCGCATGAGGAAAAGCACACTTACTCTTCGCTATTTCTGCGGTAGGCTGCCTCCAGTCAGAAGCCAGTTTGGCGAGCTTTTGGTCGTAGTCCAAAACTGCCGCGATAGAGGCGCCATGCTGCATAACAATGTAGTTGCAGACTTACTTCCAGAAGAGCTACTCACCTGAGCTTGATCCGAGTCGATGGCGTGATAAAACTGGGTAACGAGCGTACCTATATCGATGCATGCACAGAGATATATATCTGACAAGTGATCGACCGAGGACCACTTGAAGCTCTTCGGGAACGTACGGGCAATGTAATCATTTGCGTTTAGCAAGGATTTTCTTCCGGTCTGTATACAGTGCGACATATCAACGCCGATCACTTGCAACCAGGTACGCATGCGGTTCAGTCTTTCCCGTTCGCTGCAGCTTGGCGGTGGTGCCTTGTCCAATTGAAGATCCTGGGCTATTCTATAAAGACATGTCAACAACAAGTTGGTCAAACATCACTATTGCTGCGATAACGTACCGACTTGCCAAGCCGGCTAATAGCGAACCTCTGCCCTCGGACCACTTTTTTACTGGGCCAGGAAACACGGCCATCAATACATAAGCCTGGCAGGTCTCGATGGTTTTACGGCCTTCTCTCAGTGCTTCGGCGGCAGCGTCAGACGCGTATTCCATAGCTAAATGATGCAGCCTTGGCCTATAAGTCCAAAAACGGGAAGAAATGGCAATGACTGTTGTTTCATTCCGATGTTACATAGTGTAAAAACCTCACGAAGTATCAACTCACTGACTGTAAATAATAAAGGAGAGCTTGACAAGACACGTTGTGGAGTGTGCAGAACAGGATCCAGTAACGGAACCGATGGCTGACCGGCCTTCAATATCGAATGTACAGTTGATCGAGGGGAATACATACATTCAAGTTATTGAAGTAGCTGCGGATTGGGTGAGCGAGAATGAATCAGAAACAGGCATCTCTAACACTTACAAACTAAACAGCGTGTCTATGTCACTGGGACTAAACAGGCCGCATTTCAGGATACCAACATGTACTGAAAGGGCCGAGAGTGAGATATGTGTGGCAGCATAATGCTGATTTGCGTCATCGAAGGAACATACCGCCAGTAGTTATGGACGAGGATGGAGCCCGGCAAAGCATTGTGGAGCACCCTATGGTGAACGCATCCGCCGACTCGACACCGTAAGATGGTGGCGATCTGCGGAGGATTGTTGCGTTTCGTTGGATACCTGAAATGGAAAGAGTCATCGCATTTTGCATAATTCGATCGTGGGCTAAGACGCACTGTCAGTGTCAATTGGGACCATAGCGGCAGCTTCCACCTCAGCCTCAGTTATGAGATGACGGTATTTCGACAGAGCTCTCATTTCATCCAACTGGCGCAGAAGTGTCTGTATCTGTTGATCCTGCAATTGCGATCGCCTCACTAGGTCCTCGTGAGTACTACAAGGGTTCCATAATCAGTTTCACGACGATATTTTGAGAGCCGTTCCATGTTCAACTTACGGCGCAGGTCGTCGTTTCTTTCGTCCAGTCAAAATGCATTCATGGCTATTGAGTTTGCATCTCATGCACGTGTTCTCCTCCGGAATGAACTCACAGCGGATCTAGCAGACATCAGGACGACCATAGACGCTGATGACCGACCGCAGCATCTCGCCTTCAGTGATTTACATTGAACACAAGCACTAGCTCTTGAGTCCATATACATTACTTTAGTTACCAAGTGAGAAGCACACCACTTACGGTCTACGTGTAGGCGGACAACCTGAGCCCTCGCTCCTTTCACCGCTCAATTGTGCATCGCTATGGGCGCTATCATTATCACGTTTCCGGTTGTGAGACATAGTGCTGATTGATCTAGTCGATGACCAGAGTCCACGATAAAGCATGCGAAGTCCGAGGGGGGAGGAGGCCAGGGTAGTGATCAAGCTTGTTCACAACTATATATCCGGTGCTCAGTAAGAAATATCAGCTCTGTTATAAGCGCTTACTGCGTGCTCGGCAATGGAATCAAAATTACGGCAAGCCGACGGGTCATTACTCACTTGATGACAAAAAAGGTTAGGAGAGTATGCCAATGCTGATCTCCGAGAACACACGGCGGCGGTTTTCATGACGATTCCCCACAAGAGGTGCGGTGTTGTTGATGTGAGGCGGGGAACAACCGACTCGCGACTTGCCGATACTATTTCCACACAGCTGACACCGTTCGAGCGATTAGAACACGGTTTCAACAATCTGCCGGCCGCCGATAGCATCTATGAACAGTTCGGTACTACCTGCTGCGTCCTACTGAGCCCGCGTTTTCTACAATCGACAGTGCACCAGAAGGCGACATACAAACGCTTTGATGAATGGGCCACCAGCGTCTGGGTGAATCCCCGTAGAGCGCTCGCGGCGGCGCATCGGAGAAGGGAGTGCTTATAGCACGTTAGCAACCCGCCTGCATGATGAAGGTGAAACTCACGACGGTCATAACTATCGAGAAACGGAGGACACATTATTTATGGACCGATATCATCGGAGAATCGAGATTCACTTCTCGGTTAGCATAAGCGAGACCCAATCGGAGGACTTCTACAGCCTGATTTTTACTGAATGATGGACAAGCTACGTGTGACATTATGGTTATGTGATGGCTCCGAGGGGGCGTACCTTGCTTGCACTGAGAAAGTTCCTTTGTCGGCTAGGACTGCTGCAACAAAAATATGATCGTCAGGGCCATCATGTCTTTGGTCGCGTGTGGAAATGAGGACAACCAGATGATCTAACGATTCAACCGCTAGAACTTTAGGTATCTTTCCGCGGAACAATCCGACCCTCCGTATAGTTGAGCTTGGCGGAACGCATGAGTATATCCATCATACCTGTCTCGGGCGATGGGATTGTATCCTTAACGCTCGCGGCTATCGCAAAAAAAGGAAAGTTTGAGCAACCTTCAATGGTCGGAGACAGAATTTGGCCGCGTTATGATGCATCATTCGGCATTGGACTAGACGCCGTAGCAACATCTTCTCGTTTGCACAACCAGGAGCACATTGTTATGAGCGCAAATTACAGATATTGCGCTATTGATATACCACGCCGCAGTTACGCCGCAGTAGACAGGCCGTGACTTCTTGCTTCTACGCGAATGCATTTGCTTGTGTTCTTGCAAGCCGTCCTTCAAACACAGAAGCATGCACGGTCCCCATACGTCCCTGAGTTCGTTCAGGGTCAGCAAATGATCATGATAGCGCATTCAGCCGCACTTACGTCCGCACTTTTTCCATGGTTCCGCGTTGCCGCACGTAAAGCACTTCTGCCAGGGTCCCATACGCGTGCTTCGCATTTCGTCTTCCAGGTTGACTTCCTCGAAGAAGTCTCCTGGAACGTCGACGCGAAGCTGGCACAGATCTTCAAAGCTTCTGATAGTCTCATGTCCGCCTGACGGCACAAGACTGCTGTTAGTATATCCATCGGTCAGATACATCCGCCCGGTATCCGGATCAGTGTGAAGGCGGCTCTGTGCACGATAGATAGGAAAGTCCTACGTGAGGACGGGCTTCCGCTTCAGGTCCGGAGTCGAATGCTCTAGAACGAACGTCCCGGCAAAATATGTGAAAAACGAGCAGAACCCCATTGACACGAAGAGAGTTGGTAGTCAGGTTATATCCCCCACATAGGACAGCCGCATTGAGATCGGGTTTCCGCTGGAAGACGCTCAAGATCAGAATCAACCCTGACGAGTGGAAAGCACCACTGACGAAAGTCCAAGCCATTTTCGTTCACGGGAAACGGACGTTGCCCGCCATCCTCTCCCAGCACCACTCCCCTCTGCGGGTATCCTAGCTCCAGAGATCGTCATATGCGTGTGACTGTGCAGCCGCATGGGGCTCGTGGAACATCTGCGCTGCAGACTGGTCCGCTGTTCCCAGAAAATGTACACTCTCACTCCCTTCCCATCGAGTCAGCTCCCTAGAAATTCCTTGCTCCTGGCTAATCGTTGTCAGGGACCGCTGTACTAGGAGTGCTGGAACGAGCTCTCATTTTCATGTCTCCAAGTTAAGCACCACAAAGGCGTCGCACTTGAATTTACGCTTCTAAATTGAGCCGCCGAAAATGCACATGCCTCCACGGACGATGTGCAGCGGGAAGTCGGAGAGAACCGCCCCTTCGACTAGCCTCGGCAGCGGCTTGCCCGCTTCATCGAGGTATGATACGTGGATTTTCCCCCAGCGCTCGTTGACAAGGCTGGAACACGAACTCGTCGGGTGCCGTTGAATGTATAGGAGAGGTTCTTCTGGACGGCTATTGCGTATTAAAAAAGGACGATTTAAGCCAGGAAGGTGATTTTCGCCATCCACGCAGATTCTTTGAGTCGAGATGACGGATATCGGTACACACAGAACGTCCCATTTTTATTCCTTCGACCACACAAGGCGAACTTCAAAAAATGTAAAGATCAGAGTTATTCGTGCATGGCCCTGATGATCAAGTGTCGTTACTTTTCCATCAGAATTTGCAAAAGAACGTGCGAGGTGCGATGTTCTTGCCCACAATCGGGATGACGCAATTGCGTGAGAGCCTTGAACGACTCACCCGATAGGAGAGCGGCGGAGGAGGGGGATCAAGCTTCACAGAACAATTGTCAATAACATCATCTTCCACAACTCGGGGGTAAGCGGCTGCTCCAATATTCCAAAGAGCCAAGGCGGTGTCCGTTGCCCTGACCAATGCAGTGCTGCGGTCAAAAATAAAATCTTGTTGCGCTGGCTCCAGGACCCTTAGTTCCGCAATCCATATAAAGTTGGTGACGCCAGATAGATTTGCCACCAAAGAATGGCTTACTTGTCGTGAATCGCGCGTTGTTATACAACACAACCACCTCCACGATGCGACCCCGCACTTGAGAGGACCAATCCACGCCAGCTTCATCTAGGTCTCCGACCTGACCTCGCCATCCTGAGCAGGCGTAAATTGAATCGTCGTAGTCCTCCATAATGAATTCTCGATAGCTGGCATATAATCAACGTGTGCTCTGTCGTTGAAGCTTTTGAAATGAGAACCTCGATCGACTGCGGGCAAGCTGCACCTTCTCTCTGTTCCTGAAGTCAACCGAATTTGCAAGAGTGCTTATGACATGTGTGCACGGGTCTCGCCTTCTCCCGCTAAGTCCTAGATGTAGGATGCAAAGGCCGCGACCACTAATCCAGGACTATCATCACGACATCAGTTTCGGTGTCTGGTGATGTTAAGAACTCATTGCTCCATGCAGATATCTCTCCGACCAAACCAGTGCTCAGTAATCCAAGCAAGAAAAACATACCATGATTGCATCGGCTCAACAGGACGCAGCAGCATGCGCTTTTTGGAAGGTCACAATGAGAACATTAACGCGCGGTCACGGGATCACACGCGTCAGTGGAAGGGACACAGGCTTCCGGCCCTAGCGTCTTGGAGCTTTGCATAATATTCAGATAAGCATGATACAGAAGACACTCCAGAGATATCATCCAATATTATAGAAATTACCTCACGCTATCAATGGAGCCAACTGTAAAATTGTGTATAATTCTGCAGCTTTCGAAGCAGATGATGGTCAAGTTCAACGTTTATATCTCCGTAGAGACGACATCATGTGTCATACACAGAAGCCATATAATTCAAATTTGACACACATGGATAAAAATAACGTTCAGCTCGTTAGGGTGTTGCCAGGTCACCCGTGGGCTCGGATGCGTTCCCGCTGTCTACGCTACCCCGATGCGGGAGCATAACGTGTATTGCGTCCTCTTAAATTCCGCATTAAACGTAAGCTCTTACTAATATAAGCCCGTTTTTATCACAACCCGTCGATATCCCCATTGTTTCATACTACTTCATGCATTCATGGCGCAGAGTAATGGCGCAGAGTCAAGCGTCTGTACCTGCACGAATAGACGCCCGAGCGTTCATCCCGGACTATGTTCCCACGCCCCATCTCCGCCAGGCTCGTCTCCAGGCTATCGCCTCCTCTCCAAATTGCGCACCATTCAGTACCTTGACTCTTGCTATTACCGCCATGTCTCTCCCCCGAGCGAACTACGATCCTCGCCGGGTCTGCCTGAATCCCTTCCCTGCCCTCAACATTGGGAAGCACAGACGCACTATTGGGATTTACCTCGCGGGTGGCCTCGTACGTGCGCAGTCGTTCCCAGCAGGCGTACCGACTGACACGCGGCTTCACATCCTCTTTGCAATGTGACCTGCGATTCTATGACGGCAGTTTGCGCTCGCGAACTGGACATTCCTTGACGCCGCCATCCTCTCCGCACATGCACACTCACCATATGGCGAGCCGGACATCCCGCCGCCCGTGCACGTCACCTTCGTCGACTGGGTCCCTGGAATCTGCTCTCTACTTGGAATGCTTGTCGTCAACCTCATTGACAAGGACAGGGTGCGCGGAGAGGAGGGGTTTGGCGACAGCGGGGCAGTCTGGCGGGCGCGCCTGATCCTGTTCATTGGGTTCGCGCTTATGGCTGGTGGACTTGCGGGCAGTGTGGTGCGTACATAAACAGATTGTGCATTCCTCCTTATCTGATGGCTCCCACCTGTATGGCGCTGGCAGACAATCCTTGTGCTCAAATACATCCTCCCAGAGTACACGGAACAGTACACGTACTACGGCTACGCGAACGTCTCGCAGAACGTCGCGCTCATGCTATCGGCCGTTGTGCTCTGGATCTCGCAGAGTGTCAGCAGCGAGTATGAATATAACCTCGCCATTTGATGTATCGCCATGTACCAGAAACTCATGGACGCATGTGTATTGCCACTAACTCTGCTTTCTGTTCGTCGGACTATGGTACATCTATGATTCTCCTAGCTTCACGTTCACGAGGAATTGTAATTGTGCGCTGAGCATCCATGCGCTCGGACCTATGACATGCGGTGCTATGCCATACTCAAGGCATTGCGAACTATCTTACTCAATCATCAATTGACCGACGGCCCTAGTAATACTTGAAGCCCTGACGGTGTAGTACGCAACGCGTACACGAATGCGATATCAATATTGATGCATCGATGATCATTCACACGGGAGAAGACCCAGGGCGCTGACATTCCATCCTTTCCCTCGACCCTGACGTGCGCCTTTAGGCCCAACGCGCGACGTCTACTGTCTCCTCTGCCCTCGCTACGAAGGTTAGTCCGAGCCCAGAGCACGGAAACTGCGCTCAGGCCCTTCATCGAAGATTCAAATATTCAATATTCGGCGCTCAGCACTCAGTTGATCATCGCGATTCACGACAGCGTGAACTGGGTCGTATGTTCTCGTCGCCTGCTCTTGCAGTCGCAAATCTGACAGCTCTGACTTTCAGTGTCTTGTATGAAGCCACTGACGATCTGTCTGGGCGAGTGAAATTTCTGCGCTGAAAGCTCCTCACGAGCTTGCGAGCGGCCGTGAGGCCCAAAATAGCTCTTTGCCTGTGCCTGTCGACCACGCTGCGTGACAGTACAACTTGGACCGTACACTGATTCCAACATAAGCTCATCCGGGTCTGCTGCTCATCACCCTGGCTCGTACGGTCGTACTTACTTCACCAGTTGTTCTTTAACTGGTCGACCACTACATTGCTCGCGTTCTCGCGAGCATCGTTCATCAAAGTCCTTGACAACTCTACGGCATCGATTCGAAATCTTTCCCTTTCCCAATTCTCTGTCTCGACCTCCAGAATGACCTTGGTCTCGCTGAATGCCGATGTGCTCACCTATCTTCTGTCGTTTCTCTCGACAAAGCATGCCTTCTGGCTTTCTCTTACCACCAAACAGATCCATACACTTGCTATGCAACAAGTATATCGCGTGATCACTCTCAAGCACCCCGAACATGTTGCAGAAGTGTGCACGCTCTTGCTACGGGATCCTACGAATCGCTTGGCCTACGTGCGAGAACTGCGGATTGGTGGCTCTGCTCTGGATAATGCCGAGCAGGCCGTTGCTAATCAAATCGTGGACGTGCTCCTGCATCCTTCCTCGATGATGATCCAATGCTTGCAGCTCGGTCGCATTGAGTGGATTGTGTGGAGTGAACCAAAGTTTGTTGATGCTCTGATAGCACTGCGAAGTTTGACCCGGCTTGAACTCGAAGGCATAGGGACGAAATCCATGGCAGTGATCGAGAGGCTGTCCTCTAGGCCTCGCAGCTTGTGCCTGCAGTTCATGAGGTTCTTCACTGCGGATGAAGACCTCCCTTCCCTCTTCTCCAATGTCCAAAGACCAGCAATTGCCAGTGGAAGCGTGGTTGAGCAATTCACGATGTCGTCGGGGCAGGCTAGCCTTTTGTTGGCCCCCGCGTCATGTTCACAATGGCTGGCCCTTCAGCATCTTTCCATTACAAATTGCAATCTACCGATGTCAACTTTTTGCTTTGCATTCCCGAATGTGAAGAGGATTCGTTTACAAGGAGTTACGTCTACTCTTCGCTCACATGCCGACAACCCATGCTGGACGCATTTGGATTTCCTCGATATGGGCAATATCACATCTGACTTGCCGGGTGCGATATTTGTGCCTTGGGTGGTGACTTGCCGGGTGCGATATTTGGCGATGGGCATCGATCTCCGTGCGCGTATAATACGGGAAACTGCGCTGTCCATAGTGAAACTCACGACACCCGTCATACTCGAGTTGACATGCAACCCGCATATGAACGGCAAATTCTGGAGGACAGTGGCGGATAGTATGAGAGGGAGATTGCATTACCTCGTGGTGATTCTCAAGCGCGACGAGAGGTCCTCCCCAGCTACGCATATAGAGCTGCTCGAATATTGGAAGGTCAGGTCCTCGAACATATCCGCTGCAGTTCCTCGCTGACATTTTACTTGTAGTGGCAAATGTCCACGTATATGAGCAGTTTGGGCATCACTTGCATCCGCATATGCTGCACGTCCCGCGCTGATCGACAAGTCCTGCAAGATATACCCACCCTCCTGACCAATGTCACCTCATCTTTGCGTTACATCGCTTTAGAACACTATCCTTCTTTGGAGCGCGACAGCTGGTGCGATGGCCGATATGACGGTTGCCAGTCTGAGAGTACGTGGTGGCGTATTGTGAGAGATGGATCCAGGAAGTCTTTTGCGAGAGTGGCGACCGAAATAGGTGAACGTGTAGATGCCTATTTCAAATCTGCAGACATCGAGTCCTCCCTACACTTCGTAGACCCTCTTGACGGGATGTGAGTACTTCTTCTTCGTTACCATATGTTTGGTTCGTACTCGTGCCCTATGTCCTATGTACGTTCCTTACGATGCAAATCGGTATAGTTGTCTCATCGGTTATCAAAAGCTCTCTATGATGGCGATTCAATGACTGACGCTCTTCAGGCAAAGAAACTGAAGAGTACCATAGCGCGATGGAACAAGCAGGGCCCAGGGAGCAAACCCTCAGACAGGACGCCGTGCGATATGACTGACCTGAAGGCAAAACGTGGAGTCTGTATCCTACGAAGTGAGTGAGACGGTTGAGACACTCATCTTGGCGTTAAGAGGATCTTCGGACAGTGCATATCTTTCAACGTTGCAGACGCGGCCCCAATTGCGCTGTAGCATATAGCCCTTGTCTTCGCGGGTGGAGGCGCCGACGTGAGGAACATGCATCTTCCCGAGGAGCAAAGAGAACTATAAGATCTCATGCGAGCGTGCAGAAGCTCAGCTGTGTCGGCATCTCGTGAACAGTGCAAACAAGCAATGATGGAGCACGACTTTGGGAACATCGACCTTCGACCTCGTCGAGAGCACGTTCCACAGCAACATTGTATAGGTGTTCAAGGTCACCGAGTTTGCACTCCCGCGGACAGGCTGCGGTGTGAGCATCATAAAGAGGACGTTGACGACTACGTTGAAAGGCTCGGTGTTGACGGTGTGTTTCATTGTGGCGAACGGCGCGCTATCATGCGCTGTACCACGTCCGAAGCAGGCCAATTAACTGGCATTGTGAACCTTCTTGTATTTCAGGACTCATCGAGGTCATTCCTCAGCGTGACCAGCGCCATCACTTCATAATCAGTGCATATCGGATCCAACCCGCCTTCCGACCAGTCGAGCAGAATGGAAGGACGGCGAGAACACTAGCCTTTCGAAGAATCAGTCAGTCCCGTCAAAGGTTGCACTGACATGCATGTGTACACGTTCTTCGCGAGCGAAAAGCTGAAGCTCTGCTGAGCGCGGATCATGCATCAGCACCCCGCAGGTGATTCTGAAAAAGGCGACCTTGGGAATGGAGAGCAGAAAAGTGCAACCTTGTGAAATGTATCAGTGCTCGTCAGTGCACGGCTGTCCATGCAAATGGTTTACAACCATCATTTGAAAAGACCTCCGTAGAGCTTCCTGCATACAGGCCTTCTTGTAATGCACACGCAAGGAAAAAAGCACCAGAGGGCATGCTGGCAATGCTGATGCCGGTTTTCCCGAGACAGAAGTCCTTCAACTCCGTCCGATTTGCAGATACACAGACGCATCGTTTTGCACGACTACGTTAAGCCCCTGCCAGAAATCAGCTACATCGCGCCCAGAGGAAGTCTCGAGAGTTTTTAGTCGAAACAGCATCAGAGCTGGAAACAACCCGACCCCGTCTCGCGCAGTGTGACTTGGCGCGTCTGTCACGGACTTGTCACGGTGCGGGGTCGGGCATGTCCCTTAGTCAGCAAACAGCACTGCGACCAAATCTCCACGTCTGCACTCCGGAAAACACATATCAACCGTCTCTCTTTCTGTCTTGCTTGCATAATCCCTTCTTGATTTTCTTCCTCCGTCGACACTCAACCAACTTGACTGCTGCCGCTGAAAAGTAGTCATCATGAAGCTTGTTTTCTCGCTGTTCGCGGCGGCACTTACAGTCGGCGGGGCGCTCGCGTCCAATGTGATCGACCTTGTCCCGGACAATTTCGACGAGGTCGTCGGGCAGGGAAAGCCTGCCCTTGTCGAGTTGTGCGTATCTCAAACCACTGAAAGTGAAGTATATCGCTGATGTGAGCTTGCGCGCAGCTTTGCGCCATGGTGTGGCCACTGTAAGGTATGTCGGTCACCGCATTGTTCCAGGATCTCTCTTTGACCTCAAGTGTATCAGAACCTTGCCCCTGTATATGAGGAGGTTGCAAATTCCTTCGCACATGCGAAGGACAAGGTCGTCATTGCTAAGGTGGATGCGGATGGCGTTGGCAAGCCGCTGGGGCAGAAATATGGCGTTACAGGATTCCCCAGTGAGTGTAATGCCTGCTTAGCAAGTGATTTGAAGGATTGATGAGGGTCTTTTGTTGTTCAGCCTTGAAATGGTTCAATGCTGATGGTGGCGAGCCGGAGAAGTATGAGGGCGCCCGTGACTTTGACTCGCTTGCGAACTTGTGAGTGGTCTATTCTCACTTCCACGATAGAATGCCGGTTGCGCTTCAGAAATGGGGAGCTCAGGAACTACATTATGCTGGCTTTGACACTCCTGGACAGCTGCCGCTGTGCAATGCAGTGCTGCTGCGGAATCAAATGTCGCATTGTCTGCTGTCACTGCTACATCCGCTCTATGCCATCTCTACTGAGCTGACACTGATCACTATTACCATAGTATCACCTCGAAATCTGGTGTCAAGTCCAGCGTTAAACCTCCGCCGCCGCCTGCCTACCAGATCCTCGATATCAGCACCTTCGATGAAGTCGTTCTGGTGGGTTGATCGTCATTCTATTCATGTACCTTGGCCTTTATCAACGCGCCTTGTAGGATTCTGACAGCGATGTAATTGTTTCATTCACGGCGCCGTGGTGCGGGCACTGCAAGCGCCTGAAGCCGACCTGGGACGACGGTGTGTACCAGTCTGCTTTGTTTGAGATAACCGAAGACTGATTGTTTTTCTATAGTTGCCAAGGACTTCGTTGCCGAGTCGACGGTATGCGGTGTTGTGCTTGTGCGAGATACGAAGTGGTTGCTCATAAGCTGCACAGTGCATCATCGCCAACATTGACGCAGATGCTGCGCACAACAAGCCGCTCGCGGAGAAGTACGGCATCAAGAGCTTCCCCACGATCAAGTTCTTCCCGAAGGGCCACAAGGGTGAGCGCCATTGAAAGAAATTGACCAGAATCCTCAGTACTGATAAATTTTCTCCTCTCCAGATGAACCTCAGGACTACGAGGGCGGTCGATCCGAGGAGGCATTTGTTGAGTTCCTGAATGAGAAATGCGGCACGCAGCGCGCGCCGGGCGGTGGTCTCACCGAGCTCGTACGTCGCTTCCTCCTCTCGCCCACCTGACCTTGCCTGACACATTGTCCTGCACAGGCTGGTCGTCTGCCCGAATTCGATACGCTCGCGTCGCAGTTCTTCGCTGCAACAGGTGCTGCGCGGGACGCGATCTTCAAGGATGCATCTGAGCTTGCGGCGACCTTTGGCCCCCATGCGAGCCACTACGTGCGCGTGATGGAAAAGGTCGTCAATGGCAGCGACGAGTACGTCGAGAAGGAGACGAAGCGGTACGTGGCCCCCTTTCCCTACTCCCTATGCCGCGGAGCTAGCAGTTCATCCTGGCTTCGGCTGTCCCCCGCAGACTCGCATCTATCCTGCAGAAGCGCACGCTCGCGCCGGCGAAGCTTGACGAGCTTAAGATCAAGGCGAACATCCTCGGGGCGTTCAAGAAGGCCGAGGAGAACATCGGCCGCGCCACTGCAGAGCTCTAGGCTTTGTGATGTGAGAAATGATGCAGCGCGATGTATTTACCCTATAATCCGATTCCCGTATGTATTCCCTGCCTTGGACATTTCTCCTTTGTCGTTCACATCTGGCGTGCGAGTCGTGAATGCGTGCATGATTGTAGGCGTGAGCTTCGGCGATATGGCGCTGCGGGAGACCCAAGGTGGGGATGGTATCTGTGCTAACCTGGTATCGGGCGGACCTTCGCGCCTGAACTGCCGTGCATAAGAGGCAGGATGAAAGGAAAGTGGGAGAGAAGGAGGGCCCATATGATTCGGACGCGTCAGGGAATACGTTTTAGAGAACGCGGCGGAGGCGAATAGACGTGTACCAATCCTTCTCGCAGCGGATAGGCTATGTCGTGTGGCCGGCGTGGGCTGACGTGCCAGCCAGGCGTGGTTGGTATGCATATGGTAGTATGGAAGGGGAGTCCAATTACGCGCGCATGTGTTGAGTCAATGAGGGAAGTTTCTTCCTGAATGGTCTCGGATCTGAGCGAGGGAATCCATTGCGATCAAGGTGGAAAGTTATGAACGCTAAACGTTCCTCATGGCTTCGCACCCAGTAAGTTCATATTGACTCCTCAACTGAGTCCAATGTGGGGTTCCGCACAGAATGAAAGGAGCAGAACGGAGTGACATGAAGGCCACGTTCGATCCGTTCATTTGATGATGATGATTCTATGATCCGCTGGCTATACATCGTGTCATGAACACTATTCAGATACTTGAAGAGCGACTTTATTACATACATATATCATACGCATGTGCGCTGTGCCATTCCCGTGACTTCGCGTACTAATACAGTGCATATGAGTGAAAAACTTGCAGAATAATCGAAGCTTCGCCCGTGACGAACCGGAGCATCGCCTCGGGTGACTGTGTGGAGAAAGCTATAGAGTTGCGGTTGCAGATGAGCAGATGAATTGCTGACGCCACATCCAATGAATGGCACAAGGTCCAGGTCGAACGACTTGATCACTCACAAGGTACCGTGTCATTTCAGAACTTGTGTAGCTCATGCACCTCATGTGCGAGGAAAGCCCGAACTAACTCAAATACCAACCTTGGAAAAGCACGCTACCAGTGATTGACCGCGCCATACCCGCAGAATGACCGTCAAGGCTTGCCATCTTTGTGAGACATCCAATATGGAAGAAAGGTTCCGAGCGGACAGGTCGCCACCGTGCATCCCGTGTCTGTGCCAAGGGATAGTTAGGTCCGTCTCGACCTGATGCTGTCAATGTCAGCCAGACGTATATGATGCTGACAGTGGCTGGTGTTGAGAGATTGTGCCATGCAGCCTGAGCCGCGAATGCCTGTGCGCTCAGATACTGCACCGAGAGGCTGGCATTCGTCAATTGACAGCGATGCTCGACGGACCACCCTGAGTATAGAACTGCGACCCTGTTTTTGAATACATGGGAAGCGAGAACAATAAGCAAGACTAGCGCACCAATTACAACGAGTTCCATATGCTGAGGTCGTCAAAATCCCGTCGACAAGCTCCGCTTCGGATAATTGCACCATCAACGCCGTTATCAAAGTGCCTGGACTATCTTGGCCTGGGCAGCCTCGCACGTCAGAACTCGAAGAAAGATGACTTACTTTGTGAGAGGAGAGGTCCACGACGTCCGCACCGTTCGCCGTAGCGAGCATCCCGAATGCCGTAATGGGCACATCGGATCGCTTCCTAAGCTCTGAGCGTGACTCCACCTCGCATGCTGACTGGCGCCGTGGAGTCGAAAGAGTAGAGGATTCTTAAACGATTCAATTCCCTTCTCAGTAACGAAGACCCTAAATATCCTTCTCAAAACATACCCGCATGTTCCTTCTGTCGCAGCGCAGAGCACGCGTCCCTCGAGGGTCTAGCGCAGGAGCGTCTGATAAGCGCCTCTGAGTGAATTGCAACAAGCACTCCGGGGAGGATTCGGGACGCAGTAGCTCCATAATCGTGCCGAAAAATACAAGGGTATACATAGAGGGACTGACGCCAATTCTGCGCGGTCGGCGGTGCGCCGTCATACTGAACTCTACTGTGAGAACCATCTTTCTCGAGTTGCCGCGGAGCTAGTGGCAGGTGCTTCCTTCATTTTAGGTCAGCAGCAGTTCATGTTCGACGATCGTGGCAACAGCGTATTCCGAAACGCACCCACCACACTAATTCGCATCACCTAGGCAATACCGACACCGACGCTAGTCTCGCAAATCACAAGTTGCATTGCGGCGACGAGCGATATCACCCACTGGCGTGCATCATGCATCACGCCTCACGAATCACCGAGTAAAAGTCCGAGATCCCTGTGACGATTTGCGGAATCAGTTCCTGGCGTAGACCTTGCATATGGGCTGCGTGAGACCCAGACCCCCTTCTGCGATATGGAAGGTGCTGAAATGAACGTCAATCGTATGCGTTGGCCGCGCTGTCCAGACCAGACCTTCTGGATCCAACCGCCCTCAATGCAATCCGTCGCGATCAGCGCTCCACCATCGCTCTCCTCGTGCCATCGGTAGTGTCCAGGCCTGAGCTCCGGCGAGCACAATAAGTAATCGCCACTTACCTGCAACCGGTACTCCGAATCGCAACTGCAAGCACCGACGACCAAGACGCCTCGCGGCGACAGAGAAGTCCCCGAAGAAAGCCACTAGAAGCATCGTACAGAAGGTAATGACCTGAGGAAAGGCCATCTGGCGGCGTGCTCGGGCAGTGATCCAGGTGACGAGATTCTCGCGTGAAATCGAACATTTCCCGACCCGGCTGGCGAGGAGTTCAGTGCCACGTCTATGGGACCAATCCCGAGCCGCCCGTGTGTCCGCGTTCTGATGGGTGAGAATATCTGCCCTTAGCGGAGCCATCAACTCAAGCTTCTGCTTCGAGCCCGGCCTCCAGCGCCATGCACATATCGAGAGTCAGACATTCCGATCATGGAGTCGAAGCAAGATGCAACGGCTGCATAAACATGACAGGCGCGTCCGCTTAATGTTGCTCCCTGCGCCATGCACCTCAATAGTCGCATCGAAAAGCGCTCCGATCCTTCCTTCCAACCAAGCGGACAACACGTACCCCAAAGTCTCGAGGCTCACCGTACACCAGTAGCATATAGAGTGGGAGGTGCCTAGATCAGCAATCAGCTGACAAATCCGCGTGGGAGATTGAATACCTGTAGCGAGTCAACCTGCCCCGGCTCAGCGGGATGACAGGCGATAGAATGAGCATGCCGCTGTAAGGAAGCGGTCGGTCTCAGAATTTAAACGATTTCATGTATTGACGTCAACATCATCTCCGAGGTGAATCGGGAAAGTGGTGACTGGGTACGTAAATCACAGTTTATCTTTACTGTATACGTAGCATAGATCCGGTAAGCGCACTGCTCGACTGTCGGAATTAGACCGGAAACTCACCATGAGAATATCCAGAGTATGATTGGGCTATTTACGACTTGTGCATATGGAGATTCTGATAACGGAGGGCGCGGATACATGGAATTGTCGTGCTAGTGATAACAGATGGAGGGAGACGGCGCCGGGAAAGGGGGAGTTACAGAGATTCAGTTGCCAATGAGATATCCAAAGAACACTTGCACAATTGGACGGATCCACAGCGAGGAGGATGTGCATTGGACGATGCATAGATAGTCGTCAAGGAGGAAGAATAACGTCGAGAGAGTTGAATCTCTTGGATTGGGAACAATACGAGGTACACAGGGTCCGATGGAAGAGTTGAGTCTTCCGCAGCTAACATATAGAGCATGAGAGGATCCGAGGCAGTCTATGGGTAGCGGCTCCGAGATAACGCAGACGATTCGGAAGGCGCTGAACTCCGTCCAAGGTCGTCAATAGTAATAGAAACGGTTGTCCAGGCGACCATCAACCTCCTGCAGACCCGGCACAAACTGCTGGAAATCCATGAGATCGCTCGGACTGTCCCACTGACAAAACGCATGCTCGTGCGTGACGACGCCGACACCAATCTTGCCCTGCCAACTGGCGTCCGCAGGAAAGATATCGGCTCCGAAGGCGTCCTTCATGCCCATCGCGCCCGCGAACGGAGGGAACACGGACGGAACCGCCAAGAACGTCTGGCCCGGGGTACACTGCGGCAGCGCGTCTCCGTCCCAGCCCTTCAGCGACGAGTAGGACGAGCACACAGGCACCTGATACCTCTCAAAGGGATCCATGAACGGCGAAGTTACCGCAAAATTCGCAGCGCAATCCCCCTCGCCGAGGTTGGAAGCGGGCGAGAGCGGGGACTGGATGGGACTTGACACGCCTTCGACGTCCGCCTCGAACGCAGACAGCGGAGGACTCCAACAGTCTGACGGGACAGGACTGCTCGCGTACGCCTGAACCGAGAAACCCTGACGAGTGATCAAAGGAAGGGAAAAAAGGTTTCAGACGCGGTGATGCGCGGTTACATAGTCAAGAGCCCACCTCGTTCCACAGCGCAGCATTATCTCCGAACCCGTGAGGGTGCTCCGAACTGAGCGGCACCGGCAAGGACACCTGCGCCGCAGACATGCCATCGAAGCGCACCGTGCTCGTGGCGTCATCCGGAGCGGGAGCGGGAAAACTTCCTGCACGAGGCTGTCCCTCGTGTCCGCGCGTGGGCGAAAAATTGTACTCTGCATTGGGAGATGCGAGGAGCGAGGGTGGAGCAGGCTGGACGCTGCGAAGATTGTCTCCGTAGGCACCGTCGAACTGCACGCTGTTGTTGCGGGAATGCGCGGGTGCGGATGAGGAGCGCTTGAACATGGCGGTGAGCGGGACCTTGAAGCGAGCGTCCGACGCGCCATCTGGAGTCTTTGAGCGGTGACCTGACGCGCTGACGCGTCTGTAAGTGCCTTCAGGATGGACCTGAGGGGCCGCACGCGCCAGACTCGGCGGATCGCCTTCGACGCGCATTGGGGCTTGGAGGGTCGCGCAGACCTCTTTCTTGACCTTTGACTCGACCTTTGACTCGAAGCCTACGGCACTGTCGTACGCTTGTATCGCGGCCTCGAGGTCGGATCCTGTCTTGCCCGCTACCAGCAAATCTGCTATTTTGGCGCACCTCTGATCGCGATTGCGTTCCTCCTTCTCCGCCTCTCCCCTCCCCTTCCTGTTACTCCTCCTCTTCGGTCCATCCTTCACCTTGGCGAGTGCGTTCGCGCCGGGCCTGAAGCGCCAGTCGGGGTACTTCTTGCGGTGCTCCGCCTGCGCGACGATGGCCTTTGCCTCCCACACCTCCCGCTCTTCGCGAGGCAGGGCCTTCCAGTACTTGCCTATCAGTTGGATCAGCGATTCGCATCCGCGTTCCGGCCCCGTGCGGGCGCGCAGTGATAGACGTACCGATGATCTTTGACAAGGCGCTGTGATTTCCCTCGATCTTGCCCGGGATGTGCTGGGCGCGGATGAAGGACGACCTGAAGAGGATGAACGCGTTCGGGGGGCGCGGGATGTAGGACGCATCCCTCTTCTTTGCGTGCGAGACGCGGATGGCACCGAGGGTGGGCGAGGTCGGTGGAGAGTAGATGGAGAACTCGGACGCTGTGTCCTCCGCGGGCATCTCGTAGCCAGACGGAGCCGCGGTGATGCTGATTGGGGTCATGTCCGTCGCAAATGTAAATGTCATCGGCGGGAGGGGGGCGTCGACGAGCGGGGGCATGCCGTCTGCATGCCATGGTGGTGGTGGTCGGTACAACGCGTGGATCACCAAATCAGGCAGGCGGGACTTACCATCATCGTCGGCCGCGCTGAAGGCGGCCATGTCCTGCACGTCCACGGGGGACATTGTTGCACAAAAATCGACGAAAAGCAGGGAGTATGCTGAGAGAGCAGGCGCTGCGAGGTAGAAGTTCAGACGAGTGCAGGAGAGAGTGGGCAAGGTATAATGAGCGGAAGCGCGCACGGATCTCTTCTGCCCTTATTCTCTTCTAGGCAGTTCGATGTCAATTGAGATAAACTTCGAGCCGGCAGCAGTGTTTTTTCACCACTTCACTTCCTCGGTCGAATCGTTAGCCTTGCGGAATTTGAGTTCGGAATTGGGCACTGCACGCTAGCCGAGTCTGCTCTCAATATTCCGCGAACGCAGGCAGGCCAGAAGCGCGGCAGCGGGTCATGAAAAAAGCAGTCTCATTTCTCGTGGAGACGCGGCCACGCTGCCCGATTCTGGCTGTGCAGCAGGTACGCTATTGTGCCGGAAGCTGTCCGACTACGCAACGGTTGCAGCCACGGTGCACGCTCAAAGGCCGCACAGCATGACAGCGCCGGCGGTCTTGCTCAATCCTAGGTGATGATGCAATATCGTCTGACTTGGATCCGCCCATGCGGAGTTGCACAGCTCGTCGCATCGACGGCCGCATGTTTCTCCTGGCCACATCTCTGTCCAACTTAATCTGCGCGGGTCACCTCCGGTTGTCATCTCTCATGCGGCGGATCAGCTGACTCCTCCGCAGTGGCCAGCGACAGCGCAAGCTCAAGCCATGTGCATGGCCCGTCGACGACTCGGTCAAGCACTCGCCGGACGTTCCCAAGGTGTACAGCTCTCCGCATCTGCCGTTCTCCACAATCGACCTAAGCCATCGATCGAACGCTCGCGGAAGTATACGGGGGTCGGGCGTGCGCGATCATGACGCATCGATGGCTTAGCCTTGCCATGCTGTCTTGCTCGGACTTTGCTGGCCTCATTGCACGTCCTCACCGCAGTTCCGTTGATAGCCAGAATCAATTTACGCGTACACGCTGCTCCTGTGGCCATCGCCTCTCCCCACGCCGTCCATCCCATCCGAGCCGATCCGCATTTCGGCGGCCACGAGTTGCGCCCACGACGTCCTAATCTACGACAGACTTGCTAAGTCTGCACACGTGTATCCTAGGCGCATCGTCGCCTGACTGGGCGGCATTGTCAGGGGCCATAGTGAGTCAGTTCCCTCGAAATTGTCTCCTCATGTTCATGCAATCTCCGCAAATAGCATATCTCTTCCTCTATTGCACAGATATCGTCATTCTTTCAAGGACAACGTGGCTCTCCTCGCGGTCTCCGCTTTCAGCACAATGGCTATCTACACAATTGAACAGCACCCGTACGATTCCTACCCATGTCCGCCGGTAATACCGCGGCTCTAACCTGAACGCCGCCCATGGGTACGCATGTTCCTCTCCAAAGGCGCCCCATTGAGCGGCTGCGGTCGTATCTATCAAACAGGACTGCATGATATCAGGTCGCATAGTCACCGGATCTCCATTCGAGGGCATCCTCACTGTTCCTCATCACCGTACCTCCACCAGTCCGGCATAGCTCGCAGCCACAAACGCTTTTCAGAGCCAATCATCGACACTGGCAGGATCCTTGGCTATCAAACTCTGGCGCTTGTTCCTCGCGTACTGCTTCTGGTCGCCCGACGTTCTCGGGGCGCCTTAATGGTCCGAATACGCGGGGACGCCATCGCCAAAACGTCCTGCAAAGCATTACGACCGAGCGCCTTCTGTGGACTGTAGCCGTCGATGGTCACATGGACACGAATTCGAGTGACCATGTGCGTTGCTCGCCGCGTGCCGACAAATTCGACGTGCGTGCGCCCGTCGTCCTCCGCGCCTTCTGGTCGCGCTCGTGTCGATGACGCCCAGCGGACCAACGGCCCGAACTCCTTCTCGGCCATGTGCCTACCATATATGCCGTAACTCCTCCTCGACCGGCTTCCTTTGCTGCTCACGGGAAACACTGCACGTCCAAGGCAGTGCGCCTCAGAATCATTCTACCTGACAGAGACAGTTACCACGTTCGGACCACTCGGTACGGTCTCTGGCAGGGCGCGTCCTACAGCTGACTCTCCACCTATCCTTGCGACATCCCGTTCCACATCTCGTGCTGATACCGTCGAACGCGACTCTGCGACTCTCTGGCCTCTGCTGCTACGGCTGTTTGTCATCTCCGTAAGCATCGTCTGGTTCCATTCTCATCGCTGGACTATCGTGCGATGGTTCTGCTGTTGACCGCCCGAGCGCTGATCCACCAACACGGCAATTTCGCGCGCCCTAAAGCTTAGTGTGGGTCCGTCCCTGACTTCCACAACGTCCCGGTAGGCTACGCTGTGCTATAACCGGTCAAGATGTCGCGGTTATGATCCGCGCGATGGCCTTCCTGCTAACACCGTTGACAAATCTTTCACTGTCCTCACATAAGATGTGGCAGAAGCTCGGCCGCTCCTTCGGAAACTCTAGCTTTGGCTTACTCGCGTCCGCCGGTAGCGGATCCGTGTTCTGGTATGCAACAGTTCATGTTCTGGTTCTCATGGGAACCAGCATGGAGCATCGGTGAAATACACTTTGAGCCTCCAATGAAACCTATCATACAGCACAAGACCCGTAAAGACAATTAGAACAGGCCCTCCCCTGAGAACTCCGACGGCACTGCATCTCCTACGCTGATCCGACGAACATCATGAACCCGTCCCCGTCCGGCGCAGGCTCCAGTCCCCTGAAGTACACTTGATCGCCGAGATAGTCTATTCTCCTGACCCCGTCCTCGTCCCCAGGGAGCCGTCCGCCCACGCGGGTCTCCAGCCTGGTATAGTACGCGCGCGTGACGAGCCCGCGCCGCTCCTCCGACAAGGCCTCCATCTCGTCCTCCTTCACGCGCTCCTCAAAGTTGGCGATCAGCGCGTTGAACACGTGGCGCACGAGCACGGGCAGGCTCGGGTGGTGCGGGATGACGAGGATGGGCCAGGGGAACTTTGGGAAGGCGTCGTCTGCGAGCGCGCTGATGTATAATGATGGCACGCCGGGCCACGTCGCGGGCTGGCTCCCGTCCGGGCCCCACTCCTCAAAGTCCGCGCGGAGAGGCCGCTCGTCGCCCTCCTCGCGCGGCAGCTCGCCGAGGAGGATGTCCGCGGTGAAGAGGCGCATGTCGAAGAGCACGGGGGGGCGCCCGAACGGGCGGTGCTGCAGGAAGGGGTTCAGCTGGAGCGCGGACGGCGGTAGTTGTCTGGGGATCAGGGGCGGGGTGGCCCAGAGCTCCGGGCGCGGCGGCAGCGCGGGGTGCTCGAGGCGGGATATCCACTTGAGCGGCTCCTTGCTGCTGCTCACCGTGCGCATCAGGCTTTCGATCTCCCGGGGACTCAGTTCGCGAGGGACGACGGGCGGCGCTGGCATGCATAGAATTTAGCGAGGTGCGCTAGGGGCGAGGTGATGGCCGAGGCGAGGGGACGTACTGGCGTTTCGAACGATCACGGTCCCGATGGCCGGGCGCGCCCAGTATCCGTACGCCCTCCATTGTGCCGGCTGCACTGTGTACTTTCCGTCGTTCAGCGCTGGCCAGTGCTCTGCCTCCTTCCGGATCTCATCGTCGTTTCTTCCTAGATTGAGTGCGTTATTACGTCAGAACAACTGACGCTTCTCTCTATCACAATGTCGGTATCTACAGACAAGGCTGACGCACCCCGCCTAGGCCACCGAGGAATGATCAATGAGAGCCGCCACGATCCAGACGACGGCCGGTCGAACGGATCGGCTTCGTCAAGTGCATCTTGGTCGCCTTCTCTTCCCTTCCCTTTCTTCTTTGCGCCCGCAGACGTCTTCTCGTTCATGGCAGAGGGCAGTTTGGGTATGACAGGCCGCCTCGACTTGCGCACGGGCGGCAGCGGAAATAGGTGCGCGCCAGGCGAGGGCACCCACGGCCGCCCGCCAGGGTCGACGGTATGCCCCGGCTTGGCCGCGTTGGCGGGCCACGTCTTGTACTGCGGCTCTATGAATATGTGTTGCGGCCGAGACGCGATCATGATGATATGCTATATAGGTGGCAGGGAAGGAGGAGGCGGCATCGATGTGGCAGGCGCGTTCGGGAGGGTAGGTTAGTATAGTCGAGCGCCTTGCGGATGCGGCGTGCGTGAAGTTGGGTGTTATCGGCGTGTTCATCAGTTTGCGCTTGTTCCGCGCATGAGCGTGGCATTTGAGTTCAGCGTAAGCGGGCTTCGGACTTTCCCTGCCGAGTTTGGCAATCTGGATCAATCCTGGAGAATGCGTATTGGCTGTTGAAGAATGGACGGTCGATTGATTGCATGATTCATGCCACAGATAGGACCCATGATGAACACGGAACATGCGAGCGATGTACAGAGAAACTGAGGTCGCAGGGCGACCCTAATTCCCGCGCAATGTCGGCAAAATGAGGCCACGTGATCGCGTCGCGTCGCGTTCGGGTGAATTTGACGACAGCGGGCGCCAAGTGCAAGGCGCCCACAGTGCTCGGAGACAGCTTCGATTTGTACATGAACAGTTCTGGGCCGCACTTCCGACCACGAAGATGAATGAAAGCTTGCATGCGCGTAATTCCCGGCTCGGAAGGCTACGAAGGGATCAGCATCGTACGTACGGCTCGCGAGCAGTATAATGCGTAGGTAGAGCGGTCTGTACAAAGTGAGGACGGATCAGACTAGTGCCAGTGGCCCGTCAAGTGTCCTCGCCTGCTTCCATGACCGTCTTCTCGAGCTCCTCGTCTTTCACTCCTTTACTGTCCCTCAACCACGACTTCAGCACGCAGTCATCCTTCCTTGAGCTCTTGCCGTTGCATCCGGAACACGTACGCCCGTGTGCAACCATGAGAACGTGCAGTCCGAACTTCAAGTCGTCCGGGATCCTGAGATCGAGGTGCGCTTGGGCAGTAACTCTATCTGCTTTGCTCGGCACCCATCCTAGAAGCCTTGATAGCCGGAAGACGTGCGTGTCGACGGGGAAGGACGAGCGGCCCAAACAGAACAGGAGCACACACGAAGCCGTCTTCGGGCCAACCCCGTCGTACGAGACCAGCTCCTTCATCGCTTCCTCATCAGAAAGTGGCTTTCCCTCACGCTTCGAGTCGCCGCCTTCAACGACTCCAGCCAGGTGCTGAAGCGAGTAGGTGCCATGGCGGTCCTTCACTTCCTGCAGTATCTTCTGTATGACACCCGCCTTCTTGTTCGCAAGCCCGCCCGTCCTGATCGCATCAACGACGTCGGCCTTCGGGGCGCGCGCGATCGCAGCAAAGTCGTTCCGCCCAAAGCGCGCGTCCAGCCCGCGCTTCGCGGCGGTCGAGTTGCGCGCGGAGGTGTTCTGGCTCAGGATCGTGCCGATGAGCGACTCGAGCACGCTGGGCACGCCCCCGCACGTGCGCGCCGAGTTGTTTGCGGAGGAGGGCCGCGTGCGCTGTGCGGTGACGGTGGGGTGTGTGGCTAAGAGAAGGGCGTGCACCTGGGCTGCTTCGTCTCGCGTGGGGTGGGGGTAGTCTGGGAAGGGCGAGGTTGTGGCATGGGAGGCGAGAAGTTTGAGCTTTTTGGCTTTGTGAGAGGATGGAGGTTCTGTAGGGATCGTCGGGGTGAGTGAGCGTGCGCGTTTGAGCTTTGATGGCATGATAGTGAAAGAGTGCTGATAGGAGAAGTGGGATTATAAAGCGTGAGAAAGTAATAACCACGAAGCACTAGAAGAGCGTCACCGGGAGGACGTAGTAAAGTGAACGGAGCGTTTGCCTTTGCTTTGTAATACACTGCCTTCCTTTGGAGCGTAGGTGATGAGCTCAAAGCGGAAGCAAACCCTGCGGCCCGGAATGGAAGTGACATGCCGATCGCAGTCGATCATGCATCATGCGCCACGCGCCACCGACCGCCGCGCGAATCTCCGATCTGCCTCCGCTCCCGGGCCTCGCCACAGGCAACCAACCGTCAGCATCCTCCCATCACGCGCATGCAGTCCTGCATACGACAATTGTCCCCCGCTACTCTCGACTTGATATATATATCGAGCCTCGGCGATGCTGATGAAAAAGAAGTCGTGCAGATTACAAGCGCGTCATTTCGGGAGCACTTTGACTGATGCGTACGGCGTGCTACCCTGCAGCCGATGCCATGTCAATTTATTCCTCGTGATTGACTCTTCCGTTCCACGCTTTCCCATACCCGGTCTACCTTAAGCAAACACTGCCGTCCATCACGATCGCGGTTAGCCTATCAAACACTCCGCCGCGCCGATTCCCCCTGATTTCCGAGCACATTCTTACGTCCGCAACACACCACGCAACGCTAGGCTAAATCAGCAGCGATCAGCGAGCGAGAAATCCCGCGAGGCGAGGCGATGTACGTGATAAAATCCAGGGGAGGGAGGATTCCGGCCGACGAGCGGTGACGAGTGCAGCGCAGCTGATCCGTCGATAGCGTTTCTCCGGATCGAGTGCACGCGTGCGTAGTCGCTGGCATGCGACTCGCGAGGCGAGGACGTCCATGCAAGCTTCACGACACCAGCTCCGAAGTACGCTCGCTCGCGGGCGAAAAAACACATCTCGCGCGCGTAACGCCCGGCCACCTCGTACGTAAACGGCGCTTCTTCCGGCTTTCTGCTCAGCCCATTGCATCAGCGAGTAGCGACGCGCTCTCACGTTCGCCTAACGCAAAGCGCATTTCGCGTCGGCAGGCACTAAAGCTCAAGCCTGGTTTTTACGTGCGTCAAGGAGCAATGTGTGTCATGGCGGACGTTCATCGCGTGTCGCTTGGATGATCCAGGACATATGTACTACAACTTCACATCAAAGGAATGTCTCTCACGGTGCGTAGTTCCTGTGAAGGGAGAGCCTGTGGGCCGCACCGGGAGCAGTCGAGGCGCGCTCGTGTGGCCACGAGAGGTAAAATGCCGCCCGGCGTCAGCGTGCGCCCCACCCAGCCATCCCATTAATGACTTCAAACTCCCACCGCGCGATTCGCGGCCTCAGTAAGCACACCTCATAAGCCCACCTTCCTCATTCATCTTCACGCTAAAGCGTCGGCGAAGGTCGCACCATCCGAACGGACTTTTGCCTCGGATCACGGACAAGGTGATTGCCCGCAGCTGCTGCCCAGTCCAAGTTGCCCGCCGAAGAGACTCCTTTCCTTCTGCGCGCACAGGGTCCTTGGGGCACATGCTACTAGGCTGATCGGTGGCGTCGGCCAGGGTTCGTCAGGCGAGAAAGGCTATCGGCTTCTATCCCTGAGGAGCCATGGGGAAGGCGCTATCGATGTGTCCATGCGAGGCAAGGCTCCGCACCGGAGAAGAAACGGGACGCGATAGCATCGCGCCATCTGATCATACGCTTGACGGTCCCCGCGGAATGTCCTGCAGCCCTGTGGGCCTGGCGGAGCGTGTATGCAGGCGTGATCCGCCCGTCTTGCCCGAGGAGGGGTCCATGAACAAGCACACTGCCGAAACAGGTGGGCGGTGCTGCATGTGTTTGTGGAGACCGACAAAAAACTCACCTTCGGCAGAGCGGATGCGTTTCTGCCTCTCCAGGCAACGCTGGGATTACCTCGATGAATGAGCCTTTGTGGGCTCAGCTGATAGACTTGAGGCGCCAGTAGGGCTTTGGGTGAAGAGGAATCCTACATGGGCGATTCTCCAGCGCACACACACACGCACACTGGCTCTCGAGATAGACGTTTACCAGATTGATCTCCGGCTAGCAAAGGAGGAACATAGGTTCCGGCATTCAGCCAACACGCTGCAGCTCGGCAAGTCTCCTCGTGTGCACTTCCAGCTTTCCTTATATGTCGACAAAGCGAAGGACCGGCGCGAGGCCCCCGCGAACGCGTCTCAAGATATATTGTGTAGAGCTCGCGCATGCGCAGAAGCACGATATACGCGCATATGTGCTACCCGTTCGGTGTACCGAAGAGTCCCATATCGTGCCGCATGGAGATGCCTGGGACGGCCGGATAAGTAAATATCATACTTCATTTCCGTGCAGGACCCTGTGGCCGGGCGCTGGCGACCAGGGACGTGAGATGGCTGGGACCCAGCGAATGCTTAGTCTGGCGTCATACAGCAATGAAAACCCACGGCGCATAGCCTGAACCGGTGCCGACACGTTACAGCGGGGACAAATCACATCGACGCATCTATAGCGACGGTGAAGGTAATATGCCAACACCGCCCGAAGGCTGGACCCTTCACAGCGAGAAGAAACGTGGCGGGCGATCCATCACGATCGGATTTCTCTTCTTTTTCATACGCATACGTAGCGGACGAAGGCTCTCGCCCAAGGATCGCGGCCGCACCTGCCATAACGCGCGGCTGACCATCTCGAAACTCTGCGGGGGCACGGGGACGCTGGAGCGGTCCTGCCGCATGTAGCAGGGCATCGTGCGGCGGACGGGGCGATCTGCAGATAATCCGATATGCTCATGGATGTGTCATGCAGAAGCGCACTTTGACGGCACGCGGGCGGACACGAGGTACGCGATGCGATGCGATGCAAGTTTGGACTGCAGCAGCAACGGTGCGCAAATGCGCATTCGATGTGCAGGGACGGACGGAGAGGGAGGAGGAGGGCGCGCGGGGAGCAAGCACGCGACTTTATCGGGTTCTGAATGAGTGTCGAGATAACGGCATAGGCGAAGGCAAAAGACAATAAGGAGGACGAGGGCGTGGCGGGCGCTCGGGGATGGAGCGTGGGGAGGCGGCAGGGCGGGAGACAATAGCAGCGGAGGCGCCGGGGCAGATGGCCTGATCGCGTTGTTTTGGTCTATTTGGGTATGGAATGGAAACACCGGATAGCGTGGCCAGTCCGAATATGGCAGGACAATGAAGGAGATCTGGGAGATGATCTGGGAGAGAGCAAGAGGATGAAGATATGTAGCCTATAAAGACGCACGTCCGTATTGTCATGCCTTCGTCCGTCCTCGTCCAATTGTTCTGCCCGCGGGCCCTCCCTCCATCACCCGGCTGCCTCTTTTGTCTCCTCTCCGCCTCGCCCCGCGGATAATACTCGACTCCTCTTCGCGCTCACGAGAACCCATCATGCCTGCGTATCGCACTCGCGAACACGCCTCCAGGAGTAAGTCTACGCGCCACCACCCCCGAACATACCACCACTGACCTACACGTGCAGCACTCCAAGTCTCGACGGACCCACTCCCTCCTCCCACTGTCGCCATCATTTCCCCGACGCCCCGCGCATTCACCTTCCCTATCAACACCGACGCTCCCTATGCCTCTCCCTCCGCATCGCCCTTCGAGCCAGACCTCAAGGCATCTCGCACGCCACCCCTGCCACGCGCCTTCTCGCCCACGTCGTCCATAGGCTCCGATGCCTCGTCCGCCCTCTCCACTCCTTCCTCCGCCCGCTCCTCGCAGGTTTCGCAAAAGCGTCGTAGATCGGCTGCTAGCGATATCGGGGAGCGACGTCCCAAGAAAGGCGACGACGACTACATCAAGCGGCCAGAGAACGCGTTCATCCTCTTCCGCCGCAAGTGCTGCGAGGACCGCCAGGCGCAGGACGAGGCCGACGAGCAGTCCGGCCCCGTCAAGAAGCAGCGCCAGGCGGACCTGTCCAAGACCATCAGCCAGCAGTGGAAGAGCCTGTCCACGGAGGAGCGTCAGTACTGGGAGGAGCTCGCGAAGGAGAAGAAGAAGGAACACGAGGCGATGTACCCCAATTACGTGTACCGCCCCCAGCGCAGCAAGGACAAGGCAAAGGCGAAGAAGGGCAAGGGGAAGAAAGCAGACGAGGAGCAGGAGGAGGCGGACAACAGCATATCGTTCGTACTCCCAGTTCCCTCTCCTCCTCGCAGCCTCAGCCGCGATAGCGCGCCTGTCTCGCGTTCGCACAATCGCCGCGCGGTGTCTGCTCCCACACCGCCCCCGATCCATCAGACCATCCAGCTGCCGAGCGTGTTCATGCCCTCATGTCCCACGTCGCCTTCGCGCGCGTCTTACCTCTTGCCGAGAATCAGCGGGCGCTCACCGAACCCGCACATCCCTCCTCCATCCGACAACGATCCTCTAACCCGTTACGAATACTTACCGAACGACTCCCTCTTCCCGTCAAACTACCAACCGAGCACTGCTTTCGCGCATGGTCCTTCCGTACGTCTTCCTTGTTGATCGCGTGTCCTTTAGCCGCTAACGTTGGTTTGCATGTAGGTCGATGAGCTGTACCAGATGTTCCAGGCTGAGCAGCCGCCAGTACCATCAGCGCCACAACAGACCAACGGGGTCCTGCTGCACAGTCTCACCATCCCCGGAGCGCCGTCACTGATGTCGTCAAGCGTCGTGTCGCCAACAGATACCATCGCCTCAAGTCAATACTTCCCGTCCGTGGACTCGTTCGCGTCGCCCATCTCGCCCACCTCGCCTCAAAATGGTCCGTTCACGCCCGCCGACACGCTCTCGATGATGTCGCTCTCGCTTGCCAATGGTCAGCAGAATGGGATGATGCAAGATGCGTTGGCAGAGCTGCACGCGAAGGACCTCTCGTACTCGGCCTTTACGTGGCCCGAGGGGTCGCTCTGGCCCGCGGACACGATGATTCCGGACGACTTTGACCTGAACTCGATCCCGCCGATCGAGTTGGGGATCTCGCAGTTTGACGGCGAGATGCAGCAGTTGTGCGGGCTCTCCGGGGACGGCGGCGCCTCCGCGGCGGCGTTCGACTTTGACGGCGGCGACTTTTCGTCGTTGGGGCAGGAGTACGACTTTCACGACGCGCACCCCGGACATGACCCAGCGGCGATGTTCACGGGGTATGACCCCCAGACGAACTGGTGATGACGCGGTCAACGTGCGCGGGCGTGCGTTGACGGCCATTGACACTGTAGCAAAAAAAGCCATGAGCTCAGCCTCTTTCACCTTGGGCATCGTTGTTGTACTAACCCGCCCGTCGTTGGAGAACACTCACATCTGTAGGTTGTACCTTACTTACCTCATTTGCACCCACTCACCCATTGTATCACCCACTCATCGTTCTTCCCTACATTTTTTGCAACCTTTACGACCCCTTCACGTACCCCATTACCCACTTACCCACTTACCATTCCGCCCCCCTCCGCCGTTTTATACCCGGTCCCGATTGGTACCCCCATCAACTTATGACATTATTTGTTGTTACGACTTCTGACTGGAGTGTTCTCCATGCCCAGTTCAACACGGAAATACAAGGATTTGCTAGAGCTTGCACAGTACAGTTTTGTGTGAGGGGGAGTGAGATGCAAATTGATAGCAGCACTTGAGCTTGAGCGATGGTCCGATGCAAAAAGTGGCCACAACAGTGACGCCACTGGCACGTGTGCGGCGCGACGTGACGTGATGTGACGCGTCGCGTCGGGGGTCGGGCGCCCTCGGACACGATCCCTCGAGCTCGTGCGTAAGTACATACTGCTCTTATAAGCCGCGGCCTCCAACTACGAGCTCAGTGTTTAGACATTCCTCTGCAGAACGAAGCACGCGAAGGGGCCGCTCGCACTCGCTAACGTGCTTTCTACCGCGCGGACGGGTCCCCGACGCGCATTACCCGGCCGGGCCCGACCTTTCTCGAAACAATGCCAGCCGCTCTGCTAGAATCCGTCCATAGAAAGTCTTCAAAGTTTTGACTCGAGTCCGCTCACAAAGTTACGCGAGGAGAGTTCTGCCTGAGATTGCCAGGGCCCCAGGAAAGGGCGAAAAGCACCCGCACGCGCGGTACGTCCGCCGATACACCCCGCTGCATTGTGTTTGTATCTGCGATCTGCTCTATAATGCGATGATAGTGATGGTGATGATCCGTCAATGCGGATGGGCTGATTGGAGTTGGAACCTTATGCGTATGCCTGAAGCTGAAGCTCGAACGAAGCTCGAAGTGGCCTGCGACTGCGTGCCTGATCCTCTGGAGGATCCGTTTGGGGGGGGGGGGATCCTAACGACTCTGGAGTCTGCAGCTGAGCGCTGGTGCTGATCTCGCGATCGCGTCTTTGTCTTTTCAAGTCTCGTTCCTCGGACGGTTCGCTCCATCTGTTACATCAATCGTCGGGCGGGGAATATTCGAGGCGCAAAGATTATCGTGCCGTGCGCGATGGCGCCCACTCGGATAGGCAGGAGGAGGCCACACGCTCGGGCCACATGTCGCCCCTGGACTTGTCTCCTTTTCGACCCCGCGGGCTGGGCTGGGTCGCCTCCGTCGTCGCTTGGATTTGGATGTGCAAGAACGTTGCCCCGCTACTGGGACATGGCCATGGCAATCTCGAAGTGCACTCCTTTTCTAGCCAGGGCGCAGGGCGGGTGGTCTTGTGCGCTCGGGCGCTGTGACCACCGACCGGACACACCCACAATGCATATTCCGCCATTGGAGGCCATTTCGATAGCAATCTCTGGTACATTCTGGACCTTTCGTGCTCCGCCCCGGTGTTGTTGTCACCGAGCTCCTGATTGTGCCCTTGGAATCTTTCGCGCCGATTTGCTGCGGCCCTCGTTTGCATCATGGGTGGACCTATCAGGACTCCTCGCCGGGATGCGTACGAACAGATAGGAACGCTCTGGTGGCCAAGTCCGTCTATGGTTCGGGCCCCGGGGTGCTGTTCTGCATGTGGTGTTCGCTTTGGAGGACGTACCGGTTCTCGATGCCCGGATTGCGTATGGTGCTTGGAATCAATCTAATAGTCTTGCGCGACGGATCTCAAGTGATCTTATGCCAAGGCTACTGTTCTGGCATGTGCTGTCCTTCTGGCTTGTATGCGCGCGCATGCGAAGGATGTCAAGATGCATTGTACCGGCGCCGATCGATGTTATAATACAGCTTGAATGATTCAAGTACGCTTAAAGCCGTGTTGCGGGTCCTCACGTATACTATGATCAAACAGACACGTGCGAAAGCGGTCGCGTTGCTGTCTACCAGCAAGCGGCGAATAACGCGATGCTACGCCGGCGACACTCGACTTCGGCCCCGAGTCATGTTGCTAGGTGGCGCTCAGTATATTGTGAACACACAGCATCCAACAGACTTACATTCACGTCGATAACGTAGAGTGTGCAGTCACCTCAAGAAGCAATTTCTTGGGAGCGCTCTAGCATGACTCGTCAAGCGGGTTCCGTATGAAATTCCCGGTGTGACTCATGGCCACGCACAGGGAGTGATCTTCCGTTGCACTTTGTTTTCACTCCTTCGTCGCGAATGCATATGCCTCGGCGTCCCATTCCTCTGCAGCTCTTCGAGGGCCAGCTCATGCGCACACGCCCTCAAGCTGACCTTGCTCTGCTCGCCTTTCGCTTGAACATCAGATACTGTGGTTCTGGCAGCCTGTACTCTGTACATCCACATCTGCTCGTCATGTCTTGACTACCACAGGCAACACATCTCAGCGTGTGTATTCGTTTGTAATCGCTCATTGGTGCATGGCAGGATGAGGCAGAGCGTCGATGTGTGTGTAGCACTGAACGAGAATACCTATCATGACTGTCCATTGGACCCACGACGTGATGATACCATTTTGAGCAGAATACATGCCATCGTTCGGCTGCGTGCATACAGGGCGCGCATCCTGCCCCTCGTTCCTGACGGCTTCAACCTTGACATTTGTTATGTGCTCTTTTGCAATCTGACCGGCCACTTTCGCGATTTTTTTGTTCCAGGAGATCAACTGGAGGTGATTTGACAGGCAAATTTACTGCACAGGCTTTGAGGCAAGCAGCGTTTGATGAAGACGCTCGCTTATCTGACCCCGACGCCGAAGCTGAAGCGCCAGGTCCGCCCTCGGGCTCACGCAATACGATCACGCTGATGTGCTTTATCTCGACATTCACCGCCGATCACGCAACTCCCAATGTATTCCTGATCATCAGCCGGGGAAACCACATCGTTCTCTATCAGACACCTTCCGTGCCGTCTGCCTCTGGGTCGCCGTCTTGACACATGTGCACGCATAGCATCCGCGCCCGGCAGAGATATGGCATGGCGGAATGTGGCGAGAAGATACCGCAGGTGATGGGATGGCGTGCGGAGCTTACGCCATCCGAGTGCGCTTCGCGAAGTCTGCCATACATTATCATGGACCGAATGGAGAAGGGCTGATGTTGAGGATCCCTGCCTTCTACCATGTCGTTCCTGTCGAGGTTCAAGAAATCGAAGTCGTCGCCAGCGCAGGAGCACGATGGGGAGGCAGTCGTGGATGACGAAAAGTTCGTGCTGGAGAAGCAGTCGCCCGGCTCTCCTCGTAGCGACGAGGCGCTCTCGGACCCCAAGGACGACGCAGATTCGACGGAAGGCTCTGACGTCGCTGCCGGTGGACTAACGTACGAAGAAGGTGCGATCACAGCCTGCTATCATTGTTCTCCTGCATCTGACGTCTTTTGTTCCTAAAGATGCGGCCGGTGGGATGGGTCGCCATCTCGGCGTCTTCAGCTGCACCATGCTCATGTAGGAGCGCTCTCCCAGTCTGATACGTCCTTGGCTCATTTGCACAGCGTCGGCAAGGTCATCGGAACAGGGATCTTCTCCACGCCTTCCTCGATCCTCGAGTCCGTAGGCTCCGTCGGAGCCTCCATGATGCTATGGGTCCTCGGCTTCGTGCTGTCGTTCTGCGGCCTGTTCATTTGGCTCGAGTTCGGGACGATGATCCCTCGATCTGGCGGAGAAAAGGTCTATTTGGAGGCGGTATACACCAGGCCACGGCATCTTGCTACAGTCGTGTTCGCTGCAAACGCTATCATACTCGGTTTCACAGCTTCCGGATGTATTGTAGGTTGACCCTTTTCTCTGTGGGCCGAGCTCACCCACCGTCATTTGTTCCCCCTAGGTCTTCGCAGAATAGTACGCTGTCCATCTCAGTCGAGCAAATGTGTGCTCAAAACTTGACATGCCTAGTGTATTGAACGCTGCTGGAATGGAAGTTACGCGGTGGAACGAACGTGGAATCGCAGTAGCAGGTAACAGCTCATACGTAGTCTTAGGACCATGACCCAGCTCATCTGCTTCCATCAGTCATCGTCTTCGCTACCCTCTTACATGGACTCACACCTAAGCTGGGTATCTACATCATGAATGTAAGCCTCATCAGCGCGACAGAGTGTGCTGAGGTTCACACCTTTCCAGGCTCTCAGCGTGTTCAAGGTATTCATTCTGCTCTTCGTGGTCGTGTCGGGTAGGTTTGGTGTTTGGACAATTGCGGCTTGGTCTCACGGAAAACTCTGCTTTAGGATGGGTGGTGCTCTCGGGACACACCCAAGTTGCGGATCCACATGTGAATTTCAGAAACGCATTTGTTGGCAGTTCGCATAGCAGCTACGAAGTGAGCCTGTGCAATCGGATTGGTCGACGTCATTGCTGAGTTCCTTGCTATTCAGTACGCCACTGCGACGTTCAAAGTCTTGAATGCATACGCAGGATGGTCGAACGTGAACTACGTCATGAACAACGTTAAAAACCCTATTCGGACCCTCAAGATCGCGGGACCATTGGGCCTGGGATTTTGCGCTGTGATGTACATCCTCGCGAACATCTCGTACTTCGCGTACGCATGTCACTATCCGTACACTCTTCTGTTCTCGCTGACGTTCGTGGTCTGATTGTACAGTGCCGCGTCCAAGGAGGAGATTGAGAACGCTGGGGTGACGGTTGCGTCGCTCTTCTTCAGCAACGTCTTCGGACAGAGGGCAAAGAAGGCACTGGATGTCATTGTGTCGTTGAGGTAAGTTCCAGCTCATTATAATGATGACGTTACATTCAAAACGCGTCCTTACAGTGCGATTGGGTAAGTGAGATCAGTCACTTCTGAGACGCTCGTTGAATAGAATGTTTGGCCATGGATGATACCTCGATGTTCAGCGTAAGTGCATCTTGAAATACGTCGCGAGAATGAGGCTAACAGTCTTTTAGAACGTCATCACCGTCGTCAGTATCAAACCGAGAACAATACATATGACCACTGCTGACACTTCATGCAGACGTTCAGTTCAGCGCGTGTGAACCAAGGTATCTACTACCCTGTATTGCAACCCAGCTCGTGTCGACTCATCATCTGCACGCAGAACTGGCCAAGGAGGGCATTCCGCTGCCATTCGGAAACCGCTTCTGGGCATCCAACTGGCCCACCGGCAAGTCACCCTTGCCAGGATTGATCATCCACCTGATACCTTCGGTACGCAACTGCTTGAAACCTCTCTAAGAATTCTGAAAGCAAACAAACAGACAGGTCATCATTATCCTGGCACCTCCACCCTCCGTGGCATATCCTTTTATAATCGACGTGGAGGGCTACCCAAGCCAGATCATCAACTTCTTTGTCGTCGTCGTGAGTCTGCCCGGACTGCATGCGTTCTTTGAACCGTCGTTGACCCGGCTGGCCTGGCAGGGCCTGTTCTGGTTCAGGTGGAAGAGGCCTAACGCGAAACGGCCGTTCAAAAGTACGTGCTCCATTTCTGCATACTCAACCAATGGGCTAACCATCGCTCGCCTTCTCAGTCTGGTGGCCATTCGCCTTCTTCTATCTCGCTGCTGCCGTTTTCCGTATGTAAACCGCGCTGTGAACTGATCTTGCATGCTAACCTTCTGTTAGTTCTCGTCGCGCCCTTCGTCCGTCCGCCTGGGGGAGTAGGAGACACACCTCCACTGCCGTACTACCTGTACGTCTACACTTTTCTCCTGCGAATCCCTAACCGACGCTGCGGCTAGATATTGTCTGGTGGGCATTGCTGTGATGTTCGTGGGCGTGTTCTACTGGGCAGCGTGGCAGTACTTGCCACGCGTATTCGGCTACGAGTTCGTTCCGCGCAAAGAGACGCTGAAGGACGGAACTGTGGTTGCTTTGGTCAGTTGTGCTTACACTGTCGGATCACTGCTGTTCTGACGTCGTCCTCCCTTGTCAGTTCTCGATGAAGAAGTTGCCGTAGCATAGGCGTGGCACGCTTCACATACTGTACATATGGCAGCGTCACGACATGTCACGGCTTACCGATCGCACAGCAGCTGCAAATACAGACTCGGATTTGGATGACCCGCCAGCATGAGATATTCTACTACCGAAAAATCGCGTCTCGAGAACATACACTATCATCGCTGCATTCAGCTGCCCGTCCACCCCTTAGGCTGTAGGAGCGTAGCCACAAATCAATTCTTCGCAGAGAGGAAATTCAACCACTACGAACCTTCACTTCGTCACCTGTCGTCCTGATATAGACACTCGGTCGCTCTGCCGCCTTCGCCCCTTCCTCGCCTTCCTCCCACGTGTAGCTGACCCCCACGGCCAGCTTCGTCCCGTCGCAGTTGAACGCAACTGACGGCACAGGGGAGTGGTACTTCGGGTACTGCCGCAGCCGCTTCTTGAGCTTATGATCCCAAATTGAAACTGTGCCGTCAGAGCCCGCGGAGGCGAATGTGTTGTAGCTACATAGTGGTGACTGTCAAACGATAGCACAGATGAACTTGGTAGAAAGGTGCGTACACAGGATGGAATGCAAGCGAGTTGACGGGCCAGACGTGGTCCACGTCGTCAATCGTCTGGCGGTGGCATTTGAAGGCATACTTTTTGTCCTGCGCTTCAGGACTGGGGTCGAAATATTCGACAGCTATCCGGCCCTCAACCGAGGCAGTCGCGTAGCCTACACAGAAAAGACCCTAAGACCGACACGCTCTGAGACAAGACATAACGGGAACTCACCTTGACCATCCACCATGCAAGCAAGTGCGCGTGTCATAAACTTCAGACTACTCTCCCTCGTCTGTACAGGCGCATCCATCTTGCGAATGTCATATATATGGAAGAGGCGACTGGCCATCGCCACGACAAGGTTGTTGTTGACCAAGTCCATGAAGTATACCCGCTCGGGGACGCTATGCGATGATTGCTGAGCTGTAGTCGCACGCGGATCCCAGAAGCGGACGGTACGATCCCACGAGCCAGTAATCAGTGCACCTGTGGGGAGAATTGTGATAAGGAGTTGTAGATCCGAGGACGTGAACTGTCAACTTACTAAGCTCGCGCGTGTAGTTCATACATGATACTGAGTCGGAGTGTTGTCCGAGGTGACTGATATTCTCAGTCTCAAGATGAAGCCTGGCGTTCAGTGCGTTGTATCAGTTTTTTCATTGGAAACGAGGAATTGGGTGCAACGTACTCTCGGACCAATGTTTCCAAGCCACCACTGTATGCATGCGTATCATCACCGAAGCAGCAGGCAAGAACTGCCGCGCGATGGTCAAATTTCGCTTTTTGTTCATTTGCTGTGACATCGTAGAAGCGAACAGTCTGCAGAAGACGCGTAAAGTGAGAATGTGTGCCACTACGAGCCAGTCAGTGATAGAGCCCGAAGCGCATCTATCCCATACATGCAGCACATAGTTTAGAGTAGACGTTACAATCGTGCATCCTTTGAAAGTCGTGTTGGGATGCTGCAAGCCCACTTTAAGGGCATATAGCCACATAATATAGAGGACATGCGTGCCCAATCCCCACAATACAAAAAGATAACTCACCGTGTCCCAGGAGGAGACAAGCAAATGCGAAGGGTTTGTCGGAGAGAACCGCACAGAAGACACGCTGTCGAATGGCGGTGGCGAGAGTTCAAATTGGTTGTGATCTGCGAGGAGAAAGCGGTGAGATTTCTGTACCGCTACGTTCGATGCACATCATCGTACCGGCCATGTTGTGCAGAGATTGTCGACACGCGTCAACACAGCAGAAAGAGAGGTGGCAAAGACACGAACTGGCTTGGCTTGCGAGATGGGTTTGGGCCGGACGGCGGCGAGACAATGTGTTCGTGAACTTGGGCGCTACGCCGCACAACCTTGCGAGCGCCGTAGAGCACGTGGAAAGTATGTTTGGCTCTGTGATGAATTATTAGGATTGGAAGCCAATGCCAAACAGCGTCTTGATAAGGTGACAATACAAATGTGTACAAATAGGCCACAGATGCAGATGAGGTGCCCAGATGAAACTCAGATATGAGCTGAGCCGGCATCAATAATGTGCTGCTTATGTTTGGAAATTACTCGAGAAGCTTCCAAAATTCATATGTTGATTGAGGTTACAGGTATATCAGACACGAGACGGACGGACTCTATGAAATATTTGTACAGTCAATGCCGAGTCCCGACGAATGTTCGTTAAAGGCAGAACAGATACTATAAGCTAGTCCGATCGGTCAGTGCATAGTTTTACAATTTGTATGAGAGGGTGCGTATTTTCACGTATGGATTCATTCACAGTCGATCATCATCTTCAGTGGACTTGATGAACGCTGCCAGATGCTTCCGGAACATTTGTGCCGGTAAGCAGTCCAACGCGAGACGGAAAACCCTAACATTTTCGTTCACCGCATATTGGTCCCGTACAACCTGCTGCTGGAAGACATCGAGTAGTATCAGGCCGTTGAAGCCCTGGATGCCTCTGAGCAAATCGATCCGCCTGATGTGTCCAATCTTCTGCGCCCCCATCCGGCATTCGCAGGCTTCCCATATTTCTGAGCGTACGGAATCGCTGACGTCCGCCCCACCTAAAACATCATCCTGTACTGGCATTTGCAAGTTCTTGTAAATAGCCTCCAGAACAATCCCAATTGTGACGGCCCAACCAGGTGGAGCCACGACCTCAATAGCCCAAGGATATCTCGGAGTAGCAATCTCGAGAACCAGTCGATTTAAACGCGGTTCCGTCGCGGGTTCCAACAGGACGGCGAGTGGCAATCGGTCCCCAGTGGGAAAGCGAGCGTATAACCAGGGGTTTTGTCCAGCGTCCCAGGAAATACCGGCCACGACGGGTCCCACATCGGCGACGAGTCTTGGGTTGATCTCTAGTGGGGTATTTGACGGTGTATAGAGCTTTGAAACTCGTGGATGAATTGCATCGATGAGGGAAGTATCAAGATGAGGGCCTGCCTGCGACTGAGATCCGAGTGAATTAAGCATTGAGATGGACATGTTGGGGATGTTGTGTTGCTGGAAAGCTTGAGATGCCGCTTGCGTTAGTAGTAGCTGGTTTTATAGGCGCTGCCACAGACATGTGGCTCGCAATTTCCTTCACAACAAAGAGGTGTGGCCCGCAAGGCCACAACAGACACATGTTCGTCCGGTATGACGACAATCACGATCTGGGGTACTTGAGTGGCCCTGGAGTGGGCTAATCGTATTCCCGACATACCTTAAGTTGCTGTCAGGACGTCAATGGAAATGACGGGATGCCGCGTGGTGACGTTATATCCGGAGATTGTGGCTGCTGAGCGGCCACCGAGGCAATCATGCTCTGGTCTCCCGTACGGCTACATACTATTGCAGCGACAACAGCATTGGCTATGGAGGCAAGACGAAATAGCTTTAGGCAGGCTACTGCATTGGCACCTTGAACCAGATATTGGTTCAATTCGACTTCGGATTAAAAAGGGCAGCGAGTGAGACGCAAGTTGACTCACGCAAAGACATTCCCTCTTCACTCGTGGCCCCCTCGTGTTACCGCGCAGTGCGCGTTTTGTCTTGGCCAAAGCATCGCCGGTGGTCGTATCTCACTTATGGCAGGATTGCGGCGGACTCGTCTCGTAGCATTCGTGTCCAAATCGGCCCAGTTTGCATGGCGAAACATATCCTCCTCATGCCCAAAACCTTCGAGAAGATTGAATGGAAGGCCAATAAGTTGCATGAAGAATGTGCCTCACATGGGATTCGCGACCTCTCCTGCGGGCCATGTTCCTCGTGGACCTGGTCTCCGCAAAACTCCACGAATCTATTAGTTGCAACTATCTCCACCACGATGCGTCAATATATCACAACGTGTTCGTCTGATGGCACGCGTAGAAGAGACATCTGAAAGAGATCGCCCGGCGGTTAAGCACTCAAGACGCGTCATGTCACGGAGCGATATGCGTCGGTGGCACACGGCCACAGAGTGGTGGATCAGAAATCGTCTCTATTCCCCGCAGCAGAAAGCGGCCTCTTATCGCACAACGCCCAGTTGTAACAACAAGGGATCTGAAGCAGCGATTTCCAGATGCAATGTATGCTTATATGAGAACTTGGGGAACTCTGGAAGGTCATGCCTGTTCGGATCGATACGAGTCACTTACAACGCAGACTATTCCAGAGCTGGCTGAAGGCTGAAGAGGACGTTTGATGTGGCAATTGGGTCATGCTGTTTGTGAGAATCAAGCCGATCGTTACAAGACTACCTCAACTTCTCAAGCAATGGCGCAAGCTATATCGACTAAATGGTCAGAAGATGAACACATCGATATCATTACTAGGGTACATGAAAAATCCCGACTGCGTTCATCCAGTCAAATCACTGACCGCTCATTCAAACTAGTTGTGTGCTCACCTTGGTCCCCACAATCCGTTCGTCATCGATCATAAACCCGGAATGCCTGCCCTGCACCCGCCGCGTCGTTGTCGAAAAGGGTAAGCTCGTCACAACGTCATGTTGAAAGATATCACCTGCCCGAGCCGTACTTGATCCTTCGTCAAGATCGTAAACCAGATCGTTGTCTGGTGTATCCTGCACCGCGGCTGGATCGTTCACGCGTCTTGAGTGCACGTTGAAGTCAAGCACTTGCATAAGCTGGCCAGACGCTTGGCGTGTGGGCGGGAGGATTATCCGTGCACCGTGGACATATCTGTGCATACACGCATTCATCTGCATGATCTAGCGACGTAAATCATCATGACCACCCACCTGAGCAGCTGATAGCTACCTGTCCTACGAATAATCCGGGTATTCGTCGGCCCCCACTCCTTCCATGTCAGCTCCACTTTCGAGTGCAGCTTCACGCCATCTCGAGGCACAAACGACAGCAAGAACCGATTATGCACGATCATATGATATGACCGCTCGGCGAGGTAGTCCATCGACATCATGTGCACATACGAGTCGCGCGAAACGTGGAATGGCTTCCCCGGGATGGGATTGCACACGAATGGCCCCGTATGCGTCGTGAAGAACATGAGCATGCTGTCCTCGGCGAGCGGAGGGAGCTGCAGCGTCGCGACGTGCGCCGGTGGTGCAGGCTCGTGTTCAGGCGGTTCCGCGTGGTCCTCGAAGGTGTACACCTCCACCGTGCCGGGATCCATGGTTGTGGTCAGGACATATGCGCGGCTAGATAGGAAGGCGAAGTCACAGACGGACTCCGGAAACTCATTTCCGACTCGATGCTGCTGGTGTGTAAGACGAAGATGGAAAGGGAGAATGGGACTGTGAAGGACGTACAACGAGCACTCTAGCTGAGCGCCAGTGCCAGATGACGAGCCCTCGTTCTTCGGACAGGGAGAACACCCCGATCACATCGTCGACGATCTGGATGACCGCGTGTCCTGGCAGAAATGGAGGTAACAGCACCCTAAGCACCTTCCTCGCCACACCCGGATATGGCTCGTTAGTGCTCAATTTCCGTAATGCCACCTGCGCCAACAGTCGCCCGTTCGCGCTGCTAACTTTATGATCAGAACAATGTCGCTCCAGAAGACAGTCAAGACTATTCACGGGTCAGGCACAGCGAAGAACGCCACCAGGTCCTGCGAAGGGTCCAGCGCAAAGTCCCGCATCGACACACCTACATCGTCCCTCTCAACTTTCCGCATGGCCTGCATCCGCGATGGTAACCAAGTCGCCGAGAACACGTGCGAGCCGTTCGTCTCCCCGAATGGCGCCCCTTTTGCGTACACGCCCCCCACAAGCTCGTATGCATGTGAGAGCCTTGGAGAGGGCACAGTCACTCGCTCCACCCAATCAAGCTTGCGCCACCGCCGTCTCCGGTCAAGCAGGAGCTCAAGGCGTTCTTTCGTTGACATCTGGCTTGGAAGGCCATCCTCCAGTCCGTCGACATCCAGCTCGATCTTGTACTGAATTTCTACCGAGACTTGAATGATCGTCCGAAGCGCTTTGCACGCCTAGAATATAGTCAGAAACGATGAGTAGCAGGCGATGAAAGACAAGACTGCTCACTAAACTGCAACGCAAGATTTCCCGACAAGAGAGACGTTGCAGTATTTGAATGGTGATTTCGACGGGTAGAACATCCAACAGCGAGTGAGAGGGAATTAAAGTGTCGTCTGCGTAGTTGTAGCTCTCCTTGGGAGAGCTTGCAAGCATGATGGATGTTGCGGAGTAAAGGATTGTGTCGGCGCTTAGGTCGAGCCTCATGATCATTTTCACGCGCACGCGTTATCGACTCGACGCGTCGGTGGCGCATCCTACTACATACACACTAGTGCCACAGGCTGGACAGAGGCATCAATGCATCTCGCAAAGTAAAATGCATAAGCTCTTCGCTCAATCATTAATCAAGGCTCGCAGTTTGACACGCATCGCTTGAAGCTTTACAACGAATCGAAATACATGCTCCCAAAAAATTGAGTGTAGTAATACAGCGGAACGTTGAACCTGGCAACTTCTTGCTCCCGCCGGAACGTGTTGAACGATGCTCATGTATGCGTCGGATGGCAAGGACAGGTGCTGTCCCATCCGGAGTTGACAAATACACCAGACATATGAAATACCTGGTACGACAGAAAGCCTGAATTGCATGTCACGAGTGTACTAAGAGACTGAGGAAGACCGGGCAAGAAGCACCATGACTTCAGAGACTTGCCGCCGAGCCCAAATACAAGCTGCCGCAGACCTGTACATGAAGCCCTGTTGATGCGCATGAGGCAACGGTTGACAAGCACGTGCATCACATTATCAGATCTACTCTACCGGTATAGCATGCAGCGGTATGTATAGTAAGCAACGACCCAATCCGACCCTATCCTATCCTATCCCAGGCGTAAACATGCGAATATAGCAAATAGTCCCATCGCCAGCACAGAGTCAAGCACACAAACCAAAACGTACGTTATAATACAAGCCGATTAACCAGGCGGTAATGCAGAGACACTTAGGCCTTCTCATCTGCGGAGTGCTCCTGGTCTGCGGAGGCGCCGTCGGAGCGCTTGAGAGTTGAGTCGACGTCGCGATCGTCGAGGCGAACTTCATTTGTACGCGGTGCCACCTCCTCCAGCACGCGCTGGCTGATATCCTCGCCGTCGAATAGCGCCGCGGTCTCCTCGAGCGTGAGGCCCTTGGTTTCCACGATCATGAAGTACAGGAAGACGAATTCGAACGCGAGCCAGCAGCAATACACGATCTGGCGGGTACGGTCGATATCTCAAGAAGAGAAAGGCATAGGGAAAGGGTATGACGTACGTAGTACTTCCAGGCGAGCTTGTCGAGAGCGATAGGGTTCACGTACTGGTTGAAGATTAGTGCAAGCGAGATGACAAAGTTAAAGACGTTGAAGCCCTTCGCGCGCAAGGAGTACGGCAGGATCTCCACCGTATATGACACAATCAGCGGCGTAAATGCCAGGCTAGCCTCACGGGATCAGTACCACACGGCGCCCCGCTCAATCCTAACACATAACTCACTCGTAAGCCGCATAGAACAAGAAGATGAACGCGATGACCGCATGCGCGGCCGCCGGGTTCCCGTGCAGCGCGAACTGTGCCGAGCATACCGTCTGCATCGAGAAGAACACGACCATGCCCCCGGCGGATGTCAGGAACAGCGTCCGTCGGCCGGCACGATCCACAAGCAGCGAAGCCAGCACCGCCCAGAATAGATTCCAGATGGCGAGGATGCTGGCAAATGATTCAGCATGAAATGAAAGAAGCGTTGGGGGGATGAGTGAGCGTACCCCGTGATGAGCAGCTGGATGGTGCTGTCAGTGATGCCGATTGTGTCGAAGACTTTGTTCAGGTAGAATGAAACGAGCCCGTTGCCGGACCACTGCGAGAACCATGCGATGGCGATGATGATGATCAGTCGCTTGCGGTTGCCGGGCGTGGCGAAGAGCGACAGCCAACCTGCGTTCTTGGAGGCTGCAGCAAGTTTGCTACTCAGACACGATTGAGATGCGAAGTCGAGGACACGTACTTTCCCTGTCGAGAGAGATGGCCGCCTTGATCTCCTCGAACTCGTACAGCACGAGCGGATCGTGTTCGTTGCCATCCGCGTGGTAATATGCGAGCGTCTTCAGTGCCTGCTGCTCCTTGCCCTTTGAGATCAACCAACGGGGGCTCTCTGGGGCGAGCAAGACAAGGCAGAACTGAAAGGCCGAAGGCAGACCCTGCAATAGAGACGGTATCCTCCATGACCAGGTGTTATGGATGTTCGAAGTGCCGAACGTGGTCCAGGAAGCTCTGAGCAATGCACGGCATGTGAATTGCGAATTCGAGGAATACTGTTGCAAGAGCTACTCACATGATGTTTCCGGTATACCATAAGGCGTTGTACAGGGATGTGAGCGGCGCACGATAGGTAGGGTAGGATATTTCGGTGACGAGCATAGGAGCAGAATTTGCTGCATTCATGTCATCATGTAAGCGGAGTTGAAGAGATCCACAGCACCACGGACGTACCAGCAAACGTGAGGCCGAATCCGATGCAAAACCTGTTTGAAGCATGAGCAGATCCGTTAGGTATCTTGTAGCATCACGTACCTTGCTCCGATGAACATCCCGAGATTATGGGAAGCCGACTGCACGGCGACACCGACAAGCATTATCGTCGCGCCAAACCAAATCGTCGGTCTACGTCCAATGCCATCTGAGAGATATGGAGCGAACGGATAGCCCGCCAAGGAACCTATATTCTAAAGGCTCGCGTTAATGTCAGTCATCCTGGACCATATCCTAAACATCTGATCTACCTGGATAGCGTTGAGCAAACCCAGCTTTCCGCCTTGCGGAGTCCCAAAATAATCCTCCCATTGGCTCAGCGACTGAAAGCTGTTCATTAAACTGTTGTCAAATCCGTTCGTGGAGGACGTGATAAGGCTAGCACATCCGGATAAGGTCAGCGTGAATATGTACACGAGAAGCACCGATGAGCGCACAAGAGCAGTATCCATAGGTGGAGAAATATGAGGCTTCGAGTTCAATGAGGCAGTTTAGTGCTAGCGACTGCGCACATCAAGAGATCGCAAGCGTACCGCCGGTTGTTGTACCACTTCCTGTTTGGGTCCAGTAGATGCTCAAAGTTGCCATTTCCACGCGTCGTAGCTATAGCACCACCCGCCATGTTGTCTGCAGTAACAGAGTGCGACTTAGGAGCGAAGATGTGAAAACAGCGGGCGCAAACGAGCGTGAGTAGTCTTTATAAGGAACCAGAACGAATCGGTCAAAGAACGTCCCCAGCGTACGTGTCGGCGGTAGTTGGTCACAATGGCAGGTCCAGGCGCTCCGTTCGCGGTCGCAAGGTCATTCAGCGGTGCTTCTATCGCGTAATTTCCCCGCTAAACTTCCCGACTGTCCACCCGCCTGAGGAGGTCTTGAAATCCCATTGGTTCGATGACATGTGCAGATAAATGGAATGCGGTAGTGCCACGATCACGCCCGCACGAGCTCAGGCACTGCAACCGTCTTCTTCATCAGCATTCAAAGTGCTAACTGGCACCACAGCATTTTGGATTAGTTGTCCCACCGGCCGCACGAATGCGGTTCGCGAAATCCGGCCGCGTATTCTGACGGGTCGACATATAGAGCAAGTGTATTTGCCATGGAGATGTAGCTAAACAAGTCGAACGCGGGTTTCAGTCGAGGGAAGGTGCGCTAGGTGGCGGAAGATGCTGAAGCGACGAACCGGGGGACAAGTTTATCCTGCATAAAATTTCTGCCGCAGGCTCACTCCGTTCCGGGATTGATCGTGCAGTCGATCGTTTGCCACAGTATCCTCTATGTAACAAGAGCAATGCCGTAAGATGGGTGAAGCAGTGCAAAGATACCAATACATTTACGCAGCCATTGGGAAACTGAAAAGCCGCGGGCAGGATTGTGCCAGCATGCCTGATCCGAACTTCTTCAATGGTCGCGGCGTCAGTGCGGAGTGAACATACAATATAGATTGTGGCGCCCCGCGTTGAATAGGATCTTCATGGGATTCCGTTCTAATCGCCGGTGAGCTCATCTCCGCCAACGTTCATATGCGGACACTTGTCACGTGCCAGGGACTTCATGTACTGCAGGGTGATCGTCTGTTCTTGCTCGTACTATGGCAGGCGCATTTCGTATATCGGTTGATTTACCGCTTTTCGCCCCTCGATGCCACTGTATGCGACATTGCTACGTTCGATATGGCTAAAGCTTTCTTCGACACTAGACGAAACATCGTGGGTTCTGGCGTGGCCGTTCAAGGAACTACCCACATTCCTGGAATATCACTATATAGCTCCTGACCTCCCCACATAGCAAGAGGGAGCTATTTCAAGCCTGCGTATGGGAGACGAAGAATATTGCAGCGATTCTGAGGGCAAGTTTGACAACAAACAGGTTCAGGATGAATCACACGAAATTGATCTCCGCTTCCGGACTTCGGCGCTTAGCAACACACCAACACGTCCGCACGTGAGGAATCTAACCGATAACTCTACAGTACAATTAGCAGTACTAGGAACTCGAAGGAGTGCAAATCATGGGCAGCACCGTGCCGAACTGAGACGCAGGTTCATATACCTAACAATGTTATGAGACACCTCGAACACAAGCATAGAGGCGTGCAAACAGTGCGAATAACATCAAAAGCAGATAGCATGATTCTACACATTACAGTAAAACAAGAGTATGCTATACAACCAAGAGGCGTGCCCTTCATAATCCATCTATCATAAAAAAGCATGAATTATCAGTCCGGACCGTGATCAATATTTTCTAAAGCACGACTAGGACTGAAAGGGTCCGGCGTTGAGGGCGCTCGCTTCGGACCATCGACATCTTCAGACCGCTTCCTGCGACCGAACGTGACGCCCCAAGTACTAGCTAGATCTGCCAGCCTGCTACTCGCGCTAGCGCTCGATCCGGACACTGCCCCGGTGGTGGTGAACCCCAACGGGCTTGGCACATTGGCGACTGTAGGCAAAGGAGCGGCAACACTACGCGGCGAGACGGTGTAGGAGGATGTCCGACGGCGATTCATCATGAAGTTTGACATGCCCTCGGTAGGTGAACCTTCCGGCGACGGCACGTCAGAAGATCCGCGCGAGCTTCCGCTCAATAGTGCGCCGATATCGGCAGAAACTGAGCCGGACGTAGCCGCCTGCTCTGATATAGCAGTAGTAGCCGCCGCCTTCGGCGCTGCTGCTGCGCTACCGAATGGCATACGAGCATTGGAGAACCGTGAAGAGGTTGATCTCCTTGAGCCTCGCGAGCTTGGTCGGAGGGGGGGAGGAGCATGTGCGCCACCAGCGAGGGGCGAAGAAGGTGTTTGAGTCGGAGACGCTAGCGGCAGTGGAGACGACACCGGAGACGGAGACTTGGTCTGTGTCGTAGGATCTAGAGACATGTCTGGAGGGGATGCCTGCGCCAAAAGGCGAGAAAGGGATGACGGGCCCGCCGTCGGCGAAGAGTCGGATCGAGTGCGCGTTAGGAACAGTCGAGATGATGGCGGTCTTGTCGCATTGAACACTTCTTCCACTTCGGGCTCTGGGGGACCTACGGGTACACCATTGGCCTCCTGAATAGGTGGACTGAAAGTAGGCGAGCTTGGCGAGCCCTTAATTTCTAATGTGACTTTCTTCGCAGGCTCGCGGCGCTTTGACGGAAAAACTGGCTGGGTCCAATCTTCAACCTCCAACATGTAATACTTTATGCCATCCCCAAGGCCGTAGGGATTCGTGCTTGGATCCTACGAAATAGTTAATCCCATTTTCATTTGTAAAATCATCTAAAAACATACGTCGCTTACCTTGTGACTTGCAACACGCTCAGTAATGGAGGTTATTCTGGCAACGATCCACTCTCGGGTTTTCAATTGCTCCGCCAACTGGCCTGTAGCCTGCAAGAAATAATGTGGGAATGACACTACAACGATGTCGCAGAGGGAAAACCTCGGACGTCAGTACCTGGCCATCCACCCACGCGGAATGTATAACACGCACCATTGAATGCGGCCCACGGCTTCGACACAGAATTCCGGGTCGGAAGGAATAGAGCCAGGTCCCCCTTTGCGAAGTTCCTGAAGGAGATCTTACCCTTTGCCCGCTCGCGATATTCCTTGCATTGCCTCTGCCACTTCCGTATCGTCGAGCCAACCTTGTTGATCGCCTCCAAAAAGTGGTCATGATCGAACTCCCGGAGCGCTTCCAAAGCAGCCGCAGGATCGGACGGGTCGATGGGGGACGGCTCGCCAACCTGATTGAGAATACTATGCCGCCCAGGGCTGACAGCAGGCTCAGCGCCATTGCCATTGTTCGCAGCCTTGTTGGAACCCGGATGAGAGACCATGGCCTGGGCAGCACTAAGCGCCTTAACATGAGAGTCGCGGAACGCTAAGGCAACGTCCAGAATCTGCGCAATCAGCCGGCTGCTGTTCTCCAGGCGCATCTCAAAGTCGGACTGAGACGCCCTGCCGGCACGCAGGTCGTCCCTCAATACCCGCTCTGCATGCTGTGCCTCGCGCAGCTCATGCTCGACCCGCTGCAGCTCCTCCCTGAGACCAACGGTGTCCACCAGGGCCATCTCCGCATGAGCGCGTGCGTCCTTGAGCTGCCGCTCCGTATCCTCCAACGCCGCTTTGAGCTCCGAGAACTGGTGCTCCAGCACCGCGCGATCGCCATCTGCCTCAGCGATATGATCCCGTATGACGCGGTCATGCTCAGACGCCTGTGCGCGCAGGAGCCTGTCCCTCTCCCTGCCGGCCTCTGCGAGCGCACGCTTGACCTCCTCGCCCTCCATGCGTGCATCCCGGATCTGCGTCTCTAAGTCTTCCCCGCGTCGACGGGCTTCCTCTAGTCGAGCCAACGTAGACGCCTGTTCCTCCAGCAAAGCCTCCACCTTGCCAGCATTGCGTTTCTCAAGCGCCTTGACAAGTTTGAACTCTGCTCGGACCTGGGCGAGCTCCTGCCGCAGCACCTCCGCGGCCCTCGTTTGCTCCGTGGCCTCCGCTAATGCACGGGCAAGCGAGCTGCGATGTCCACCGGCGTCCGACGACAGCTCGGTGTTGCGTTCTTCGAGAATCCGCCTAGAGGTAGCCTCGCTCTCCAGCTGAGCCCTGGCTGAATGCAGGTCCCGCTCGAGCTGGCCACGTGCGGCCGTCTCACTTAGTAGAGTGCCTTTGAGCTGAGCAATCTCAGACTGCAGAGCTTCCCGCTCCGTCTGGAACGCAGTCTCTTGCTCGCTCTGAGTCTGCCGTAGTTCCTCCACTTGAAGTTCCAGCTCGAGGTCGCCCGCTGACGCTGTGATTGAAGTAAGCATCGTCGACGTCAGCATCGACGTATGATTGTGTATGCACTCACAACGACGCCGACTGCTCCATAGTTTGGAGGATGAGAGTACTATCGGTGATATTAGTGACGAGCCCCTACAGCAGTAGCTGACCCACTTACATGTACGCTCCGCTATCCTGTCAAATCCAGGTTCAAGGCTATCCATCTTGATGATGAGTCTCTCCAAGCCAGCACGAGCCTCCTTCACCGAAGCGATCGCAGCCTGGTCTTGGAGCGTCTCCGCAAAACACTCTAAATCGTCCAACACCTTCAGTAGCCCTGCATGTCGACGATGTCAGTCACGCAGCCATTGAACATCTTGTCAATGCAGATGAACATAACAACGAACCGTCGATGTCAGGCCGCTCAAGTGAGTATGGCGAATCAACCGAACCCGTAGGCGAGAAGTCGACGATTGGGACCGGGCCGTCCATCCCGCGGGTCTCGAATGGCAATTGTCCATGCACTTCCCCTCGATAGACTTGCCGGCGCTTCCGCTCGTTCGCCCTACACAGCGAGCATGGTCAGCATGCCTAGCAAAGAGCAGATTGGTTAGCATACGAAAGTTTCGCCATCACCTCCAGGATGCTCTGTGCTCTTTGGTAGAAAAATCGCGCTTTGTGACAAGGTTTAGCACAAAAAGAAGATCGTCGAATATTAGTGGTATGCTCACCGAATTCTTTGCGCCTGACAATCTCCACCACCGTCGAACCGTAAGCATACAGCATATTATGAAGCCGTTGAATATATGAAAAGCTTGTCTTCGCTTTGGATGCCGTTTGCAGGCCGGTGAGAAGCGCAGGCAACTCCACGAGGTCATTGTTCAGCGTGCTGATCTGACGAAGTGTGGATATGCATAACTCGGTGTAGGAATTCTACCACGGACAGAAGGAAGTCTGTTGTGAATGAAGACAAGGGGCAAGTAGAGAGGCATCATGACGTACCTTGACTTCTGTGATGAATTGCAGTTCATTCCGGAGGGATGTGTCGAGCTGGCGAAACTCTACCAAGTGGCAAGGAATGAGTGAGTGAGACAACCGGTATGAAAAGGTATACCTTGTAAATGTCTCTCGGGAGAAGGTACGGGCTCTGCAGTCAGACCAGGAATCAGCGACTGATACAGCATATATTAGAATGAGATAATCGCATACTGTCGATGTCTGTGTTGAGGTCGGCGATCTTGTCAAGGGCGTCTTGCGATCGCCTGACGCACGCTTCTGCATCCTCCAAGAGACTGACGATCGAAATGAATTATGACACAATAAAGGTGAGTCTTTTCTGAATTACCTCTGGTCATTGACGAGCTCTCGCACTTCATCTGTGCCCTGGCTCAACCTCGACATCGCTTCCTGTGTCTGCCTGAACCGGTTCTGCAAGTCCTCTAGCCACCGCAGCCAAGCAGACATTAGCCTCTCATCCCTCTACCCAGCTCTTGCATACAACCACCCACTCACCATGGGTCCTCGCACAGCTCTCAGCCACCTGCTTCATCTTCTCCTTGTTCACATAATCGCCTAACGTCCGCATGTGCCCATCCTCCATCGCCTTCCGCATAGCAGTGCTCACAAACTCCTTATGCACTGGCACGCGGGCGACGATCTCCAGGTCTGCGCCCAACCCTGCAAGGAGCGCAGCCTGCTTGTCAAGCTCGCGCACTGCACCGGCACCAATACCCTCGAAAACCTCGGAGATGGCGAGCACGTGCAGGTCGAGCGCAGTTGAGGCGATATGCAGCGCGGAATGCTGGTACTGGAGAGAGAGCAGGGTACGCTTGCTGTGCTCGTGAAGCGCATGCGCGGCTTGAAGATAGGAGGAGGCGAGTCGGGAGATGCGGAAAGGGGGAGTGGAGGCAATGGCGTCTGAACAGGATGTACGTCTGCGGTTAGGGACTTCGGACGATGGGGTACGTACCTTCTACTGGGGGTCCCAACGCTGGTTCCGCTCGTAGCTCCTGTAGTACAGCATTTACATCGAGGTCTAGATATCGCTTGTTGAATACATAGATCGTCTAGCGGGCAGACATTGCATGAGGACTGTCAGGAGAACAGAAGCATGCATCATACCTGGTCAGGGACCCCTGCAAGGTCGCGTATGTTATCGGACTTTAACCGCCGTCCATCCGATATGTATGCGAGGATGTCATCTTGAAGAACTCCAGTCTTCTCCTCTAAAAAGTGTTCTAGGTTGTCAAGTCTGCAACGCCATTCTTTAGTCTGAATGATGGCTGCGGTGACGGATGGGCGCACCTTTCTAGCTCCCATAGTGATGTGTCGAGCTAATCACTGTCATCAGCGTGAATGAACATGATTGATATCCTTCGTGACGAACCTCGATGATCTGTCCGTTCTCCGCACGGCACAGCTGGACCATGATGATCGCGCTGAGAGTTACCTCAACCTCGAGAGTCGAGGACTGGGATTGTACTCTGCGCCACAGCTGCCTACGCGCGCAATCACGTGGCAACCCATTCTCGAGTCTCACCGACGGCGAGCTCAGCTCTCTGTTTTCGCCATTCTCTACTGTTGTCTTTCACTCAATCGTCCCAGCTGCACTGGCATGGTCCAATAAGCCCAATTTTATCCGAATGGCTATCAATACATTTCTCGGGCCGGCTTACTATCAAACGCAGCGGCGTGAACGTGGACAATCAGCGCCTAATCTGGTCCTCGGGGCTCGAGGATGATACGTTCCTAGTCTTACTGTCTTTTGCTGTCGAGCTGTGCTGCAAGGTTCTATGGCTTCTAGCTCCAACGTGTACAGAGATACATGTGCCTCACTCTCGGTCGTTCCTCAACGTTAGATATGCGGAAGATCTGTCTCGCTGTCGCTCATTCAATGCCTTCCAGTTCTCTGCCGGACATCTCACCAGGGCCACGATAGCAGCCATCCCTTCCATATCATCGACTGGACATTGAATGCACAAATCAACGCTCCGATGACCAATCATATCGGGTGGTATGCAATGCTGGACTCCCGGAGCCCTCAGCCGCTCTGAACGTACTCCGCGTTCGCGTCCGCGCCTTTCGAACACCGTCCCATCCGCCCGTTCGTATAGACACCCCGCATAGATCGGGCCCTGGTCGTTGACCCGAAAGTGACCCGAGCCGGCTACCTACAGTCTGCAACGTTCGGTACATTCTCGTAACCAAAGCAGCAAAGATTCCCCATGGCGTCAAACACGCCACCACGCCGACGATAAGCTGATCACCGTCAGGCGAGCTGTGGCCAATGGCACGTATGCGAACATACCTGCGCGCACGCGCGTGCCTCCCTCCAATCCCATCGCGCGACGAGGTGTGGGCGTGATCACGACGGGCCATTACAAGCCTTCTCAGAACCCGTGAACGATACTGCGAGTTTCTTCCGATAGATTGGACAGAACGTCAGTGACGAAGCACGGTCGAAGCCAAAGAACGTCACGTCGTATCAGTGGGCACCAGTAACCCGTACTTTGGCGTATCTCGTGAGTCTGCGACGATGAAGCCGGCAATATCATCCTATGGCATTGCAGCACGGCGTACGCGATAGCTATCGCGCGTTCTTATTTTACGTGAATTGTGAATCACTAGGTCATCCACCACCTGGCAGCTGCAGCTCCGCGAGCATCAACCCTCTTTCGAGCCTACACGGCTCTTAGGCCCGTGCCTGCGGCGCATAACTCCACTCAAACCAAGCACTCAATTCGAGAAGCATAGATACATAATACCCATCCAATGCAACTGTATTGACGAAGGGCATCCGTTCACCACGCCGTAGCTAAATTAGGCTTCAACTGTTACTTCAGATAGCCTGAAGACTTGAGGGGAAAGCAAATTCGACGATCCGTTTCCATGCAGCCACGTCACCCAATTTCCTCCTTGTGCTCTGATATTGATTACTGTTCTTGGATCCCTATACGCCTCTAGGGATCGAGGAACACAAGCTGCCAGCGGAAAGTTCGGGCAGTGATTTTGAGCTTCCGATGGTATTCCTCCGTATATGCACTGCGCGTTAACGTAGCAAAGTGCTTCCCTGCTCGTACGACAGGACATGTGTTAGAAGGTCCGGGTGCTTCTTTCCCTCCAGCCGTAGTATTCGTGGTCAATCAGTGGGTTGGCGGTCGCCAGACATGGATCATCCCGCCGGACCAAGCTAAGACAGCCGGTCCAGACTGCACCATGACTGGCAGTTCATTTGACATTTTGATTTTAGGCATGCTGCGTGTTGGGCAGAAACCGTAAACTGGCTTTGAGAGCGTGTTGCAGGATGCCACCTGGTTGACGAGCGACGAATTCCTGCGTGACTACAAGTGTGCAAATTTGCACAGCTGTGAACGCGCGCAGCGCGAAGCTGCCGGACGTCTCGGCCCTGCGCTGCGTTATTCAGTCCACGTCAACGTTCAAAGCGCAAACCTTCTTTGCCGAGCGCGTGTGGCTCAGCGTCCATTCCAGCATCACACACGAACAGCACTAGTCCGAGCCGCTCGGGCGGCTGCCAACGCGCATATCAGGGAACCGTTTCGCGCGAACGTTGGGGAATATGGAAGGCAGTGTGTCGTCCACACTGGGGAAGCCACCTACCAACTGCTCTCATCGCGCGAATTATTTACTAACCGGTGCAGCATATGTTTGCAAAATTCCAAAGAAACTCTTCGAGTCGCCAGGCAGGAAGAGCGGGGCGCTCGTAGTGAGGCTTAGAACTCTCGGCCGAAGGGCTCTAGAACGAGAACGGAGTGGTGGGCGCTCGAGGGTGCTGTGGGGGGGTTTGTATGACAACGATCTGTGTGTCACACTGGCACGATCTTAACAAACTCACCGAGGGGGGAATGTACGGCGCTTGGCCGCTTTGATAGGACGTGAAACTGGTGATTGCACAGATGAGTACTCAACGTGGCCGCGGACATACGTACATCGGGCATTGCTTAGTGTGTGCGCTGGAGAAGATTGAATTGTGCTGCCAAGGCGAGGCATTACGCGATGAAAAAGCGATGAGATGGACGGACGAGGTCGCGAGGCCGCATCGGTACCAGCTGCGTTTGTGAGACTCCTGAACACAATCCCTGCGCAGTGCGTGCAGTGCGCTCCACGGGTCTCGACCGTAGGTCCTAGGGGCACCCACAACGCCCTGATACGAGCCACGTACCATCACAAACCCGGATTGCCACAGAGATTCCCGAGGTCTCGAGCCACCGGTGCCTCGCTGGGTAACGGTTTTCAAACTGTTACTAGGACGCCACTCGCAGGGTGCCGCCCAGACCAGAAGACTAATTTCAACGCGAGGACAGGGATGCGACACGAAAAAGGCGCGACGGCCGGCGCCCAGCCTCATCCTGGCTGCACCCCCGATCTGATGCTGCGTAAAATTGGGGGGTGCGCGCGCCGCCACTCGGACTGATGAGCGGCGAGAAAGGAATGAATGGGATGAACGGTCCAAGAGACTAGGCGACTATGCGGGTGCAGAAGACGGAATGTCGTATGCTCTGGGCAAGAACATGAGGAGTCGTTGCGCACGAGCACAACGCCTCCAAGGCTCCGTCATCTGCCTCGCACTATCGATATCCGTGCTGCGGTCGCACCTCTCGGCAGCACCCGGCACTCCGCTAGAGACCCCGATTGGTGACCGCTCAATCGGGTCGATTGCCACGCATTCCCATTGGCCAACAATGGAGCGGAGTTTGATCGCTGGCAGCCACTCGCAGAGTGATGGAGTGCGCGGAGTCGAAAGCGGACGAATTGCAGCCGGGCGTCATGGGGATGCCGCCTCGGAAGAGAATATTATGTCATAAATAAATGCCGTTTCTGGAACACACTCACAGGGGGCCACTCAGCTGAATATCTCCCGGCGCTTTTGTTGCCCACTATAAAGCGACGTCCTAGTTACCATGATTGCCCGATAATCATCCCTGTATTGTTTCTTTTCTCCTCCTCGTCCTCAACGTCGTTCCCCTCCCTTGGACGCGTCTTTCTTCCACACTCGCGCACTCGTCCTCATCTACCACCTCCACGACCACTCCCCCCTGGCCCCTCTCGCCATGCCCGGACTCGTCAGTGACGCTACTCGCATCTGGGAGGTCAACATCTACTGGACCATGCACTCTCAATGTGGAGTATGGGATCCGAAGGGGAAGGGTGTTGACATTTGGGAATGTATCCGTCCTCGTGAGTCTCCATGCCCTCGCGCTATTGTTCCCGGGAACTAATATAACTCTGACTGCAGATCATTCGACACCCGGAACTCAGGTATGTCGACCAACGCGCGCATTTTTACGTGTCCTGCACGCGTCTCACCTCTTTCGCAGCCGCCAAATAACGCCTACTGGCGATACGTCGCGCGGCGATGACACCGACTGTGCCTTTCGTGGGCTATCGAGTCTCCCCCTGTCCCTTCGGCTAGCCCACTCTACTCCTCTGCGATTTTCGGTCGTACCTTAGTGCTGCCCTCGACGCGAACACAATCTTATGCCACCCGCGTCCCGTCGTCGCCCATGTCGCTCTATGCTCTCCAACACAGCACATCCGCGAGCCGCCGAGTGCTGTACGATGCGGTGCACCTGATACCCGCCCCTAGATAGCGCGCGCAGCGTTGATGGGGGGGGGGGCCGTCCTGGCCGCTGCGCGGCGCCGCCGAGCGGGCGATGGACTTGTGCGATCAACCGCCATCAGTCAGTTACGGACGGGAACCGATGCTATGCCAGCCATAGCGACACATATTGTTTTCGTTCTCCGCCCATGGATCTCCCTTTGCGCCTTCGACTTCGTCCACTGATATCCTCCTTATCTCTCATCTCTATGTATTCGCGCCTTCTCCCTCTCTCCACCTTGGCTGGCGATCCTGTCCTCCCTCGGCCGGAGCATAGCTTTAGTAATCTACTAGTGTGTATATCTGCCGCACGTCTCTGTCCTGTGTCTGTCTGCCCTTGCTTTCCTACTTACCAATGGGTTTATCTGCATTCGTACATAGTTTACCATCGGCCATAGTAGCCGTAGTTCTACATCATCATCCAAATTGCACAGCATGTCCTCGTTCCTGCCTCATTGCCTTGCCTCCACGCATTGTTCTCCGAGCATGTGTCTTGCTTATCGCTCGCTGCCCACGCACCCTCCGAACCGCGCGAACCGCCTACCGCAGACGTCATCTCTTCTGTGTAATTTGTCAGTTGATCAGCGAGCCTGCGCATACTGCGGGACCCTCAAATGCGAGTCAAGGCTCAGCGGATGCTCTCACCATCATTTTTCCCTGTCAATGCCCTCTGCGCAGCGCTCCGGACGCACCGGCACCCTCGAACTATTCGGCCTGATATTCATAATGCAGTGCTATGCTACACGTAAGGAATCGAGGCCAGCTGAGCAAACGCCCTCGCAGAGCCCGTCTGATGATCTGCTCAAACACCCGACGCGGTATGAACGGTCCCGCACAGCGGCGCGTCCGGTGTGAGTCTTCCCGCTTCCATGCAGGTCCTTCACGCTTCCACTGGGCTCCCGGTACGTCCTCAGCTGCACGCGCCTGTATCACCGCACTTCTCCCGGGGGCATCTTCCACTTCTGTATTCCGAAACCTGCACCGCCCGCGCGAGCGTCAGCCTCCGGGAGCATCAAGCGTTCACACCCTCAATCGCGCGCACGCTCAGCGACGGACGGACGTTGCTGGCGACGCGGTTTCGGGGCGCGCTTGCCATACATGTTGCTCAAGACCCGCGAGCTGCGCGTCTCACCCCGGCTCAGCGCGCTTGGCGGCTTCTAGGGCGTTGTCGCGCCGTGGGGACGCACGTCGGTTGCTGCTGGTCGCCTTGTCGCGGGGTAGAAGCCACTGAGTTGCCATGGATCGACCCCGGCACGGCTGTATGAAGTAGATGCGATACGAGTCAATCTGCTTGTTACTACAGGGTAAGGTTAGTGACGATTCATGAAGAGGGCCCAGACTGTCGTCAGATGAGCGGCTGTAAGTGGCACAGGGTAAGCGACACAGTGAAACCATGCATTTAATGCGCGGCCCAGGTGCTCAAGCCTGAGGGTTGCAAATAAGCGGCGAGTAAAGCGAGCGAACCTATTATGCGCATCCCAAGCAATTCTTCAATGCTGATAGGCAAAAATGGGCAGCAGGGCGAGTTGGTGACGACGCAACGTCAGCAAAGCCACTCATAGAGCGATGCACGCGGAACTGTGTCGTAAACGGAGGAGATGCTGCTGTGATGGCTAGAAGCGCAGTCTGGGACTAGAGTCCATGGCCAGCAAAATAGACGCAGCGCCCGCGAAGGCCAGTGGACGTGGATGAGGATCAAACGGCAGCACCACGACATGTCAGATCTAGGCGGGAAGCACGCACAGCTGATCGTGGCGCAGGCGCTCCACCGGAGATGTAAAGATGATTGATTCGCGTTCGCGCCAAAGACAGCGAGGCGTGGATAAGGGCCGGACGCTGATATCACAACGCACGTACGCGCCCAAGACTCATTTGCATTCGGCATGGCCCGGAAATTAAATTCGCGCTCTGATTGTGGACGACGGAGCGGTTGCTCATGGAGACTTTCGGACACCGTGAATGTGCAGGCGGACGATGGCTCCCATGGTACCACGGACATGAATTATTTCGTGCCCGATCGTGATCGAAGATTCGTAAAATGGGGTCAGAAGTGGAGTTTCGCAAGGATCCATATAGTAATGACATACTCAATTCGACCTGTAAGAAATGGTGCAGGTCCGAGCCGATATGTCCGCGTGGATGATCAGGGGTGGCTGTCGGTGCGGAGCTATCAGTATGAGAGACGCAGGGAATCCTTGGCCGCCCGTATAGAAAACACGTACGCTACATACGCATTTGCATTAGAAGTCCATGTCGTGCGACTAGTTGAAGGATGCCGTGACGTACTGGAACTCCAGAATCATACGACTAGTTCGACAAATGTCGTGGCGAAAGTTCATGGAGAAGCTTTGTTAGTCAGGAAGAATTCCCCGCTTGTGGGAGGGCGCATCGTTCACTTGCCTAGACCGACCGTTTGGCGTGGCGGCCGCGAGTCCCTACACGTGTCCGTGCAGAACACCAAGAAGCAGCGCTGACGTAGCTCATCACCTTACAATTGTCAACGCAAGTTTTACATCGCGCTCGGCGTGATGTGCTTGATGAATGGATGGGAGTGAGACTATCTGTGACTGTGCAATGGCACGTACCTTAATAGAAATATAAGCTTGACGTGGAGCATGCAGAAGTGAATAGAACCTGGCAAAGTTCCGGAAGCAATGGTCGTAACGATATCATTGCTCGCGTACCTGAGGTCGAGCATCCTTCGGAAAGCATCACGTAGCTCGTGACGTTGTAAGGGCCAGGCTAGCGTGAGTCAAACGTAAAGGAATCAAGGCTCATCGCAGCTAGCGTACAGGATCAGACCTCCGGGAAGGTGTCTTGAGAAAGGTGTACACGGCTGTGCACGCGATTGCCGGGTGAACCAGCGCTAGCAGATTCGTTTGCCTAAACAGTAGTTATTCATGGCGATGCACGACATACGTGATTTCACATATCATCTCCATACAGGTCTTGCTTTTCCCTACTGTGAGAAGGAAGGACCAAACAGGAACATGTCGCTCATGCTAAAATTAGGAGCAAAGTCTCTGCGGCGTTGCAAATCGAGCCCGAGGCGTGAAGTAAGCGTGACGAACGACGAACAGGAGATGGTGGTGGAGCATGAACGCTCGCCACTAGCCCATATCCAGGATGAGCACTAGTTCCATTGATCGGACGGTAACAGATGCACGACGGACCATGTTCAAATTCCAATTCGACAAGGGAGACGCTGCGACTGCGGTTTGGAGCGTGTCAAATCGGTCAGCGAGTGAGCAAGATCAACGCGTCTGTCCAGTTATAGGGTTTTGAGAGCATGGGAGATGTCCGTGTGTGCCCTGTGAGCGAAAGTCTGGGAGAGAAGGCGCCGGAGGTTGGATGGAGGAATGGATGCATACCGACAGATGAAAGTCAATCGGACGTGCGCGGTGATACGGGTAGGGAATGACGGTCCAGAAGGAAGAGAAGCATTACCGGGGGCCTAGAAAAGCCGAGTGGGCCACTGGCTGAAGCGAGCTTGCTTCCATCTCATGTCCGATTTCCAAACGGTCAGACGCCACTAAAGGCAGGAGGCGAAGGTGGCGGCGGACGAGCTGTTCACGGGAACACGGAACAAGATGTAACCCAGTCCTTTTGGAGAGAAAGGCCTCAGCGCTGGAGACTCGAGTTAGATGTCCGATTCAATTTCGCGTTTGCGCCACTATCGATGTGGTTTCGCGAAAGTGTCGGTAGATGTCCGCTCGTATGTGACACTACTAAGGTGCATATGAGACAGTCTGCTCCATTAATCCACATGCGAACCACTACTAGAGAGCCAAGGTTCAACTCGAAACCAGCGCCGCAATGACAATTTTGAGCAATTGCGTGTCCTTCTCCCATACGGCCACCAGCAGCTCTGAGATTGCGGATTGCGAAATACATCCAGGATCGCCACCGGTTTAAGCTTGAAAGATCGACATACCACCAACTGTCCTTTCCCGAGGCAATTCAGGCGTTGGCCGATCGACTATCCAGGCAGTGTCAACAGCGTCAGAGCAAGCAGCCCGATTTTTCGCACATCATGATTTTCCCATATAGAAACTCGAAAGTGTAGATCATTTGCGCCATCGGTAGGAGAATCAACATCATGGTTCAATTGCAACTGGAGAGTTACTTGCACAGGTTGGCAGGTGGTGACAACAACTTCAAGATGTAGAGGTCCATACTTGCAAGTCAATGACCAGCAGCACAAGGGAACGAGACACTGGATCCTTCTCGCGACGAAGCGATATCGAGTAGCACGACGCATGCATGTCAAGAACAGCGTTGTGTTTGACGAGAATCGCCACAAGCCGACGCCACAACTATGAATCGGCTTTCGCCGCCGCTCGTCTCCGCCAAACTCAAGTCCGCACCTCATAATCTACACCATGCAGCACACCGTTCGAACCACGGCCAGTACCAACATCTCCAACGTTACTCCTGCTTGTATGCTCATATATTGAATGGATCCAATGATCTGCTGCCATTGAACTGTCTCCCGGGTTCTCTCCGCCGTTACGCGCCGTTACTGCTTGACACGATGCATGCAGGTTCTCGGCTTGGGAACGCTCGTCGCGGCTGCTGGCGTCAGCTATTACTTCGCCCGAAAGTCGATCAAGGAGCGGAGGAAGGAGCATGCAGCGCGCGGACAACGTCCTACGGAAAAGCTTGACCGTGAGTTCCTAACGTCGTCCGATGACCTTCCGTTGCTTGACTCGGAGGATCTATATAGGGCGCGCTCGGGTAGCAATGGAAGAGAAGCAACGTGGAAACCAGGCTACGGCCACAAAGGGATCGGCAAGCGCTGCAGGAGGTGCAGTCACTACAGCGGCATCCGACAAACCTACGGCCGGAGGGTTACAGTCTAAAGGCGGATCATAACCATGGCCTTCTCCGTTATTGCCGTTCGTCCGGATGTCAAGTGTCTTCGCAGGTCACAAGATGCTGTTCGCTGTAGCGCAGGATGATGGAACGATCACATAGACACTTGTACGATATTCTATCTTGGGATATTAACATTAATGGGATTGTCTATGGTTTCTGACGTCTCAGAGGAACGACTTCGCATAAAATAATGTGGCACTATGCTTGCGAGCAAAGTTCTGCTAGTGTCGTTCAGAACACAACCAGATAGTGATCGCCAAAACTTCTAAATGTTCACTTCCTCGGCTATTTTCATAGCCAGCAGTACGTCGAGGAGGATCGGCGGACATGATTGAGAAGGTGGACAACCATTCTGCAATCGATACATGGAAGAAGCTGCACGTAAGCGTTTATACGACATTGCCTGGAGGCATATCTTCAATCCGAAAGCTCAACTCTATATGTGAGGTTCATGGTTCTATTGTCACCCGGACTTCCCTGTATCCCCCATAGCTCATGTTCATGAACTGAAGGTGTGCAAGTTATATAATGCGACCAGATTTGAAGCGCGCGCTGACGGGGTTCTCCCTTCATTAGTGGCTGTATGCCTGCAACAAAGGGATAGCATTGATCATGACCAGACAGATCCCGGTGACGTTCCAGCACCGGTACGAGAATGCAGCCCATTTCCCGCCTTACTTTTATCGGTCTGCTCTGCTGACATTGTCTATGCATTTGGCGCAAGAGGGATCGGCGAGGCAGTGTGAATGTGCTGAATGCTGCCCGCTAAAACTCTTGACACGGCATTCTAGCGTCGTTGAATGAGGGTTGGACACGCATTCCGGGTTTATCTCGGGTGAAAAGGTGTGGAAATGAATGGAGATAGAAGACAGCATCTCAGGGACAAGAAACATTATCCACCAGCAGGTGGTAAATGGTCCGAGAGGTGGTTGGCATGGGGCATGCATGGTGCGTGTTCGCGGTAGGTGATTCTAAACTCCGTATTTACGTCCCCAGCGTTTGTCAGGACTCGGTAAATTGGGCTTTCGACATGGTCACCTCTGGAGAAGGCAAGGGAGCGGCAATTAACTGAAACGCCCAGTCGAGATGTGGGCCGTTGTGACGTGAAGCCTTCCCTCCGGACCACTATCCACTGGATTAACTCAGCCAGGGCCCAGTGTCGGAGCATGGTTCTCCTGCTTCGACCATATTTCTCATTACATTGGCACACAGATGTTCGGGCGCTGAGATGAGGTGTGTCAACTTGATCCAATTTCTCAGTGTGACATATCGTTGGACGCACGCTGGACGGCATGGAAATGTCGGAGTGAGTCGTGCACGGATGGTACATGCGATCGATTAAATACTCATTGCAAGCTGCGGTACCTGCCGTATGTGTCTTGACGCAGATTGTAGTCCCCTCTCCCATTGGACGGTGACGGACGGATAAGTTGCTCACTTCGACAAGCACCTTTCGGCATATAGATGTCGTCTGATGAGCCTCTAGCGGATACCTTCAACGTCGTAGCATGTATCGTTCATAGAGCGACCGAGATCGAGGAACATTTAATGACCAAGTAGTCGGCAGTTCAAGTTATGCAAGTAAAAGGATACCGATGCAAGCAAGGCGCGTTGACGTTCAAATAGAGTCGTGCAAGGTACGCCCGATGCTAGAACCTATTATGTGAGCGATAAAGAGCAGTAACCTGATCCGTCCCTCTTCTTTGTCATCTCCCGCTGCCGTACGCAACCATCAACAAAGATTTCAGAGATTGTTCCATTGCCATTCATTTCTTCTCCGAGGGGTGAACATAAATAGGGCTTCAGGACGCGACCGCCTCGATATATGCAAGTAGGAGGATACCGATGCAAGCAGGGCGCGCAAGTTGATGGCCAAATAAAGGCGCGCAAGTCACGCCGAATCATCTATAACCTAATATGTGAGTGTAAAGCGCAATAACCTGAGCCACGCCTCTTCATTGTCAGTCCCCGCTGCCGTACGCCAACCATTAAGATTTCAGAGATTATCAAAATCCCCATTCATTTCTCCTCCGGTGGCTTGACGTGCATAGAGCTTGATGACGCGACCACTACAAGGTAAAACTCGCACAACATTGTTTCCCTAAAGCTTTGACAGTGTCAAAGGCCAGCAGCTCGCAGTTTGCGGGAGTTGCGTGACTAATCCAAATTCACCAGTTCCTCCTGCCAGTGTGGAGGATTAGAAAGTAAGGCTGAGACGCGAAGTCCCAGGGGGCATCAGGAAAACTCAAATCGGCTTGTGGCTCGAGAACCTCCTTTTTGACTTGTTCTGGCTGGATTTGGATTGTACAAGCCAATAAGCACACGTAAGAAGCTCCCAACACGGAGAAAAGTCTAAAACAAGGAGGTCCTGAGACTTTCTCGGACTTACTGTCTTTTTTGGTGATGGCAAGCGGATAAAAGCATCATAAGCCGGAATTGAGTTTTCCTAATGGCATCATAGAAAGGTTTGGAAAACCGACAATGGTGTCGTGCAGTCCTAAGACTGCTCTTCCCTCCACTTGGATACATCACAGTGTGTGATATAGCTTGCCCCTGTGGTGGTACGACTCACCCCGTTGGTATGCTTTCAAAGCCAGAACTCGCAAGGCTGATTATGCTGCAGTATTCACCAAGCTCACCGAGATCCACCGCGCCCCGTCGCATTTACCTTTGGTATCCCATGCCTCTGACTACCATCAGGCCGTGTCGCTGAGGTGGTGCGCACCGCAGGAAAGGCAACCCGGATTCTCCAGTATGTACTGCCATCGAATCCTTCCGCCTGCGCTAATCTCCAAGGTTTCAGAAGGGCTTTGGTGCACGAACCCATCGATCGTTGTATTCAACTTGTCGACGTTCTGGATCGCAGCTTTCTCAAAGTCCCCATGAATTCCGTCCGAAACATCAGGCAGGATCTGGACGCAGTTAATTTTTGCTGTCGCGGAAGACGAGATGTATGCGTGACAAAACGCGTCGTGCTCCCGCTAGACATTTTCCGACTGTGTTCTGGCTTTCAAAGCGCCTCACCCCCACACCTGAGGCCTGATATATGATACCCACATGTCGTACGCACTTCCCCTCTTAACTTGGCTTGTGCACATGCCTCATCTGCTCCCAAAACACCATCTTCCAACCCGCTGGATATAATCTCAAATTCGCTCTTTCATCCTAATGCTTCCTAATACCCATCAGAAACGCTGGCCGCTTACCACCTGCCTTAGGAGGTCAAATGACCCCTTAGCGTATACTCGTCCCTCGCTTAATGTTAGAGCGCAGACCAGCCCACCGCGGACGTCCGTCAAACACGCTCACACGACCTCTGCTGTGTCGTCAGTTGTTTTCGCCTCCGCAGACGGGAAGCTGTCATCGGACACGTCGCCTCATGCTCAGGATCCGCAGGATGCGCGGAATTATTCCCATCCGCCTCGGGATGCCCGAACACGACTCCGGGCCCCTGATCTACAGATTCGTTATGCGGAGTAGTGCGGGGTCGCGAGGCGGCACCATTGAGCGTGCGTGATTGCGTTGTCAGATGACCCTTAAGCGACGTTTTCAAAGTCTAGCCTTGTGTGTCGCCATCATTCCATTCATATTATCATGGGGAGTTACATCTGATCGCACCAAAAATAATCGAAAGTTCTATAGTCTCGTTGAAGCGCCTTTCGGCTCATTTGTATATGTTGCACGTTTTCGTACATCTGCGGGCTTTACAATATCGTGTTTCATCTTTTTACAATACAGGTTTTACACACGCCATGGACGACAGGGATATCAATAGGTACAGTTCGGACATTGGGTACGCCTTTGGTGGACAGACCGCAGCGTGCAGGCAGGTAACGAGCGCTCTAATCGTCCTGCATGTTCAGGACAACACGGCCGACGATCTCGCCCTTCTCGAGGCCCTCGTACGTCTCCGCCAGCGCGGAAAGAGGCTTGGTCACGAAGTAGCACTTGACCTTTCCGCGAGAGGCAATGTCAAGGGCTTCGCGTGCATCTTGGCGGTTGCTGACGAATACCGTGATCTGTTCAGCCAGATGACACGCTCGAACAACAATGCATGCTTACCCGACGTAGGAGCCGTAGATGCTGATGCTCTTCGTGACAGTGAAGAAGATGTCTGCGCTAAGCGCCGCATGAGCCGGAAGACCGACAACCATCAGGTTGCCACCAGGGCGAAGATAGTCAATGGCCTGTGCGTATGCAGCACTGGTAGCAGCGGTAACGACAGCAGCGTGCGGGCCGAACCCATCGCATGCCTCGACAATGTCCTTCACAAGGTCCTTGGACGTGTTGAAGTCAATCCATCGCTCGGCACCAAGCTTCAAGCAAAGCTCCTTCTTCTCCTCACCAGTGTCTGTGCGACGAAAAGAGATCAGTTGAGATATCTGAAGAATAGTCGAGAGGAATACGAACCGATTGCGAGGACACGGAGACCCATGTCGGTGGCGTACTGGACGGCAAGGTGACCGAGTCCTCCGCCGGCACCCGGGAGTGCGATCCAATCACCAATATGCGCCTTCGAGTACTTCAACGCACGATACACAGTGACACCCTGCAGATTGGCAGTGTTACCACATGTGCGTGGGACGGAGACATCATGCGACTCACAGCGCAGAGGATGGACGCAGCCTCAAAGCTGTCCATGTTTGCGGGGATGGGGGTCACATGGTTGACCCACGAGACGACGTACTGGGAGAAGGTCCCGTCGGTTGTGAAACCGCTGAGCTGTTGGTTCGGGCAGCCTAATCACAGACGATCATCAAATTCATATCAGGCAAGGAGCTATGACGTCATTAACGTACTCTGCTCAATCCCCTTTCTGCACTGCTCGCAATCAAGGCACGAGTACGCGAGCCACTTGATGCCAACGCGATCGCCGAGGTTGACCGGCGAGTCCTGCGTGTGCGCGCCAACAGCGACGACGATGCCGACACCCTGCAAGCCGTATCAGTGGGTGAACCGTCCGGATAAACGCTGCAGCGCGTACCTCATGGCCACCGATGAGGGGGAGCTTGGCCTTGAGAGGCCAGTCGCCCTTGCGGGCATGCAGATCGGTGTGGCAGACACCACTGCATTCGAGGCGGACGAGACATTCGCCGGGCTTGAGGTCCTTGGGCTGGCGGACGGGATGGTTGTTCACGACCTTGAGCGGCGCGTCAGTCGTGGTGACAATCGCGGCCTTCTGGACCTTGGGGATCTCAAAGTGAGGAGACATGTTGTGCTCGTGAGGAGAGCAGAAGAGGTGGTCGGGTGTAATGAGGAAAGGAGAGAGCGGCGGAAGGGAGGGTTCTTATACCCCCCCTCCGGGCAGTTGGTGAGATCGATGTCACGCTGCTAATCCATAGGAGTCTCAAGCATCGTGATCCAACACGATGATCGGATGGCATTGGCACGCCGGGCGGCAGGCGCTCAGGTCCAATGGGGACAAGGAGGGATGAGGATCTCGCACCTCGCACCGTTCGAGAGCAATTCCGATACTAACCGTCCAGATGACCTGCCCCCTGCCTGCTTCCGCCTGGCCGAGCCTCCGACACCGCCCTGCGCATGTTCAGAGCTGCCTTAGGCACACTCTGCCTCGTCATGGGCGAGACGAGACCCTGATTTGACGTGTCTGCGCTCAACCTGCCTGAACCGGCCCTTCTGGCCTTCTTGTCAGAATCGATGACCCCGAGAGCGCGGCGCTCCTGGTCCGCGCAAGTGCCCTCCTTAGGCGAATTCGAGAACATGAACGTCCTAAGATAACCGCACTGCTGGATAGACATCGATACGAATGAGTGAAGAATACCAGGTACAGGCAGCCAAATGGTGCTGCAAGCGGAGATTGATGGATTGTTGCATCACCCGGTAAGTCACCTGACTCTGAGCGGTCCCCCGAAGGATGCGTACTTCGGACTGCGCCTCGGGAAGCCGGCCAGGCTGTTTCGTATCGCGGACTTGCTGCGTCATGATGATGATACAGGACGCTCATACACGAGGGGTGGCGAAGGAAGTTTGCTTCTGCCTGGGACTAGCTGGTTCCACGTTGGAGCAGGGCGATAGCGAGCGGCAAGAAAGGTCAATTCGGACATGCGACCAGTGTCAACTGAATACTTGTGGGGCCAGCCAGAGTCCGAGAATCGCCGAGGCTTTACCAGCCATGAAAGATGGCATGGCATGATGGCTTGTTGCTAACAAGTGAGACACCGCAAGTGAGTATTATCCGAAACTTACGAGCAAGTTATGTAGCTAACGCACGAGCTTGCAACGCGCGGAAGACCTAGAAGGCCTTCGATCCAATATCCGTTGGTGCATCGCAGGTCGAGATATCGCCTTGAACGCCATCTTCGATCAGTTCTCGACCTCGGACCCATTCTCGGATCTGTGAATCTACGCAAAATATGCCTCCGACATGTGCCACTTCCGCCAGTTGACGGAACAATAGGCGGACATGCGAGTCTCCGAGTCCTGAGAGAAATAAGCTGGCATACCGCGGCGATGCCGTCTTCGTCCTCCCCAGTTCTGACGAGGTGCCTCCCAGGTGAGTCTGTCCGTTCGTTGGATTTAGTCGGCGAAGCAAGATCTAAGACAACTCTAGCTCTTCTTCCACCATTTGTATAAGGGCTCGGAACGCGACAGATCCGAGATCACTTCCCGAGTCCGAGGCTGCTTCAACGTTCCCGCCAACGTCTCGGGCTTCTCGACATCGAGTCGGGATGGCTCTGCCATGCGAAGCAGTACGCCTGTGCGCTTGAAGTTGCGCTCCCTGGACATGAAGGCCGCTTATCCGCGTTTTTTCCCTGAATCGAACAGGGTGGAATCTGTCAGGCAGAAGGCCGGAACAGGTCACCTTCTCGCCCTCATGCGTGGATGATATTTGTGCTGAATCTTGAAAGTGTCCATGCGGCGCATTCAATAAACCTTCGCTTGGCGGAGACGGTGTTGCGTGGTGTCATATCCTGAATTTCTTGACTCCCCAGGTCATTCAGTTCCTGCATTACAAGCCCATGCAAATATACGCACCACCCTTCTTTCCCGGCTATATGCGCATTCATTCTTCTCTCCTATTACAGGGACAGCCAAACTATTGACTGATCTGGTGGGTGAGCTAGTTGCAGGACAGTGCTGCTAAAGCTCTCAATGCTCGCTGGCGCAGAGGATGAGACGAAGAGGACCACCCGAAGAAGGACCACAGATAAGAATTGGCCGTTGATGCGACCTACCCTGAGGATGGTCGGCGACTGGTCGGCTGCTGTCGAGCTAGGGTCACATTATTAGATTCAACGCCTCGCAGAACACTCACGAAGACGCACTGACTGCGAGACCAGCGATACATCTTCAATACAAGCCCTTGGACGCGTATCCTCATACATTCAAGGTGTCTCAGTGCTGCTCGACTATCGATTTAAAGAGCACGAGGACCGCTCGAGGGACGGACGGTGCGTACCGCGTCGGTGGGGAAACACGTCACATTCCGCGGTCACGTGATGCGTTTCTCTATACCCTCGCAGTCGAAGTTGATTTCTAGCCTATCAGTTTTGTCCAGTTTGCTATCATCGTCTCGTTTCCTAGCGTTGTTCCTTCATTTGCATGGCAAATTTGACGTTCTATGAACCAACGGGACAGACTCACCAGAATAATGCAAACCTTCGAGAATGCTATTTCTCGAGCGGGTACCGCGGTGAGATCGCTGATCTTCATGTCGATTATGTCCAGGCGCTGATCATGACTGTTGTAGCAGCACAGCCCATCTGTGGACACTATCTTTATAACCACCGTAGATGCTCTCGCACGGCGTCCCTCATCGTTTGTTTCCATCAGGAAGCGTGCCACGGCGAGGAGGCTCAAATCTCGACACTGAATACAATTGCTCGGGAATGCATGGCTAGAAATCCTGAGCCTTCTGGTCCGAGCATTTGGATGAATCAAGAGTGCACTGTGCGTAAAACTTCTCACATACTCGACCATGGTCAGACGCAAAACATCGATAGATGCGTCTTTAGTGCTTCGCAGTCGTATTGGCAGCAGGACATCTTGCACTGGTATTAACCGCATTGCTCTGCCCGGGTGCTCGACGCTGACACAACCATAAACTTCCTCGGAAACCTATACAGTGTTTACTTTGGAGACTGGCTCCGCATACATCATGGTCCATCATCATGCTTGCAAGCTTTTCCGAGAAAATCCAAAGTTCTGCAGACGACACCGCAATAGTCCGTCAATCCTTCATACACGCGCGCCCATCAAGATCATCATTCGCATACTGTATCCCCTTACCATTGGGAGATCTTGCGCCACAGTGCAGTAAGCAGTTTCGTCTTCCACAGCTCTGCGCTGGCAATCTCTAAATGCACTATAGGTATGCAAACGTCTTCGTGGGAGCTTGTCCGGGACGTATATGCGACAGGAATGCCCTGGATGTGGCGAACCGATCATACATGTTCTCGGCAACATGGCTGCCGCCGCGTACGCAAGTCATGCAAAGGATCGAGAGACCAGAATAGGCCTGTCGGCGCGAGACTTTGCCCTAGATCGGTCGTAAAAGTGGGCTGCATTCTCCTCTGCGCCCAATGTATGAGCAGTCCCGATCGCCTCTGAGCAAGATCATTCTGATTGTGAAGGCCGGCAGCGCGAACGGGCAGGCGCTAATTACAAAGAGCGTTGCGAAAGCTGAGCACCAATGAAGACTACCCAGATGCGGCGAGGAATGTGCTGGAAGGACTTTTGGCGACGAGGACATGCGATTGTTAAACTCGTAGATGAATGTGATTAAGCCGTTCGTCTTGTTCGAGGATTGACGGCTCATCACTGGGCATTGGTCCTCCGTCAGAGTGTTCATCGTGCCTCCTCCGTGATCTCGCTTCTCTGGTACACTTTCCACTCCCGCTATCGTAGCACCAAATAGGAGGTGGTGTTCCAGAGGGCATATGCGACTTTGCCTTTTTGTCAGAGCGCGCATACAGTTTGACTAGCACGAAGGAGTCTGGAGCGATTGAGTTGTACAGCTTCGAGATTCACACGGAGCCGCTGGAACACGAGCCTGCCCTGCAGGCCCCGTCGTGACATTTCAGCTCCTCAGCTTGCCGAAGGTGACGGGCTTATCTGCTCCGCGATGCATTCAGGACATTTCGTGTACCGGCTCATTCCGAAGAAACCATTTCATACTGTATTTCGCAGGATGCACATGTGTATATGATGTCGGCGGAATATCTCAGCGAGACATCCTATCATCTCATCGTGCACAGCCAAGCTGTGTTGTCGCTTATGGTTCGAGATGGAGAGGACCTGCGCCTGACAGCGATGGAGTCCATAGGATATGCGAATGTTCGACTTTGATGTGCATTTGAAAGGCACGAACCGCACAGCACCACTAGCAGATGGACAGGAAGACGATTGGCATTCACGCCTTGTGGATAGGCAATCACATTCCCTGCTGGTGATGGCTTCAGGAGTGACGATATGACGAGCCTGCTATATGCAGCATCAGTGCAGCGGGTAGCCAGTACTCATTGACGATGAGAGGATTGATTTTGGGAATCAAAGTATGCACATGTTCAGTTAGCGTTTGAATGATAAGATCAATAGCTGACCGTGTTCATGCAGTCGAGATCCTCCATGGAGACGAGTGACCACGTTGATATATACATCTCCTAATCATAATTTTGACGTCAGTCCAACTTGCCACAGTAGCTTTTGGGATATGTCAGCGGACTACTGCTTTTCACTAGTATTCTGTGTGATTTCACGACGTCAAGGACAAGATCCAGAAATCGAGGAGCTTCCGCCCGCAAATAAGAGAAGACAGTTCCATATCAACATACTCTGCTAGTTGTACTTACAATTTTCGAGCCTAATGAAAACTTATTCCCGCTACGACAGTAGTGGGTCTTACCGTCGCATCTTGAACCAGTTTCCCGCCAAAAATTAGCGGCACGTGAAATATGATGTTGTTCACGTGAATGCTCCACTGCCTAGAGATCCATTGACTTCGCATTGGCCACTTACTTTGCCCTGTCTGCGCTCATCAGTGTTTAACTCGATCTGTCATCTGCATCTCGTCGGCAACTATGCCGGTATTGTTGCATCAATCCTGGTAGACAATTCTTTTGAAACATCGCTCATCTCATCCGCTTTCCCATGCTTACACAATCTGCCACGTTGTCACGGTGCATTAGATCCTGTGCCCTAAGGCAAGAAAATGGCAGCAAGGTGCTTGCCAGCATCTAGTGACCTGCACAAAAAAGGGGTTTGCCCAGGAAGGGTCAAACCAGGCATGCAGTGACATGCAGCCTAAAAAAGGGGCTCAAAGGGCCCTTAGCCTTATGCTCACAACAAGGGGTGAATTGGCTGTTAGGCTGCATATAATAGGTGAATGAATCTAAGGTCTTCCCTTAGATCCTCATGTGCTTATATACATGTAGTGGTGGACCCTGGGTACCCTAACTATGGTGTACTTACTGGAGTCCTGTCCTGTCTACATGTGAACATATTGCCAAAACCAGTAATGGTTCTGAACTTTGCTATAGCAACTATCTATAAAGGCCATGGATACACCAAGGTAATCCTACTTTACCCAATGAGATAATTGCCTGAAGGTAGTGCCACTATTTGAGTAGCTGAAGTGGTGCCACTTATTGAGTGACCAATGGGGGTTCTGCCATAGCGCATATTCTAATGCTGGTGCTACTATTTGACAGCCATTTAGTTGGTGCTGCTATTGAGCAGCGAATTGGGTGCTTGCTAGCTTGGTGGTCCAATGAGCACAGGTAAGCCTATTGTAGGCCAAAGAGTTCCATTCTGGGCAAGTGGTCTGGTGTCACATGACCAACACCTGATAACTTCTGAATAGGGCAAGTGGCCAGTGTCATGTGACTGGGTGGCTGAATCATGGGTGCTTGGTGGTCATGTGGTAGACACAGTCATATCCGTGATGTATGTGGTGATATTGTGCTGTTTGTCTAAGTATCACTTTGTGAGACCAATATGAAGGTTGGCGTCTAAATAATCACTTGTGGTTGCCGAATGATGACTTTATTGGTGCAAAAAGAAAGGTGCCACTTAATACTGTGACAAGAAGGTGCTAAGACTGATGCGGGAGGTCAAGAGAAGAAAAGATATGCAGTGAACATAAAAGATACCAGTTCCTATCAAGGATATAAGAAACGAGAATTCTGGGTACGTCCAGTGGCTTTATTTTGTCTCTGTATTCTGCAAACCAACAGATCAGGAGGTGAGTACAACATATTTTCAATTAAATGCTGAATCACTGCCATGCTCGCTCCCAAAAGTATGCTTAAGGCACTGTTCACCTATTCCGATCCTGAGACGTCCTGTTACAGTGCTAGCACCATTTCCACTCACGCAACATGGACACGTCTTTCAAAAGCCACCATCTGGAGTCGAATGCTCTACCTCAGTTTGTCACAGTATTAAGTGGCACCTTTCCTTTTTGCACCAATAAAGTCATCATTCGGCAACCACAAGTGGTTATTCGGATGCCAACCTTCATATTGGTCTCACAAAGTGGATACTTAGACAAACAGCACAATATTACCACATACATTGTGGATATGACTGTGTCTACCACATGACCACCAAGCACCCATGATTCAGCCACCCAGCCACATGACACCAGGCCACTTGCCCAGAATGAAACTCTTTGGCCCACAATAGGCTTACCCGTGCTCATTGGACCATCAAGCTAGCAAGCACCCAATTCGCTGCTCAATAGCAGCACCAACTACATGGCTGCCAAATAGTAGCACCAGCATTAGAATATGCACTATGGCAGAACCCTCATTGGTCACTCAATAAGTGGCACCACTTCAGCTACTCAAATAGTGGCACCACCTTCAGGCAATTATCTCATTGGGTAAAGTAGAATTACCTTGGCATATCTATGGCCTTTATAGATAGTTGCTATAGCAAAGTCCAGAACCATTACTGGTTTGGCAATATGTTCACATGTAGACAGGACAGGACCCCACATAGTTAGGGTACCCAGGGTCCACCACTACATGTATATAAGCACATGAGGATCTAAGGGAAGATCTTGTTGAAGGAATAGTATATTCCGAGTAATCTACAAAGATCACAGTATGAAGAAGGGTATGGAAGGACACTGTCCAATAGTGTTATTCATAGGAATGGTACAATAGGACATTGTCCAATCAGGATATTCATAGAGTATCATACGACACTGAGTAAATATGCCATTGGCCAGTTAGATACTGTAGTATTACTCATCTATGTAAGTAGACAGTGGCTGTAGATACCAGAGGTCCTAGACCTGGTATATGGGGTCTTTACCCACATGTATATCACAAACTTAGGACACAGAGTGTCGACTAAGCCTATGACCTTATGATCAAAATACTTACTGACGATAGTCAAAGTAAGGATGGACACAAGATGATCAAGGTAAAGCAAGGCCTTTCAAGTGGGCCCTGGTAACACTGTATGGATAGGCGTAGCAGAGATGTAAAGTCTGGGGGGACTTATGCGTCTCAGAGCTCTGGCTTATATACATGAGCGGAGGGACCCTTGATACCCTGATACCCCAGAACTGCTAGCTAATGGACATTGTCTGATTGGTTACCACTACCTGTCAGACTACGTGTGTCATGCATGCCGAACCTCCGAACTACTTAGTAAGACCATGGGAATGGTATTGCCTGTAATGGCTACATCTCCGGTGGCGTGGTATCTATCTACCTCGTGCATGTGAACTAATATCCCCTTAAGGACATATTTCCGGTGGCGTGTATCTCCTTCATTGGATTCTTCCAGAGTCCGACCCTTGCTTCTAGGTGGGATGATATTACTGTATAAGTTAGGCTTACCTAATACCAGCGCTACTTGTCACATGTGTTGATATCACGTGATATGTCACATGACTAGACCTGGACCTTCGGGGCGTCTAGGACTGTTAGTACTTCGCGTACCAGTTCGTTCCTTTCTGAACAGCCTAGCGCTGATGTCAAATGATGTCTTGGTCATGTGCAGAGGTGAAAACGTGAAAATCTGTGACAGTACCCCCCCTTCTAGACAGTTCGTCCCGAATCTGGCTTTCTGCGTGGTTTTTAGAAGTAATTATCGCCTGTTGAACCAAATCCACGGTGACCTCGGGCTGAGGGTTTGAGGTAATCAACCAGTGAAACGACAGGGGTGATAATACGTTCAATGATAACTCGATCGCCCAAATTGACTGTGAAGTCATCATTTGTATTATTGATTAGCAAAATCTTGATTTCGCCTGTGTATCCTCTGTCGATAACACCAGCACCTACGTCAATGCCTTTGACAGCTAACCCACTTCGTGGTGCAATTCGACCATAGGTCCCTCGAGGTGTTGTAAAATGAAGTCCTGTGGATACCAATCCTCTTGAGTGTGCTCGGATGGTTGTTGGTTCTGATGCGGCTAAATCCATTCCAGCATCGTCTTCATGGGCATCTTTTGGTGCGTGTGCATTTGGATTGTCTAATGTAATTTGAAGATCTATAGAATGATCCCAATTATCTCTATCCTGATCGTATATCTGAATGGTATCAGTGGCAGGGTCGTAGACTTGACCTGTTCTTGTTACGAAACGTACCGTCGCGCATGGTCACGTGATCCCCATGAACAAGCGCCTAGAAGAGACGCCCAATCACGGTCAGGTGATATCAGTCAC